AATCTAAAATAAATTATAATGGATCTTGAATTTTTTTAATTTTTTGTAATTTGTCAAGATTTATCATATTAAAAAAAAGAAGATTTTATTTATAATAAAAGGAAAAATATTATATATTCAAGGTTTTCAAATGAATTGTTTTAACAATAAATAATTTAAGTAGAAAAAATTATTTAATTTAAAATCCAACTTATTATAACACTATTTTTTTATCCATAAGAAATATACCCAAATTAACAGCGAATTATCGTAAGAATATAATACAAAATATCATGATACTAATTTGATTGAGAGAGAGGACATTAAGCGCGTAATAAATAAGAATTTTTATACGAAAGAAGTATTTACCTTTAAGGTCCTCTTGTAACATCCATAGTCAAATATCCTTGACACAGTTGACTAAACCCCCAAGATTTCCTACTAAGTTGATCACTGAGCATCCAGGAATTACTATTGTAGTACTCCTACCTCTTTCGGCATGCCATCTGGATCCTAGTAAATATAAAGTTATATTAACTTTAATTTCCGAAATAAAAGAAAGCAGTTTTAGTGGAAAAAAGAAAATGTTAAACTTATAGGCATATTTTAGATGTGAAATATGTATACTATCCGAAAAAGAAAGGAGAAAATAAAAGTTTACAGAGCACCTAACAAATGTCAAAAAGATAATAACAAATAAAAAAGATAGAATGAAAAATCAGCATAATTGGAAAGTTGAAACACCTAAGAAGCATGAAGAGATGAACTAACTCAGGTATGAGCTACAAATCTTAAGAATGGCGTAGAATTAGAAAAACAGATCAAATATTGAAGNGTAACATTTATAATTAGAACTTCCCAATCATGATTAAGAAATTAGAAATATAGTTATTCATAAATTCAATCTGAAGCATTGTTCATATAAATATTTGATAATATAAATTTTTACCTTTGTTTTAAGAATAATGATATTAAAATTCAGAAATTTCAATAAAAATTTCTTCTATCTACAGCCTAAAGGCCGCTTTATCATTCTAAGCAGCCATAAGGTGGACTTTGAAAAGTATAATTTAATTCAAAATCGATTATTATTGATTTTAATTGAACCCCTTTTCAGTTATTAGCTTAATTAGCAAAATTAACAACCAATATGAAAATGTATTTTTGCCAAGAGTCATCCAGATTAAATTTAGGATCATTAATTTTTTTTTCTAATATAAATCAATCTAATCTAAAATAAATTATAATGGATCTTGAATTTTTTTAATTTTTTGTAATTTGTCAAGATTTATCATATTAAAAAAAAGAAGATTTTATTTATAATAAAAGGAAAAATATTATATATTCAAGGTTTTCAAATGAATTGTTTTAACAATAAATAATTTAAGTAGAAAAAATTATTTAATTTAAAATCCAACTTATTATAACACTATTTTTTTATCCATAAGAAATATACCCAAATTAACAGCGAATTATCGTAAGAATATAATACAAAATATCATGATACTAATTTGATTGAGAGAGAGGACATTAAGCGCGTAATAAATAAGAATTTTTATACGAAAGAAGTATTTACCTTTAAGGTCCTCTTGTAACATCCATAGTCAAATATCCTTGACACAGTTGACTAAACCCCCAAGATTTCCTACTAAGTTGATCACTGAGCATCCAGGAATTACTATTGTAGTACTCCTACCTCTTTCGGCATGCCATCTGGATCCTAGTAAATATAAAGTTATATTAACTTTAATTTCCGAAATAAAAGAAAGCAGTTTTAGTGGAAAAAAGAAAATGTTAAACTTATAGGCATATTTTAGATGTGAAATATGTATACTATCCGAAAAAGAAAGGAGAAAATAAAAGTTTACAGAGCACCTAACAAATGTCAAAAAGATAATAACAAATAAAAAAGATAGAATGAAAAATCAGCATAATTGGAAAGTTGAAACACCTAAGAAGCATGAAGAGATGAACTAACTCAGGTATGAGCTACAAATCTTAAGAATGGCGTAGAATTAGAAAAACAGATCAAATATTGAAGAAGAGGCTTAATAAGAACAAAATTTAGGAACAATCTACTGTAAAAGATGTGGATCAAGAACTTATAAAAGCCATTAATTAAACTATAACTTATTATTTAGATCTAACACCTGATACAATAATTTTTCGAAGTTCGCAAACTCAAAAAGCTACAGATCGCATACAGATCATATTTTATTTTGCTGAAAAGTAAGACATTAGATGTTGAAGGAATGGAATGAAATCTCTGATCATTTACTCTTAAATGCAATAAACTTGAAAGCAAACAAAATCATTCTATCGATTGGCCCCAGTAATATAGAAGTGATTTAAAGTTTGAATAATCGTTTTTTCTTACCCTTTCCAACATATTTGACAGCAAGTCTATTGAGAAAAATTATTAACTAAGCTTATAGCTTTTATTAAAAAAGGATAATAAATGTTAAATTTAAGTAGAATGATAGGTTCTCTATTTTAGGACAAATAACCTTAGATTATTCGATTTGTTTGCTTAAAGCCAAGTCAAAAATCTTTATTATTTTTGGAATGTTTAAAGAAGGAGAACATCTTACCCTAATTCAAATCTTTTGAGAAAATTAAAGCATGGTTTATAAATCTACAAATAGATAAGATTTGATTGATTTATATATCAACTTAACCAATCTTTGTAATTTTGAGTTAAATGGATGATTATTAAAATTAACTTCTTATTTTAATCTATATCTAACTATAATATATTTAATTTCTAATAGCCCAGTCTTTCTGATAGGTTCAGTCCAAAAACATATTATAATTAATTTTTGGTTTGATTGAACATTTATCATATTTTTATTATTTTTTATAATTACTATTGTGATAATAGGGATAGGTTTAATAATAAATCAATTTTTAATGGAGGTATCGAAAGTCAATATAAATTGATTCATTCAAAAATTAATAAAATGAAAGAAAGTTCTATGGCTCAATCAAATTAAAAAAAAGACTATTGTGATTAACAATAGTAAAGACTTTTGTTAAAACATAATTTAATATCTATACTATCAACTAAAATATTCAATCAAAAACAAAATTAATTATAATATGTTTTTGCACTACAAATTCTGCATCCTAACTCAGATTGTTTTCTAAGTATATGACATAGTTTTTAATAATCCAAATCTTACCAATCATTCTCCTTCTTTTAATATTTTTTACAGGCATGGATGCTGCTTGATTAAATAAAATTATTAACTCTTTAAATTTAAAATATGAGTAAGGGGACATTGTAAATTGTTTATTGCTGTTATTTCTATTTAATTCAATTATTCAATTACATAAGAATTAGGGTTGCATCTATAGTGAAGTTAGAATAATTAGGCAAGTTATATTTGATCTTTAAATTGCCAATTTATTATTTCGAACAAATGTTAATTACAAACTTTAATTTATTGAATATTACATTCATTACCAATGAATTAATGCTTTAGTTTTTTTATTTTAAATAAATACATATCAAGTTATATGTATTTAGCAAAAAAAATCAATTTTAAGAAATTGATTTTTAGTTCTATTTATTTATTATTTTATAATAAGTGGATTCTAGGAAATATAATTGGAAGAAGCTAATTTGTTGGTGGTCTGGTTGAAATTATTTTACTGTTATGAAGTTGACTATCTCTATTCTAGACATCATTTGTAAAGAGCGAATATTTGCTGGCAGTAGTAATAAACTAATTATTTACTTGCAGGATATAATAATTTCTATTAATTTAAGAAGCAACCAAAAATTGATTTATATAGAGTATATTTTTATTTGGTTGGATAGGATATTGGCTTTGGTCAAAAGCTGGAAAATTTAGTTTGGTTAATGAATGCACTATTTTTTGTTCGCTTAAACCATTAATATTTTAAATAACCGAAATTCAATGTGCTTAGGAATTTTTTATTAAAGGATATAAAGTAAATACTTTAATCAAATATCAAAGAAAATTGAAGGATTTAAATTAATCAATTTATCTATCAAACAAAACTTAAAATAATCATAAGTTCTATTGAAGAGGTGTAAAAGAAGAAAGCAAAGAAAGATATTGAAGGAATAAAAAGATAAACGAATATGATAGGGAAGTAGGTTCATTTAAAAAGCCTTAACCATTATTATATGAGATTTTAAATTATGACTATCTAACCAAAAAGTTTGTCATTTATTATTTAAAATTCTGACATCTTTGGAAAAGATTAAACCCTAATTAAGCCCCAATATTTTCACCTAATAATTTTATTTATTAATTAATTTGTTGATTTCAAATTACCAAAATCCCTATTTATATTAAATCAAACTCTTGTTTGAGTTTTTTAAGAGAATGGCTAATTGATCTGTAATATGAGCAAGTTTGAAGTAGTGTTAGATTTATTAAAATCAAATTAACTTCTACTAAGAGCACTCTATTTATTTATCTTTTTTTAATTTTTTTTTCATTTGATTGTAGTAAAATAGTTATTCTTGTAAAATTTAAATATCAAATTCATTGAACCATTTCATAGCCTACAAAAAGAATTTTGTTATTCAAAAAAAAATTTAATTGACTTTTTTTAAATAGGAGCAGTTTAAAAATATGAAATCATTATTATAAATAATTTTGAGAATTTAAATGGTTTAATCGCAATCAGTAATTTTCATAAGAACAATCCTCAATATAACTAAACCTCTGATAAGAAAAAAAGGAACAATTACTTTATGTATAAAATTGTTCTCTAAATCAATAAGTTATTTTCAATTTTTAGGTTTCATTCATTAATTATATAAGGATTTTCGATAAAATTATATATTTTAAATACAAATTTTTTAATCAAAAATTTAGAAATACAAGTATTTAACTCATTTCTTTTACGGGCAATATATATAAAAAAATTTATTATATTCCTGTTTAAATTATGAAATATCAAAGGAATTAGAATTTAATAAAAAAATAAAAATCCTCATAGACAAAAAATATTCATCTGATAAATTTATTAATGTAATGAAATCAATTAAATTTCTAGGGTGCCTTTGAGGATTGCACTTAAAACATCATCTATTATTATTAAACATTCTAGTATGCAGCTGGTTAAACTTATTATAATTGCATTCCTTAGGCAGAAAACAAAGAATTGACTCCTCCCTATTGATAATTATTACTGACCATTTGACACATTTGTTTCTGTCCAAATAAACTATATGATGTTCTTGCAGATGCCTATTTTGCCTATTGCAAATCTTAAATAATTCCAGTACATTAAGCAGCAACATTTGGATTCTTTTAAATTTGTATCAACATATTATCAATTAATTTTTAGGCATCCTCGTTCTTATTTTATTCACAAGCTTTTCTTGCTTCATCAATCACTTCTGTTCCTTTGACTCTGAAATACTATGCATAAACATCAAGATCAGCTTCATTTTAATTAATTAATTCATCTTCATTAAAAAATGTTAATGTGAGACTGGTTTATTTAGTAATAACTGTTCCATTAACTGGATCTTTGATTTTTAATTCTGCATCTATAACTTTGACATTTCTTTGGAAATCCTCAATTTTTGCCTCAAACTTAGGAAGAGCTAGTTCAAAAACATAATCTTTTCTTGATCCTGAAGCAAATTAAGGTTGAGTAATATAATATTGATTTCCTTTCTTTTGCCACATATTACCATAAGTTTTAGATATTTAAATATTTTAATAGGGAGGAGGTGCTTAAGAAGTAATAGTTATTTCTAATTATTCACCAACAACTGAAATAAGTCCTCCCAAAGCATCTGCAAAGAATTCATCCAATAATGTTACATCCTAAACAAAATAGAAACTTCCACTCTTTAAATTACAAATTTAAGTCATCATAGGAGCATCATGATCTTAACCAAAACCAAATGTATGTAAAGTAAATACTTCCTAAACTGTTTTTATTTGCTCCTATATCCTTTAAACTGCATTACCATCTTGGCCATCTGAAAGCAAGAATATAGATGTGACGTTATTTCTATATTTTCTTTCTTTTAATTATTTAAAGGCTAAATCAGTAGCTGAACCAATAGTTGTTCCACCGCCTGAATAAATTTATGATATTATTTATTTAAAGTATTGTTTATTTCCATCTGTTACTCGTTTTAATGGTGTTAGTCTTTAGGCTGAAGACTCAAATGTGATAAGTTAATATCGATCACAATCACTTAGAAAATCAAGTAAGACGCTTAAAGTTTGCTTAACCATTGCTATCTTCTATCCATCCATACTTCCACTTTTATCAATTAAACAAATCTAACATAAATTGAATTATTATATACCAAATCTACTCCAACCCTTTAATTTTCAGGATTTTTAGTAATAATTTAATCTTATGCTTTTATACTTACAATTCCAGGTAAGTATTATGTTCTACTGTTTATCAATTTCCCCATTTTGTATAAGGTTTTTACTTCGAATGAAAGTTTTTCATTTAAATCATAATTAGCAATTTATTTAGCATCTTCTTTTTTAGGCTCTATCATTTCATCATCTTGAAAATTAATAATTGGTTAATTATAATTTCCTGTATTATTTGTTCCAAATAAACTAGGCTATAAATTGGGTTAAGCATAAAACTATTATTATGGCTATTATTGAGGAGGTCCTCCAAAAATATTATTATTAGTATGAGTAGGTTATGATAAAATTGGGAAATTTGGGGATGATTATTACATGGGTATTTGACTAAAATTTTGGAAATTTAACTGCTGTTGTTGATTTTAAATTTATTATTGTTATTATTGTTAATTAGATGAATTGGCAAACATTGATTATAGTTGCTGTTTTTGATTCATGATTATAAAGAAATAAAATATTTAAATAATTTAAATTTTATTTTCTGCCTTTAATCATAATTTTTTGATTAAATCTGATTATTTATANCATGATCTTAACCAAAACCAAATGTATGTAAAGTAAATACTTCCTAAACTGTTTTTATTTGCTCCTATATCCTTTAAACTGCATTACCATCTTGGCCATCTGAAAGCAAGAATATAGATGTGACGTTATTTCTATATTTTCTTTCTTTTAATTATTTAAAGGCTAAATCAGTAGCTGAACCAATAGTTGTTCCACCGCCTGAATAAATTTATGATATTATTTATTTAAAGTATTGTTTATTTCCATCTGTTACTCGTTTTAATGGTGTTAGTCTTTAGGCTGAAGACTCAAATGTGATAAGTTAATATCGATCACAATCACTTAGAAAATCAAGTAAGACGCTTAAAGTTTGCTTAACCATTGCTATCTTCTATCCATCCATACTTCCACTTTTATCAATTAAACAAATCTAACATAAATTGAATTATTATATACCAAATCTACTCCAACCCTTTAATTTTCAGGATTTTTAGTAATAATTTAATCTTATGCTTTTATACTTACAATTCCAGGTAAGTATTATGTTCTACTGTTTATCAATTTCCCCATTTTGTATAAGGTTTTTACTTCGAATGAAAGTTTTTCATTTAAATCATAATTAGCAATTTATTTAGCATCTTCTTTTTTAGGCTCTATCATTTCATCATCTTGAAAATTAATAATTGGTTAATTATAATTTCCTGTATTATTTGTTCCAAATAAACTAGGCTATAAATTGGGTTAAGCATAAAACTATTATTATGGCTATTATTGAGGAGGTCCTCCAAAAATATTATTATTAGTATGAGTAGGTTATGATAAAATTGGGAAATTTGGGGATGATTATTACATGGGTATTTGACTAAAATTTTGGAAATTTAACTGCTGTTGTTGATTTTAAATTTATTATTGTTATTATTGTTAATTAGATGAATTGGCAAACATTGATTATAGTTGCTGTTTTTGATTCATGATTATAAAGAAATAAAATATTTAAATAATTTAAATTTTATTTTCTGCCTTTAATCATAATTTTTTGATTAAATCTGATTATTTATATAATGATTTATTAATTTTTAATACTATAAAATAAAGGTAAACACATGAATTAAATTTTATTTAGAAAGAATAAAAATTATGAATTATATACTATGGATAAATACAATCTCAAAAATATTATATTTGCTTAAAAAATATAAGGGATTAATGATATAAAATTCAAACTTTTGGTATCAATTAAATTAAAAAAAAAGAATTATTATCAAATATGAATACCAGAGATTATCAAATAATCGTATTTATAAGCAACTTTTTTATGAGCATTTAAATATTAAAAAGAAACTAAAATGATTAAGACCGATTTTAAATAACATCCTAGCTAAGTAATACTTTTATATATACTTTTAGATGTAAGTCTTACAAAGAACTTAAAGTTAGTTACAGATTAACCTTTCATAATAGCTTTAATAACAAAAGTTAGAATACTTTTAGTAATAAAAATTGCAAAATAACCTGTGAAATAAACTCTCCAATATCAAATGAATCCTCATAAATTAATTATAATTCAAATAGGGTGAGTTAGTGTATCAAACAAAAAAATTAGGAAAATACATATTTTATTAACCTAATCTATAAATATCTCAATCCGTTTAAAAGATCATAAATTATCAAGACGATGAAATGATTCAACTAAAAAAAGATAAGTAAAAATAAACAGCAAAATGATTTAAATGTAAATTTATAATTAGAAATAAATACTTTATACAAAAAGGTCAAACTATTCCCTAACAAAGCATAATACTTACCTGGAATTGTAAGTATAAAAGCATAAGATTAAATTATTACTAAAAATCCTGAAAATTAAAGGGTTGGAGTAGATTTGGTATATAATAATTCAATTTATGTTAGATTTGTTTAATTGATAAAAGTGGAAGTATGGATGGATAGAAGATAGCAATGGTTAAGCAAACTTTAAGCGTCTTATTTTAATTTCTTGGAGATAACGATAGTCTACAATTTATAACATTTGATAATTATGCCTATAGATTAACACCATTAAAGAGAGTAACAAAACAGAATACAAATTATATGTCGATTGTTATTTTTTAGCAGAATTAAAAATCAAAGATCCAGTTAATGGAACAGTTATTACTAAATAAACCAGTCTCACATTAACATTTTTTAATGAAGATGAATTAATTAATTAAAATGAAGCTGATCTTGATGTTTATGCATAGTATTTCAGAGTCAAAAGAACAGAAGTGATTGATGAAGCAAGAAAAGCTTGTGAATAAAATAAGAACGAGGATGCCTAAAAATTAATTGATAATATGTTGATACAAATTTAAAAGAATCCAAATGTTGCTGCTTAATGTACTGGAATTATTTAAGATTTGCATCATATAGTTTATTTGGACAGAAACAAATGTGTCAAATGGTCAGTAATAATTATCAATAGGGAGGAGTCAATTCTTTGTTTTCTGCCTAAGGAATGCAATTATAATAAGTTTAACCAGCTGCATACTAGAATGTTTAATAATAATAGATGATGTTTTAAGTGCAAAATTAAAAACCTAATTGCAGGCAATATTGATATATTAAATAAATTTATGAATAATTTTATAAGGAATTAATATTAAATTATTATTCTAATATTTCTCTAAAATATTTATGCATACATATAGTAAAATTAAAAAATCATTTAGCTTTTAATGGAGCACTTAAGCTACTAAATCATATGATTGCATGGTTTTATAAAACTTTTTGATAATTTTGCTATTCATGTTCTAAGGTTTTACTAACTCAGAGAAATAGTATTTACTTTATTTAAAATATTTTATTTACATATTGCTAATTAATAAATCATGTATTCATTTAATGAATTTAATACTGGTTTTACCATACTACTACTAATATTGTAAACTAGCTAATAGCTTTTTCAACTCGATTAGAATGCACAATAGATATCCCTAAATAGTAAATGGTATCCAGTTGATTAATATATTGGTACACTTTTTAAATATAGTCCTTTGTGTGATATATCTCATATAGGAGCTGTCCAAAGAAACTAAACTAATTCTTATTTATTATATTTAGGATATGAAAGACTCTCAGAAACGTTACTTTTCATTCATTATGTAAAATTTCATCCTGAAGAGAGGAAAATTATACATATTGTTAAATTAAACTTGAAAAGTGAGATTATGGAGGAAGAGTTTGAATTTGATTTTAATGATTATGAAGGTAAATGGTATATGCAATACATGTATTATGATATAATTTAGAGAAAAATTATATTAGGGTTCATGTCGAAAGAATAGAAAATAGAAAGAAGTTTAAGCTCTTCAAGCTTTTTCGACCAAGAGTTTAAATTCATCCTTGGGGGAAGTTTATAGGTAAAATATTTTTGCTATTTTAAGAGTTTTGAAAACAGCTTTAAATAGGATTATCTATTGAGCAGTTTTCCTGGGAAAATGAAATTAATATTTTTAGAATAGAATGACAGAAAAGAATTTTATATTACCAATTTGAAAGCTTGCGAATCAAATTTTGAAGCTATAATGAATGAATTTTATAATTTTAAGTCATAATTCTTAAAATTACAAGTTGATTAAGAATAAGAAAATCAATATTTAATATAATTTTGGGTTCAACTTGATGATGTTATGAGAGAAATTTAAACAATTTAAATAATTAGAATGTATGTTAAGTATCAATTAAACACAGAAAAATAAATAGAGTTGACAAGTTTTTAGATAAGTTATTTAAGCGACAATTCAAAATGGTATTATTGTCTTTAATTCTATTCCTATAACTATCCTTTCATTTTTTCAACAGATTAAATTTAGGATTTTTCGAAGATACATAAATATGAAATTGAAATTGAATTTCTAACTTCTTGGCATTTTATTTAGGTTAGCTACTAAAATAAGTAAATCAATTATATAATGAAAAACTTCTTATTAAATAAATAGCATATCAATTAATTTGAAAAAGTAAATTAGTTTTCATGTTCAAGATTTACAGTTACTTTAGGATAAAATGATAGCGATCATTTACTGAGTGGCCAAATATAAAATCTAAAATATCTAAATTGTCCTTCCATTAATACTTCATTTGACCATTGTCATCATTCTTGTTAAACTTGTTATGGCCCTAATAGTAATCACTGCTGGTCATGCGATGAAACAAAAAATAGACTATTCAATCCACAAACTAATACTTGTAGATGCAAACTATGGTACTTAGATTTAGATGAAGTTTAATGTCATGGATAATCTGAATTTAATTTAATAGAAACTGAAATCTAATTACCATAAGATAAAAAGTATGATGAGATTGAACCAATAATATAATGTGCTTTTGGGTACTTTCGATATTTGGATCAATGCATATAGTGGTATTATTTATTTAATAATAAGTCCATCTGCATCATAAAAGGGATCTATATAATGTATCAATTGTCTATTATTTCCTAATACATGGGTTTATAGTGGCAAGTGTTTTGAATAATATCAGTAATTAGATAGGAATGAATAAAATACTTATCGATATATTTCTGATATTATATCACCAGAATCGAATTTTTATTTAATGATTGATGAGGAATTATTTGCCTGCGATGATTGTCAATTTTGTTCAAAGGAAGAATATTTGGAAGAATAAGGTACTGGAATTACCTATTGTATATTATATCCTTTAAAACATATGAACGAAGATACATATATATTATGTTTAGCTGGAAATTTAGACTATGAAACTTTTAAATGTTATTCGAAGAGACCTGTAAAATTAAATTATGGATCTTACAGAGGTACATGTAATGAATTTTGCGGTTACTGTGCCTTAAGAAATTGTTAATATTGCAAAGATTCATCTCTTTACTTTAGTGATTGGTAAGGAATATGTAGAGTATGTAATATAGAACACTGTAAGTATTGTTTTTCATACAATTAATATGATTTGAATTAAGTATCTGCAAGAAAATCTCCTTTAACTAAACTATAATCTAATTTCGAAGAAGATTATATAATAGGATGTTCACTTTGTCATTCAGGGTATATATTTGATTTTACTATAAATTAATGTATAAAGAAGAATTTATAATATCCATGCTTAAATGCTTTTATCAAATAAGATAATGAATTAATTTGTACTAGTTCATCATTGAAAGCTCGAATAATTGAAGAAGCTTAGGAAACAATTGGTTGTTCAACATTTTTCTAATATTGTGTTAGATGTGTTTCTGATAATTTTAAGATGGTTTAATGTACAAAATGTCAAGATGGGTACTATCTCAATTTTTTGAATGGAATTTGCATGCCATGTTCTAATATTATAGAACATTCAACAAAATGCTAAATGCTGACTTCTTCTTATGATGCTTGGAAGTATGATGTTATGAGTTTCTACAATAACTTTTTGCCTGATAAAGTTCCAATCTTGGTAGCAGGATATTATTTTATAGTATATTATATTGTAGATGAATGTGAATAGGGTTATATTAATGATTATAATGAATGTAAAATTGCAAATGATAAATACTGTTTAAATTGGCTTATTGATAATAATGGAGTTGTATGTAAGACATGTAAATCTTAATCAAATTATTATCGATCGTCATCATTTTTCAATAAAAAATGTCAAATGTGCCCATATCCTTGTAGTATTTGTTAAGAAAGAACACAAGAAGAGATAAATCAGATAAATCCTTATTTTATTGTTAATGAACATACAATAAACTAAACATATTATTGTATTAAGAATTTTGACAATTAGCAAACTTATATACATTAAAAGTTAGGTTTGATTTAACCCTTAAATTAAAATGGAACAAGATATGTTAATTAAATTATAAAGAACTTTAAATAAAAGTAAGTCAAAACATCTTAAGCCTTTACATAATTGGAGATGTAATATTTTATTTAAAGAAATATTTATACATACTAAGCTCATTATTCATATTTAACTGATGAACCATTTATTAATCTTAGAAATTATATCTTTTCTTTATAAAATTAAAATCTACATTATGATGGATAAAATGATATTTATCATGAAAAAATGATTAAAATATTTAATTAATCTAAAGTAGTTATTGACAACCTTAATTTGTTTAATGAAAAAAATATTTTGAATATTACTTCAAAGTATGGTGTTGAAGTGTTTATTAAAAATTTATCTCTTGTATCACTTAAAAGTTAAAGATCTTTAATTGAACTAACTAATATTACTAATTTAACTATATCTAAAATTTAAATTAATGATTTAATCATTTAATAATAGCCTTTCATTTTCATTAACAATTTATATCAATAAAATTTCAAGATTACAAACCTTATATTTTATAATATCACTTTATTAAATTGCAAATTTATAAATAGCGGGTTTCTATTTATAAATAACTATCAAAGTTATATTGATAAATTTTTGATCCATAATTTAAGAATTATTAATTGCACTTTTGAAAATTCTTCCTTATTTACCTTCTCCTAACAATACAATTTTAATAAAATTCTAATTATGAACATACAAATATGCCAATCCAAATTTATTAAGTCAGAATTTCTTATAATGCCAATCAGCAAGTTTATTTATATAAATTAAATTACTTTCTAGAATTCTAACTTTACTTAAGGAATTTTTATATAATCCACTTCATCTACCATATTTTCAGAACTAACCTTTTAAAATGTGAATTTATTCAATAGTACACTTATTTATCTTAGAGGATATCTCAATGAAACAAATTTTGATCATTTATTAAAAAAAATACAAATTAAAAAAATTGAATTCTAGGGGCAAAGTCCATTTAAAATTATATATCGAAATGATTATTACGGTTAAATAACTATTGAAGATTTAATCTTAGAATAAGGAAATATCATTCAAGAAGATAGTTTATTTAATTTAAATACTTCAAGTTGTTTTTTTGATTTTTAAAGCTTATTTATATCAATCACAAACTTTAGAGGAGTAAATAATCTAAATTTTCAAATATTTTGCTTGATTAACTTTAACAATATTATTGTAAAGAATTGTGTTATCTAATAAGAATAATAAAATTTACTTAATTAAGAATCTAATAAACTCTTAACTAATAAAGGATTTTTATTTATAAAGGATTTTATTGAAATAAATTTATAAAATATTTAGATTAACAACTTATATATGGTTGATTCATCTTTAATTTATATATTATCCAAATACGATGCTACATTAAATTAAAGTATTATAGTAAATGTTTTTAATGTCACCAATAATGTACTTATAAAAACATAATTATCAACTGTTCCATCTCTTTTGTACATTTAATCAGAATATTATTGCAATGTTTAATTAACTAAGATCAATTATGAGCATAATATTATCACATATTAGATTGAGGATTCTTAAACTATTGCTCCTTCTCTAATTTTTATTTATGTAAAATAAAGTTAAATATCTTTAAAATCAGGTTAATTTAAAAAAAATTACATTATTAATTCAAGAAATTCTCATATTTATTTGAACTCTGAAACTATAACATTACAATCTTTAGTTGTATCTGATATAAATACAGTTGATTAGGATTTCTCAAATATATAAATCTCTTCAGAAGGAGGATTAGGGTAGGTGATAGGGTAATATATTTTAATTATTGATGTGATCTTTACAAATATGATGGCTCATTAAGGAGGCTGTTTATTAATGGTTTTACTTGAAAAAAGTAGAGTGTTAATTGAGAATGTTATTATTTAAAATTCTATAAGTTGGAATAATATGAGCATTAATTCTTTTGGTGGAAGTTTTTATATTGATGCAACAAATTCAGAGTTGGATCTGTAATTAAGAAATATCTCTGTAACACTATCAATTAGTAAAGATTGTGGGGGATTTATATATTTTATTCCTTCATAAATATCTAATAAATTAAAAATTATTGATTCAAACTTTATCAATACATTTTCATAAGAGTAAAGCTTGATTTCTTACCTTTGTGATTTCTTCTTAAGTAATAATACATTTGAGTTTAAAAATAATACTATAAAAATTGAAGAACATTTTTATGATAATTTTTTAGTAATGAACTTTTAGATTCCTAAATCAAGTGATAGTGGAATGATTGTTGTCTCAAATAGGTAAACTTAATTAATTATTTAAAAGCAAGATAAAAATTGATTCTGTTTCAATTACAGGTTCTTACTCAGTGACTATATTTAGTTTAACCTTTATCCATCATCTTAGTATAACAAATGTAAAAATAAATAAGGCCAAATAGTTTGGTTCTCCTTTTATATATATTAGCAATGAATAAAAATATTAATTAGATCAAAAGATTTAAAGCTAATTATTCTTAAGCTCAATAAATATAAATAATTGTTAAAATATGAATTAATAAATGTAAGGCTCATTCTTGGATATTATTCTTATTGCCTAAATAACATCAAAAATCAAATTGGAGAATTTCTAAATTATTCAAAATAATTGTTCTAATTGTTAAAAAGGTGTAATTAATATTTAATTCACAGAATATACTAAATCAATTAATATTGATTAATTATTATTCTATCAAAATAATTGTGGTTTTTAATCATGTCTATCTGCCACTCCTATAGGAACTTATAAGAGAACATAAATAAAAGTAGATCACGCACTATTTATTTAAAATAATGGGTCTATGAATGGAACACTTAATTTATAGGCATCTTAATTAAATTTATAACATATTAAATTTATTAATAATACAGCTTCTAATGGTGGAGGATATTATTCCCAATATTATTAAGAACTTGAAACAAAAGACATTTATTTCATTGAAAATAAGGCAGACATTGGAGGTGCCATTTATTTAAACAGTACAAAATTATAATCTTCAAGTTTTTCATAAATTTAATTTCTTGGCAACAAAGGCAAACTTGCAATAGATAATCTTTAAGAATTACCGATTTACATTATGTTATCAATTTTCTAAACAGATATTGAAACTATAACTGTAGGAGGGTAAGATCAACCAAATCTTAAAAAGTTTCTAAATGAAAGCTTTATCTATTTACCTAGCGGTTAAAAAATAGGATAATATCAATTATTTTCAAAAAAGGTAAATAATTATTAAAATTATAATATCCAATTAAAATTTTATTTAGTGAATAATTTAGAGGAAAGAATATTTTAATTTGATAATGAAACCAAAAGTTGTATAGTAAAATAAAAATAATTTATTGGAGAATAATAGTAAACTGTTAAATATAATGATTTAATAGTTGATTATGATTAGGAAGATCAATCATTCATTTTTGAAAACTTAACTATTATATTTGATCCTTATTCCTCGTAAGATAGTTATTTAAATTTATAAATGATTTGCCAAATTTAATCTAATGATATTATAGAATATTAATTGAATGTTAAGACATTTCCATGTTAAGTTGGAGAATATTATTATGAATCTTAATGTTTATTGTGCGAGTCTAGTAAAGGATATTACTCACTTTAACCAAAAGCATTTTATTGTTTAAAAATAGACCCAAAAATGATTTTAAAAAATACAAAAAATTAAATTGAATTATATCCAAGTTACTGGAGACCTTTTTCAAAAAGTTCTCTTATATCAATTTGTATCAGAAAGCCAGAAACTTGTTTAGGAGGTTGGGAAACTGGAGATGATTCATGTTAAGTAGGATCTATAGGAGGTTTGTGTGAAGAATGCGATATATATAATATAAGAGGATTTGGTTAATATTATCAAAACAATAATTTTAAATGCCAATATTGTTCGAATTTTATTGGGAAAACAGCTATTTCTATAGTAATAACAATTTTGTAATTTTTATATCTTAATCTTTATTTAGAACATTATTATCTACTTATTTAACTGTTAATAGTGCTTAATTGATCTTTATAAATTTTAAACGACTGAAATATACAACAGTTCATTATAAAATCATATTTAGATAAGGATAAGGTATTATATAAGAATGTATTATAGATCAATCTGCTGCTTTAATAAAAATGATAGTAAATTATTTTTAAATTTTGATTGGAATAAAATCATTTTAAATTGAGATGTATTCAAATATTATTGATTTTTTGAATCCTTTTAGTAATCCAGTTGGTAGTTCTCTTTATTCATATGATTGTTTTTATAGCTAATAATCAAATATACCAGTTATCTACATAAATTTAATAATTAATTTATTAGTACCAATATTTTATTACTTGCTTTTTATTACAATCTATTTGATTGTAATATTATTTAAAAAAGCTAAATTATCCATAACAATATATTTTACTGCAATACTCTATTTATTATTCTATACCTAACCTTAAATAATAAATGAATTAGGCAGTTTAGCAGCTTAAAGAAAGATTTCAGGAATTGCTTATATTAATAAAAATGTTTAATATTTGTATTCCACCTAAACTCATAATAATTGGATGGCATTTTTTATCATTCCATTGTTGATATTTGAAGGAGTTATTCTTCCACTTATTATTCTATTTAAATTAATAAAAATTAGAAAATAATTTAATTCAGATAGATTTCGAAAGATTTGGGGATATATTTTTAATGATTATTAAGAGTCAAGTTATTATTGGGAAATATTTAGAATATTTTAAAGATAAATAATTATCTTAACTTTGAACTTTAATGAAGAATAAATAATAACTAAAGGATGTATAATGTTTGTAATTCTATTATTTTATTTTTCTGCTGTTCTAATTTACAAACCATATAATGTTAAATCTTTAAATGGATTTGAATTAGATAGTATTTGTTTGTGTGAAATTATAATAGTAATTAGTTGCTTAAAATATTAAACTTAACTTAATTAGATTTAAACAATAGATACGTTATTGGAAATAATTTTTCTAATTTTTTTTATATATTTCGTATTAAAAGTAAGTATTAAACTACTTACTATATACTATTATAAATATAATGAAAGATTTGATAATATTAAACGTTTTTTATAATATTAATTCCCTAGGTTCACATAAAAAAAGTCAATTATATCAAGATTTTTGAATAGTAGAAAAAATGAAAGAAATAAAATATAATAGAGATTTTTATCAGCATATGCTAATTTAAAACTTTTGAAAAACAACTCTAGCAAGCTTTCACTATCAAACAACTAAATAAAATAGAGCATCATATAAAATGATCATACAATTTAACTTTCGTTTTAATTTACTAATAATAATGAAAAAAATGAAAATGGATTTGTAAAAACTGAATATTCATAATGCCAAGATATAGTTTTATGATAATTTAAATCAAATTAGTGATATTAAATTTATATATTTTAGTTCTTAATAAATATTTAATTCAATCATTAATTTCTGTCTTAATTCTCCTTTAATGTTAAATAGTTTTAAAGATAGTAGGTTTCAATTTAACATTAAATTTTTATGGAATTTATTTTTATTCTTCATTCGGAATCAATTTTATGATAATACTTTTAATTAAATTGATTGATTTTATTTAATCTGATTTTCTCATATTTATTGAATCTTATTCTGAAATTGTTGCTTCAAAAAATTATAATACAGCTTCCATCATATATTTTAAATGATTTAGTGTATCAAACAACTTTGTTTTTGTTTGAAGATATTATTACATACTAACTTTTGATTGCATAATCTCCGCAAATTGAGATTAATCTGCCTTTGTTTCTAAAACAAATGACATTTTTTCATAATTTTAACACATCTTATCATATTTTAAAAAGTTGCATTAAAAAATAGTATCCAATGTTTCTAACACATTCTTTTTAATATTCTGTTCTAATATTTCTATTTATTACAAAAATTGATCTTAAATAAGTTAATGAGTATTGTTAGTAATCATATCTTATTATTATATAATTTGAGCAATTTTTGAATTGCAATCTTGGATCTAAGATTGCAATTTAATATTATTTTGTTATTATATTTCAATATCCATTTTATTAGCTTTGCCAAGACATTAATAATCAATTTAACTAATAAGTAATTTAACTTATTTTAGTTATTTATCCAATTTATCTTATGCCAATTTTTATACATTAATCTCATCTTAAATTGGCTTTAAAATCAAATTGATATCTGAATGACTGACAGTATTTTCAATTTATTCTGCTAAAACTGCAATATCTAATTAATCTTACTATTAATTGAGCTCTAATTATATATTGAGTTTACTTACATTAAATAAGTATTTCTTAAATTTGTTCATCCACAATACTATATTTAATCAACTGAAGAATAACATTTTTAATATTTTGCATTAATTAAATTTATGGATCAAAACTTAGATTAATAGGATATAGATAGGACAGATTAAAGAGGTAATTTATAACATGACATAAATGATAAATGTAAAGAAATTGAACCTAAAGTTTACTCTCATTAATATGAGTTCATTCAATATTGGATGTTAATTAACAATTCCCTATTATTGCATTACACCGAAAATAGTAAAACCCTTAATTTTTGATCTCTCAAATATTAATTATCTTTAGATAAGCCTGAGAAGATATTTGATATGAATTAAATAAATAAAATAATAAAAAAATGAGATTAGTTTTGATATAAACTTATGCAATATTTATAGGATAAACATTTACACATGAAAATCTTAAGAATGTACAATCTACTGTATTTGACATGAAATGAAGGAAACTTTCAAAAATATTTACCTGATAAACTTAAGGAGTAGAATTTGAAATTCTTAACATTTTTGCATTTATGAAGGATAATATATGAAATAAGGTAAATATGTTTTTGTAATTCTAATATGTGAAAGAATATAAATTAAAAGAAGCTAATTTTTAAGTATATCTCTATCACCCTAGCAAAATTTCAATTTGTTTAAAGAAACTATATATAAATGTTTCTAATTTAGGATATTTGATTATTGAGAAAGCAGATTAATTGTTAGATAAAAACGAATAAAATTAATCAAGAATTGATACAACAAAATTAATTTCATTCATCTTAGGTTAGACTAATAATTAAAGTTAACTAATAATTTTAGTTAGTACTAGTTTCAATTCTATTGTAAATTCAATGAAGACTAAATTATGATCTTTTTTAACGAAAATACATTAGTGAATGATTTACTTACTTTATTAATGAAAAAAACTTAAATTATTGGATTGGAGAATGTAAAGGAAATAGAAATTTAAGAGATAGAAAAAGTGAGGAAAGAAATAAAGATGGAAAAAACGAAATTTTACTTTTTTACTGATGATTAATTATATAAGACTTCTATTTTTAGATATTTTTTACATTCAGTTAGAACAGGTAGAGCAAAGAATGAAGGTGTTAACATTCAATAAAAATAATTCTAAAGTATAACCAAAAGTAATTCTGCACAGATTTAGCAAAATGATTAAATTTAAAAAAAGAGTGATAAAATTTATTATAATTAAAATGTCAAATTTATCTCACAGCAGCTAGTCATCAAGAAGTTCATCTTAAAAGAGAAATAATAAAAGACCTTAAAGAGAGAAGAAGAAGAAAAACAATTCAGAAGATTTTGATAGTCCAATTGACGATGATGACTTATCATAATATGATGGTAATATGTATTCGTATTTTAGGCATGAGAATGAAGAATAAATAACAGCCCATTTTAGGACCCAATAGATTCAACAAAAGAGAAGCAAAACTAAGAAAACCAATCTCAACTTAAACTCCAGCTACTGCAACATTTTTATATAAACCTGGCTCTGAATTACCAAATCTATCAAACTATATTAATTCAATTATTGATATTAAAATAGCCTGTGAATATGTTAATAAAAATAATCCTGCACTTATATTACGTCAAATATGGGGTTCTAATGGAGCTTATGCAAGTCATAGTGATGCAGTTTGTATTGGCATCCATGCTGGATTATTAGCTTTAGGAGACTTGAAATTAACTAGTGCTTTTTATTAGGGAGTGAGTTTATCTTGTAAAGTTATTAAAGGAAAAAAATCATTAAATGGATAAATGAAAGTGCCTTTGTTATCTAGATCTTTGAAGACTCCTTGTGCTCATTGTTTAAAGCCAGAAAAAGTTACTTGGTTACCTTAATTAGGTTCTCCAGAATAATTGATTAGTTGGGCTAAGAAAATGTCTTTGCCTTAAAATAGAAGATTAACTAAGAGAAGTCATTCAACTGTATATTTACATGAACCTCCTTAAATTTCATATCCAGAAAATTTATTAGTTAATAATTTACCTCCATTAAATGAGGGTTGGATTGTATGGGATATGTGTAATGAGCCAAGTTAAAAATATAATTTACTTACTTTTATGGATAGATAAACAATTCAAGGATTACCTAATAGAACTTCATTTAAATTAAAAACCCATTGTTTATATATTGAAACACATAATAAAAAGTAATTTAATTCATTTTATGAAGATATGAAATTTCTATGGATCCTTCAAAAATTACAGAAGAAGTATTTCTAGATTCTAATGTATTCACAATATAAGAAGTGTTATATCCTTAATAATCAGATATTGAAATGCTATAAAAATTTGGTGTATGTTCTCATTTTAATTATTATAAGGTACCTTTGCCAAAAGAATAGAAGAATGTAATTTTTGAGAAATTAAAATGGGAGAGTTTCGAATGGGGTAATGAAAATGTGATTATTAATGGGTCTTTCGAAATACAAGTTTTAAAAAGCTTTAAGTTTGTGCCTATAACCAAGCATTAACATTACGAAAAATGAAAATAATCAAAATTAACAATTTAATATAAAAATGGGTTTAATTATCACTGAGACAATTCAGCATGTATTTATTGAAATTATTCAATTAATTATTTAATCTCTTTAATAGACCCATAAGACAACATATCTATCATTAATTTATTATCCTCTTCTGTCAATTGATTTATTATATCAAAATTTATTTAATCTGCTATTATAATTATTCTTTATTTTTCTATAATCATATACATTTATTGTTTTCATTTTTATTTGTCAATTCATCCAATTTTCCTTATATTATTTTAAGTAGTTATTATTATTTATTTAATTTAATTCATTAAATATTACAATCCTTCACAGATTGTTTATTATTAAAATAACATACTTAATCATTTAGACATTTTGAATAGATAAGTATGAATAACGAAATTATAAATATTTAATTTTAAAAATGAATGTTAATTTAATATGTCCTTAACATAAATAACATGTAACATAAGCTTGTCTTGATTTAGAATGCTAAGTATTCCCTTTTATGTGTTAAATATGTATGAGTGATTATTAAACTATTTCACAACATACCAAACATAATCAATTCCTAATCCCTTATCCATAATACATTACTTAGATGAGTAAGAGCATATAAAACAATATCAATGAAGCTCAATTATTTAATGATCTCTTTTAACAAGAATCTTAAGTCTTATAACAATTATTATCATCTGATGAGCATCTCAGTAATATTGAAGCATATATATAATCATTAAAGCATCAGATTGATTCTGATATCAAACTAGCATTAAATTAATTCATCAAGATATTTGATATGTAGAAAGTGGAGTTATTTGACAAATTAGATTCTTATCTTAAAATCTACAAAAGTAACTTTTTCATTCTCAAAGAACAAATTGAACCCATACATTTTCTATTGACTAAATGTAAATATTATATTAATGAGAATAACCTTAAAGTAACTTATGTACAATATCTAGTAAAAATTACATACTAAGCCAGATTTAGGATCGTAGGTCAAGATTTCAATCAAATAACTCTAATAAAAATAACCATAGATGTTGAAATTAAACTTTGAGATATTCAGAAAATCATAAGAAATGAAACCTAATACTTCTAGTTTAAATCAATTATTAAATGAAACCTAAAATTCAATCACTGAATATTTTAATAAAAATCTATCTATTCCAACATCAACTCTTTTAGAAATACCACCATCATATAATAATTAGACTCTTACACCTATCAAAAGTAAATCTTTAGAATTATCATATTCTGATAAACAAGTATCAATTGATAATAACAAAACTACAATTAAATCTATTGACTTTAAAGTACCCATGCAACCTATTTCTGTTATACCAAAATTTAATCTATAAATATTAGATTAAAGAATCTTATAAGAATAAAACTTAACAAAAGTAATTTATTTGAAAATTCAATATTTAGAATCATCTAAGTGCTAAATTCAGAATAAAGAAAAAGTTAAGTATAGAATTCCTTGTTTAAACAATGGCCTTAGTTAATTATTCTTACGTAGCTCTTGGATTAGTAGATGGAACAGTAAAATTGTTAGATATGAATACTAGTAAAGTTAGCTTTTATCCTAACACTTACATAAAACACTTAAAACCTATCAATTAATTGGTTGTACTAAAGTAAGATAAGGGAATTAGATTAGCATCATTGAGTGATGAAAATTATGCAATAATTTGGACTTTAGGTGAAAATTATGTACCTTATCCTGAAAGAAAATTGGTTGGTTTTAAGTAAAATTTAAATCATATAATGGATTTGGCTGACTCAGCTCATTTAATTTGTTAAAGTGATAATAATTTATATATAATAAATTATCATGATAATAGAATACTTCATGAGTTTGATTTTAAAAGTTAATTAGTAGAGTTTCTATATTTAAGTAAATATGAGAAATTTGCTACTATTTCATAAGGAAATATTGTGTCAATATATAGCTTAACATTAAGTAGTAGTATATAAAATGTTACTTAATTGGTTAATTGTGAATTAGAATCAATTTAACCAGCTATTCCTATTTCTAACATTAGTACATGTATTGGAGTAGATTTTCAAAATGAGATAATTATATGTTATGGATGTTGGAATGGGTAAGTTAAATTGTATAATGTTTTTAAGAACAGTTTACTTGGAGAATATTAAGTATTTTAGATTATAAATATAATAGGTATTTAATAATAGGATCAAAGAAATGATTGTTTTAAAATAAGAGAATTAATTTGTTTTGGTAGTTATTGCTGAAAATTCAAAATAAATAAAAGGGATTTTGTTTTAAAAAAATAAAGTACTTTAATTAGACAAATATGGAGAATTACTTGATTGTCCTAGTAAGAATGGAAAGAATATAATCTAGCAAACAGTTGTAAAAAATAAAAATGGAATCTACTTACTAAGTGAAACATAGAAAGATATTGGTTTATATGAATTATGCTGAAAATAATAATAATATAAAAATAATAATGCAAACTTAACATTTAGAAGAGATAGGAGTGAAAGATCCAATCAAGATAGGAGAAGGCTCATTTGGATAAGTATATAAAGGGAATTATAATGGATAGGAAGTGGCAGTTAAAGTAAAGATTGTATAGTGATAGTAACAGATAATTCAAAATTCATTTCTTTCTGAGATATCAATCCTAGGAAAAATAGATCATCCTAACATAATAAGATTACTAAAGGTAAAATAGTACTGAAATTAGGAATTCAAATTTGGGAACATGTCTTATTTAGTTATGGAGTATTGTTCAGGAGGAACACTCAAAGATTACATTTAAAAGAAGTTAACAGAAGACGAAATAATAGGAATTATGAGATCTTTATTATCAGCTGTAGAGTATTTGCATGCTCAAGGAATTATTCATAGAGACATCAAACCTGGTATCTAATTATGGATATTAATAAATAGATAATATTTTAATCAAAAATAAAAATGACTTATCTTCCATTAAATTAGCTGATTTTGGATTGAGTTTCTAATATGATGCTGAAATACAGTATTATTAAACAGTATCTCATTAATGTGGAACCTTCATTTACATGGCACCAGAATAAATACTTAATATGTCATATAACAAAACTGTAGATACTTGGTCTTGTGGAATTGTTCTTTATATGCTCTTACAAAAGAAACATCCTTATTATCCTAAATTTTCTACAAAGAATTAATTTATATAGAGTTTTCCAAATATTTAATATGATGAACCCAATAATGCGTCATCATTAACTAGAGATTTTTTGAGGCGTCTATTATGCTATGATCCTCATCGTCGTTATACAGCCTTATAAGCACTTTCACATCCATGGATCACACGACGTCATTAAGATAGTATTCCTATGGGTTTAAGAGAATTTGGTATTTGTAAACAATTACAAGAGAAGATGATATAGTAAATTAAAATGATTATGTTCTTTTAATACTTAATAAAGAATAGTGAATTAAATGAACATCGCAATCGATCAGAAAGCCATTAAGAAAGTTAAACCTATTCTGAAACTTCTATACATAAATAGATATAAAATAAAACTAAACTCTTAAGACCATTGGTTTTAAAGAGTCAAACTAAATTTGAATAGAAATAAGATGAAATCAAAGGAAAAATTAGATTCTCTTAATTAACAGCATTGTTAACTTAATAAAAAAGTGAAGAATAATTTTAATATTAATAACAGATACAATAATAAATAATAAATAAAATATCTTCATAACCAGCATTGGATTCTCCTAAAAAGAAATATCATGAAAAACATAAATTTAGTGTTGATTGTGGAAATGATCTTCAGATGATTTAGTTGGTATCATCAGTCTCTCCTATGAAAGGTGATTCGGAACATAGTAAAATTGAATCACCTAAAAAGTCATTTAGAAAATCTTAATCTTTTTAAAGATTGATACTGCCTCAACTTTCAGAATCTACATAAAGTTCTATAAGTCCTGATAAACTAGTAAAGAAAGAATCAAAAACCCTTGTAATGAGAAAATCATAATCCACTTTATAGATATGTTTAAGAAAGATTCAATAAGCTAATGAATTATCTGAACAAAAGACAACAATCAGATAGAGGATGGAAACTTATGATTAAAAAAATTATAGCCATCGAATTATGTAAAAAGCCAACTCTTTAAATTCATCTACGATATCTCCAAAAAATAAACTTATCCAATAAATTATTTAGTAGCAATAACAACTTATTCTTCCATAATATAGAAAAAGATTATGATAAAAATTGATTATAATTATTATGAATATAAATTAGATAATTATATATACTCTTATCATAACACACTCATCCTGTTAAATTTACTCAGATGAATACCTATATAATTGCACAACTATTTATAAAGAAAAAGATAAAGAATTAAAACTAAAATTATACCCTATAGATTGTTGGATTTTCATCATACTTTGTATTAAATGAATATATAATCAAAGCACCCATTACATTTTTTGGATCCTCTAGAATAGTATATCAATTCTTAAAAAATACAAAACTATTTGGAGTTCCTGGAGACAGTGTTTTTATTATCACTATAACTAATGGGATTGAAAGTGTTGTCTACTTTTTAACAGCCAATTATGTGTTAACATATAATAAAGCTCCATTATAGAATGCATTTTAAAAGGTAAATCAAAAAATAAAATAGATTACAGGATTAGCTACTTTAATTGTTTTTGTGATTTCAAATCTTAATATATTTGTTTATGCTGCTTATCCTTTGGCTTTAATTTACAATGCACTTGAATCAACTGCTAAAATTTTAAGAATTTTCAATTATTCACTTCTATTATCTTGATTGTTATAATAGGGAATATTTTACAGAATCAAATAGTGTCCACTACATTAAATGGGTACATAAATTATATATTAGAATATGTGCAATATCGGCAACAGATGATGTAAGATGGGATATCATAATCTCTATCACCTACTTATTTGTTTTCCTTTTGTTTGCAACCATGTCTGTTATTTATGTTATAACATTTAAAAAATTGATTCCTAAGTTCTCTACAATGAGACAAGCTAGAGGCTAATATCTAAGATATTACTGATTCATAGGTTTCAGTCTAATTATGAAATTATTACTTGGAATCTTTAGTGCAATAAATTTGTTGAATTGTTACATATTTCTTAAAGCATGGTTAGAAGTTTCAGGAGCCTTACAAAATATTACTCAATCGCTTTGTATACTTGGATAGACTATTATAATTTTAATGATCCATCACTCAATTTATTGTCTCATTCTTAAACAACAGATAACACCTCTATTAATGATACCTAAGAAATCTCTTTATAATGTAACATTCATTTATAAATATAGAATTCAATGTTCTTGAATAATTACACAAAGAAATGAAGAAAACTCAAGTAACTTCTATGTTGGCTGGAGTTTAAATACTTAGAAGAATTAAATAAGAAGATGTGATCTAATATAAGGATTTAATTATAAATGAAGATTAAGATGGGAGTGGAAGTAATTCAAGTTAAGGAGACTTAAGCGAATTAATGGAAGTCTGTTCTTAACCATTTACACCTGAAGAAATTGAAGAATGCTTAGTCACTAATTTAAATAATGAATTCTTAAAAGAGAAATTGAATTTAAATTAGGAAATTTAAGTTTTCTCTATGTGATGTATACTTTATGCACCTAATATTTTCAATTATTTCATTACAATAGATGATTGCTTTGATTTAATCAAAAATTCTTTTAAAATTGATCAATTTACTGGACCAGATGGAGGGAAAAGTGGAGAATTCTTCTTTTTCTCTTATAATAACTAATTAATCATAAAAACTATGAGATAAAATGAAGTGAATACTTATAAAAAGAGATTATATAATTTTGCTTCATATCAAGTTAACAATCCTTTGTCTTTATTAAATAAAATTTATGGGATGTATACTTTCGAAAGAAAAGAACAATCTAATTCAAAAGTCCATTTTCTCATTATGAAAAATATCTCATTAGGCATCCCAAGAAGTTAAATTCTGAGAACATATGATATCAAAGGATCTGAATATGATAGAGAAGTACTAAGTAAGAAACCTTCTAGTAATCTTTCATAAATGACACTAAAAGATCTTGATTTTTTTAAAATAGAACAATAGTTATGGATTGATGAATCAATTAATAAAAGTATTATTTATCATTTATTTGTAGAACTAAATTAATCTCTTAGTAATGATTTGATATTTTTAGAAAAATAAAAATTGATTGATTACTCACTTCTTGTAATGATTATTGATTGGAATTAAAAAGAAGAAGAATTATAAAAGTATTTAGATGGTCAAAAACTGAACATTATTCCTTCTATCAAAGAAAAAGGTGTATTACTTAATTTCATTTAGATATATTATCATCTTGCCATAATTGATTTCCTACAATAATGGAATGTCAATAAATCATTAGAAAGAAAAACAAAAAAAGATTATCACTATGAATATGTAACTTGATACTTCAGCATAAGAACCAGATATCTATGGAAAACGATTTAAAGAGAAATTAATTAATAGAATAATTCCTTTAAATGAAATTGTTATGATTAAATTTATTTTCATCCATTATTCTTTATTAATTATTAAATCTAAAAATCATAATATAGATCAGACTTTAAATTGTTTTTAATATCAAAAAATATGTATGAATTTATTTAATTTTAAATATATAGGATTTTTAAATACATATCTTTAAAGTTTATCAAAATTAAGAATTTTATTCGATACTTTCTTAAATTGATTGAATAATTTTATTAAATTTTATAATCAATAAAAAAAGTATATTTATTTAATTTCAATTATTTCATCTGTTGATGATAATTCTCCATCAGATTCTTATGTATCAGGATGAGTATCACTAGAATCACCAATAGATTATTAAGTTTTGACTAATTGTTTCTGAACATCAGGAATTTATTCTTGTTCAGATTCTGGAATTGTAACTAAAGATGTAATCTTAAAATTATCTTCAAATTATTGTAAAGACTGAGATTAACATTATGATTAATTTTTCACTCCAGCAATTATTGATGTCTAAAATTAGTTTTGTTAAATACCCAATCATATTCAATATTTTTATATCCTTTAAATACTCCTTTCAAATATTCATAATTTATTGGAATTTCATTTGGATCTAATTTTAAACATAATTTACTTAAAAATTTAATTCTATTAGCAAATTCTAAAAAACATATAGGATAATTTTTCAAAATTTTTTCTGGTAAAAAAGAATTTTTAAGATCAAAATAATATTTTAATTTATCTACTTTATTTCTAAATGATTTTGATTCATTAAAGAATTCACCTTTTGTTAATAATTCAATCACCATATAGAGAAGACACTCAAGATCATCTTTTGGATGTAATTCTTATTTTATATAGTAAAAAATTACATAACCCAAGATGTTATCCTATACTTGAATATTTACAGAGTTTATATGAATTTTAGGATATTTTTTAATTAGTTTTATATAAGCTTGATTACTAAAAATTAGTGAGAAGCAGATTTTTTTAGTTATCTAAACATGTTAATAAGCTTGCCAAATTAAGGTTTTAATGTAAAAAGTTTGCTGAATGTATTAATTATAATGCATCTATCTAAAATTTATTAAATTAATACGCTTTTCAAAATTATCAAAATAATGCATTCATAAGTGAAATGACATTTAAAAAAACTAAACCAAAACTTGATACTGGGTCCAGTTTTATTTAGAACCTAATATCTATATTAATTTATAAATATCCCATGATCATGTAACTTGAGAAGACAATCTTAAAAATTTGTGATTAATTTATTAATATGCTTTCCATCATCTTAGGTTTTAGTTTAGAACTAATGTAAATTGTTAAAATATTCAAGTATTTTAGTACTATTATCAGGTTTGGAGAGAATAGTCATTCTAATAACACATGCTGATTATTTATTCAGATTGATGGCTTTTTTATTTGAAAAATACCTTCAAAGATTGTAGAACTTTTGCCTTAATAGATTACATTTAATAGCAAGTATTTATTATCAATAATAACAGGGGATTCTTTATTATTTTATTAAAAGAATGGCATTTTCTTAAAATAATGTGTTATGTAATACCCTTAAAGAATCAGATGATTTTGAATGAACCTTCTCTGTGGACACTTGAGGTTAATTGTCAATCTTATTTTTAGTATGTGTATGTATCATATAAGTTTGAATATTTTTGTATAATTAATAATTTAGCACTGATAATAGATTGGGGGGGAATAATTAATTATTTTTAGTAATTTAATAAAATAATTATAAGTAAAAAATGGCAATTATAATAATAAGACAAATCATAAAGGTTTCTTTTCATATTCTTTTTTAGAGAAAATTATTAAAATCATTTGGACAATTATGATATTCATTAAATTAGAGATCATCTTAGAATTATTGATCATAAGGATTTAAGCTTTTTAATAATATATTTTTAGATTCTGCTGCAGTAGAATTTACTGTTTTGTTTTTAGCAGATTCAAATTTACTTATTTTTTCTTATTTTATAGATTGTTCAATGGAGTTTTTTCGTGATATATTTAGAGATTTATAATAAATTGAATCGACCAAACTGTATTTTGACAAGCCATCTAAACCTTAAGAATCAAAATTCTCTCTAAAAAAATCTTAATCTAAACATTCTTTTAGAGTAAACCGTTATTTTGGTTAGATTCTTGTCATTTAAATTAAGAGATTCTTTAGAGATTGTGGAACCTTTATTTTGTCATTGAATGTAAGGGTTCCAATATTAGAATTTCTAAAGGGATGTACACCAAAGAATCTAAATAATAATAAAAAATAAAGATACATTTCATAAATGATTATTCCTAAACTATAAACATCACATTATGTTGTATACATTTTTTATTTTTCTTTATATTCTTATACTTCTGGTGCTGCATAACCATGAGTACCACAATTATAGAGTACATGTTCCTAATATTTTAAGTTTGTTGCAAATCCAAAATCAATAATAGCAATATCTGTACTTTTCGGATCCTTATCTTTATACATAATATTTTGAGGTTTCAAATCTCGATGCATAATTTATTAAGAGTGAACATAATTCATTGTTTCTACTATGTCTTTAACCAATTATTATTTATGAGACAGACTAAAATTTTGAAGCTTTTCATATAAATGGCCACCTTCATAATAAGTCATTATTAACTCTATGTAATCTTTTTTAGTTATAATTAATAAAGATACTATCGGATTCAAACACTTCATATAATTTTGGAATATTTGGATAATCTAGACTTCTCATTATAAAGATTTCTTCTGCAAGACTTTTAGCTTGTTTATCTCTCATTTTATGTCCAAATGGTGCTTTAGCTACTTTTTTTATTGCAAATTTTTAATTTTGTTAATTGCTTCCAAGAAAGACCTAATAAAATAATTAAAATAATACACCTCACAAGTTATTCCCTCTCCTATTTTTTCATTGATTTTGTAAAAATTTATGAGCATCTATTCTTATATGCAATTTAGTTTCAATTCATTTATAAAGTTTTCAACTTCTTCTATTCTATTCCCAGTAAAAAGCTATAATTGAGATTGATCATGAGATAATGTGATTACTAATAAGCTTTCTTTATTTCTAAATTAACAATATACATTTTTTAGAACTAGAAAGCCACCGATCTCACCATTCTTTAATAAATAACTAATAAAATATAAATCACTTACCTCTCGAAAATAAAATAGATGTTAATTATAAATCTTATATCTTCTTGCAGTTGTTCTCTTAAATAATTATCCTTATTTAAATAAAACTACTGTTTATTGATCTTCGGACAATTTATGAAAATCATAATTAACCAAAGACTTCAAGTTTTTGTTCCAAAAAGGTTGTCTTTCAGATGATACAAAATATAAAGAGCTCTTCATTAATATTTTATAAAAAAAATCATATTCAATTTTCTTGATATCCTAACTAATAAATTAAACTAATGTACTGCCAATTACATAAAATCAAATATATTATTGATATTCCTAAGAATAATATGCTTATTCTATAAATATAATACTTTATAATATTGATTATCCATAATCATTTCAATACCAAGTATAATTACTTATAAATTTATTAAATAATTAAAATAGTGTGAAAATATTCAAACCCTCATAGGCTGAATTAAAATAAATAGGTTTTTATTATTTATTTTTGCCCAACTAATTATTTTTACTATTTAAATACATTTATTTCCAAACATATATACTGCATTATCATAATATTTATTTATCATTATGTAAAATACATAATACATAATTAATCTTAACTTAAATTTATATATTAAACTAAAGATGATCTTTTGATTTTCTAATAATAATAAGTATAATTAAAAAAATAATAGAAGTTTGGAAATGGCTAAAGCTGTAAATAGAAGTTCATAAGGACAATTTTGAAAGTAAACTTATAACTTAAAAAGAAAAGAAGTAAATTTCTTGGTTAAATTGAAGTCCTTTTTATTTTTTAAATAAATTATATAAATGCTTAAATACATAATTTATAGATGAAAATAATTAAGTCTGCTAATAATAAAATCCTCAATTCATAAAATAATAAATTTTTATAAAGTATAAATAAAAACTCAAAAATATCAAACAAATGTAATTATTTTTATAACTAATAAAAATTTTATAGCCTTATTTTTACAATAATGCTGATAAATAAATTCATTAAAAACATGAATAAATACAATATACAAAATCAAAAGAACATAATAGAAAAAAATAATTTTGTCATTAAGTCAAAAAACATATCGATATTTTAAGTGTTATTTTCTGATAGCAAAGTTTATTTTGGTTAATCTAAAGAAGTTGTCTTTTGTTTTTTTATCTTAAAAGCCTAAATAAGCAAAGTTTAGTAATCTTTATGAGATTTCATTTTTTCATCATTATTCGAAATTAAGAAACCATATTTATCCATAAAATGTAGCTAAGTTAATTTAAACATATAGGAAATATTATTCATTTATGGATTAAAAATAAATTATATATGAAACCCAGAATCCATTTTAGAGAGTTAAATTAGAATTATTAATGATTTTTATAATTTATTTATATATTACTAAAGTTAATTTAATAATATAAAATGGAAATAAATTTCATTTAAATTATCAGGTAAATATTTATTAATATTATAAGAGTCATTAAATTCGATTAATAATATGTAGTATTCTTAACTAAACCAAAGTTATTAACTTAATTAAAAAATAATAAGTTTATGAATTTTATATAAAATTTAATTATGAAAATTATTGTGCAATAGAATGAATTTTAATAAGAATATTTATAATTAAACTTTTGATTTTGCTTTTATTTATTAAAATTTATAATGGAAATTTGTGAATTATTTAAGGAAACTGTAAGATATTTTTTTATTAAAGCTTTAAGAAGAGAATGATAATAAGAGATAAGCAATGATGCTCAATGTTTGTCGAAAACTCAGTAGAATACTTCCTTTTCCTTCTGTAGTCACAATTTTATAATAAAAACCAAACATTTTAAAATATCTACTGATAGCCAGCTAATTGAATGAAAATTGTGTATTAACTATAAATATCAATAATTTTGTAGGCTTTAATGATGTTTTAAGCATTATAAGAGAGATACTACGATGAAAAGTTATATGTGAAACTCTATTTTGAATGTGTGATAAAATGTTTAATAAATTAGGAGAGTAATTTATAAAGTATGATCTTTGCTAGTTTATAGTTAAATTGTAATAAAGAATGAGGAAAAATTAAGATTATTTTTATATGAGAATTCTAAATACTTAATTAATAAAATATAAGAGTGTTTCATGAATGAAGAAAGTGTTTGTGTAATGATAAATAACTTTTTTAAAAGTTATATAAAATACAATGCAAATTTTGAAATACTTAATTAATGCTTCTTATTTGCCTTAGAAAAGAGGAATACTTGGAAATTACTTAGAGAAGTAGATTAACAATTTGAAATTGATATTGAAAATTGTAATTAATTATAGTTATTTTTGTAGAACTAATAATATTAGGTTAAGTAATGAGTTCAAAAAATCTAGATTTCTAGATATAAAATGGTCATTAATAAAATAGAAAACTCACATATTGTGGATTAAATAAAACATAGATAAAATAATAAATGCTTGAAGAATGGTTATTTTAACCAAGTGAAGTTCCATTGCTTGTAGCTAATTAACCAACCTTAGACTAAATTTCAAGTGATGTTTTTAAATCAAATAAATTACTTGAAATGTTCTTATCATTTATTTTACTTCCAACTAAGTATTCCTAAATAGTAGAAAATGTAAGAATATATTGATTATTAGAAATTATCTAATATTTATGTAGATCTAAAATGTTCTGATCCTCCATCTTTTAGATAATTAAATGTAAATGTTTCCTAAGAGAATAGGCCAATCATTTAATTTAGAGCATTTCGAACAATGCAAGCATTAACTGATAATAGAAATAATTTTCTATTAACTAAAGTTAATTAAAGTTATTATCAAAGAGTATACTAAATGATTCATGAATGTCTTAAATAAGATTTAGTAGCCATAATAATATGTCCAGAAATCATTGTACAATATCTAACATTCCTACTTTATTTTGAGCCTGAGATATCTACTTTTTATTTAATATCTTATCATTTACCTTTTAGATTGATGTTATTTCTAGATATTCCTGAAATATCTCAATATTTTACATAAATAATGAGTTTTATTTAGACTCCTTATCATAAATTCAGTCATAAATAATCAAAATTGTTATGGAAGTATTTTGAATTAACCAATTTTTTCTAAGATTTATTAGATACAACTATATTTGAATAGAAAGTGATAGATAACATAATTACCTTAAAATCAACTGAATAGTTTAGACCATCGAAGATAGAAGAACTTTTGTAATAACCTAACTTTTCACCTCTAGAAATTGAAAAATAAATTACTTTACCAGAACATAAAAAAGTGATTGAAGAAATTGATGACATTAATATAGATTTTGATCTTATTTTTTAATATCTTCCTAGTAAATGCTAAAAAACTACAAAGCTATTTGAAAGAATGCTTTAATAAGCTACTAAAAAAGTAAATACAAAAACTGAATAAAGAATGATTATGACTACTTATATGCCTAAATCAATCTAAACTGTTAAAAACGGAAAAAATGAAGAAATAGATCCAATTACATTTAGTCCAACCAGAAGAAAAACAATAATTGCTCCTAAATTAATTAAACTATTTGATAATAATTCAAGATATTCAGTTTAAAGAAGTAATCAAGAATATGATACATAACACATTTCATCTAATAATACATCAAGAAGTCAATTATAAGCTCTTACTAATCCCAACAATTTATTTGGTGTTATTACTGAGTCTATTTAAATATAAACTAAAGAATTATAATAAGATATTAAATAAAAGCCAATGTATTAGAGAATTCTTGTAAAAAGACCAACACAAATGATAATGCTTTATAGTTAATAAAAATAATAGAGTATGAAGAGATTAAGTTAATAATCTTCTTTTGTTAATATTACTGATTCAATAAATAAATCAAAACTATAAAATTCAATAATTTTAAATAAATTTAATCACCTAGTTGGAACAATCAAACCAATTGACTCAGAGAGAGACTTTATTATCTATCCACCTGAACTTAAAGATTAATAAATCACTGATTTCGAAAAATTAGCTTTTGATGATGAATTTTAACAATTATGTTTAAGAAATGAAAACTATACTAAAGGTGTTTTGTAATGCATTTATGATATATTATTAATGATATTTACACCAAAGAAATTCATATTATCTAATAATTTGTCTAATGAAAATTAAGAATATTATCTTAATATCATATTTGGAGATAATAAATACAAATTTATATAAATAATAACTAAAAATTATTTATTAAAATAAAAATATGGAGAAGAATATCAATCTACATTCTTAATAGCAGGTAGAATTTATAATCTTATGCTACAGAATAATATGGATAAAATTATATATTATAATTTTTAAGATCATTTGATATTAATTGTAAAAATACTAGTAACTTAACTTTTATCATAATAATTATCAATACGAATTATAATTCTATTAGAAAGTCTTACCTTAATCCTAGAAAAAACAAAGTAAAACTTATTATAATATATATCAATATCTTTCTGGCATTTATTAGTTGAAGCATGTTCTATTCATTATGAAAATTCATTATTCATGAATTATTTTACAAGAATTCTTACAATTAGTTTTATATATGGAAATTTGATTATTTTTAAAAGACTGTTATTGAAAATCAACTTTTTATCTTATTTTAAAGATCATCCTTGTATAATAAAATCGTTATTTTTGATATTATTTCTAATTTTTAAATTGAAATAAGATGAAATAAAATCAATCAAATGTTAGATTTCATTAATGTCTTCTTGGAACCATTTCCTGACTTACTTTAAATGGTATTTTTTTCATGTTATTTTAGTGAAATTAAATTATTGGAATCATAATAATACAAAAGCATTCTTAAATTCCTTAAACAAGATGATTTTCTTTATATTGAATCATTATTTCAGAGTAGAGATAATAAGAAAAATAATTTGTTAATTCATTGATTATATACAAACACTTTTATATCATTAAGTATCTAAACATCATATAATTTGATTTTTATTGTTTTTATACTTTATTGAAATATTAACATTTATTTAAACTAACTTATTCAATCAATTTTTGTTAAATTATTATATTAAGATTTATTAATTTATAATAATAACAATATACCTTTATAATTATGAAATTGTTTTTTTACTATTTATAATTAAAATAAATAAATAGAAGTTTTTTTTTATACTATTTATTTAATAAATATGGAATAAAATAAGAAAATTAGAAAAACTAATTAATATAAAATTTGATGCTAGTTGCAACATATTTTATTAATCAATAATTTACATATAAAATGATAGAAGTGTCGAATTTTTGGAAGAATTTTAATGGGCATTTTTTGACATTAAATTGCATTCCCTTCTATTCTTTATATCATATTATAATTGGATTTGAACTTCTTATCATAACAATTTTTGTTTTTATATATTTATGTGCCTCTCATTTGACTTAACCAAACATGGGGGATAAGAAAAAAGAAGAAAAGAAAGTTTGAAGAAATATTGGCAGATGAAATGAAAATATAATTAAATAATTAATCAATAAGATATTTATGAATAAAGATGTAATCATTTTTAAATAATTTTGAGTTTTTTCTTTATTATTTATAGTTTGATTAGAAGTTTAGATGTTTTATTTTATTCTATTATAAAAATTAAAATATTTAATGGTTTATATTAACTATTAACTATTAACTTGTTAATTTTTAATTTTGTTCCTAATAAATTCTAGGATTATACAATAAAAATTAGAATTCATATATGGTTGGTTAACTTATTAATTCAAATAGTATTTATTTTTTTATTTATCTCCAATACACATTATTTTATATTAAAATAAGAGTAGATAAATTTAATAAAACCTTAGTGTTAAAATATGTAAAAATTTCTGTAAATCTGATAGAAACATATATATTAGTTAATTAATTTATAAAATTGATTTTATATTTTTGAGTATTATTTAATTAAAAATTAATATAAAAATTAGAAGATCGTAAACTTAGGTCATCTTTTTATAAGAAATTCAGCATATAGAAGAATATCAATATCATAAATTATAAATAATAGACACTCCAAAAAATAAGAGTAAAAATAAAGAAAGATAATCTATACAATAAATATAGTTTTAATAATACATATCAACTTTTATAGAGATAAGATATTAAATATAAGGATACAAAACAAAATTTATCTTATAAGTATTCCAAGATCAAATAATGAACTAAATAGCAAAATCTTAAAAGGTCATGGTGACTCAATTAAATCTAATATTAATTAAAGTAAAATGTAAGAATAACTTTGCTATAAAATATCAAAGACAAAAAAATAACCCTTAATTGATAATAATCCTATTAAACTTCAATGGAATAAGAACTTGAATAGTTTTGTCTTTGCAAGTGTAGATAGATTAAATTTCTTAAAAAATAAATAATATCAATTTGTTTCTTTATATTAAAAAATGCATAACATTTAAATGAATAGCATAAGATAAGTAAAACATTTTAAATTTTGTTTATAATATTATTTTATTATGAATTTTTCATTGTTATTAATCTAATTTTCCATTTTATTACTAATAATTATTAATGTAAAAGTTTATATTTATTAGATTTGAAAATTATAAAATTATAACATCAAATAGCTGACCTACAAGTCGGACATGTTTAATTTACTACAATCCATTCAGTTAAACATTATTTATGGAACATATGCAAGGAATGACATTTTAATATATAGTATTCTTCATGGATTTCAAAATTATGTAAACAAATGTTACATTAAATTTATGATAATTAAGAGAGTGAATCCTACTCTACTATTTAGATTTCATATTTGTTTAAAGGTGAAAATTATTCATATTCTAATTCTTGAAGATTAGCTATTTACACGTAGATCTAATTATATAATCTTTTTGAAATAATAGTTACTATGGTCAATATTGTCCCTATAAATATAACCAAGATTCTTGCTGTGGTCAAAAATTGCAAAGAAAACCCAATTATTAAAGCTGTTATATATAATTTTAATACGTTATTCTTAAATTGAACTTTTGAATTTTGATTATGCCAAAATAATCAATACTAATAAACAAAGTTATAAGAAAATAGTTAGAATATTTAGATAAAAGCAAAAACAATGAGATTTTTGCAATATCTATTTTATTTCATAATCAGGTCTTTATTCTATATCATATTAAAACCATAGCAATCCTTCTAAATACTCAATTTCATTTTAATGAAAAAGTTTTAAATAATATAGAGAAGGTATTAAGGAAATTACATTAATTGATATTGATATAATGCTAATGTAGAATAAAGGGTGGCTTCTTTAGGTTAAACAAAGAGAGATTACACATAGAATGAGTTCTACCATTTAATATATAGCAAGCACAAATATTAAGTGATAAACAAATCGAAGTTGATTTTGCTATTAAGAATATTAGACATAGCTTCTTAAACTTTATTCTAATGCCTTTTAAAATTATATTTATCTGGCTTAATGTAAATTGTCTTATTATTGATCCGACACCAATTCTTGATGATGATTCTCATTATTAGTTAAATTTGTTGACATTTATATTATTGTTATTAAATAAATAAGTAAAATAAATATATTAAGGTTAAATACTAAAATAGAAAAACTTATATAAGTATTTTATGATTGATTTTAATAATTATATATAATTGTCGTTACCTATAATCCATAAAATAGAAGAATGAATCAATTTAAAACAATTAAAATGAATCTACTATTCTAAACTATTACTTAATGTTATTTAAACATAATATTAACTTTTATTTATAATTCATCAGAATGTTGATAACATTAAATGAAAATGACACATTGTTTAAAGTCTAATTTATTTTAAATTAACAAACTAAATATGATCATAAAATACTTTAGATTGAAAATGTCTTAGTTTATTCTAATTAAGTGATTTAAGTTAAATGAGATTTTTTTATTAGATAAGAAATATAGTAATGTCCAAAAACGAAATTGATAATAATTTAGAATAATATTATAATCTTTATTGATTTTTCTCATATTCTTAAGAAAAAAAAATGAAAATTTAATTATAACAAATCACTAACGGAATTTATAATCATATTATTCATTAATGATCAATCTTAGATGATTTTTGATATATAAATACTAGATTTGAATTATGTAATGAAATTAGAAAAATAATTGATTTATTTAATCTGATGACTTCATTAGAACAGGTCCGATAATTATCCACAATTAATCAAATTTAAATAGCAGGGTTGATCTTTGGATCAGAATAAAGAGCTAAGTATATTTAATAGTTAATAAAAGAGAAGTGAAACAATTTTTAGTTGACTGTGAAAAAATACCAGAAGTCTAAACAAATGCTGACTTTTATAATTGGAGTAGGAAAAAACAATTCTTATCAAAAGATAAATAGGGGTTTAGTTTCATGAAGATGATTAATAATTAAGTAATGAGATTAGAATAATAAATAATCTTAGGTTGATGATATGGAATAATACACAGGACCTATGATATATAGTGCTACAACGAATCATTATGGAGTCTATTTAGCAATGGTTGTGCCAGCATTGAAGATTTTAGGAACTTAAGAATAAATAAATGCGTATCAATCTATATAATAATTAGTTGGTTAGATGATTTAATTCAAATTCGTAAAGCTGCTTGTTATGCATAAACTGAATTAGGTCATGGATCAGATATTTAAAGTTTATAAACTACTGCTACATATGATAAGCAGACTTAAGAATTTGTAATAAATACTCCTACCATTTAAGCAGCAAAATGTATTCAATTTAAATAAAATTAGTTTGGCCAGGAGATCTAGGTATTCTAGCTAATTGGGCATTAGTTTTTGCTTAATTAATAGTAGATGGAACAAATTATGGAGTCTAATCATTTATGGTTTAAATTCGAGATGAACAAACTCATAAGCCTTTAAAAGGAATAGAAGTTGGAGATATTGGACCCAAGATGGGATATTAAGTTAAAGACAATGGATTCTTAAAATTTGATAATGTTAGAATTCCTAAGTTTAATATGTTGGCTAAATATATTTCAATCTCTCCATAAGGAAAGGTAATGAAGGAGGGAGATCCAAAAATATCATATGCTTCAATGATGATGATGAGGAAATTGTTAAACACTGTTTATCCAAAAGCAGCTGCAATTTCATTAACTATTGCTTTAAGATACTCTTATACAAGATAGCAATTCACAAATGATAAAGGAGTTGAGAATTCTGTTATTGAATATTAAACTCAATAACATAAATTATTGCCATTATTAGCCAATTTATTTGCAGTTGTTTTGTCAGGAAATGTTACTTCTAAATTTGTAGATTTGAATTTTACTGAAGTTTAGAAAGGCAATTTCTCACATATGAATGCATGTCATTCATTACTTTGTGGAACAAAAGCTAATTATACTCATTTTGTAGTAAATTGTGCTGAATGGTGTAGATTATCTTGTGGAGGACATGGTTATGCTCATTATTCAGGATTGCCTAGTATTTATTAAGAACATAGTCCAAATGTAACATTAGAAGGAGAGAATCAAATTATGTTTCTGTAATTGGCTCGTTGTTTATTGAAACTATTAAAAACTTCATAAAAAAACCCTGAAAAAATCCCTGAATAATTTTCATTATTTAAAAGAGTAAATAATTATTCATATTTTATTTAGATTAATGAAATCCTATCATTTAAATGTGATCAATTCTAAACATCAAATATCTTATCACTCTTGGAATCATCAGTGATTCATCTTATTACTTAGACTGGGATGAAAATGATGTAAGAAATATAAGGAGGTTTGAATCCTAAAGCTGCTTGGGATTATAAATTAGGTAAAATCTATAAATATTATAATAGGCACCTCACTTTGGGAATCAGCCAATTATTTTATAGAGTACTATAAATTTGTTTGTTTCTAGAACACAATTTTATAAGTTACTCATAAATAAACTTAAGTTGTATTAACAAATTTATTAAATCTATTTGGTGTCACAATTCTTTTATAAAATCCTTTAGCCCTTTTAGAAAATGATGTTATTACATAATAAACAATGAAATAAATAAGGGATGAATATGAAAATTTATTAAATTTAATTAAACCTGAAGTAAAAATATATAATATTTCAAGGCACTCTCATTAGTAGAGTCATTCTGCTTAGCAGATGGAGGTCTTAGAACAACCATTGGAAGAGCCGATGGTAAGCCATATGAATATACATATGATTGGGCTGTTAATGAGAATTCATTAAATAAAATTGATTTTTCAAATACAGTTAATCAATTAAAGAATTGTAGACCCAAATTATGATTTAACATAAATAATAAATAAAATCTAATCAAATATATGCATTTCCACTTATATTTTCCAATATTATTTCCAAAAATCGTTTTAAATCATCTAAAACTTCAGTATTTTGTTTATATAATTTCTCATATTTTTGCTTTTTTTCTAATCCAACTACAATTGCTTAACTTAAGTCTATTTAATCATCTTATTCAAATTTCAATTCCATAGTTTATTAATTTTAAATGATCCTTTTTTAAATGACTTTTATTTTATTTGTTGATTTAATTTCAGGTAAATCACAAAATGTACTAATAAAGAGTATTTACAATAAACTAAATATATGTAAAAATATTTATCTACATTAAGTTTAATGTTGTTAATTAAAATACTTTTATTTTTAATCTTAATTAATAATTTCTGGAATTATTACTGAGAATAGAATAAATTCACTTGTAATCATTTGAATCTCCTTTTCAGATAAGGAAAATACATTCCCATTTAAATATGTTGTTCTTTTAACTATATATAATGATGCAGTCTTATTCTAATAAGAATATAATTGAAGTGTCATCATGAAACACAAAAAATCAGGCATAGAATCTTATCTTGTATGCTATTCAACATTTTTGAAAAATAATATCAGAAAATATATTAACCATTTTTTTTAAATATCTTAATTTTCTACTTAATTTGGATTAAAATTTTGAGAGAATACCTTTTTCATCTCTTCTCCAATCATTCCTTGATAGATCCGAAGAGTTATTTTACTGACCCAATTTTTGATGATGTCTTATGATTAGACTTAAGTATATTTCTTAATCTCTTTAAATAGTAGTTTAGCTTTTTTATTTTATTCCTATTATTGTTTTTCCTTCTCTTTTCGTTTCTTTCTTATTTTATTATTGTTAAATACCTAATATTTTCTGACCATCTTATAACAATTAATATAACAAGATGACATCTTAAAAATTTCTTCCATAAATTTTACAATTTCTTTTCCTTTTCTTCTTCAATTCTTTGCCTTTCCTTCATTTTTTAGACTTCAGCTGCTACTTCCTCAGGTGACAAGACTTTCTTATTTTAATAATATTTCACTTTATAAACTTTTGGTGTTTCTTCTTTTGCTTAATTAGCAAGAGATTTGATTCTATTTCTTATATAACCTTAAGATTCTCCAATACTTTCAGATAATTGTTCATCTTTTGCGTTCTTTATTTTGATGGTTTTGTTAAATTCTCTTTATGTATCAATAATGGGTAATTATGGTTTCTACTATTCTTACTTGATAAGTTGTTCATATTCCATTTTCTTGTACATCATCTACAAATATAGGTATTTATTGGTTGCAAGCTAAGCTTTATTTTATTCTTCTTTTAATTTTGCTTGTAAAACTTGATTCTCAACAACCAAGTGTTATATTTATGGAAGATTATAGGAATTCTTTACAATATCTAATGTTGGCCTTGTTGTTAATGGATGTATAGGAGACTCAACAGACTTTGAAATTAATCTTGATGCATTCATCTTCATAAGCTTCATGTAATTTCCAGTTGATATTCCTTTTTCATTTCTATCATTCAATAATAATGGTTTGTAGGGTTCCATGTTAGCTTATAAATACTCATTTAATTTCATATATTTATAAATTATGAACTATGGAAACTCTCTTAAAACTTAAATTACTTTTATTCCTATCAAATTATCATTAGATTTAGGAGTAGAAGCAGAAGTTTTCTTAAATTTTATTTGCGGATCACATTCTCTGACAACTTAAAATGGATGTTTATTTTAATAAAGAGAATGTAATTTTGATTATCAGTAGTTAAAAATCGTCACAACCATGAATATAAAGAAGGGTAAATTTCAAGAAAAGAAAGTATATCCATATATATAATAAGGCAAAAGTCCGTGTTATACTTTAGTATAAAAATAGCTACAAGAAAGCAGGAAAAATAAATTTTGATATTAGTGAATATATGAATTAGCAAATGTAATAGATTTAAGATGAAAAATTACTCATAGATTGTCCTGATTCATCTGCAACCCTCATGTTTTAGCTTAAATTTAAATAGGCAGTTTTGAACAAAAGCAAACTATACCCTGATATCCAATAAAAATTAATGGAACCTGAATCATTAATTAAATCTAGCATCATTAGAATACCAAATATTATTGAAGTTTAAAAATTTGACAAATGCAATAATTGTTTAAAATTATAAGAATAAATAAAGGAATTAAAAACTCAACTTTAATCAAATTCTTAAAGGAGTACACTATCATAGAGAGATAGCATTTAGATCAGCAAATTATAGATGTTAGAAAATGAGATTAAATGTTAATATCAAATAGAAAGGGAACTTAAGACATTCATAGATGGTTTAGGTAATATTTATTTTTATTTATTAGAGTAGGAATTATTAAAATAAAAACGAATAGTAGCATAGATTATGTAAGAATGTCTTTAAATGGGAGATCCTAAATTGATTGAATTAGTAGAGAACGTAATTTAATAATAATAATGAATTTTGTAATAATATTTTTCCAATCCTACATGTATTTTAAATCAATTTCTTAGATATAGTGTTTTTAATTCAAACATACATAAACCTTGATATATACTAAAGTTTAAAAGATAACTTTGATTTAAAACATGAGGTTGCTTATATAAACTTAACTTTTTCATGCCAAAATTGTTGTGTAAATATTACAACAAAATCTCTCGAAATTCTAATCTATTTTTTTAGATGCAGTTTTCTTATAATTTAATAGAGAAATTATATCCTCATCTTTATATAGTCCTAATATAAGTAGATCATTATTTTATGGGTTTGGTATCAAATTCAATTTCATTTTGTTTTCTGTTGATATAACTTAATGAGCACTTAATTTTTGGATATTATTTCTTTTTAATTTGAGTTTATCAAACATTTTAATAAACAAATATTAGAGAAGACTTGCAATTATTTTGAGTAAAAATAAGCACTTTTAATTAGAGTCGAAAATATTTACTAAAATTTAATCAATCAAGATTGATTCAACTAAAATCATTGTTAACTCTTCTTGTTTTATTTATCTATTTCTTGTATGCAAATATAATGTTCTATTTGATACAAATTTAGAAAAATAAGACTTGTGATCTAAAAATACTTAACTTAATAAGTAGTATTTCAACTCTTCACAAAAGTATTTAGGCTATGAGAAATAAGCTAAATTTTCTAATAAAAATTAACAAGAGTTAATTGATTTCATCATTGATTAATCCGCCATTTCTTTGTCATTCGGATATTCAATAAAATTGTGTAGTTATTAATTTACTGAAGTAAGTGATTTAGCACAAACTGCTTTACACCACGCATTAATTCGTTCAGTTTGTACTAATTCTAATTTAAGAAAGAATGTAATATTCTTCAATTAAGTTTAATACTTCTTCCAAAGTGAATAGTTTAATGATTTCTTGATCCTTATAGCAGCAATTATAGCAAGTGAAGCTATTTTAAAGTATTTTTTCATATTTAATGTACGTTATTATAAGAGTAAAACTTTAGCTCTTCCTATAAGTTACTTATGCTCAGTTGTTGGTTTTGAGATTATTTCTTTAGGTTGAATTATTTTTTCATCATTATTAACATGTATAATCTTTACTTCCTTTTGAACTTCTTGAGGTTGTACAACTTTAGGCTACTATATCAATGGCTTTTTGTGAGATTCCTACCATTTTCGAGGAGATTAGTCTCGAGATGTTGCCTATTTTGAAATCTTTTCTATATAAAGATTTTCAGAGATCGAGAGAATATCAATATTAGGAGTAAAGAAGGGTTGCTCATATATTGTTTGAGTTTATATGAACTTGATGCTTTAGGATCGACCTTATTAGAATTGGCTGTTCATGGTCGATTTATTTAAAATATTAAAAATCATTTAGAAGACGCAATAAATAAATGATACAGTTAAATTTTATTATGGCAAGATATATTATATTTATGTGCAAACCTTTATTCTCCAAATCAACTTGGTTACATAAGTTTATATATATGAAATATTCTTTTTTTTACATTATTTCATATATATATAATTGATTATATTTTACAAAATCTATAAAATAAAAACTAATAAATAAAAAATGAGTTTTAGAAATTAAAATGTCGATTATTATATGAATTTATAAAGAAAATATATACAAATTATCATTGAACATTAGTAATGTCTATTAGTTCTCCAATGTTCCTAGCAATTCTTGAAAATTATAAAGTCATTTTTTAACTCCAAAATGGTTTTTATTCAAATAATTCAAGAATACCAGAGTATTCAAAACCACCAGAAAGGATTTTATTTTCATTTTCATCGATCTTGTCAGTGAAACTGAGAGAAGCAATACAAGGTATTCCCTATTCATTCTTTTTAAGTTGAATAACTTTCTAAATTGGTTTTACATTAGATTCCTTTATTTTTTCAAATTTATTTTCGAAATATTTTGTAAATTAAACCATTAATACACCTATGATTCCAACAAAATGAAATAGAGTAATTAAAAAACTATCTTTATTACTTTAATCTAATTCATTAACAATATCTAACATATTAGGTATAATAATAGTAAAGAAAAGAAATTCAATAGCAATTAATACTTTTTATTCTTATGTAAGAGAATGAACAGTTTTTGAATAAAATTTAGTTCTATTGACAACAAATTAACTTGTTTATGTATGTTTTCCAGAAAAAAGGCATAAATTTAAACTATGTAATATAAATCCTGGTATTATATTTTTTCTTGTTATTAATTCTAAATCTTATAATATTAATTTTATAAAAAAGCATAATCTCTATTTCTAAAAATCTTTTCTTATATCATCTTATTCCCTTTATATAGTTTTACATTCCTTTATGTATTTCTAATCTTTTTGTATTATTATGATTTTTTATAATAACGAATCTACAAATTTTCTTTACTATTATTTGTGCTGTTTAATTCCAAAAAAATTAATATATTTTAAATGTGGTCTTTACTACAGTTAAAAATGCTCTCTAGCTATTTCCCTTTCTTGAAATATTTTTCTAATTTTATAATAAAACAATACTTATATTTTTTTGATAATTCCAATACAGCTATCACTACAAAGACAATAATTCTAAGTTTTTTATTTCTAATTTTAATCTGAGGTTTTGCATTATAGTGTTTATATAAATTTAAGTTATCCCAAATTTGATTTGATACTGAAGGTCTACTATTTTCAAGAGTTATAGTTTAACCCCTAATAATATCAGAGTCCTTCATGCTTAAATCAATATTTCTATCTATTTCTTATGTTTTATAGATTTAAATTAGATCCTGTTATTTTTTGTGTTTAAAATTTTTTTTAAAAAATACCTAATTGTTATTTTGCTATTTTTCAGGAGTGTCTTTTGAATTCACCTCAACTGATTACATTCTAAAAGGTCTATTAAAAAATGATTGATTATTTATTTAAGTTTATCTATAGGTTTATTATAGATCCTTATCTTTATGTAATTTTAATGAATTTCCTTCTAAATTTCGGAGAGTATCCAAATTACGTTCAATTAGTTCATCATATCTTTATTATTTGATTTTTATGTAATTTTCTATTAATTAATTTTCTTTGGGACTACCGAGGCCATCTGGATCTGTGATTAAACTTATAATTGGTTGATTTTGATGATTTTCATCAATTTCACAACATGTCTTAACTTTATTGTAGTCTAAGTCATGTTAGAACAGCCTAAATTTTCTTTCCCCTTGTCTAACAACTTAATTTTAAGATATCAAGGGAAGATTTAAATGATGAGCAATCAAGGTTTCACTTATCCTTTCTTAAGGCTTTAATGGAAAGGATAAAGGAGATTATCTACTTGAACTTCTCTCTCGATAGGCTATTCTTTGAGATTTCATAAAATGAACAAAATTATTAATGAGAATCATATTAATTTGGGATATTAAAATAGTAGATAAAACAATAATCTGGAACATCTATTAATTTAGATAACATATGATCTGATGTATTTTATTTCTAAATTCTTTCATAATCAAATCCTCTTTAAACGTTGATCTATATAACCACTTATTTACCAATAATTAAAAAAATTTGAATCAATTTAAATTAATTATTAGTTCTTTTGTCAATTTATATTTTAAGTGTAGATTCTGTTCTTGCTTATTCTGGTTATTTTATCTTTTTAATTTTTTATCTGATAGAACTTCAGTACTCTAAATTACATTAGAACATATACTTCTATTGAAATAGTACAACTTATATATGCTAAATTGAAAGTTAATTATAATTTTATTATACAAAGAATGAGTTCTAGAGTGATTTGATGTAATCTTAGAAAAGTATTAAATTTTAAATTCTATAAGAAAATTTTAATAGAAAATATTGAATACTTTTTAATTTAAATTCTATTATTTCCACTACTTAGGACATTATAGTTAGCTTAACTTATGTTAAGGTAAATATTACATATTCCTTATAATAAATTCAAAACTCAACTAAGATTTCTTTTATATTTTATTATATTTTTTTGAAGTAATTTTATAATTTATGTTAATTGAAAATTATACTAGATTTTTAGATAAAAAATGTTTTAGCTCTAAGAAATTAATCCGAATAGAATGACTTTCTTTAATAATATATTTTTACAAAAAATTATATTATCAATATTTATATCTAATAAAAAGACTACCATCATTTATAATTTATTTAATCTTTGATAGTCAATTAAAAATAAACCTGGGAGAGTTTAAGTCTCTAAATATAAATAAATTATCTTATTTTAACTTGATAGATTTTGAATTATAATTGTTTATAAATAAAGATAAAAGTTAGATTATTCATTCTGCATTTGAAATGTCTATTAATGCTTCAATATTACTCGCAATTTTTGAAAAGACTTAAGCCATTTCTTTTTGAAAAGCAGGTTTTTCAATAAATATTTTATTAATAAAATTCAACTTCAAATCTCCTGATATAAGCATCTCTTCATTTTTTTCTATATTTGGGGATAATATTAATTTTGTTTATACGGGTTTGTCTTCTTATTCTTCACATATTTTTAGTATTAATTAAACAGGTTTAACATTAGAAGATTCTATATTTGGTAAGTTTTTAAAATGATTTGTGAAAAATAAAGTGATTAAAATAGCAATAGAAATAAAGTAAATTTAAGTAATTGCTTAATGGTCTTAATTAGTAAAAACTTATTAATTAACAATATCTAACATATTAGGTATAATAATAGTAAAGAAAAGAAATTCAATAGCAATTAATACTTTTTATTCTTATGTAAGAGAATGAACAGTTTTTGAATAAAATTTAGTTCTATTGACTACAAATTAACTTGTTTATGTATGTTTTCCAGAAAAAAGGCATAAATTTAAACTATGTAATATAAATCCTGGTATTATATTTTTTCTTGTTATTAATTCTAAATCTTATAATATTAATTTTATAAAAAAGCATAATCTCTATTTCTAAAAATCTAATATCAATTCTTATTGTTATTTTAAGATATCAGTATAATCTTTAATATAGTTTGAACTATTTAATAATTTAATAATTTTCGAGAAAATCTATTCAACAAAAATTCGATATTGTTATTAAATTTGCCTCTAAGCCATTTTATTAAAATGACTTAAATGAGGTTTCTTTAATCTACTAAAATGTTCCAGTGCTTTATTTCTATTAAAAAATATGAGCCTAAATAACAACATAAGACTACTTATATTTTTTGCTTAATTTGAGAACTGCTCGAATTAATATAACGATAATCTTAAGTTTAAGTTTTTTAACCACAAGTTTCTTTTTAACTTTTGAGTTATCTATGGTTGCTAATTAATAATTACCTTTATTATGGATTCCATCGATAGTATAACTTCTATGTTTATTATTATTAATTGAAATCTTTATTCTGTTTTTATTATTATATAATTAAGATTATATATTTGTTTCTCTTTATGGATTAAATTCTAAACTTTAGATGATTTGGAAGTCTTATTCAAGTTACACAATAGGTCTATTGATTTTTTTATCTCTATTTGTTTCAGACTTTAATTTGTAGATATCTTATGCTTTTTTTTCATTTATATATTAATTTGTAAGAACCCTTCCTCTTTAAAAATCTTTTTAAATTATGCTCGACTATTTTCTATTATTTTCCATATTTTCATAAGTTTCAATAGAAGTTTTATTTTTATATGTATTTGTATTTTAAGATCCCTTTTATAAGTTTGTCTATTCAAATATATTCTTAAACAATTTAGGACGGATTCCTGTACTTTTTTCCAACTATGAATTTAATGATAGCAATGGTATATTAAGTCTTTAATTGACAAGACTATTTGAAATCACTTTAATTGTTTATTGTTACTTAAAAGAGGGACAGTTTAATATATTAAAAGATAAGCTTTCATAATTCTAGTTTTTCATCAATTGATTTAAGTAGTGAAATTTATTAAATAAATTTTCAATTTTTTTATCTACTAATTAATTTAATTCAATCCCATAAATTTCTGTTTAGTTTTAGTATATATTTTAATTCTATAATAATGAATTCTTTTATTATTATAGAAATTATAGCTTAATGAACTTTGAATTTTTATAAAAATCAAAGAGTTTTTAATAATACTATATTAAAATAATTATGCAATTAAAACGAACATCAATTGAATTTGGAACTCTTGAATAATTATTTGAAGGAAACATGTCAATTGCTGCTAGTTAATAAGATTTGGAGTAGGATACCTAATCATTTTTAAGCAAGGATGATCTAAAAAACAAGTTTAAACCTTTTAAAAAAGAAAGAAACTCAATAGGAAAGTTAATTCAAAGAGCAAAAAGTAATGAAACTACATCTAGATTTCAATTTTTAAAAAGTTAATAAGTAGTTGTGAAGCCAACAACAAAAAAACAAGTTCGCAATAATCATCCTATTTATAAATGGAGCACTACAAATCTTTTAGGACTTTAAAAGAGAGATATTACTACATAAGATTAAGAAGTTTCTTTAAGGTAAAGATTAAAATATTTCAAAATAAATCTCTAAGCAGACTAAGGTTTTATAAAATAGTTTAGAGAATATAAGAAATAATTTGCTCCAGCAACAATCCAAACTAGAGCCTTTTTAACACCAAAAAGAGAGTATTTTTATAAAGATGTAAGGAGAAGCATAAACTAAATGATAGAGTCTTATTCCAGGACCAGGTGTATATTCTGGAAAATTAATGTTGACAGATCCCGGAAGTTCGATTGAATACAGTAAAAGTCCATAAACGTTGAAGTAACAAACGCCTATTTGTTAAAAGGATTTTTATGATTTTTAACTACAAAAAAAAAATGAAAATACTCCAGATTTTTTTAGGACTATTAGTAGAGAAAGGGCTTATTAGAGAAGCATTTTTGCTTAAATAGAAATCTAGAAAAAAGAGAATAAAGTATTTGATTTATATTTTATAAAAGAAACTTCAGAAGGAATAACCATATGATTAAAAGAAAATAGAATAAGAAATTGAATATTTACTTTATTAATAATAAAAATATGGGAAAATAAGTATTAATATCTTAGAATTTAGATTATCAAAGAATATTAGATAATAATGATGATATTAAAAAGATGACAAAGCCAGATACTCTTGATAATACATGGAGTAAAATGCTGTAATAATATAAATAATTTAAGTGAACGTTATGGATTTAAGAAAATAAAAGGTGGTAAAATAGTAAAAGAAAGAGTATAAACATTATAAAATGAGTGAGAATAATATTAATTTAATACTTGATACTTTTATTTAGCAAATATTATGAATAAAATAAGATAGACTCCTCGTTCACGTAGACTTTCAGCCTATCAAGAAAAGGATTATGTTATACCTAAACTATTTTTGAGTGTTGATTTGTATTAAAAATAATAACATTCTGTCAGAATAGTTTCAAATTAAGAGATCAACAACCTCACATTCTTTCATAGAAACAATAATTATTAAACAACAAAAAGAAGTATTCAATCAGAAATAGAATCAGTTGGAATTGAAGAAAATAATAAAGTTTATGAAGTTAAAATATAAATCAAATTTATAAAGCATAAACAAAAATTGGATAAGCAATAAAAATAGGATTTTATTGAAGACTATAAAGTTGTTAAATATTCAAATAATACATTTCAATAACTTAATGATGAATTAGAATTAAGTAGAAAATTATAAAAGCTACTTACAACAATTAAAAAATGAATAATAATTTAAATTCAACTTTACATCATTTATAAATCCTTTCAATCATATAATTATTTAATAGATAATATTATATAAAACTAATAAACCAATATATAAATGATAATAAAGACTTAAGAAATTCAATCTCTAACTGTAAATGATAACAATTTTGTTATTCTTAATACCTATTATATGGTTTCAATAAAAATAACATAATGTAAATCCTAAAATTCAATATAATATTATTACTTTCATTTTTGCTAAAGTCTCTTGAGTAGTTAATGAATGCATTTTCAATAACACTTCTAAATTGCAATGTGTTTCAGTATCAGGTAAAAATGTCTAATTACATTTTTAATGAGAATCTTTAGCTTAAATGATAGCACATTTATTATTCCACCACTTTATTGTTTTCCAATCTTTTTCTTAATTCTCTGCAAATTCCTAAAATAAATAAAAATATATAAACCTCATCAAATTCTGGATTCTCTTTAAGTTTCACTACTATTTATGGACCTGTATCACTATTGTTCCATCTGCTTGATTCAATATAGAATCCTCTAACTGCTTCAGATAAATCATTTAAAGCTAATTCTTCTGCAGCTTCATCTTTTTAAACAATATTAGCAGATTAAGCATCTTCATTCACAGGAATAAAATTAACACCACTTCTGAATAATTCATAAAATAATGCACCAACCTATAGCTTTTTGTATGCAAAGTGTTAGAATTCCTAAAATATAATTTATAATTATACTGGATCTTTCTTCAATAATTGTATATATCCTGGACCAATTTCAAATTTAAATAAATCTCTTACTCCTTAAATATCTAAAATTGCTTTTTCATTGCCAACACATCTTAATTTAAAACTCTTATATGGATAATCCAAACATCTTTCTTATAATAATCCAACAGGACCTAATTTAGGAACACTTGCAATAATATTAATTCCTTTATCTAATTTAGCATCTTCAACTCCATCTGTGATCCATTATTCACTAATACGATCAAAAAATGCTACTCTCCATACTTTTTAATTTTCCTTATTTGGTATCCAAATATAAGAAGGAAGTTAATAAGAAACCTCAAATTTATTATTTATTTACTTTAAATGTTGCACTTAATTCAAAGGCTAATCTTTTGACAGTTTCCTTCAATTCATAATTTTACTTTAATGTCCATGCATTTACTTTTTTAGGTGGGGGAAGCATTTATAAATATTCTATATCTAAAACACCACCAACAATTCTATATTTGCTATAAACATCAGGAGAATAATTATCAAAAGAAGTCCATAATATTTTTTGAAGGAATATAGAAATATTTCTTGGTACATCAACTGCTAATTATAATTCTGGGTATTCATTTGGTTTATGTCTATAACCAGATGGTTTATTTGATGGATAAATGAATATACCATATTTAAAATCTTCAGTAGGTGGAAAAGTCTTAATAACCTCTTATTTAGTTTTATCATCTAATTTAAATGTTCCCTTTGCTCCTTCATTTGCCTTTTTAGTTAATTCTGCAAATTTTTCCTATGTTTAATTATATTTTATTTTACATCAATAAATAGTTCAGCATTTAATACCATTTAAGTATTAATCTCTTCAAGTTTCTTAATAATTATCTCTCTAATCTATGTTATATATATTTTATTTCTAGCCACAGTGTCATTTTAAATGATTTATTATTGTTGTTATTATTATAATTATTAATGGTTTTATTATAATTTCCTTTCAGCTTTTAATTAAGTTAAAAATCTATGAATATCTCTTTCAATATTCTCTGCTTATTATAATTTTTGAAGTTCTTCTGAAACTTTTAATTCATTAACAACCTTTTGTTCTCTAAGCATTGTTATAAATGTTGTCAATTGAGCTTCATAGGTTATATCAGGTTTTATTGAACATATCAAAAATTTATCCCAATCATCATTTGCTCTAGCTACCTAAAATTTTAGAATATATATTAATAAAGTACTTTCTTTGCATTATCTAGATTTTCTTTGAAAACACTTCTTTAAACTTCATTCTCTATCTCTTCTTCTTAAAGTCTTGCCTTTTCTTCAGCAGCCAATCTTTCTTCTTCTAATTTTCGTAACCGTTCCTCTTCTTGCCTTTATTTTTCTTCAGCTTCTTTTCTTATTCTTTCTTACTCTTCTCTTTCTTTCTTTTCTTGTTCAGCTTTTTCCTTTAATTCCTTTTTTGTCAATTTTTTAGGAGGTGGAGCTTTAGGAGGCATATATATATATATAATGTTTATTTATTATATTAGATTATGAAATTAAATTCTAAAATTATCTATTTTTCTTTTATAATACTTAAGAGAATCTTATACATTATCAGAATTATGAATATTATATGTATTTATATACATTTTGATATAGCAAAATATTACTATTTTGGTTATTGGTAATTTTCATATGAATTGGAAATCTATTGATATTTTTTTTGGTTTTTTAAGAATTATATTGAATTAATTTTGACTCAAGCATAATTTTTATATATTTTAGAATTTTTTCATATTAGAGTGATATTGCTTTTTCATTTGATTTCTTTTAAGTTTATTGTTTTATTCATTAACTTATCAATATGTCTGCTATTTATTTTTATTACAATTAAAACTGATGTAAATTTAGAGTAAATTTTAATAAAATATACTCTTACTCATATATTATTTGTAAAACGGAATTTTAAACAAATATATTAAGTAATATTTATATTATTCTTATTAGACAATTATTTTTTTAGTAAAATGGAAATGAACACATGGTAGAACCAAAATGATATAGCAGATTCTGAAACGATACCACTTTAATCTGAACCTTTGATGGGTGCAATTTGCTAAAGATTACATTAGATTTGCACTACTTCTATTTAAATAAGACGTCGAATTATTTAAGTTATACGAATATCTTATTTAGGAAGAAAAGAAGAAGAAATGCTATTTAGAATTCAAGAGACTAAAATAAAATTGAAAATTCAAAAGAGACTAAATAATGCTTATCCCAATTAATGTTAATAGAGTAACTTTGTAATGACCTTTAATATGTTAAAGAACTAGTATCTCTTATTGAATGATTAATTAATCATTTATAGCTTTTGAATATTAGCTTTATAATAAATTTTAGGCTCCTACTTTTTTATATATCTTTTTTAAATTAAGTATAACATAACACAAAAGTTATAAATTATTTCTAACTTTATGTCTAACATTTTTATTTTATATTAAATACTTTAGATTTTACATGTCTTTATTAATTATAATATTTCCCTAATAATATATATTTATTGAATCTTAATACTTTTTATTCTAATTTTATCATTTCAAAATATTAATAGCAATTCTAGTAGTAATATAGATGAATATAAGTTTGAAAAATAATTATGAATTAGGAATATAGATTTTCTGGAAACAAAACTTATTTAAAATGTTAATTAATCAACATATAATTAGTTTCGTATAAATATAATAACACTCATTTATAAATATTTCACCAGATAATACAACACTACTTTGATTATTTACTTAGCCTTTTTTATTTTTAATATTTTATTTCTAGTATTTTTAAAGATTCCTCTTCTTTTTTTGTAAATTCCAATTATTTTTGAGAATTTTAAATTGGAGTGGCAGTTTCAGCTTTGTCCATAAGTGGAGATTTGCTTCTAGGTGATCTAACACTCAAAGGTACGCTAAGTGGTGACTTTGTTCTATCTCTTGGAGTAGAAACTGGAAGGATTGCTTGTAAATATTGAACATGCTCATCTATTGTAACTTCATATTTAGAGCCAAAAGCAATTTATCTACCTTTCCTATCGTAACGACGAAACACTTTAATGTTCAACAAATAAATTACTTTGTTCTTCAACAGGTAGTTCCTTTTTTAAAGCACTCTTAATTGCTTGTTATTTAATTTTAGTATCACATTCTTAATTAATCATTTTGTATTTCTTTCAATTAATTAATAAATTGTGATACTAAAGGCTAATAAATATTTAAATAAAAAGAGGTTTAGGTAATTATCAGGATTAAATAATAACTTATATTATAAATTTCAGATATATGGAACTTTTGCTGAAACTTCAATCTCCATTTTTTGAATTAAGGATTTCCTTTTGTAATATTTAATTTAAATACTTAATTATCTGCCAATAATAGGGAACTCAATTATAATATCAATAAAAATGGCTAAACGATTTAAACATTACGAATAGACCATAAATTTCTAATGGAAATTCAATAATGGTAAGTTTGAATATATTAGTTGCAAATAACCCTAAAAAGTAGAAAATACTCCTCTATAATTTCCCTTTGCATATTCATAATATTTACCTTTTTTCAAGGAGAATTGAATTCCTATGAGCAAGCATGATCCTATAAAAAATGATAAATTTATCATGATTATAAGTGTTTGATGCAACAAAAATATGATGGCTAAAATGAAAAGCAAAAAATTAAGAGAAAGAAATCCCATTCATATTCTGTATGTAAAGACATACTTTTATAGTCATCCAAAAAGTACATTGTGAATAATTAAATATTTTATATTAATACTCTTGAATAATTGAAATTAGATTGAATTAGTATAGTAATTAAGATATATAGATAAATAATTAGATGGTCATTTATAAATAGATAATTTTAGTTAAAATTTTATTTATTTTTCAATAAAGTTTTTTATGTCCTTCATTATTTTTATGATGTTTATGACCCTTGTGATGTTTTACTTCTTATTAATGAAACTTATATTCATTATTCTTTTTTTAATGTTTAAAATTTAAAACACTCATATCAGTTGCACTATGTTTACATAATCCTAGATATCCTTTTTTACGTCCATGTAAACATTCTTATCCTGCAACTCCTGCTTTATAGACATCACCATGTAAATTTGGTTTCTAAAATATAAAAGATATATTACTCTATTGTATACACATACTACAATTTCATCACTCATTCCATTTTTTCTACTAACTTATGATCTACCACATCCAAAGAATTAAACTTAAGCCGTTTCAATTTATCTTGCATGATCTTCATGTTAAGCCCATTTCTTAAATACTCTTTTAGCAGTCCAATCAGCACCACCATTTTCAACATCACCTAAATATGCCACATAACCATATTAAGGAGGAAAAGAACAATCAATTCTAAAATTGGCTGGACATTTATCTGCACAATCTTATGCAAATCTAGCCAATTGATTATCCCATTTTACATAATTCATATTTGAAGCTGTTTAAAATTTACCTTACCAATTTTTTTATTTTCCTACAGCAACATCATTTCTATGTTCATTATGCAATTCTAATAACTCATCTTCCTTCTTTTTAGACATCCCCCTTTCTTTTACTCTTTCCTTGTTATCAGTATCACATCCAACTTTAGCATAAACAAATGCTAAAAACACAATTAAAACGAATTTCATTATTATTATTATTATTATTATTATTATTATTAGTAAAATAAGTTTAATGGATAAATCAGTGTTGAAATTATATAAATCAATTCTTAGAGCTGGAAATCAATTCAAAGATTACAATTTTAGAGAATATGTCATCAGACGAGCTAAATAAGATTTTAGAGAATTAAAGATTAATCCTGATCTTAAAAATAAAATCATTGAGAAATACACTTAAGAATTAGAGATTGTTAGAAGATAAACAATTGTTTAAAATTTATACTATTAAACCAATAATATTATAGAGTAGAAATAATGCACTATATGAGAATTTAAATATATATTAAATATAATTAAAAATGGCATCTTATTCAGGAGAATAATAAATCAAAACTGTTATCAATACTGATGATATTAAAGATATTGTAGCAATACTAAATAATAAATTTAATGAAAATTATAGTTTAGTATCCTTTGATGAACAGAATTAGTAATCATTATTGAAATCTATTTTAGATTTGAATTCTTGGAACTGTTAAATAAAATATTTTCACATTTAGACTCTAGATGGACTATAGATGTTAAAGTAGATAATTAAGAAACTATTATCTATAAAATTACAGAGTATTTACGAATTCTAAATTACCCAGGCTAATTTGATGATAAATGGTCCCAATCACTTTTGATTGCGGATAAGAAAGTTATTTATCCTATTTTTCATTATTTATTAACAAGATATCCAGAATTAGAAAAAAGAGCATATCTAGCCAAGTATTTAGTACCAGTTTTTGTGCCTGATGAATTTCAAATGGATAATGATATTAAAACATGTGTAGATTAAATCAAAGATTTATAAGCTTAATTCTAAGTACATCATTAATCACTTGAGTAAGTATAATCATAATCAATGAATCCTGAAGAATTGAAAAAGGATATAACTTAATTTGAATAAGAAAGAGAATAATTATTAAATAAAATTAGCAATTTTAAGAGTAAAGTTTCCTCTAAACCTAATTTCAATGAATTATTAGAAGTTACAAATATGTTAAGAAGGGAATAAGAAGAAGAAGCAAGATTATAGGATAAACTTAGATAATAAAGAATGTAATTAGATCAAACAGATTAAATGCTTTTATAAGCCTAATAAAGATTGATTGATGCTTAAAAGTCATTGGCTCCTGATAATTCACCAGAATAGATGTTAATGGCTTTGAGAAATGAAGTTAAAAGAAATAGGGAAATTAGCAAAGATAGATTAGGATTTGATTTAAAAGAGAGAAGAAAAAAATTAGAATAAATTGAAAGATTACTATCTGAACCACCTATAACATTAAATGAATTAAATAATTTAGAAAATACTTTGATGGCATTAAGAAGAGCAGTAAATCAAATGGAGGATAAATTAAAGAGAGAAGCTAAGCCTGAAGATGATAAATTAACTATATATAAATAATAAGCATAATTGGTTGCTAAGAAAAAAGAAAGGGCTGTTGAAGATATCAAAAAAGTTGAAGAAGAATAATAATTAATTGAAAAAGAAGTATTTAAAAAAGAAGAATAAATTGCAAAGGAAAGAGGACCTAATTATAAGACTAAAGGAGAATTTAAGGAATATGCTAATTAATTAAAAGATAAAAAATTTCAATATTAAAAATTAAAAGATGAATTAAAAGGATTATAAGCAGAAAGAGCTATATTGGAAAGAACAGAATAGATCTTAAGAAAATAAAAAAATGAATTACTTAAATAATAATAAGAATTAGAAAAAACTCATGGAATAGTTGGTTATAGTAAGAAAAAAGAAGGTTTAGAAAAATTATCAGAAGATAATTAATAAATTAATTTAAAAAAAGGCTAAACTTTAGAAGAGATTTCAAAAATTGTTAATGAAATTTAAGCTTAAATTTAGTTGAAAAGACCTTTAATATAAGAATAATTAGCAGAAATCAAAACTATCAGATAATAATACTCTGTAAATTATATTATTATATATGCAGGATTTAGAATAAGTACATAAATAAAAGAAATAAGAATTTGATAGAATTATGTTAGGAGTTGAAAGTGATTAAAGTTCTTTAGTAAATGAAGTAAAAAAGCTTAGAGATGAAGTTTATGGTTTAGATAGAAAAATTAGACTTAATAAATACAATTCTGAAATTTTGGAAATCAAAATTTAAAGATTGAATGATGAAGTAAAATTATTTATAATAATTTTAGGTTGAATATAGTAAAGGGGGTAAATAATTGTCATCATAATTTAAGTCTAATGAAGAAATGATAAAATAGAGAATTTTGAAATTAGAAGAGAATATAAAAAATCTTAAATAGTAAAGAGAATTAGTAAAAGAAAATTATGAACCTTCATTGAGATAAGTAATATTGTATTTAAATATCATAGATGAACTATTTCAGTGATTTAAAGAAGATTTTGAATGTTAAATTCTAATAATTATAGAACGATTAGGGATAGAAATAATAAATGAAAGCAGGTGCAAATAGATTAGTTATTGGTTGATTAATTATAAAATATTAAAATTATTTAGATTTTCATTATTCTTGTTATTACATAATAATATCTGAATTATAAACCTTATTTGGATAGAGAGTGCACATTTCATTGACATCCATTTTCAATTTGACATCTGTATGTCCACCTCCAAACCATATATATTCTAAATTCAAAATTTTATCAGAAATCAATAATGGCATATTTTATATCATATTAAAAGGTGTTATAGCATTAAATTGATATCCACTTAATTAATATGACATCTTATATAATTAATAATTATTTACTTCATCTGATGTTAATCTAAAATGTAATTTATTTCTAGATATTTATTTATTTGGGTACTTTTGATTCTATAACTATTTAAAATATTTATTTATCTAATATTGTTCTTAAATTTCATACCTTTTCCCCTTATAATTTTGTAATATATTAAACTACAACACATATATATTTTGGATTGACTTCATGATCAGGATAGGAATCATCATATTTTGTATTTTCCATTATGATAGATTTGCATAAATAATCTATAGAAGGAGCTTATAATAATGTTTTTCTCTCCTCATAATTCAAATCAAAATAATTAGGTTAAGCTTGAAAAAGCTTAAATTTCTTATATCCATTTGTATCAAGATAAGTTGTCATTTTTTTCATACACTCTGCTATCTCATTTTAAATCATATTTATTCAGAGAATATTTTGATAAACTATAATATAAATATGAATGCATAATCATTCTGTATGAAATTCAAAAAACTATTCAAATGCTAATCTAAATCTCCTTCCATCAATTAATTTTACAGGTTCACTTTGTTTGTGTGGTGGACTCAATCTTAACCAAGTTCCATTTCTACTATCTAAATCTTCTATAACTAATCCTTCTTCTATATATGTAAATTAAGCATGTTGACCACTTAAATGCTATTTAAATAAATTTGAGAATAATTACAGTGTCATCAACAAACATAGACATCTATCTTCCAAAAATTAGAGCTGTTTAATCTTAAGTTAATTCAAAATCAAGATTTTTATTTTCCATAATCCCTTCTAAAACTCTAATAAAAACAGAACATTTGTTTCCTTGAATTTTTATTTTAGATATTAAAAATTAGCCCAAACCCATATGTAAAATCAATCCTTCCTTTAATAAAGTAGGATTAGTTAATTAGACATAAGTTCCAGATGAAGATCCTAAATCTTATAAATAAAAGCTTCCATTATTTTCTTTATAAAAAATCTTACAATGTTATCTACTAACATATTCTTCTTTAAGTACTAATGTATTATCAGGATTTCGGCCAATAGAAATACCTTCCTTTGGAATTAAGATTCTTTAATTACCATTATTAATATTAAATAAATATGGACTACATTCTTATTTCATTTATGTTGATTTGATAATTTCTTGTACATTATTGACTTCTTATACAGTTTATTTGAATGATTAATTACTTTAGATTTAATCTTCAAAAATTGCAGCTTTAATTGAACTTCTTTTAAATTGATTAGATACAACAAGATTATTTGATGCATTATTTTCATCATATTATTGATTAATAATTTATTTTTGAGAATCAAAAGTCTAATCTTTTTCTTTTTATTTCAAATATTCAGAATATTCTTTGAAACCAATTTTAATCCCTTTAATAATATATATTGATTACATTAAACTAATTTTTTAATTTTCAATGAGGATTCTGCTATTTCCATTTCTTTTAAATCATTATCATCTAATGTACTCAATAATGCTCCATCAACAGAATTTTATCTAAAATTAACATCCAAGTCTTATAATCCAATAAATTTCAACCAAATAGTAACATCATCAAGTTTCCATTTTTTAGGGTCTTTTGGTAAAACCTTATATAAGTCATCATAATCCATAATTATAATTAGTAATAATTAATAAAATTATAAAAATGATAATTTGTATAGAGAAGATATTTCCAATAGTTATATATAATGCTAAAATATATGATTATCATATAGATTGCATAACAATAAATGTATTATTATTATACATTGTTTTATTTAATGATTTTTACGAAATAAATTCGAATACTTTTTGTTGCTCCTCTTATAATTTGCACAGTACTAATATTCTTTATGGCTTTCTATTCCTGGTTTGTAGAGTTATATGCAGTTAATGATTAGATAAGTTAATTAAAACCAGCATCATCAAATTCTCCATATTATAGTAGATTCTATATACATTAGACTAGCGCTGCTTTGCAATTCTCCTTTGGTCAACACTAATGATGCCAATGTCAAAATATATAGCGATGGTGCTTAATACTACATCCTATAAAATGATTAATTGATATGCACAATGGTATATCACTAATCATACAACCAAAGTCTTTTCTTAAAACTTTAGATATATCTAATAGATATTTATGAATCTATAAATACAACACTAAATTCAGATAATAGCAAAATAATTTAAATAACATTGTCTTTGGCAGCAATCGAATTCGTATTAATAATAGCTGCAATTAATTATTATGCAAAATCTATAGCTATAATAGTAGCTTCTCCAATTGATGAACTAACCCATTCCTTGAGAAATATAGATTAAAATAATATTGATGAATATTTTTCAGAAAGATTATAAGGAGAATCTTCAAAATTGATCCCTGATGAAATGATCCTTTTGTTGAGAAGTGTTTATGATTTTATAGGTATAGTCAAGATAGCAAATGAAGCATTCATATAAGGTAATGATGGATAAGCAGTTATTGGTTATGCAGTGGCAAATTAATTTTATTTAGAGAATGGTAATAAGTTGGGAGCAGGAGTGATTTAGAATAATATGGGAGTTATTCATATAAGAAATAGAAGATTTTAAGAAGCTATCTTTTGTTTTAAGGAAGCAATAATATGTATAGAAAATGAATGGGAAAAATATAAACATAAATATTAGAGTGTTGGAATTAATGAAGATGAATTAATCATAGATTAAGAATATTAAAATTTAAGTAAAATAGTATTCAATCGTTGTTTTAATCTATGTGAAGCTTTGAGTGAATTTTTATTATCTGAAATTTTAGAACTTCAAGAATTATTGTTTTCTCATAAAACATAACGCTAATCTATATTTAATATGGAAAATATGATGTATGCATAACTAGAAAATACACATGCAACAAGACAAAAAGCAGTTTCAGTTTTTAATTAGGATTAAGATGAAGAATAGGAATCAATAGAAAAGATTATCAAAATTAAAGGGAATGCTAAAAGAAATGTGTTAGATCTTCAAAAATTAAATGACATAATGTTTACTATTAGATCTTAATTTTTAGGGACTCATGATTTTCTAAATAATATAATTATTCATAATATTGAAAAAGTTACAGAGAAAGAAATTGAATTTCTTATTTAATAATTATGGAGAGATACACTTAGAACATATGAATATTGTCAAGATATAATGTAATATCATTTAAATAAGAAGAAATAAAAGTAATTATATATAACATTAAAATTAATTATTGGTTATTTATAATCTGGTTAAATGAGTAAAAGTGAAGAATTAATATTAATTGCTTATGAGTAATATAATAAAATCTAGTAGGAAAATGATGATACAGAATTAGGACATATTTCACTTCTTGAATAAAAGCTTTATTTATCTCATGGATTAGTTTTATATAAGAAAAATTAAAAGTTAGAAGCAGCATAATTATTGGTTAAATCTTTATGTGTAAATGGTAAATTTAGTAGTAGAGATCGATTATAAGCTTTAGTGATGTTGAAGGCTATATTTTAGAATTATAATAGACCACTTATGAAAATTAATGATTTCTTAATTCAATATTAACCAATAGCTAAAGATTGGATATTTATTTTAGATGGTAGTAAAAATATGAAATAAGAATTGGCTATTGTCAGAGCTTGTAGAACACTTCATAATATAATCAAAAATATTAATTCATAAAATGATAGAGTGAGTTTTGGAATTTTAAAAGAGGATTATTATGAATTTGCTCCATTAATTGGAAAAGTTGACAATGCTGCCTATATTGATAAGATTTTTTAATTGATTCCAAAACCAAAAGGAATTTGTAATTCTAAACTCATAAATTCTATTGCTGATAAGTATTAAGCTCATCCTAATTTAATTACTATAGGAAATAATAGATATTTAACCAAAGATGGAGTTGCTTTTATGAGATACAAAAAAGTAATAATATTTGCTTGTTGGAAATGTGAGAATATTCCTATGAAATCTTAGGATGAGTTTATTATTATTAAATTTGGATAAAAATCTGAAAGGTAACAAATAGAATAATAAGGAAATGTATTGTATGAAGATGAATGGAATAAAGTATTAAATAAATATTAATAATTATTGACTGAATAGAATGATAGCAATTACTTTTTAGAATAAATATTATGATTTATATACGTATATATTAATAATTCAGAATTTTTGCATATAATAAAATTATTTTATAATTATGTCACTCATCTCAAATGATGGTTCAATCGATTGCAATATTTAGACCTTAAATTAATTAATTAAAGAGTTTTATTTGGCACCCTTTAATTATAAACATTTGTGTAGTATTCAAGTAAGAATGATGAAAATGTTTGAAAAAAAAATTACCTAAGATTAAGAATCTGATATTATTGAGATATTTAAAATATGTTTGAGAGATTATGCTTCAGTATTCTGACAATGCATTATTTAATAGGAATTGCTTTAAGAGTTCTCTCAAGAGAATTTCAAGTAAGTTGAACATCTGTGGGAAATTCATTATCGTCTATAATCTACTAGTCTCAAAACAGAAAGATTGTATGAGATGTATTACGGTTTATTTAAAATTAAAACACCATGTCCTTATGGTACATCCATTATATAATTCTTAAGATTTTTTTGAAATCCATTTTGATATTGCTAAGAAAAAGAGACCAAATTTGTAGGATTCAAGAAAAGTGCATCAATAATATACAAAAGAACGCATGAAGTAAAAAGTCACATTAGTAAAGATTTTGTAAGATTAAAGTTTATCTTAAAAACATCAACACAATAGTGAATGTAATTAATTTAAATCTCTTTAAAAAAACACATAAACTATTCAAAAATAAAAGGATAAACCTCCTACATAGACTACTATTAATGTGAGGAATGAATTTAAGGAGTTTGAAGATCGCTTATCTAAATTAGAAAACAGTACAAATAAATTAGAACCAACATTTTCAAATTCATGGACTTAAAAATATAGAAATTTATTCTTGAAAAGGAAAAAGTGATTTATTTAAAATAAGAAATAAAGAAAAAAACATAATCAACGAAAAGAGACTTCCCGTATTAATATTTATTGTTTCAATACATCCTCACAATATACATAGTTTTAAACTATTGTTTTTTAATGCAGTATTATAAAAACATTTAATAATATAATATATATATAATAATGTCAAATTTATCGATACGCAAAATTGAATATTTGGTTGAAAAATACATCATAGTATAATCCTCCATAGAAGATTTGATGGATAGTTGTGAAATACTTATCCTTAATCATGATATTAAAAGATTGTTACCCTTTGTTGCTTATAATGAATCTAATACATTAATCTAAGAATTGATGAAATCTTTTTATCGAAAATTACCATAATAAGACAACATTAGTGAAGATAAGGAACCTGAAAATACAATTAAAGATAATCTATAAAGTGCAATTAAAGTTGAAATTCTTCCAGAACCATAGTAATAATTTATAACATCTGTTACAAAATTTAGAAAAGCTTCACAAAAATCCTCTATGAAATCTTCAATAAATTCCTTTAGGAAATCTTCATTGAATAAATAAGAGAGATAATAACAAACTTAGTAAGGATCATTACATATAACATTTTCTCCAATCCCATTGTAGATTGAATAAGAAGAGGATGATGAAGATAGATTTTATAGAGGTGTGTATGAAATGAAAAAAAAGTAGTAAGAACAAATAAGATTGTAATAAAATATATATACTCTTTCTTAGCAATAAGCATGTATCAGAGTAACAGAAAGTGTAAATATAATAATAATTGTTGGATCTAAAAAGAAAATGCAAAAATGGAGTATTTACATTTGATAATGATGGATCTATTATATTGACCAAATAAAAAGCATTTAGTAATGAACTTCAAGTTCATCCTGAAACCAAAATTTGTGCTTTAAATTTAAAAAATTAAGGATAAAAATTAAATTTACAAACATAAATCACAAATATTGTTAATTCTTCAATTTAAAGAAAATAAAGATTAGCAAAAATTGTTAATAATGTAAAAAGTGATATTCGTATGGAAACAGAACCTGTAAGAATTAGTACTTCTTTTAAAACATTAAATAATTAAGATTTTAAATCGAAATCTATTTTAAAATAATTATTAAATGATCAAAGTTTGAAATTAACAAAAAAAGAATTTTAATAATTAGCAGGTTTAGAAAATAATATAGGAGATGTCTTACAATAAAAATTATTAAGAATGACTTAAATACAATTAAAAAGAGCATAATATATATAATAATAACATTCAAGAAGTATTACTCCACTAATAAATGAAGAACATAAAGAAATTGAAAAGCCAATTATTAAAAAAAATACTCAATAAGGAAAAATTAAATTAAATGATTTAAGACTTGCTGATTCTATATCTAATGATACTCCAGAAATATATTTTAAGAATATTTCTGAAAGTTAAGAGTCAAAAAATAATCAAAATATTAAATTAATGAAATAAGATCTTCCTTTTTTATAAATGAATTACAAATAATCAAAATATGCAATTTTAAAAGAAAAAAAGCATTAAAAAATAAACTAAAGTGTTAAACTACGATCTTATACAACTCACGATTGAATTTTAAATTGTGTGTTATATTTTTAATATATGGAGTTGATTAGATCTCCATTAAATTAAAAATATTATATTTTACTTATAAAGTAAAACACTTATTAAATATAAATTAACTTAAATATAATTATATATGTATCACTATTTTGTGGTTGTAGGAGGAATGATTCTTGGTTTAATAGTATTGGCTGTGTTGAATAAGAATGAATCTCAAAAAAAAAAAGTAAAAATTGATGATTAAGATGAACAAACTAAGTTAAAAGAATAAAATTAATATGAAAAATAAGAATCAAACAAATTTGAACCATAAAATACTAAAGATGATATGGAAGCTTTAAGGTAAAGGAAAATAGAATCAGATGAAAGAAAAAATAAAATATTTAAGAATCTATCAGTTGAAGATAGATAATTAGTTGAAGAATATTTTAAAAAATAAGCAAAACAATATATATCTGGTGAGGTTAATCCTGCTGATAGAAGAGCAGCTAAATTAATATAGATTATTAAATTTTCTCTTTATGTACTATTTGGATTGGCAGTGTACATAAGTTTAACAATTGCTTTTAATACTACATCACCTTTAATGATTATAGAAAATTTAAAACATTTAGTAAGAACATTTTTATCGCAATTATTTGCAAAACACTGAATTTGATTTTATGTGTAAAAATATATGGATATTTATAATCCAATTGATGTTATCTAAATATATTCATAAATATTTTTTATGGTATCAATTTTATTATTTTTGGGTTCAATATATATCGCACTTTAAAATCATATGAAAACCTTTATTAATATATGATTATAATCACCAAATAAATGATTTTACATTTTTTTGTTTATGTTATATATATATATATATTATTTCATATATTTTAATATGATTATGAATTGAATCAATCTTATTTCGATTGTATTCTATTCAATATGATTTAAGAATACAATTATTTATTTAATTATATATATATATATATATACAAATATAAAACATTAATTTGCTTACTGATATATAGATTATTTTTGATTATTATTTGCTTATTATTATTGTAATAATTTTCTATGTCATTTTAGATAATTAAAAAGATATTTGATTAAAAAATGAGATGATTAATTATATAACATAAATATAGTGTTAAACGAATCTAAATTTTTTGCTAAATTTAAATAATGGATTAAAAATCATCTGCTTTTCATATTTACAAATAAACTCTTATTAGACGTAACACGGTACCCATTTCTTAGGTTTATTCATATGATGTTAAAGATGTAAATATTGTAGAAATGTATAAAATTAGAAAATAGGATAAGGAGCTTACGGAAGTGTTTTCAAAGCAATTCATAAGGTTTCCAAATAAGTAAGAGCTGTAAAGGTGATCAATAAACTCAATATTAAATACAAAGAAAGGTTATTAAGTGAGATAACAATTATGGAGCTATTAGTATGAAAATAAAATTAGCAATTTAAGGATCATCCGAATATACTGAGAGTATTTGAAACATTTGAGGATAACGAGAATTTATATATGGTTTTAGAGTATTATTTGAATTTGAGCTAGAATCTGTTAAGGTGGTGATGTTTTTGATAAAGTTTTAGAAAAAGGAAATCTATCAATTGATGAAGCATTTAAAGTTTATATTCAATACATGAGAGCAGTCAATTATTATTAGAGCTTTAAAATAGTTCACAGGTATATATAATAGAGATAATAGGGATTTGAAACCTGAAAACTTTTTATTTTAAAAAAAGGATGATTTGAATACATTAATTGTTATCGATTTTGGAATTGCAAAGAGAGGAGTTGATAAATTAAAAACAAAAAGTGGAACAGTATACATAATATTAAATATATAGGCATATTATGTTGCTCCTGAAGTATTAGAAGGTTCTTATGATTCGAAATGTGATATTTGGTCTTCTGGTGTCATTTTGTATGTTATATTGTGTGGTTATCCTCCTTTTTATGGAGAAAATGAAAAGGAAATATTGACTGAGATTAGAAATGCTCAATTATAATTTGAAGGTTGTTATTTTATAATTATAATAAAGGTGATGAATGGCAATAAATACCATAAGATATTAAAGATTTTATTAAACAATAGATATGTCCTGCACCTTAAAGATCTTCACCAAAAGATTTGTTAGCAAACAAATTGGTAGATAAATTCAATTAGAAATTTTAAGTTGATTAAAAATTGATTTCAATGTTGACTATAAATTAATGGGTAAAGTTTCACCCTTTGAAAAGATTGGGTTTATATTATTTGGCAACCTAAATCAATTCATCAGATCTTAAATAATAGAAAATGGCCTTTTTCTTAATTAATACATCTTAATCTGGATTAATTACATAAACAGAATTAGCATCATATTTGAAAGTGAATAAATAAGATATTTAAAAAGTTTGGCCATATTTAGATTGCAATAATAACGGTTATTTAGATTATTTTGAATTTATTGCAATAACTTTAACCCCTTAAGAGTATAATACTCATATACAATTAATATTTGATTTTCTTAGTCAATAAGAGAAATTTATCACATAAAAAACTATAAAATCGATTTTTGATTAGAATTCTAATTTAGACTAAAAATGGGTATCAATATCAGATACAAAAACTAATCATCATTAAAATACCCATGATCTTTAAGTTAATGTTAAAAATATAATAGAAAAAGATATTGATTTAGCAAGCTTCAAAGCCTTAATGGGATGAATTATATTATAAAACAATTTTAAATATATATTTATATTTGTTTTCTATATATAAATAATAGTATTCATTAATGTTCAAACTTTTAAGATTTTTAAATTAGATTTATTCTTATATAAAAGATTTATGTATAGATCTCAATATAAATTTATGATTAAAATTTCACTAAAATTACATTTATCAAACATTATTTTATAAAATTATAAAAAATAATTAATTTTAGTACACTATATATATATTGATATATAAATAAATAGATGATGAATTTGATTAAGAAAAATTAGAAAAAAAGAGAAATTGATTTCCTTTTAATTATTTAATTTAAAGAGATAAAATTAATGTAAAAACTAAAAATGGAATGATAGAATATCAAATAATATGAGATTTGATTTCTTATTATTAAATAATATATACTTTATTATTATGATAAGACAATTTTAGAAGAGTTTAATATTTTAAGTTAAAAAGGATAAATTGCTTATTAAATATCAAAAGATTTACACTGCATTTATGATAGTTGATTAGATTGTTTAAATCAGTTGATAAAAAAGATATTGAAATAATAGTGTGTATTTTATTAATATCTAACGTTGGTGTTAGTTAACATTGTATAAATGAGTTTTAAAAGTTTGAAAAAGTTGAAACATCATAATACTTTCTTATTCTAATATATTTAATTTCAATATATTATGTCAATTTGTAATTCAAATACGCAATGGGGATTTCTAATATACAATATATAATAAGATTCTTTGATTTAGAAAAAAATAAAAATGAGCAAAACAGGATTGATTATAGATGAGCAGTAGTAATTCTCTTCTGAAAGTTCTGAAAGAAAGGTTTCTACAAGAAAAAACAGACCAATTTACACTTAAACAATTAGCGTAAAACGATACCATAAAATACCTCTTAGAACTTAGTAAATACTTTTCGAATAGGTATTTAAAAATGGAAAAAAGATTAAACAAGTATTAATATTTTTGAATTAAAGGCTGCAAAGGAATTAAAAATGAATTACTCAAGTGCTAAGTCATTGATTCATTACTATAAAACTGAAAAGAGGCCAGTACCAGATTAAGTTAAAAAGTTGATCGGTTAGAAGAAATAAGCATCATTTTGTTAAATTGAGTAAAAAAATATAGATGGTGCAAAACTTTTTGTAGAAATATAAGTCAATCATCAAATAATTAACTCTTACAACTACTTTCAAAAACTACATAATGAAGTCAAAGAAGAAACAATTTGATAATAATATAAGAATTCTTAACAGTAATTTGAGTTTTCGTTCTTCTTAACGCCAACTTCCATTTAATTTTTTTCTGTAAAACATTTTAATTAAGTTGTTTATCAAATAATATTGTTTAATTATATATAAAATGATCCAAAAAGGGTTGCCATATTTGATGCAACGTTTAGAATTCCTTAATGATTCTTAGGTATGTCTTTCTGAACATAAGTAGTTAAATTAAGTAAATCAATTGAGTGATAAATCACTCATATGTTTAAATAATATGCTCTTGAAATTAAATAATATTAATCATTAATTAATAAAAAAAGTTTTAATGTCATAAACTATTAATATGCATCATCAAATATTTGATATCCATTTTATTCTATATAATTATTAAAATGAAATAATTAACATTCAAATAGTATCAGTATAAGTATATTAACTATAAAAAACATAAAAGAATATTATAAGTATCTGTTATGTTGTATTGATTAATATAGTTAGTTGTATTTAATATTAGATCACTCTTATACAGTTAGTCTGAATTAAAAATGATTTTAAGTTAATAAGTTTTTAAAAAAGTATTACTTATATTATTAAGAGATAGAGTAATAAATTTGAATGAAAATTGGAATTTAATATTTTATTTAGAGAAGATGATATGATTTATATAAAATAAAATAATAATGAGCTTGAATAATGTTTATTGTGTAGTTGAGGATGCTATGGATAAGTTATTGGAATATTTACATTAAAATAAACATATATGTTAAGATTACAATGGACAACATGAGTTCAGAAACAAATTTAAGTAGATGGTTGATGATTGTAAGAATCATTAAAGTGAATAAACTGAGGATGACATGAGTGAATTTGATTTCTATTTGTAGAATCCTATTGATAGAAAAAGACATGGATCTTTTAGAGTGTTCAATCCATTGGTGTTTTTAGCAAAAGAAATAAGAAAGCATTAATAAATTTGATTTAATATATATAATTGGTAGTAGTATTATGCATATAAAATTTAATATATATAATTTTAATTATAAAAAAGTTGGCTCAAATAATTTGATGATTAATTGAAAAATTGGAAGGTCACAAAAACATAATTAATTTTAATGAGTAATTAAAGTGAAGATGAGAATGAAGTATTATAAGTAGAATTGCCAAGTGATGAAGAATAAAGAGCAGAAGAAGAAGATGAAAGAATAAAAAAATTAGAGTAAGACAAAAAGATCTTTATGAGTTCAATTAAGTAAACTGGGAGAATGAACACTAATGTAAATACTATATATATATATTAAAATAGATTAAATTTGATAATATAGAATCAAAGATAAATACATTACTAGAAAATGCTGAGAAATATGCTATGTTTCTATTACATAGACATAAAAGAACTTAAGAGAGTAAATAGAAAGTTCAAGCTTAATAGAGAGGAAAACATAGATAAATAATTGAAGATGGAAGTGAGGAGGAAGATTTTGATGATACTCCTACAGTATTAGAAAAATAGCCTACTATTTTAAAAGGAGGATAATTGAAATCATATTAAATGACAGGATTAAATTGGATGATTTCTTTATTTGAAGAAGGAATTAATGGAATTTTAGCAGATGAAATGGGTTTGGGCAAAACAATATAAACTATTGGATTTCTAGCTTTTTTGAAAGAGTATAAAAAGATTAGTGGACCTTATATGATAGTGGCTCCAAAGTCTACATTAGGTAATTGGATGAGAGAATTCAAAATATGGTTACCTTGTATGAGAGTAGTAAAATTGATAGCAATAAAAGAAGAGAGAGACGAAATATTAAACAGATATTTTTAACCAGGAAAATTTGATGTTTGTTTAACAAGTTATGAAGGAGTTAACATTTGTTTAAAACATATTAGAAGATTTCAATATAAATATATCATAATAGATGAGGCACACAAAATAAAGAATGAAGATGCTATAATCAGTCAAAATTTACGTAAAATTAGAACTAATTATAAATTATTACTTACTGGAACACCATTATAGAATACACCACATGAATTATGGAGTTTATTGAATTATTTATTGCCTGATCTCTTTGATTCATCAGAAGTATTTGATAAATGGTTTGAAGTAAATACTGAAGCAAAATTAAAAGAAGGCAATGAAACTATACATCAAGATGAATTAGAATAAAGGAATTTATAAATGGTCTAGAAATTTTAGAAGATTTTAAGACCATTTATGTTAAGGAGAACTAAAGCTGAAGTTGAAAGAATGCTTCCTCCAAAGTAAGAAATCCATTTATTTATTAAAATGTCTAATTTGTAAAAATCAATGTATTCAAATATATTAATTCATAATAATCCACATGAAGGAGATGATAAAACCTTTTATATGAATAAACTAATGTAATTACGTAAGATTTGTTTACATCCTTATCTATTTCCTGAAGTGGAAGACAAGACATTACCAGCATTGGGAGAACATTTAATAGATGTGAGTGGTAAGATGAGAGTATTAGATAAGTTTTTAAAGAAATTAAGTGAAGGTTAACATTAAATACTCATCTTTTCATAATTTACTATGATGTTAAATATTTTAGAAGATTATTGCAATTTTAGAGGTTATGAATATTGTAGAATTGATGGAGAAACAGAAATTCAATAAAGAGATGATTAGATTGCTGAATTTACATCTCCAGATAGCAAAAAATTTATATTTTTATTGTCAACTAGAGCTGGTGGTCTTGGTATCAATTTAGCTACTGCAGATACTGTTATTATTTATGATTCAGATTTCAATCCCTAAATGGATATGTAAGCTATGGATAGAGCTCATAGAATTGGATAAAAGAGTAGAGTAATGGTCTATAGAATGGCTTGTGAACATACTGTAGAGGAAAAGATCATTGAAAGACAATAGATAAAATTACGTTGGGATTCACTTATGGTTTAATAAGGGAGACTTTAATAGAAATAGAGTGGCAAATTGTTATCCAAAGAAGATTTAAAAGATTTAACTACTTATGGAGCTTCATAGATTTTTAAATTAGATGGAGATGATATTAAAGATGAAGATATTGATATCTTACTTAAAAGAGGTGAATAATTAACTAAAGAAATGAATGAAAGAATTGAAAAGAAGTTTGAAAACTTTAAGGATAAAGTTTAATCTTTGGATTTAGGATTAGGATAAATTAATATTTTTGATTATTTTGATGAAGCCAAAAGAAATAAAGAAGATGAAGAAGCATTAGAAGATGCCTTAGTCAACCATCTTATGCAAGATAATAAGACTAGAAATCGTGATAAGAGAGCCATGATGATTGGAGCTAATTCTAAAAAAATATAAGGGAAATAAATTAAACTTTCTGAACATCATTTATATGAAAATAAGGATAGATTATAATATTTACTTTAAAAAGAAGAAGACTTTTTAGCATAATAGAAATCATAAAAGAAGACTAATGAAAATGATGAAAATGTTGATTTTGGTGGTCTTACTTAAGAAGAAAGATAAGAATAAAAAAGATTATTAGAAACTGGTTTTAAGAATTGGAATAAATAAGAATTTTAAGATTTCATTACTGCTAATGAAAAATATGGAAAAGATGCTTATGATAAAATTTAAGAAGTTATCAAAACAAAAACATTAGATGAAATAAAAGCATATGCTTAAGCTTTTTGGGAGAGAATAGATGGATTAAGTGAAAAAGATAAAATTGTCAAATAAATTGAAAGAGGTTAAAAACTAATTGAATAAAAAACAAATGGATAAAAATTAATTGAAGAAAAATGTAAACATTTTCATCAACCTAAATATGAATTAGTATTTACTCCTTAATTATATAATAAATTCAAAAGTAAGTATTTCAGTTTAGAAAATGATAAATTTTTAATCTATATGACTAATGAAGTTGGATATGGTAATTGGGCTTAACTTAAATAATCTATTAGAAAAGAACCTATGTTTAGATTTGATCATGCCTTTAAGTGCAAAAGTGAAAATGAACTAAAAAACAGAGTTATTTCTCTTGTAAAAGTATTAGATAAAGAGAAGGAGAATAATTCTATGGGAAGATCTCTAGTAAAGAATACTTATATTGAAAAACCAAAAGTATTATAGGAATCTCAGAAAAAGAAAACAAAAAATGATGATGAAGAATTATAAGATGGATCTGAATCTGTTAAGAAAGTGAAAGTATGATTTATATATATAAATAAAAATATATATATATATTTAATAATAAATGAATTTCTTAGAGCCAAGTTCTAATGAACTAATCTAACGACGTCAATAAGTTAAACTTGATTTCTTATTATCTGAAAATCGTTCACTTAAATAAGAGAATGAGTTATTATTATTGACACTTTAGAAGTATAGAACTAATCAACTGAATGAAATCTTTTCTTTTGAAATTCAATAATTAAATAAGCAAGTTATATTATTGAAAGAATAACTCACACATTCATAGATCTAAGCTTTCCTCAATCTTTAAATAAGTTAATAAATTGAAGCCTTTTATTTAGATTTAGTTCATGAATAAGAAGATAAAATATTAGAATAACGTCGCATCATACATGATAAAGAATATACTATATAACAATAAGAAAAGAACAATACAATTTTGAATGATGGAGTGGCTATTAAATGTAAGGATCTCTTATAATTAAATGAAATATCTTTAAAATTACATAATGAAATTGAAAATTTAAAAAATGAACTTCTAAAACATAATTAATATATCTAACACTGTTAAATTAAAATTAAATAATTAAATACTGAAAATTCTACTTATAAATTCGAATTATTAAAGTTTCGAAAAGCTTTAAGGAATTAAGTTACATTCAGAAAAGTTAAAGAAAGTTTAATGAATGATTATGAATAAGATTATAGTGATACAGAATTATCTTCTTTTTCAAATAATGGTTAATCTACAACTGAAACAAGATAAGCTAATACTAGTATTTCTACTCAAAAATGTCATTAATTAGAAAGATATAAAAAATTATTTGAATCATAAGTTACAACAAATAATATACTTTAAGGAGAATATAATAAAATTTATAAATAAAATTAATAATTATTAGTAACAAATGAACGATTATGTATTCATTCTTAAACTTAAAATAAAAAAATTGAAAAATTAAAAAATGAATTAATTTATCTTGAATAATTTTGGTAAGCATCATTAAATAATACAACTAATTAAATTATTAAATATTCAATGACTAATCTAGATGAATCTAAATTGAATCTTGAATAAAGAAGCAAAAGTTGCAAATAATTAGATTATAAAGAATCAAATGAAATGAAAGAATACAAGAACTATTTATTATAATTACATAGAGAATTACATTCTAAAAATAAAAAATAGTTAATATCAAGATGTATGTCAGAACCACCCAGATTTAAATAAATTAAGTTAACAAAAAAGAAAAAACATTTAAAAGAACAAAATTAAGGACAACAACCTTAAGATTTATCTATTATTCATAAAAAAGATCTTAGTTAACTTAGTGAATGCATAATTTGATTAACTATATACTTATAATTATTTTTTATTTTATGCGCAATCGTATACTAAGCAAGGATGACGATAATGTTAAGGAATACTTCTCAACTTAAAAAAGAAAACAAGACAATAATATCTAATTTTGGCAAGGGTATATGTCAATAGCACTGAATAGTACAGAAGCAGGTGTGAGACAATTTTTAACATAGATGAGAAGGAATGGGAGCTTTTAATAAATAGACAAAAAATAAAAGCCTGTAATTACTGAATAAGAATAATTATTGGAGACTCCAAATCATAGTATTGTAAAATCTCTTGATCCTCAATTTCCTCCTTTCATTAGAAAAGTTAAGGAAATAACAAGTTATGAATTTCTATCTCAGATTTATGAATTACAAAATAGGAAAACAAGAAATCAATCCTTAATAGAACAACTTATTGGAAAAACTAATAATGATGTTATTGTCTTTCCTAAAACTATTCATCGTAAAAACATCTAAAAAAGATCATAACGTTGTCAATCAGTTGCTTAAAAAGACATTGAATTGGACAGCATGAAGGGATAACTAATCTAAGTAAGATAAGTTTAAGTTTAACCCATACCTAAAGAGACAACTCCAAAACCGTTGAAGAGATTAATACCTATCATTAAATTAGAAAGGACTACTTCCCCTATAAAAAAAGTTTAAGCTCCATAATCCTAAACTAAAAAAAAGATGTTCATAGATGATACTAGATATTGGGATTTAGGTTATATAAAATTTATCCAATGTCCAAGTGTACAAGAAATAAATTAAATCATAAATTTTACAAATGCACTCCAAGTTCTACCAGCATAACACTAAAAATATTATAAGCTTTATGTTGGTAGAGGGAATAATCATATGATGGTCAAAAGTATTTTCAGTATGAGAGCATAATGGACAGTAGGGGGAAATTTAGAGGAAGATGATTTTAATTTTATTTGGACTCAAAAATATGTTGATTTTCCTCAATCTGAAATTAGACCTATTTAAAGATCGATTTAAAATGAAACAATTGAAGGATGGGTTGATTCAAATGATTAAGCATTAATTAGATAAGCTTGGGATCGAGTGGAAGGAAAATCAAAGAAAAAACTTGCAGATTATAATCTTGAAAGTTAGCCTCTACTTAATAATGTAAGAAAATAATAATATTTTATAGTTAAGTAATGTCAAAGAACTTCTAACTATTAATCATTAAAATTAATCAATTAGAATTCATAATCACCTTAAAGAAGGGAATTAATTAGGTGATAAGAAATTTTTGTTTCTAAATTTAAGCAAATATTGTAAAGAAAATTAAATAGATTTATGGACTTTAATTCCTTTGACTTATCATATATAAGGTCCAAATGATGAATCCTTTATACTTTTCAAAAAAAAATTTGAAGAAGTTTCTGATGATTCAACATTTAAAAACATATGGATCATTAAACCTGGAGAGGATAGTAATCGTGGATAAGGCATTAAAGGTATAAAATATTTATATTTTAATAGTTTGCAATAATATAAATGAAATCTATTAACACATTTCTTAATAAAATCATACATTCATTCTATAAAAATATATTGAAAATCCATTTCTTTATTAAAAGAGGAAATTTGATATAAGAGGATATTGTCTAATAACAATTATAAATGGTGCAAAAAAAGGTAGTGATCATATTAATAAGTAGATAGTATTTTGGTATAAAAAGGGATACCTCCGTACTTCTAGTAGTTTATTTAGTTTAGATTCACTTGATAATTAGAAGATTCATCTTACAAATGATGCAATTTAAAATAAAATGAATGGATATGGCAAATTTGAGAAAGGTTTTTATTAATTATTATTTTTTAAGGCAATAAGGTTTCTTATGAGTAATTCTAAAATTATTTACTCGAATAGAATAAATAAAATAATACAAATTACAGTTTCGAAGAACTTTATAAGAATATGAAAGTAAATTATAATAATATGACATTATTAGTAATTAACAAAGATAGCTTGTTCTTCAAGTATCAATTAAATTAATAATACTGATTAATTATTAGGATTTGAATTGTATGGTTTAGATTTCATGATTACTAATGATTTTAAGCCAATCTTAATAGAATTTAATACAAATCCCTGTATAGAAACAGGATGTCCAGTACTAGCTAAAATAATATCAGGCCTATTAGATAATTTATTTAGGTAAAATTTATTTATTTTTTGAGATTCATTATTGATCCGCTCTTTCCTGCTAAAAAAACAAATCTTGATGATTTTAACAGTAAAAATGATTTTGAATTATTATTATAATCATAATTATGAAGAAGCCTATCTAGATTTTATAAAAAGTAAAAACTAATAAATTTATGTACATGATAAATTAATTTATTTAAAATCGTACAAATGAACCACAATAGCATGAAAAAGTTGAGAAATTTAGGGAGGAAATTAGATTTTTTTTAATCTCCAGTCGAGTTAATGATTCATAAGAAGAAATCACACCAATCATTATTTGGAGCATTCATGACAATCTTAATGTTTTCATTTGTTTTGTCATACATAATCAATAAATTTGTGTAATTAGGATAAAGAAAGGAATTTTAAACATTATATTCGGAGGTATATTATGAAGAAATTCCTATCTTTCCATTAAATTCGAAGAATTTTTCCTTATAATTTGCATTTTAAACGGAAAATTAAACAAATTATATTGATGAAACTATTTACTAAGTCAATGCTGTAATGATTAATAAAGCATAGGTTATGTAAGTTCCTTAATTTATAAAAGTGTTAATTAAAAATCAAGCTTGTAACTTACTAGAACAGTAATTCCTCTATCTAAATGTACTAAAATTGGAATACCATATGAAGATTTAGAAGACTAACTTGATAATGTTGATTCTGAAAATACATATTGTTTAGACTGGAATAGAGTCTCAGATCTAAGTTTAATTGGAACTCCTGAATAAGAAAACTATACTTATATTTATATAAGCTTTCAATAATGTGTGAATGATACTATAAATAGTAATATTAAACAACTAAATAGTCAAAAGCCCAGTTTGTAAGTCTAAGGAGGAAATTTAAGAAAAATTGCATCGTAATTTTATTCTATTTTAATTGTCTTCATATAATATTGATTTAAGAAATTACTTAAAGCCGAATGTTCCAAAAGTTGAAGAAATTCAAACCACAATTTCTAGTAAAGTTAAGAAAGATATCACATTATTTATGCAACCAATAACAACATTAACTGAAGAAGGACTATTAGATGAATTGGTGCGTAAAGATTCAACAATTAGATATATGAAAAGTTAAGAAGTGATAGATTTTAATAGTGATGAAGCACTTGCATCAGTTTTGATTAGATTGGCAAACACTGAAAATATAAGTTATAGAATTTATCCTAAGTTATAAGATATTTTAGCTTAAGCTGGTGGTTTATGGGAAGTTTTGATGCTTGTTTTTACCATAATGGTCAAACCTTTTTAAGCATTATCTTATAAATTAGATGTTATTAATAATCTCTTTAATTTTGAAGGATAAAAATCATAAAATGATTAGGAGGATGGTAGTAAATAAATCATAAAAAGGTTGACTATTGTTTAAGAGGGTGTTCACAATAACGAATAGGATACTTCTAATATCTTAAATTAATAATAGATTAAGTCTTCCATCCGATTTCCTAGAGGCAGACTCAAAACTAGAACGTCAAAGCTTTTAAATAGTAATTCAGCTTAGACAGAGAAGTCTTCTAACTAAATGACAAATTCACCTGAGAATGATAAATTAATACAGAAAGGTATTAGATATGCTTTAAGGAAATTATTTAATATAGCTACTCTGAAATTAAGATTTAGTCCATTTGATTATCTTAAATATTTAAAGTGGGGGTAATATAATATTTTAATTAATAGAAAAAAGGAAGGTAAATTTAAATAATTCAACTATTCAATTAATAAATTGGAGAAATGCTTAGATATACTATTTATTATCGATAAATTATAAGAAATTGATAAACTCAAAATGATACTTTTAACCAAATAATAGGTGCAACTATTTGATTTTTTACCAAAACCTTTAATTTCTTTAGATCCTAGTAATTTGTAATATAATGAATAAACAATGTATTTTTCTTTGTTGAAACCCTATAAATCTTAGAAAGAGAAAGCTCATGAAGCATAGTTAGTTTTGGATGAATTACTTGAAAATTTGGATGATCCTATTACTATTAAACTTATTTCTTTGATGGATCCTAATATTTTTAAGCTTCTATAAATTTAATTAGATTTTAAAAAGAGAAAGTTATCAAAAGTAATCACTCCTGATATCATAGAATCATGAATAAATATATATTTTATTAATGATGATTAAATGTATTCATTTGATTCTCAATTAGATTCCTTATGAGATTTATACTCTTAAGAATCTTAAGAACCTTCTTTATTATTTGATTTATCTCTTACTACACTATTCTAAACAGTATGGCTAATAGAGACAAAATGTTATTTAGCTCTGTTTGATCGATTTCTTTCTTCGAATTCAGATATTAGTACATTTACAACTTTTTTATCTAAACATGTTATTAATTTTTATGTTATTGGATTAATTTCAAAATCAGTTAGAAGTTCATCAAATGCAATTGATGCTTATTTAGCTTTTTCTTCAAATGATTTTTATAGAGTAAGAATAGATGAATGAAATTATAATTCTTCTTATTCTGGACTATATGGATCTAAGTAAATGTTTGGTTTTGGCAAATATTCAAATAGATTCATTTAAGCTTGTTAAATAAAATAAGTTTGAGTTTATCAATTTCTTATAATTTGTCTATTATAAAAAGTATATCCAAAAATTATTCATATTTCTTAATCGAATAATCTAATTAATCCATTTTTCTCCTTTTAGGTCTATATGTTAGATATTGAACATATTCCTTAAATTTCATTTTTATATTAGAAGATACTAAAGTAAAAAGAGACCTTGCCTCATTAATTCTTTCACTTTATATGAATCGTTCAATGAAACCACTAGATTTTGAGCCATTAACTGATTAATATCTTCCTTAAGGGAATCGTTTTGATACAACTTGTTTGATTTAGGATTTTATTTTAGTATCAGGGACAGTTTATATTGTATTTTTTATATCATTTTGAATTGACAAAAGTGTTTTAGAAGGTTTTGGTTCATTAAAATCTTCATTTTATGATTTATTTTCTGTTCTTTTTTTAGGTGATTCTTATTCAAAATTGAAAAGTTTATTTATTATTTCTATATTATAAGCTAATTCACTAAAAGGTTTTTAGAGAAACAAAGCTACAACAATTATGATTTGCCATAAACCTCCTGCTTATGCTAATACATCTTATACTTTTGGATAGATTCGATAACTAATTTATTCAGTATCAGATAGGCAAATAACAACATTTGTCAAAGATGTATCAGTATTAAAATCAATAATTTCTTTATCTTATTAATATCTAATAGTAGTATCTTTACGTAGTTCTTTTTGGAAGTAACCATAATCAGTTATTGTTGTAATAGGTTACATAAATATTTCAACATCTTTAGTTACTTTGGCTGATATGGTTGTGTAAATGTCTTCTACTTTTGGAATTTGTGGTTAGAGGAAATCTCTTAAATTAATGATGTATGATGTCAATTAAAAGTGTATATAATTTATATTTAAAACTTTTTGAATTGTATCTTAATCAGCACAAACGATACCAGGTTCTTTATTATAAAATAAAAATAATTACTTGATCCATTCTAACAAACTGTAAAACTCACATTTATATATTAATATTCTGGAGCATCATCAGTACCATATAAAGCAAGACTATCAATCTTACTCCAATATAAGCAATATGTATTTGAAAGATCTTGATCATCAAATTATTCAACTAACTCATCTTAGATTATTCCATTTTTAGAACATTTTGATATTGTTATAAGTGTTTTATTACTATATTCTTTCTTATTGCCATTAATCCTTTTAATAAGACTAAATAAAAAAATCGATTATTTATTTATATACAAGATAAGCTTCAGGAATGTAAATACTTTCATTTATATAATATGTTTTGTTCTAATATTGAAATGCAAATTATAAAGTGAAGTTTTATTCTGTTAACTTATAATATGGGGGCTCTAAATGAAAGATATCAGAATAGAGAGTTTAAAATTCAGTTCTATCATCAATTTGACTAAGTTTATTAGTTAGATAGAATAAAATTGAAACAATACATCCAAGAGTAGTGAATGCACCTAAATATGTTTAATATCCTCTTTTCTTTTATATAAAAAATTGGACTGGACATGCAAATTTGTCAAGGTAAAGAAAATATGATTTTATTTATTCAAAATTCATAATTATTAATTTAATAGAAGCTACTCATTTCATATCTTAATATTTTAAAAAATACTCTTAATAAATTTTAATTAATTATAGAATAAAATAAAAATCATTCATGATTCATTTGAGCCATTTAATAACATGCCATAAATTCTTAATAATCCAATTCATTCTCATCAGTACAAACCATATCTAATAACATTAACAATCTTTTGATTGGAATTTTATTAATTGTTTAACAAATTTTATCTATCTATGCTTATTATTGTTAATTCAACTGTTTTTTATGTTTATTAGTTACATTATCTTTTTCTGTAATATTCATATAATTATAGATTACAGCCTTTATTTCTTCACTTTTTGTAAGATTTGGTGTCTAAAATGTTAAATTGAAGCATGAAACAACACCTAATTATTTCAAAATTTAATAAGTTGAAGTTGTTCCTACTATTAATAATTTATTTTATGACTATATATAAATAATTTAAATACTTTATCTGGCAATCTTTTAATTAAAACTAAAAGTGTTTATAAAATTGCATTAGAAAATCTTGGTCCAATATCAACATATTCAATTAATCTCTCAATACTATCAATAACTATACAAGAAAGAGTGGATTTATAGGCATCATTGAATATCTTACTAATTTTATTTATTATAGCATCTTCTGTCATACCAATAAAACATTCTGGTGATATTAATTTTACATATGGAAATCCACATTCTACTGCAAAATAAGCAGCAATACTTGTTTTACCTGAACCTTAACATCCTTCCAAAAGAATTGAATTTAATTTTGAACTCTTACCAAAACGAGTTTGATTTATTGTATTTCTAAGCATTTTCTATAATTTTTAAAATTCTTCTCCATAATCTATTAATTCATTTTTTAATAACAAATCAAATTTATTTGAATCAAATCCAAATTAAGGTTTCACTTCTTCTAAAGCATTTTAAAAATCTGCTCTAGTTATTCTAAAATCTTCTTTCTAACTTAATTTTTATGAAAAATTATAAATATTCTACATTCTCTAAAAAGCAAATGATGATGCTGATTTAACTACAGCCTCAATTTCAGCCCCTGTATAATTCTTCATTAATGTTACTAATTCTTCATTATTTACATCATTATGTAAAGCTTAATTCTTTCTTAAATTTTCAGTATGAATTTATAATATTTATAATCTACCATTTTCATCTGGTAATCCTACTTCTATATGCACTTCAAATCTTCCAGGTCTTAATACAGCTTCATCAATTAAATCTTTTCTATTTGTCATACCAATCACAAGAATATTATTTAAAGAATTAACACCATCTATCATTGATAATAATTGATTAACAACATTATCATATGCACCTACACCTGATGAAACTGATCCTCTTTATTTACAAATAGCATCCATTTCATCAAATACAATTATATGCAAATCACTATCATCTCCTAAAGTTTCTTAATCTTTTATTGCATCTTCAAATAACTTTCTAATATTTTCCTCTGCCTCTCCTACAAATTTACTAAATATTTCTGGTCCATTAACAATCTTTGGAGGTCTAGCTCTCAAAACTTTTGCTAATTATCTTGCAATCAATGTTTTTCCTGTTCCAGGTGGACCATATAATAATAATCCTTTAATATGCTTAATCCCATATTTCTCTAAAAATTATTAAGGAAATCTTCTTGATGAAAATGCTCTTCTAAATATATTTGCTAATTCTTTATCAAGTCCTCCTACTCCTAATTTATCAAAATTAAAATCTTCTCTAAATAAATTTGTTTATTTCTTTTATACATTTTTCATCTTTATTTAAGATATTCCAGATCTTACACTAAATTCTATTTCTGTTTCATCAATCAACATTCCTCCACCTCCAAATCTTACTAAATTTGAATCTACTCCAACACTCAAATTTTCTGTTCTTGTTACCTATCATTGTAATTTAATTACTTTGATTAAATAATTATTCTCATTATTTTGAAATAATTACACCTAACCAGTCTTAAAAAATTATCCCTTAAATTAACTTTTAAATGCATTAGCAAATTCATCATCATCTAATTCCAATTAATTTCCTCCATTCTAAATTGATTATATATCAATCTCTAAATTCAATACTCCTAATCTATACTCTTTATCTCTTGGCAATTTAAATACTTGTAATTCAACATCTTAATTAATTGTCATTTCTAAAAATTCTCTTTAATATCTGTTTGCAGCAATCTCATTCATTCTATATTCTCTATCCTATTATATTCATAATTAAGTAATACTCCTTCTAATATAAATGTGTAACCATTCAATAATACAAAAAGCTTTTCACTATCAACTATTTTATTCTCTTTTTTTAATTTATCAACTTAATCAATTGAGCAATACATTAAACCTGTATAAGCTTGTTAAGGATTTCTTAATTGTGTTGATTATAGCGTCAACCTCATTTTATTTATTGATTTCTCTTATAATTTTACTATATAAAAAGAAATTTTATTCTATTAGAACAAATCTACTATCAATTCAATATATTCTATTTAATTATATTTGTTAAGAAAATTAAATTAACAATTAAATTAATTCTAATAACTTTAATATATATTTATAACTAATACCACATAATAAAAGTAATAGATGAATAATTCAATAATTAAAGTAAAAATATAGGATTAAAACAAAAAATAAAATAATGGATGATGGAAAAATAAAAAATATCAAAAATAAATATATTTAAAATTTAAAAGCTACATGAAATTAACTTATTATTTTTAAATAAAGAGGGGATATTACTAAATTTCTAAATTTGAATTGATTTTTGATAGTTAAATCTAATTGAATAGATGAATTGCTAATAACTAATAAGTTAAGTAATTTAGTATTATTCATTTATTATTGATATCCACCTGCTTATTTAAACTACAATTAGCAAATAATTATCAAAATAATAATATACTTTCAATATTAAAGAGTTTATAATATTTATTAGTGCCAACTAATTAAATTTATGTTTTTGCAAATCGTATTTGATTGATAAATAGGATTTTTATTAGGTGCGAATTGTTATTTAAATTTCAATTTCATTATTTAAGAAATTAAACTTATTTTTCTTGATCCTTTAACATTTATAAAAAATAATAACCAAATAATCATTGAATATTATATTTTAAAGATATCGGAATATATCTGAAAGGCACATTCATTAAGAGATCTTAGTTATTATCTTAAAAAGTTCAAATATGATACCTAAAAGATTAATAAAAAAATAGCTAAATTATATTTATCAAGATGGCAATATATTTGAAAAAATAAAGAATCTTAGTAGAATTTAATTAAAGTAATATTCAATTTTTATATTCTACACCATAAATCCTTTTGCCAAATATTGATTATCATTTCTTCTTAGAGAAATATAAATATTATTCATATGTTTAAGAACAAGGTAATAGTATTGACTTATTTAGAATAGATAATAATGAAACATTGGATCTTATTTAGATAGATTTTCAATTCTTTATTAAAGTAGAATGAACTTATTGAGTAATTAATTGAATAAATAGAAAATAATCAATCTAAGAAATAGTCAAACTTATATAATTGAATAGAATAGGAGAAATTAGGATGACTTGATATATTGAGTACATAATAAACTTTGTATGATAAACAAGTTTATGAATTGTTAGAGAATTGAAATGCATAAAAACAAACATTAAGAGTAGTCATGAATATCTGCGATGGAATGAAAATTAAGATTTAAATATTTTTTAAATAATGGTTATCAAGACAGATTTGTGCTCCTTTAGTGAATGGAGAATCTATCCCGGACATGGAAGAAGATTCGTAGCCAAGGATGGCAGACTCTTCTATTACTTGAATTAAAAGAGCAGAGCTTTTAGTGCAAGAAAAGTACTCAATCTCTAAATATTTAGATTAAATCTCAAGAAATCCAATGGACTGTTGCTTGGAGAAGATTAAACAAAAAGATTAAGACAGATGAAGGAGCTAAAAAGAGAAGAATTAGAAATCTAAAAGTCTAAAGAGCTATTGTTGGTATATCATTGGAAGAAATCAGAAGAAGAAGAAAGGAAGATGACAGTAATGCATATTCTCATAATATTTAGAAACTAGAAAGGCATAAGCTGAATAAGCTGCAAGAGAAATTAAGGATAGAAAGTAAAAGTAAATTGAAAATCAAAAGAAGAAACCAGCTGCAGCATAAAAAGTTGCATAAAAAGCTGAAGTCAAAGCTCAACAAAAAGCATAAAAAGGTGCTGCAAAAGCCAACAAAGGTAAAAAATGATTCTTACAATATAACATCAAATACATATATATATATTTATAAGATTATAATTATTTTTATATTTTTTCAATGGAAGAATTATGTTACACCATTCTTGGAATGGGTTTAGGAATTGTTGTATAACAAATACATGAAAAGTTATCCAAAAAATAAAAGTAGAATAAGACACAATAATAGAATAAGGGAACAAAGAAATATTTGCCATCTACTCCAGATATGAAAAAAGCATATCAAGAACAAAAATAAAACTTTCTAATTCGATAAGCATCTTAATAAGAAATAGGTGATACAATTAGAAAGATTGTCAAAATTTAAGGCAAAATTTCAGGGTTTGATAATGATGATGAATTAAACTAAATATAAGATTCATAAGAAGAAATTAAAGAAGATAATGACTCATAATAACATTCTCTAGATAAAGCATTCTAGCCAAAAACACCCAATTTTTAAAGTAAAACTTCTACCTCTTAAAATATTACTTTGGTCACAAATAATTAAGTTGTTTCTGGTGAATTATCTTTGGGATTATTATAATCTAATTAGTTTAGCGATAGTAGTATTATTTTATCACTAAATAAGAAAAAAATATATCTCCTCCTGGTGAAAGTAAGGAATAAATAATAATTAGCAGTGATCCCGAATGATGATTATAATATACATTTTAAATATAAAATCTTATATATTTGTTTAATCAATCAAGAAAAAAAGTTTCCATATATGAATAATATATTCAATTATTGATATCATTATGCTCAAATTACGAATAATTTAAGCCTTCTCATTAAAGCAATTTTCTGATGATGTGGCTTATATTATAATTAATTACGTTATTTTATTAATTAAAATAATGAATTATCAAGAATTAGAATAACATCAAAGTAGAAAACAAATTACTCTGAATGATGCTATGTTTACAATATTTAAAAGAGCAATGATAAAAAGTCCATGTTTCATCCCATTTATAATTATAATGACTCTCTTATTTGCTATTGGAATATTGCATGAGACTGGCATTAAACCAATTCATGAAATGTTTCCCCTTGGAGGTACAACAGGTGAATTCTTAAAATCTGAATAGATGTGAAAAACAATTGATAAAAATTATAAAAACATTTTAATATTATTTTCTTTTGAAAATTATTTATAGATTTATTTAAAATTCCCAAATATTGATTCTAGATTTATATTCTATCTATATCTTATTTTATTAATATATGAAGTGATTTATAATTCAATTATTTAAAACAACACTTTGAATAATAATTTAAAACAAATACTGTTTTTTATTGATTCATATGTGTTAACAATTATATTTAACTATAATATTGCACATTATATAATTAAAGTTATCTTATATATTTATAATACTTGTATTCAACTTTTTTAGAATACTTTATATCCTATGATGATCCTCTTGATTGAAATGAATTATCTATAATTGATAAGGATATTTTGATTGCTATAACAATAATATTTGTAAATGAGATTAGTTTAAGATATAAATAAAAGAAGATTTTATATTAATCATTATAGATAAAACAAAAAAGTAAACTTATTTTTTTCAATATTTTTAGATGCAATAAAACAAATAATTATGAAATGTTAACTTCATTTCTTTTAAATGGATATATTCAAAAGTTTTAATTTTATAAAATTGATTGATTTAATAGTAATATTAATAAATATATGTATATAATTAATATTGCCCTTTTTGGATTATTTGGAGGTATTATCATTTATTATCTGTATATGAATTCTTATGGTAATTAAATTCCTTTTGAATTATAATAAATCCAAGAATAAGAATTAGAAGCTCGTAAAAAAGAGAGCGGAAATAAAAACTATAAAATTCCTAATTTATTTTTTGTGACTCCTTGGTAATTTATTATTCAATTATTAGGAATAAGGAAGGATATAGATTAACAATTAAATATGCATAAAAATTAGATATGATTAGTCCAGCATGGTTTAGTATTAGATATAATAATGTTGTTGATGGTAAGTAGACAGTAAATGAATAGTGGATGTAAGAAATAGTCTAAGCAAATCCTTAAATTGCAATAATTCCTAGAGTATAAATAGAATTACAAGAAAGTTCATTTATTTAACAAATCAATAATCCATAATTATTGGAAACAATAATAAATTTAGTGTAATATTATTCAAATAAATTTCATGGAATTATGATTGATACACCTTTTATATCATATATTGACACTTTTGATGCATAAGACATAGTTAAATTTCTTCAAAAATTAAAAACCAAACTTGGTAATAAAATATTAGTATTAACATTATATGGTATTTACAATTCTCAACAATATAAGCATTCTACTCTAAGAAAGTTATTCAAAGTAGCGGATTATACTTTAATATAAACATATGATTATTAGATACAAGTTGAAGAAGATTTAATGTTATCACCATATTCGTGGATTTAAGATAATTTAGAATATTTTATGACTTACAAAGAGAAATTGTTATTCGTAATAATAATTGTATTATAAAATATAGGGAATTCCTTTTTATGGATTCAAAAAAACTGAATAAGATACTACACATTTTATGGGTAGTGAATTATTAAAATTGAATGCATCCAATTTTATAACAGAATGGGATAAATCTACTTCTGAGTGTATATACAAAAATGATTAAATTTCTATTTCTTATCCTTGTCCTGATTTTCTTATATACCGATTATAATTAATAAAAAAATTTGGAAGAGGATACTTTGTTTGGGAAGGAGGACAAGGTATAGAACTGTTTTATCAACTTTTATGATATATAAATTTGTATTCATATTGATATAATAATATATATATTTACAAAAATTACAATTTGAAATTTAAATGGACCGCAATTTATAATCTTGTTTCTAACAATTTCAAGTTAAAAGAAATCAAAATTTTTTATATCAAAAGTATGTCAATAAAGTACTTACCAAATATAAATATAGACTAATAAAGAGAAAATACCTGATGAAGAATTAAGATAGAAATTCATTGCTTAAGCATACAAATATGTTGGAGTTCCCTATCATAGTAGATATCATGATGAAACATCTCCTCATTTCAATGCTCCTCTATATTTAGATTGTTCTGGATTGATTAGATAGGTAATTTATGATCTAAGAGAATACTTTGGGTTTACTTTAGGAAAATGGAATTAAGCTTATTAATATGATTTACTTGATAAAGAGATTGAATTATAAGATATGAAACCTGGGGATCTAATATTTCTCTCTGGAACTTACTATGATAAATCTTGTAGGGCTTTCCAACATAATATTGTTCATGTTGAAATTTATTTAGGTGGGGAGAGAACTATTGCTGCAAGATGGTAAAAAGGTACTGTTTAAGAATTTGAAACATTCAAATTTGAATCATAAAATTACTATGATATTAAATATCATTTTAAATCTATATAACCTTGGTTAGAGGGAAGATGTGAAAGTTTTTGTGCAGAACATCCTTGGAGAGATGATAGAAATATATGGGTTAGTGATAAGTATTCAGTTTTTGCTAAGAATTTATAATAAGTATTACCTGCTGATTTTGTTCATAAGTAAAGGGTGTATGTTGGATAAGGTAACAATGCAGAATTAATTAAATCCTATTTCAGAAATAAAAATTATGAATTAATGGATACTCTATAAGATGCTTTTAAAAATGATTATTTCATTAAATGGGTCTAATGTCCTTAAAGTATTAATTATTATGAATTCAAACCAGGATAATAGATAGTATAATTATTTAACTATTATAATAGATAAATCATATACCTAAAGCATCTCATAATTTAGGACTTAAAATATCAATGTTAGAATTGTTAAGAGAAAATTAATGTGAAGATGTTTTGCCTAAGACATTTAGATTAAATCAAATTACTGAAGTTATTGAATTTTTAAAAGACAACGAAGAAGGTATATGGATATTGAAACCTTATAATTTAAATTGTGGTAGAGGAATCAAATTCATTAGTGATATTGCCAGATTTAAATAGGATCTCCATTAAAAAAGACAATATCAGATAGGAGACTATTATAAAGTATATGTAGAAAATGAAAGGAATAAACTAAAATAAGAAATTCAAGATCATTTGGGAATTAAAGAAAATGTTGATCCTGAACAATAATTAAAATATGATGACATTAATCCAATGTCCATAATATAAAAATATATTGAAAAGCCTCTTTTGTTAGATGGTAGAAAATTTGATATAAGATGTTATGCTTTGATTGCTTAAGTTAAACCATATACAGTACTCTTTCATCATGGATATGCTAGATTAAGTATTTTTGAATACAGTTTAGATGATATTGAAAATGAATAGAATAAAATTATTCATCTCACCAATAATGCTATTTAAAAAACTCATCCAAAATATAAAGAAAAAAAAGAAAGTTCTATATGGACTATGGATCATTTAGAAGAATATTTACAAAATTTTTATCATTATTAAGAAGATCAAATTAAATCAATTAGAGAATAAATTAAATAAATTTCTTATAGAATCTTTAAAGCTGGATAGAAAAAAATTCAAGCTGGAGGACAAAAAGGAGAATTTGAATTATTTGGACTTGATTTTATAATAGATTCAAATCTTAAAGTTTACTTTTTAGAAGCTAATATTAATCCAGCCTTATTTACTGAAAATCCAAATCTTAAATAGATTATTCCTTCAGTTGTTGAATAAACATTAGATATAGTTTTAGCTATTTAAAATAATCAATAGTATTAATTGGGAACATTTGAAGAATTAATAATTGAATGATATTGATTTCATAATTAAAATATATTGTATAAATTATAAAGCATCAAATCTTCTTTATCTTTACTTATCTCCTTAAGAGATTAGAAATTTTGAAAAATCCCTTAGGATTCCAAATAATATTCTCTTTAAGTTTCTGATAATAATGGAATAATATCATAAAGAGGAAATCTATAATAAAATATACTAATATTTACAATTAATTTTATAATCCATATTAAATTACTAAATCTAATTCCTCTTCTCTCTTTTATTGAGATAATTTAATAGCTAAATCTTTAATATATTTTTCTTTATTATCAGCTACTGTTAACATCACTTGATCTATTAAATCTAACTAAATATTAACATTTTTATTACAGTTAATTAGGTTTCATTTAAATTATGATCCAATTCTAAAGTTAAACGTTCGTGTAAATCCATATTTAAATATTAAACCTAATCGATTGCATTTTTGGCAATAAACATTTAAGCAATCAATTTTTACATTTTCTAATCCAATTTACTTGCATTATCAACACATTTTGAAAAGTCATCCACTTATAAATTTATCTTTTAATATTAGATACTAATACACAAAACTCAAGTAATGCATGCTTCAAATGAATAAAAGAAATTTCTTGTGCTTAATTAATGACAATAAGTTTACTATCATGAATCATCAACTAAAAATATTATTACTAAATAATTACAATTTTTAATTATCCATTTGGTCTGACCTGTATTTCAGGGTATTAACCATCAAGTTAATTAGCTTTTAAAAACTCACAACTTTAAAGCTAATTTTATGGTGGATCTAATTAGGCTAAAGTAATTGTAATAGCAACTTAATTCACAACAATTACCATCTTAATTTGAGTTTAAGTAACATAGAATAATAAATCTTCCCAGAAATAGCTATCAGTAATTTATTCAAATTCAGTTAAAATAGGAATAAATTATCCATTCTATTTCATAAGAAGAGAAAAAGTCTTTTCATATTAAAATAATAAAAAGGTCTCATTGATATTGCTAGTTACATTTAATGGAGATATAAACTAATTACCAAATGGAATCAATTGGTTATTTTAAAATTAATAAAATTAACCATGTTTCATTTTAAGTTGTTTAATTTCTGCTTTTAATTTTTAGTCTTCAATATTACATTCAGAATTTGTAACAATAAAATAATAACTTTACACTCCAAAGACTTTTTCAGGTTATGGTAAATTATTTATTGTGGCTTTTAAAAACATAGCCTATTTTTTTGTGTGATCAAATCCATAAATTTAAATGACAAAATTAACAATGTTTGAAGAATAATTATAAATATTTCTGGAAAATGTTTTTTAATTAAAAAATCCACTAGTTTGTGATTCAACCTTTTCTTCAATAGTGATATTTTAATTTCTTTCATTTAAAGGAACAGATATTATTAATTCTTCCTTATATTAATGCCATGCAATAGAATTGCCTATTCCTGTTGAAAGTTGCTCTAATTCACTCAAAAAATGCAAAGTTAATTTTAAATCACTTTCCATCATATCATAATTTAAATTTTTATTATTGATAGAAAGAACAGCATATTGTCCATTATTGTTATGAATCACAAAATATCTTCCTGATAATGAAATCAATATTTTAGAATCTATATAAAAATATAAAAATGATACCATCCCAAGTATAAGTTGTTTAAAAAGTAAATATTTTATGTTATCTACTCATAACAGTCCATTCCTCTTTCTTATTTGTAAGTTCTTAGGTAAATTCACTCAATGTACAAATGACATTTTTACCACTAGTAGAAAGATACATCAAATTAGATTAATCAGTTTATTTATTTAATAGTTCATATTATTTTAATTATTCTTAGGAAATATTAGTTAACTTTTTAAGTAATCCAGTATCATCCACAAATGTTTTACTTTAATTTAATGTTAATGAGCAAACAAAAGTATGATGAAAACAATACTTTTATAAGAGTTCAGAAGCTTGTAATAAAAATAATCCATGAGTTGTAGCAACACATAAAAGATTTGATTTTAATCTATTAGTTGTTATAGTATTGATTTTAATTTATTTATCAACATCAATTACATTTTTTAAATCTAATAGTATAACATAATCAAATTTCTTTTATTGTTTTCCTATTAGATATAAAGCATAAATTTCAGATGATCTTGTATGACCAATATATGTTTAAGATGGAAAATTTGAATGACTAATATGAACAAGTTCTTTAATTGGAATAGGAGGTTTGAATCTATTTATTTCCATACCATTCAAAGAACTCCATAATGTAATATAGTTTTCTGTCACAGTAACAATCTAAAAATCATATGGATCATATGCAATTGATAAAATTTCTTATCCATTATTTGCAGTCATTAATTGTTTGCCTTTTTTGGACATCAAAAATTTAAATGTTGGCTATTCATTTGCTGTGTCTGCATTCCAACATGCCATTGTACCATCTAAACTACTAGCAACAAGACGAGGTCTGTCAAATTAATTTTGCTTATATGATAACATTTAATTAATTCCTTTTTAATGATATCCCTTCATTGTTTTTACAATTAGATTTTATTTCAAATCTATTATCTTAACTCCTTCTCCTCCTACTGCTATATATTATGAATCTATAAATTCTAAACATTTATTTGAAACACCAATAGGTCCATTTGTTATTAGATCTGAATAATCAGAACAATATTTGTAAGAATATAATTTATCAGATGTCAAAATCATTATGCTATTCTACAAATATAAGGATTAATCATTAAAGAGTCTATAAATAATCTAATTATCATGAAATTTCAATTGCTTAACTTCTTAAACTTTATCTGGTTCTATTAATGAAACATTTATTGCTCTCAAACAAGTTTTTTTTTCATAGTCCCAAATCTATAAAATTTGATTTGTTGTATAAAGTAAAAGGAAAGGTTATACTAAATGTACTTCTACAAACCTAATCCTTATGTTAGACTTTATGTCAAATAAAAATTAGAAATTCGGTATTAAATACATAAATTAATCAATAATTTTATTTTTCATCGCTAACTTGAAATAAACTATCTTCACATATACTCTTTTTACTAGCTAGATTCTAATCAAATGAATATTCAGGATCAAATAAATTCTATTCAACTCTATTATAAAATTAACTACTATGAATAGACATGAATTCTGTAAGTTTGGATGGCTTCATACTTGCTCTAGATGCTTTAACTTAATAAAATAATTAAAGATTAATAACTTCCTTATCTTTTTCTAATAATTATAGTATTTCTAATTCTAAATGAGGACTTTACAATTTAGATTATAATATTTTTTTTATTTTTTCTTACAAAATTTATAAAGGTTTCACTTCTTAAATTGGTATAGTTTATATTTCTTAATCAATTGTTTATTTTTTTTTAATTGGAATAATTACAATCTCTTCACTTATCTTTTGGCATTCATTTTTCTATTCTTTCATAATAGTTGGGATTTCTTCTTTATTATTTTTTTTTTTAATAGGTGTTTTATCTAGAATAGATTTTATAAATTTAAGTAAATTTAAAATCATATTAGATTCTTTATTTGCTATTTTAAAAATATCAACCTTCATTGAATTATCTAATTTTGAACAATAATGAGCAACTTAAGTTAAAGTTTCTAAACGAGAAACTATTGTTGAGTTTTTTTTAAATTATGGAATTTCAATTTCTGGAAAGTATCTTCGTAGTAAACATAAGAAATGTCTACCATCTGACATGCTTTCAATATTACTTGCCTTCATTTATGGACATTTTTCATTCACCCATCTTAAAAGTCCTAATCTCACACTCATCTACTTCAAAGTTTTTTTATTATTTAATAATTATTAAACTAATTTAATTTATCAGTTTATTTATATCTTTTAATTTGTTTTTATTCAAAAATATTCAATTTTTCATTTTTTAATTAATATTATAAAGAAAAAATAAATAAAAAAAATAATTATTTCAATGTTAAAATATCTACTTGTTCATAAATTTAATTTTCTATATTATTAGATTTTCTTTATTAAACAACATACTAATTTTATAATATGAGAACTATTGTTTGCCAAAAATAGTTTCTTTTCATTTTCTAAAACTTTACCTTCTTCTTAATTTGTAGGAATGGTTTCTGTATAGTCTTAATTACAAAAGACTTATCCAGTATAACCTTTTTTAAATCTGATACACTGAAAATTATTTAAAAATTTACAAGTTTCAAATTGGGCATTAATTTCAAAGGACCTATTATTGTTATTGGATTGATAGTTAATTCAAATAATTGAAAAAACTTTCTTTTTTCGTTTTCCATTTTTTAGAGTTTATTAATTTTTAATTCTCCTTCCTTTTCATGAATATGAAAACCTGGTATAGATAATGATAAATGTTTGAATTCTTAAGTTTAGTATTACTTATATTTTTTAGCTTCTCTTCTAATCTTTGTTTTTTTCCAATTTATATTTGATTTCAAATTAGGTTTCTCTAAATCTTATGGCATCTATATTTATTTTGTTTTTTCTTAATAAAATTAAGGTGATGGTATTTCCTCATAAATTCTTTCTTTTATTTAACTATTTTTGGATTTACGATATCCTAAAATCCCTTCTTCATAAGAATTATTTTATTATTCTTAAAACTAAAAGCTTGCATCTAAAAATTGTTTAATTTTTTGTTATTTTTATTTTTAATCGTTATTTATGCAATCAGCAAAACTAATTTCACCTTAAAACAAATAATTTCTTTCTTATAAATCTTGATAATTATTTCTAAGCCAATATTTTTTAATGAATTACTTATTTGAATTATATTCAGAACTATCCCTATATTAAACTTAATTTTTAGAACCATTTTTTTAAATTGAAAATTCACACTAAAACTAACATTTATTCCCTTTATTCATATACTTTTCAAGATCTTATTAATTATCAAGACCCCAAGAATTTCTTTTAGTATTTTTATTATTAACTAACAATTCTTCTCTTATGTCATTTCCGCTTGATATTATGTTTTGTTTTATTTTAAGAGGTTAAGGTTTTGCTATTTAAAGAACCTTATCAACCTCTTATTCTATTTCATTTGACAGCCAGAATAAATCACTATCATCAAGCCAGAAATTAGGATCTCTAATATTATTACAACTAATATTACTATGTAGAAAGAGGAGGTGAATTAAATTCTTAGGACTTCTTTTCAATCATTTTACCAACTGAATTATTAATCTTAACTTTCTTTCCAAAAGAGGTTCTCATATTCAAATTAAATTTAATAATTTAACTTCTTTCTTGGTCATAAATTATTACTAATAATATATATATAAATAATCATAATAAATAAAATATACATAATTGCTTATTTGATAAATAATTCATGATTCCATATCAATAAACCACTTATATTATATTAAACATAAGAATTTTTTACTTCAAATTAACAAAATATTATTTTTATTATGTATTTTAAGAGATATTCTTATAATTTACAAATAAATGGTATTATTGTATTAAAGAGATGGAGTTAATGATTAAATTAAATTTAAATAAATTTTATTTTTAACAATTATATCAGATTTCTTATGATGTTCAATTACAAATATATTAAATTAATATCTGTGATTAATTTATTTTAATTAATGAGATAATAAAAAGATGGTCTATTTTTTCAAAGCCAGTTATATGTAAAAGAACTATGTGAACCACTGAATATTTTAGAATTGTTATACGATTAAGCTAATTAAAGTATAAGTCATTCAATAAAACCGGAAAATTTGGAAATAATGAATAAAACCAATAAAAATGATAGTTCAACTAAAAGTAGACATTAACTGTAACAATCTAGTTTATAGTAAACAGAGAAGTAAAATAAAACCCATATGGATCTGAATGGGCAAATAAAGTATTAGAAAAACAATTTGGAGTTCATTTATCTCAAATAACCCAAAGAAAAAGGCCTAAATGGATCATCAAAAAATTGAAACCAGCTGAATGCAATGAAATTAAAGAAAAATCACATTCTCGATTGATTTATGTATTAAAAAGTGCATAATCTTTAGGACATAAAAACTTAAGAAAAATTATATAGACAAACAGCCTCTAAATCAAATAGCAGAGGAAGAGATAAAATAGTTAAAAATTATGGTTAATCTTTTAGTAGGCGTAGATAGCCTTTACCTACTTTTGATATCAATTTCTTATACAAATTAGATAAATAAAATTAATGATTATATTTAATGAATTATGTTAAGAATCTTTAAACTTAATTAGTTTCCATCTAATTAATCTTATTTCAAAGTGTAATAAAATACATTCAATATTATATTAGATAAATAAACCTTATTTTTGGATTATTAAACAAAATAAAGAAATTAAACAATTTAGATAAATACTTATCTATATCAGCTAAAAAGATATGGAGAAAAGAGTTAAATTTACAAATTAAATATCATAATATAGATATAATTGATCAGGATAAAATTTTCCTAAAAATGAATTAGGGAGAATGAATTTCTTCATCCTGATTTTAAAGGGTATTATCATCCTATAAATAATGTTCTTACTTTGAGGCTAAAAATTGCATACTTGAAATAGCTTTATAATGGTTTTTTGGCATTTTCAATTATTCTATCATATTGTTTAAATCATTGAGATTGAGATCTGGATTTTATACAAATTCTATGACTTACTTTGGACAATGAACTAGATTATGAAATGGGAGATAGGTTAGAGACATAAAGTCGTTAAATATATATATTTATAAATTTATAAAAAATGTTCAAGGTTAAAATATATTGTTTTTTATATTTATACCAAATTATTTAGGTCATTTCTTGGAATATTTTTAATCACGACATAATTATGATTTCTCAATTAATTGTATTTTAAAATTTGTATATTCGGGTATACTAGTTAAGGAACTAAAAGGGGAAATAAAGTCAATAATTATTATTATGATTAGCTAAATATAATTTGCTAATTTAGTGATAGAAATAAATTATCTTTTTTGACCTATTTATATTTTAATGAGAAAAATAATAATTGTAAAGAATGATATAAATTTTTTTAATTTTATGTATTTATTAAAAATTTTTGATTCATATAACAAATAAGCAATTTAGATAAAATAATAGAAATATTTAAATAATATAATTAGAAGTATATTTAATATAAAGAAAAATCAAAATATTAATTGTTCTAACCCTAGAAGTTAGTTAATTTTATCTAATGTAATCTCATCACAATACTTTAAAGGATCTTCCTCATTTTTCTAATCTAATTATCATAAAATATAGTACTAATGAATTATAAATTAATATAAATTTTTCAACTCCTAATTATTCTTCAAGATCCATTCTCATCTTCTCAATTTAATCTGCAAGTGATTCTCCAATAAATTTTTATTCACTCTAATAATGTCTAATTTTCCCAGAGTGATTCTCATATTTACTAATTTATCCAGAAATAAATTGAATCTTTTGTAAATTGTAAGTTTTTCTTTACAAAAATTCATTTCTTGATTTTCTAACTATTCTATAATCTAATATTTGATTAATAGTTAGTCTTTTCTATGGATCTGTATTTAATATATCCTTTAATAATTAAATAAGTTCTTATGAATAAAATGTAGGTACAGGTTAGTATTTTCCAGTAATGATTTTCAAAAATAATCCCTCCATTGCTATATTTATTAAAATATTATACTTTTTGCATCAAATGCATGTTTTAAAGCCATCATTTCATATAACATACAACCTAAACTCCAAATATCTGATTTAAAATCATAAGGAATTCTTTAACACACTTCTGGACTTATATAATATGGAGTTCCTATAGCAGTTTAGCAGAGATCTTCTGAATTAATTAATGATTTTGCAATTCCAAAATCTCCTAATTTAATTTCTCCTTTTGAAATAAAAATATTTTGAGTTTTGATATCTCGATGTATGATTCGTCTATCATGGATGTATTTGACAGCTAAACAAATTTATGTGAACCATTCAATAATTTAGGATTCTTTCAAATGTTCTTATTTTTATTTTTATTATTCAAGTCTTTAATGTAAAGTTCCTTCTTCTGCATAATCCATTACAATACATAAATATTTACTAAATTAGATATATTGATTTACTTTCTATCTACAAAAGATTCTCTGTATTCTATTATACATGGATGATGTAAATTCTTTAATACATCTATTTCATTAAGTGCATTTTCTTTTTCTTTCATGTCAAATTTAGATGCATCTATTATCTATAATAGCCTTCAGATTACCTTCATGATATAAAATTTTCTATCCTATTTATTTTAAACCAATATAGCTTATCCATAACTACCTTTTCCCTTTAATTCTATCTTCCTATAGCGTTCCATTAATCTATTTTTAACTGTTAAATAATAAATAAAATTTAAGTCAATTAATTACATTTCAACTTAATAAATTTATTTGAACTGCTATATGAAAACTTAACCAAAACCAATAATAAGAATCTATTTCTAAAATATTATTTAATCTAAAATTCATCATCTAAATCAAAAATTATATAATATATGAGATTCATTTGTTTAATTCATAAATCCCTTTATATTATCAAAATTTCATAATTTATTAAATGGAAAACAAAGAAGAACATCTCCATCTTGAAGTCACAATTTAAGAATTTTCATCTGATTCTACTTCTACCCAATTATTGGCTTTTCAGATAAAAACAAGTATTTAGTTTCTAATACTTTAGATCATGAAACAATTAAAACAAACTCTTATGAAATATGCAATGGTTAGAATCTAATCAATGAATCCCATTAAATTTCTTTAGAAAATAGATCTATTGATTCTAACTATAATAAATTGGAACTTGTACTTCTATTAGACAATGAGGTTGCAGGAAGAGTATATTGTAATTTAACCAGATTGATTAATTCTAAATTTGAGCTTTAATATTATAATGATCAATAAATTGAGATTGAGGAAGAGGTGTTCTTAAATAACATTCAAATGTTAAACCTAAAAGTAAAATTAAGATTAAAAGTATTAAATCAAAATGAAGAGTTTTCATAAAGAACAACTATTAATACAGCATCTTCTGAAAATTAATATGAATAAAATATAGTTTTATCTTAGATGAGAGAAGAAATTGAACATTGGAAATCTAAATATACTAATCTTGCTAAAGAATTGGATTCATTAGGTGATGAACTATTATCTTTATCTATTAAAGAAAAAGGAAATCTATATTCATACTTAACTACAGAGATCAATATATTTAGAAAAATAATGAAATCAAAATTGCAGCATTTCTTATAAATACATGATAATTAAGTGGATTAAATATATTTATATAAAAAAGAATTAAATTCTTACAGAACTAAATTATGCTGTAAAGTAACAATATTCATTAATATCATATAGTGTTCAGAACCTTTTTTGAAAAATAGTTCTTAAAGTCTTTCTGAAAAAATTCAATACTTAACTTCAATTATTGACAAGTATATTTTTTATTTATTTAATAGAAAATAAACAGAATATATGTAATTAATGAAATCTTTAGAGGTAGAAAAATAATAATAGAAATCCTTATAAAATACTATTAAAATCTTAAATCAATAATAATTTCAATTAAGATAAGCCTTAGCAAAATCAAAGAAATAAATTGAAGATATTACCAAACTTTAATCTTAATAAGAATTAGAAAATTAATAATTACATAAAGATATCATGTCTAAAACTCAAATCCTAATTTAATTAAATAAAAGATGTTTAGAATTAGAGAAATAAAATTCAAAAATGAATTCTGATTACACAGAAATCATAAATTTATAAAAAGAATGGAGTCTATCAATACACAAATCATTTGAAAAAGAGTCTTCTGAAAAATAATAATTAATAGATGCCTTAAGTGAATTGAATAACTTAGTAAAATCTCTTACTTCAAAAGAGAACTCAAGTTCAGATTCAAAATAAGTTAAGGAATGTTAATGCAAAATAGAACAATATATTAATGATTATCATTTATAAGTTACTTAATTAGAGCAATTACTAAATCAATATAGTATCAAATTCTTAAATTAAAATACAACTTCTAATTCAATAAAAACAGATGAATCAAATAAATTTACTTTATAATTACCTTTGGAAAATGTAAATGAACAAGGGATCAGAGATTCAGAAATGTCAAAATATTTGAATTATTAAATGGAATAATATGTTTAAAATCTGATCCAATAAAAAGATGATGAGATAACTAAATTAAAGCATAAAATAGGCGATATGCTCAACCTTGCTTTAGAATTAGGCAATTCAGTGTTAATCGAGTAAATGTAACTCACAGTAATGTGAGCATTATATGATTACGAATGAAATTCAAATTTTATAATTTTGAAAACACACTTCTTGAAATCAAAAAGAAGTTATATTATTATTTAATTTCTATATTTTATATTAATAATATGATTTAATATTATTAGGAATATCTAAGAAAAATTTAAAGAAATTTAAATAGATTCTTAAATTAATATATCATCTTTGTATTATTATGATTTTATTTGATTTGTTCTCTTTTTGGATATCCTTCAACTGATATAATAATTTCATTTATAAAAAATTATAATAAAAAAATTAATTTGAAAATGCAATAAGCAAACGATGAGGAGGCACAGAGATTGAAGGCCAAATCAGACTTATAATCTGTAACATATATGCAGTGAAAAAGATATTTTTATTAGTGTCAATTATAATGGGCTTTTGTTTTTTATTTAATTCGAATATAACATTTGGATGGGATTACAAAATAATTATTGTATATGCATGTACAACATAATTCGCATTTATGATATCAAAACTACTTTCTAGTAAAGGGTATTTTATATGCAAATTAAATATAGCATCAATTCTTATTGTTGTTTTGCTGTATTGGAAAGTGCTATTTTAATCACTTATTTATTAGGAATCGTCTATAATAAGGAAGTTTCACCAATAAATATTAATTTCATTAGCTACGCTCTTCTCATTTTATAATTTGTAATTTTGGCAATAACAGTTTTAATAAGCAGATAAAACTTTGATAGTGATGCTTAGGATTAATCAAAATAAATCTAAGAAATAGTATATAATAGATCTATATAAGTTAATAGCTGCAATAAAAAGCATAGGTTCATTGTAGATTGTATTTTTAAGTTTGAAATGGAGTTAATAAATCAATTGGTGTTGGATGCAAACTCTTGTAATTATTTGGTTTAGTATTGGTACTATGGCATTGATTGAAGTATGCTTAATTATAGATTTGTTGTTAAAATGTTGCAATGATTAACTTGAAAATAAAAAGTCATTGAGTAAAAAATATGATTATTATTAGTTTATGGAGGTGTATGGGTGAATATTGTACTTTTAGGATTTATTATTGATACAGGAATGACATTTTTAGGATTAGGTTTATTATTAGACTATAATATTGAATAAGTAAATTTATATGGTTTCATTACTTCTATAATTTATTATATATTTCAGATATTGTTCTATCTGAAAAATTAAGAAGAATTAATGTAATAACATTTATGATTATTAGTTAATTTTTAAATTTATCAGAAATTTAATAACCAACTAGACCTTCAGAATAGCCTATTGAATAACTTACATTGAAAGAGAGAATTAAATAAATTCATAGAGTTAGCATAAGTAAAGTCCCTCAATTTATGGTGAAATTATCGGCCACTTATTTTAGAAAGTAAGAAATAAATGAGAATCAAAAAAACTAGAATGAATTAGGTTCATCTTAAGATAAGAAGTTTCGATCAATAAGTTTTTCAGAAATTAAAAAACAAAAAGAAATTAAGAAAAGTCCATCTTAGGATTTAGATGAAGATTTAACAAAAAAATTTGATTAATTACTATCATCTCCACGTATAAAATTGGAAGTTAGTGAAAGTATGGCTCCAGAATTATCAAGTAGAGGATAATAGAAATAAAATGTATTATGTCTAGTTTGTTATGAAAAAGAAAGCAATATGATTAATTAGCCTTGTGGTCATGGAGGATTTTGTTAAGAATGCTCATAATAGTTATTATCAAAGAGTAATTATTGTATGTTATGTCGAAAACCTGTGACACACACATTACTAGTATAAGGAGTTGAAAATCGTGAAAGTTTAGTTGAAGTTGTAGGAATTTATTAAGGAGGATAGAAATAAAAATGATAAATTTATGCTAATAATTCATTTAATTAATATAATATAATCAACAAATATTTTTTAATTAAAATTTTTATAATACGCTAAAATATAGATGTACTGTTGTTTCTATATTTTATTATCTAAAAGCTAATCAGAGGCTGAAACAATTAGTGTTCCACCGCCAGAATAAATTTATCATATAATTTATTTACAGTATTGTGTATTTGCATATTTTACTCTTTTTAATGGTGTTAGTCTTTAGGTTGAAGACTCAAATGTGATAAGTTAATATCGACAATAATCGCTTAGAAGATCAAGCAATAAGCTTTATGTTTGCTTAACCATTGTTATCTTCTATCCATCCATACTTCCACTAATATCAATCAAACAAATCTAAACATAAATTAAAAAATAAATACCAAATCTACTCCAACCCTTTAATTTTCAGAATTTTGAGTAATAATTTTATCTTATGCTTTTATACTTACAATTCCAGGTAAGTATTATGCTATGTTAGGGAATAGTTTGACCTTTTTGTATAAAGGTTTTATTTCGAATTATAAATTTACATTTAAATCATATTTTACTGTTTATTTTAAATTATCTTTGTTTGGTTGAATCATATCATCATCTTGATAATTAATAATAAGTTAATGATAATTTTCTGTATTACTCATTCCAAATAGACTAGGCTATAAATTACATTAAGCATAAAACTATTATTAAGGCTANACAAAAAGAAATTAAGAAAAGTCCATCTTAGGATTTAGATGAAGATTTAACAAAAAAATTTGATTAATTACTATCATCTCCACGTATAAAATTGGAAGTTAGTGAAAGTATGGCTCCAGAATTATCAAGTAGAGGATAATAGAAATAAAATGTATTATGTCTAGTTTGTTATGAAAAAGAAAGCAATATGATTAATTAGCCTTGTGGTCATGGAGGATTTTGTTAAGAATGCTCATAATAGTTATTATCAAAGAGTAATTATTGTATGTTATGTCGAAAACCTGTGACACACACATTACTAGTATAAGGAGTTGAAAATCGTGAAAGTTTAGTTGAAGTTGTAGGAATTTATTAAGGAGGATAGAAATAAAAATGATAAATTTATGCTAATAATTCATTTAATTAATATAATATAATCAACAAATATTTTTTAATTAAAATTTTTATAATACGCTAAAATATAGATGTACTGTTGTTTCTATATTTTATTATCTAAAAGCTAATCAGAGGCTGAAACAATTAGTGTTCCACCGCCAGAATAAATTTATCATATAATTTATTTACAGTATTGTGTATTTGCATATTTTACTCTTTTTAATGGTGTTAGTCTTTAGGTTGAAGACTCAAATGTGATAAGTTAATATCGACAATAATCGCTTAGAAGATCAAGCAATAAGCTTTATGTTTGCTTAACCATTGTTATCTTCTATCCATCCATACTTCCACTAATATCAATCAAACAAATCTAAACATAAATTAAAAAATAAATACCAAATCTACTCCAACCCTTTAATTTTCAGAATTTTGAGTAATAATTTTATCTTATGCTTTTATACTTACAATTCCAGGTAAGTATTATGCTATGTTAGGGAATAGTTTGACCTTTTTGTATAAAGGTTTTATTTCGAATTATAAATTTACATTTAAATCATATTTTACTGTTTATTTTAAATTATCTTTGTTTGGTTGAATCATATCATCATCTTGATAATTAATAATAAGTTAATGATAATTTTCTGTATTACTCATTCCAAATAGACTAGGCTATAAATTACATTAAGCATAAAACTATTATTAAGGCTAGGTTGTGTTAAAATTGGGAGATTTGGTGAAGATTAAAGTGGTATTTGATTAAAATTTTGGAAACTTAACTACTGTTTTTGATTTAAAATTTATTATTGTTAATTAGATATATTGGCAAACATTGATTATTGTTGCTGTTTTTGATTCATTATGATAAAGAAATAATATATTTAAATAGTTTAAAATTTTATTTTCTGCTTTCAATCATATTATTTTGATTAAATCTGATTATTTAATATAATTTATTAACTCATATTAAATAAAGGTAAACACATGAATTAAATTTAAAAAAGAAGGAATAAAAATTATGAATTATATACTATGAATATAATTAAAACTTTTGGTATCATTTAAAATAAAAAAAAAAGAATAATTAAGAATAATTATATCAGAAATTATCAAATAATTTGTATTTATAAACAAATTTTTTTATGCGCATTTAAATATATAAAAAAATAAAATGATTAAGACTAACTTTCAATAACATCCTAGTAAGGTAATACTTTTATTTATGTTTTTAGATTTAAGTCTTAGTTAGAACTTAAAGTTAGTTACCCATAAACCTTTCATAATAACTTTAATAACAAAAGTTAGAATACGTTTAGTAATAAAAAATTGCAAAATAACCTGTAAGATAAACTCTCCAATATCAGATGAATCCTCATATTAATTAATTATAATTCAAATAGAGTGAGTTAGTGTAACCAACACAATTAGGATAATACATACCTTATTACCCTAATGTATAAAGTATATAAAGATCCCAAGTTGTTTAAAAGATCATAAATTATCAAGATGATGATATGATTCAACCAAACAAAGATAATTTAAAATAAACAGTAAAATATGATTTAAATGTAAATTTATAATTCGAAATAAAACCTTTATACAAAAAGGTCAAACTATTCCCTAACATAGCATAATACTTACCTGGAATTGTAAGTATAAAAGCATAAGATAAAATTATTACTCAAAATTCTGAAAATTAAAGGGTTGGAGTAGATTTGGTATTTATTTTTTAATTTATGTTTAGATTTGTTTGATTGATATTAGTGGAAGTATGGATGGAGTTAAAATTCAAATGGTTAAATAATCTTTAATTGTTTTACTTTAATTTCTTGGTGATAACGATAGACTACAATTGATAGCGTTTAATGATTATGCCCATAGATTATCACCATTAAAGAGAGTAACAAAACAGAATAAAATCTATTTTACTTAAGTTATTCAATAAATTTAGATAGATGGAGGTACTTGTATTTCAGAAGCTACTAATTTGGCATTTTGCTAATTAAAAAATAGAAAATATTTAAATAATGTGACATCTATTTTCTTACTTTCTGATGGTATTGATTATACTTTTCCAGAAATTAAGGAACAAATAAAGACAGTCAATTAAGTATTTACTCTACATACATTTGGTTTTGGATAAGATCATGATGCTTCTATGATGACTTAAATTTGTAATTTAAAAAGTGGAAGTTTCTACTTTGTTTAGGATGTAACATTATTGGATGAATTCTTTGCAGATGCTTTGGGAGGACTTATTTCAGTTGTTGGTGAATAATTAGAAATAACTATTACTTCTTAAGCACCTCCTCCCTATTAAAACATTTAAATATCTAAAACTTATGGTAATATGTGGCAAAAGAAAGGAAATCAATATTATATTACACAACCTTAATTTTCTTCAGGATCCAGAAAAGATTATGTTTTTGAACTGGCTCTTCCTAAATTTTCAGGTAGAGTTTAAGACTTTTCAAGATCTATTGGGGTTTTATTTGCTGAATTAAAAATTTAAGATCCTACTAATAGATCTATTATAACAAAAAGAGCAAGCCTTGACTTAAACTTTTTTAATTTTGACGAATAAATCAACGAAAATATTTATCCTGATATTGATGTTTATGCATAGTATATCAGAGTTAAAGGAACAGAAGTAATTGATGAAGCAGGAAAAGCTTGTGAATAAAATAAGAATGAGGATGCCTGTAAATTAATTGATAGTATGTTGATACAAATTTAACAGAATCCAAATGTTGCTGCTTAATGTACTGGAATTATTTAAGATTTGCAATAAGCAAAATAAGCATCTACAAGAACATCATATGATTTATTTGGCCAGAAACTAATGTGTCAAATGGTCAGTAATAATTATCAATAGGGAGGAGTCAATTCTATGTTTTCTACCTAAGGAATTTAATTATAATAAAATTAGCCAGCTGCATACTAGAATATTTAATAATAATAAATGATGGTTTAAGTGCAAAAATAAAAACCTAATTGCAGGCAATATTGATTTTTTTAATAAATTTATGAATAATTTTATAAAAAATAAATATTAAATTATTATTCTAATATTTCTCTAATGTTATTCAAAGAGATCAGTAAAAATAAATTATGGATCTTACAGAGGTACATGGAATGAATATTGCAGTTACAGTGCCTTAAAAATGTGTTAAAACTGCAAATATTCATCTCTATACTTTAGTGATTGGTAAGAATATGTAGAGTATATAATACAGAACACTGTAAGTTTTGTTTTTGATACAATGAATATGATTTGAATTAAGTATATGTATCATTCAGGGTATATATTTGATTTTACTATAAATTATTTTTGAAAAATTATAATAGTTGCTAAAATCATGGCTCAATCTTTAATCTTATTCTATGTCATATCATTATTATGAATTATTCATTAATAAAGATGAGGATGAAAAAAGTATTAATTAGTAATTACTAAAACATAAAATATTATAAAATTATTAAAATAATAATTCTTAATTTAATTCGTATATTATTTTAGAGTCATCGAAAACGAAGTTCTTATCTTGATATTTTTTATAAAAAGTAACAAAAATTAAGAACTTTAATCAGAAAATTTTAAAACATCTTCCTTATTCTTTTCTAAGACATTTAACAATAAAACTTTACTTTGGATTGTTTATATTCTGATTTTGATAAAAATATAAAGAAATATTCAGAAAAATATAATTTAATTATCTTACTTAGAGAGTTGCTAATTTATATGAGCAATGCTTAATAATATATTAAAGCTTGAAAATTAAATAAATATTCATCAATTAACTTCTTCTTCTACATCTTTTGCAAATTCTAGTTTCAAATCTTTATAAAACTAAGTCAAATGAACATTAGTAATGGCTACACTATTAGCAATAGACTTATTTTAGCTAGGTAAAATAGGAATCACCTAGAGTATTTTACTTTTTAATGTGTTTAAATATTATAAGATTGGAGTTGTTATAGGATCAGTGTTTTCTGAAGTATCAACAGAAAGAGATAACTCTTTAATTCGATCACTATAGTAATCACCTCCCCACCATAATTCTGTTTCATCATCAAAGTTTTTATCCATTAAACAATTCAGAATAATTGTTGTTTCTACAAGTAACTATATAAAAGATTATATAAAGTTTACTTAAATTGTTTCTTTGATGATAAACTCTCTATTTTTAAGAGAATCATTTTTAGAATTAATATAGTTTATGTATTCATTTCTATAATATTCTAAAACTTTGGATTTAATTTTTAAAGCCTTCTCTGTATAGTTATTGTAAGATCTGAGTATCAATTAAGATTTGCTTTCAATTCTTTCTGCCAGAATATCACAAGAATCAACGTATATTTAATTTTTTGCAATCTACTCTTGTAAATATTCTTTGACTGGCTTTGTTCTCATCACATTAGCTAAAGATTGGCTTTCCACAAAATCAATAGCCTCCTTTGTGGTACTGAGTGTTTAAGGACTGCTTTAGGATTGTTTGATCTCAAGTATTTTGATTGGTTTTTTCTCTTTTTGTTTCGTACACTGAAGGCCCATTAAATAAGTATTGTTATTATTAATAATTTTAAATCAAATTTAGCCATGTAGTCCCAAATAAGTATCTTTTCGTAATAATCTAGTATGTTATACTCATGAAAATTATTTAGAAAACTTTTCTAAACATGTTTTCAAAAGAGATAAGATTTTACCGCTTATTAATTTAAATGCGTCATCAAAATTATAAAAAAATTCAAGAATTCATAAAATATCTATATGATTCCATTGTTATCAATCAAAAACTCTATCCAAAATTTTCTAATTGATTATCTTTTCATATATAAAAGAATAATTATACAATATCAACAATTTTTTTGGAACATAATAAAATAGTAATATTCTAAAATATCCTTTTCTAAATAAGTTCATTCATGTTTGATACAATATCTAACTGTGGTTGCTTTAATATTCTATCACTCTATTAAATACTTTTTAAGCTTATAAATTCATCTAATTAAGCATTTTATATTAGCATTATTTAGACTGATTATTGGACAACATTATTAGTCAAATTTATAAATAAATACTTTATATTATTGGCATATTTTCTAATTCCTCCCAAAAAATATTATACAATATTTATCTATTTGATCTACAAAAATTTTTAAATTATGATCAAATAAATTCCTCCTTTTAAATCAGGTGGTTGATTTTATAAATATATTTTTATACTATATTTTTCTATTTCAACAAGATAATCAACTAATATTTAAATCATTTCAATGTTGTTGGATCCAAATTTTTTATCTACATAATATGTATTAAATTATCTTTATTCGAATTTTCTGTAAAAAAATAGTTCAAATTCAATGTTTTATATTTTTGTTCTAGACTTTTTGACGTTCGAGTTTATTAAGCAGTGAATTTTCGTTTTTGATCTTGTATACTTAAAATTTTTTTGATTCTCCCTTAATATATTCCTTAATTGTATTATATCCATTTCTTAAAGTACTCATAATTTACTGATACCAAACCCCTTTTTATTTTTTTATTTTCTAAAGTAATTGAGCAGTTTTTCGAAAAATCTATATTTTTATTATAAAGTATTAGATTTGTAAGTTATAAAGACATTTTAAACAATAGTGGTTTTGTTATTTTGTAACTTACAGATTAAGGTCTTATTCTATCATCAACCTCAATACTTTATTTTCTCTTCTTTCAATTCATATATTTACTTAAAATCATGTACATTTTTATTATTTTTACCTGCTTAATCATAAAAGCGTATTTTGTGAAGTATTTTGAAATTTATTTTTGTTGAACATGCTCTAACATCATTTTTGTGGATTATAACTCCCTGCCTTAAGTTTTATGGCTTATTAAACATCAAATTATATATTAATATTAAAATTTAAAAAAAGAATTTTATTAACATAATTGAACTTAATTGAATTCATTCTTTTGTATAATTTTCAACTTTTAAGAAGTACATTAGTGAGTTATTAGATTCTCTAAGAAGTTTTTGCTAAATTTATTTAAATATAGATTGAGGTTGATGATTATCAGCATATTTCTTTAGAATTTTATTTTTAATTAATATTTTATTTATCTTAATTAATTTATTAAAACGATCACTTAAATTGCATTTTCAGGTGATTATAATAAAAGTACTTTGAAAACTATTTAAATAGTTTTTCCTATCATCTTAGAGCTCTCTTATGTCTTAAATATAATACATGAATCAATGTATTCTATATATTAATTTTGGTTAAGTCTATGATGAATTCTACTTGATTATATATTATATTACAAAATTTTGAGATATTTTAAACTATCGATTATCTATTATTAATTTATTAAATTATTAATATATAAGATAAGATTTATTCAATATCCTGGTATATGAGTAAAATATACGTAATTATTATATATTATTAAAAAATATTCACAAATCAGTTTATGATTCATTCTATTGAAGATCATTATCCTAGGTATGATTATTGACATCATCTAAATTGTCATCATAATTATAATCAATATTTTGTTATTGTTGATCTTAACTTTCCTAAATATTATTTTTTTGATGATTAACAAGATCTTCTTCTGCTTGTTTCATCAATTCACTCAGATCTGGTATAGCTCTTTTATGTAATGGTTCCTAAATTTCATATTTTATTATACTTATTTGCCCTCTAATTTATCTTTACCCCATTCAAGAATGTCATCTATAGTTTATTCACTTGCTTCCTAAAATCCTGTTATATATGAAGGTTCTTGAACAATAATGTAGATTAGGAAAATAAATGCAATTATACCAATTAATCTAAAAGAAATTTCTAACTTTCCATCTGTATATTTGTAATTTGAATATAGAGGTTTGAATGATCCGAAGATTCCATATGACTAGAATTCTTAATATGAAAACTTACATCATTATTTAAGTTAGGGAGAATCCAAAAAGCATAACCCAATAATCTTGAGATTATATAAACAATCAATCTTATTACTTGTAGAGCAACCAGAAATACTAGAAGGTATAATGTAACTTTAAAGACACCATATTTAAATGCAAATGGCCAAATTGGATAGAGGAATGCAACAAATACTAATAGTAGAATGCCTGCCATTATGAGATTGTTCATTTTGCTCTTTACGACCAAATTCCAAGTATAAAATCCATCATTAGTAAAGGTTTAGTCCTTTGAATATGACTATATAAATTAACCTTTGTGTCAAAGACTTTTCTAGGCCATTTCTTTTTTGGGTCATCTGCTAGTCTATCAATTTTAACAATAATGCGATTTTCATTGAGATATTTTGCTATGGATATGGCATCTTTTTTCTTATCAGGAAGTAAATTTTTAATATCCTCGAAATAGGTTGTAGTGAATTTAATGAAATCTTCTCCCTTGAAGATTTATATCTTCTTCTGATATTTGAAATTGGCATCCTTAAGCTAGATTGCATCTTTATGCTTATGATAAAAGTGATAAAGAGGATATAATTGTTTCTCAAAGGCTTTTCTTTCCTCAGTCATTTACGTGTATAAATATTAAATTAATATATCATGTCTTTTTTTTTAGGGATTTCTGCTGGAGTTGTTATAATTATTGTTGCAAAAACTATTACTGTTAATGAAACTTTGTATCTTAACCTTAGAAATTATTATAAATTTATGCCACAATATTGGATGCACTTTTTTGGCTAGTCAATTTTTGAGCAGGTTAAACTGTAGCCTAACTTTATGATTTCTTTAATTGCTAAGATTATATTTGTTGTTATCTGATAATTTATTATATTTCTTCAATATTTGATTTTTAAACTACCTAAGAACTATTATGATTTTCCATTTTAGTTTATTTTTAAAATATAGAACCTGATTATTATTGTTGGTCAGATTAATTAATATATTAATTTCCATCAATAAGTTCATCTGGATTCATTCCTAATTATTATAAATACTTCGCTTGCCACTTCTTTCTTTATTCTTTCTTTCTTCTATTTATATCATTATATAAAGCTTCTCTATATTCTTTAATTGAAAATTTTTTATTATCATTCATTGGTATTTTAATTGGTTCTTGACACACAATTTCTTCTTCAGGAGATGAAAATTCTTTGACATACTTATGTCTAATTGCTTAATCAACAGTTAATCTCATTTTTGGATTAAAAACCAATAATCTAAATTTAATAGAAAAATTACCTTCTTAACAAATCTAAACAATCATCACTAGCACCTTGAAAGAATTATTAAAACGATTTCTTTTTTGTTACAGTAACAGAAGATAATATATGAGCAGCAAGAGGTGATTCTAATGATTCAACATCTTGATCGGTAGGCTTACCATTTAATTCTAAAATTCGTTCAATTTAATTTGCAGTTGAAGTTCCTGGAAATATTGCCTTACCAATTACTAATTCTCCAAGTATGCATCCTATACTCCACATATCAACAGCCTTAGTATAATTAGTGGATCCAAGAAGAATTTCTGGTGCTCTATACCATCTAGTGGCCACATATTCTGTGAGAATAGGTGGAGCTATTGTTTAATATTTATAGATGTACTGCAATCCTCTTCATTTATTGCTATACTTCTAGCTAATCCGAAATCTGCTAGTTTCATATGACATTCCGAATTTAATAATATATTTGATGGTTTAAGATCTCGATGAATCAATTCTCCTGAATGTATGTATTTAAGAGATTTCAAAATTTAATATATAATGAATTTCTTATGTACTTCTTCAAGAATACCAGCACGCTAATTATACAATTTTTATTATACAATGACTGCATGTAAATCTGTTTCCATGTAATCGAAAACTAAATATATATCCTTATTGTTTTCTGCTTTGATAATATTCAACAACCTAACTATGTTCTCATGACCATTTAACTCTTATAAAAACATAATCTCTCTAAAAGTTCTTTGTGCATCTGTAGCATTATGGAAAGCATCAAACACTTTTTTCAATGCAACAACCTTTTAGAATTTAAAAATATAGTTGTTACAGTTTTCAATTTCTTATCAACTGCTTTCCACACTATTCCATATGCACCTTTTCCTAATTTCTAAATTATTTCAAATTTTCTAGCTATGTGTGGTTCAATTTCTTCTGCCATTTATAATTTTATTATTATTATTTTATGTGCACTAAATTGAATATAGCTAACTCTAATTCAAATGTAATGCTTTATTTAAAGTTAAGAGAAGGTGGTTGTGATAAAGTTTAAGCTCGTCAATTTTGCAGGAAGAATTTTTGTAAAGTATAACAAAAAAACTTATACAAAAGATCGATTAATCACAAAAATCAATAGGACCACCAGGACATAAGGTTCTTAAATTACATCCCAATCATTTATAAGGAGAGAAAGGTTGGGAACCTGGATTCATGATGAAATATGATCTTGGTAGTGGTTATAGAGACTCTAAAGGTATTGTTATTTAAACTAAACATTAGATTTAGTAGAAGAATAAACTCCTGCTGAAGAAGCCATATTGAAACAATATGAAAAGTATGAAAAAAAGAAAAGTGCTGCATTATTATAAAAAATGTTAGCTGTTAAAAATTATGCTGATTCTCTTAAACCTCCTAAAATAGATGTTTTTAATAAAGATAGTATAGATAGAATAAGAAAAATATCTTAAGAATTAAATTAAAATCAATAAAAACCTAAAAAATATTATTAATAAGGAGATATGAAATATTATGCACTTGCTGAATATATTTCTACACATCGTTCTGGTTCATTGAACGATTTAAGAATAAATTTTGATCCTATTGTAAACACTTAAATAAAATTATAAACAGAAAATTCGTAATATTTAAGTCCAACAAAACATTTCAAAAGGTAATCTACAATAAGTGCTATTGAAAAAGGAGCCAATCTTATTATGGCCTTTTAGAATTAAACACCTATTAATGAAGAATTAGATACAAAGTCATCTTATTAAAATAATGAAGTTGCATCTTAACTTTTAAGATTTAATCATCATAAATTAGAATTGGCTGAAGAGTTCAATTCAACATAATATTTATTTACTCCATCTAGTGCTCATACAAGATAAGTAAGTCAAATTGATTAAAACGATGAAGCAGTTAAGTGTTTTGTATAATAATTTTATGATAAACAATATAATGATAAAGTTATTCCTTCGACAAAAAGGAATCTAAGATTGAGAACCATAGGAAATAATGAAATTCAAAAATAGGAACCATCAAAATAAATAAAAAAAAAAGTAGAAAAAAGATTAAGTATGTGAACAAATATTATCTCATTAAAAATTTTGAAATTTTTATTAATTTATAAGAATTAAGTGATTTCATTACATTTTAAAGGGATTCAATTTTATTTATTTTATTTTTTTAATAAATCATAATGAATATAATAAATAAAGCTACATTTGGAGGTGGGTGCTTTTGGTGTATTGAAGCTATCTACAGAAGAATTTAAGGAGTAACTGAAGTATACTCTGGATATAGTGGAGGTGTATAAAAAAATACTGCAAATTATAAAGATGTATGCAAAGGGAATACTGGTCATGCTGAAGTTGTTCAAGTTATTTTCGAATAAAATAAGGTTGATTTTAAGGATTTAATTTATATTTTCTTTGCTTCACATGATCCTACTACTTTAAATAGATAAGGTGATGATGAAGGTGAACAATATCGTTCAGTTATTTTTTATCATAGTGAATAACAAAAGGCAATAGTTGAGGATGTTATAAAGGAATTACAAAAAGAATATAAGAACCCTATTGTGACTTAGATAGTTTAATTTTAAGAATTTTATAAAGCTGAAGATTATCATTAAGGATATTATGATAGCAACTAAAATGAAGGATATTGTAGAGTAGTAATATNGATTCTCTTAAACCTCCTAAAATAGATGTTTTTAATAAAGATAGTATAGATAGAATAAGAAAAATATCTTAAGAATTAAATTAAAATCAATAAAAACCTAAAAAATATTATTAATAAGGAGATATGAAATATTATGCACTTGCTGAATATATTTCTACACATCGTTCTGGTTCATTGAACGATTTAAGAATAAATTTTGATCCTATTGTAAACACTTAAATAAAATTATAAACAGAAAATTCGTAATATTTAAGTCCAACAAAACATTTCAAAAGGTAATCTACAATAAGTGCTATTGAAAAAGGAGCCAATCTTATTATGGCCTTTTAGAATTAAACACCTATTAATGAAGAATTAGATACAAAGTCATCTTATTAAAATAATGAAGTTGCATCTTAACTTTTAAGATTTAATCATCATAAATTAGAATTGGCTGAAGAGTTCAATTCAACATAATATTTATTTACTCCATCTAGTGCTCATACAAGATAAGTAAGTCAAATTGATTAAAACGATGAAGCAGTTAAGTGTTTTGTATAATAATTTTATGATAAACAATATAATGATAAAGTTATTCCTTCGACAAAAAGGAATCTAAGATTGAGAACCATAGGAAATAATGAAATTCAAAAATAGGAACCATCAAAATAAATAAAAAAAAAAGTAGAAAAAAGATTAAGTATGTGAACAAATATTATCTCATTAAAAATTTTGAAATTTTTATTAATTTATAAGAATTAAGTGATTTCATTACATTTTAAAGGGATTCAATTTTATTTATTTTATTTTTTTAATAAATCATAATGAATATAATAAATAAAGCTACATTTGGAGGTGGGTGCTTTTGGTGTATTGAAGCTATCTACAGAAGAATTTAAGGAGTAACTGAAGTATACTCTGGATATAGTGGAGGTGTATAAAAAAATACTGCAAATTATAAAGATGTATGCAAAGGGAATACTGGTCATGCTGAAGTTGTTCAAGTTATTTTCGAATAAAATAAGGTTGATTTTAAGGATTTAATTTATATTTTCTTTGCTTCACATGATCCTACTACTTTAAATAGATAAGGTGATGATGAAGGTGAACAATATCGTTCAGTTATTTTTTATCATAGTGAATAACAAAAGGCAATAGTTGAGGATGTTATAAAGGAATTACAAAAAGAATATAAGAACCCTATTGTGACTTAGATAGTTTAATTTTAAGAATTTTATAAAGCTGAAGATTATCATTAAGGATATTATGATAGCAACTAAAATGAAGGATATTGTAGAGTAGTAATATCTCCTAAGATTGAAAAGATCATCAAGAAATATAAGACTTAACTTAAACCAGAATATTAATGATTTAGAATTTAATGTTGTTATTTATCATTATTCAGTATTCAAAGCTCTAAATTTTACCATAACAACTGAATGAGCTGGAACTTGAGCAGTATAGCTTGTAGTAGATTATCTTAATTCAACTTAATTTATGAGATCTCTCACATTCTAAGTTCCACTAATTCCCAATTTATCTAATTCAATTGTTATAGATTCTGTTATTGTTTGCTTAATTAAAGAGAACAGCAATTACTCATGCACTATTATCAGCAACTTAAGCAACCCATATTTCACTTGTTAAAACCTTCTTAACTCTACTAGCTTATATACCTAAACTCTCCTTAAAAATAATTTATTAATTTTACTTAATTAACAGTAATAACCTCTGAATTCATTAATATCTTCTTAGTATCTTGACTCATATTTGTAATATCACAACCAATAAGAAGAGGTGCTTTCAAAATTGCCCATAAAGCAAAATGAGATAATATTCATGAGTTTTCATTCCACCATTACCAACCTCTAACATATCTGGATCATTCCACTATCCTGGTCCAGCATATTATGCCAAATAAGCATATTCTTCCAAAATGGCTTAATCATAGAAAATATATAATTACCAATAAAAGAATACCAATGATCTGAAATATCTCCTGTAGTTCTCCATGAATTAGCAATAGGAGGTGCCCATAACCAAGGTTTCTCTAAACCCCATTCACAAATTGAAAAATAGATCTTCTTTGATTATTTCATTAAAGCAGCAGACATTGGAGGATCTTACCTTTGGAGAAGTACCATCAGTAGGACAATTATCATACTTCAAGTAATCAATATCCCATTCAGCATAGGTTTCTGCATCAAGTTCTTCATATCCTAATGAACCTGGTTTGCCTTCACATGTTTACATGCCCTGAGTAATATTAGTATAAAATTACAGCATCTGAATATAATCCAAATTTAAATCCCTTTGAATGTACATATTAGATCAATGAAGGAATACCAGATGGAAATTTAGCTGGATCAGCAATAATCTTTTTTGTAACAGAATCTCTAGTTGATTACCAACAATCATCTAAATTTAAGAAAGTGTATCCTGCTGCTGCTAATCCTGTTGAGACCAAAACATCAGCTGTTTATTTGATGATATTTTCATTGATTTTGCAGCCATATATATTCTAGGGATTTCAACCCATAGGAGGTTTTCTGCCTAGACCATTATCTAAGGCATTTAGTGTAATTATTATGGTACAGATAAATATATATTTTTACATATTATTAATTTAAAGGATTGAATTAGAAATAATCTATATAAATATGAGTTCATTGAAATTCTTTTTCACTATTGGGATTAATCATTTTAAATGATCCATATGAGATTCCATTAATATTGAAACAGCTTTCTACATTATGATAAGAATTATCAGAAATTAATTCAAAACATTCTTCTATCTCATATTCATTATGTTTATTCAAATCTTGAAGGTTTTATTATAATGAGATAAGATTCTCATTCTTTTTAGGATAGATTATATAAAAGGCTCTTACATTTGACATTAGGCATGCCATGGTTGGTTGATCATTTAATTTCTTTTGTTGTTTGAAATGTTTATTTTTGGATAAATAAGTTATTTCACTTTCAAGTGTTTCAGTTCTTCTGAACTCACATTTACAAGTTGAACCCATTTTTAATTTAACAACTTATTAATAAATCAAAAATTCAGATANAAAATTGCCCATAAAGCAAAATGAGATAATATTCATGAGTTTTCATTCCACCATTACCAACCTCTAACATATCTGGATCATTCCACTATCCTGGTCCAGCATATTATGCCAAATAAGCATATTCTTCCAAAATGGCTTAATCATAGAAAATATATAATTACCAATAAAAGAATACCAATGATCTGAAATATCTCCTGTAGTTCTCCATGAATTAGCAATAGGAGGTGCCCATAACCAAGGTTTCTCTAAACCCCATTCACAAATTGAAAAATAGATCTTCTTTGATTATTTCATTAAAGCAGCAGACATTGGAGGATCTTACCTTTGGAGAAGTACCATCAGTAGGACAATTATCATACTTCAAGTAATCAATATCCCATTCAGCATAGGTTTCTGCATCAAGTTCTTCATATCCTAATGAACCTGGTTTGCCTTCACATGTTTACATGCCCTGAGTAATATTAGTATAAAATTACAGCATCTGAATATAATCCAAATTTAAATCCCTTTGAATGTACATATTAGATCAATGAAGGAATACCAGATGGAAATTTAGCTGGATCAGCAATAATCTTTTTTGTAACAGAATCTCTAGTTGATTACCAACAATCATCTAAATTTAAGAAAGTGTATCCTGCTGCTGCTAATCCTGTTGAGACCAAAACATCAGCTGTTTATTTGATGATATTTTCATTGATTTTGCAGCCATATATATTCTAGGGATTTCAACCCATAGGAGGTTTTCTGCCTAGACCATTATCTAAGGCATTTAGTGTAATTATTATGGTACAGATAAATATATATTTTTACATATTATTAATTTAAAGGATTGAATTAGAAATAATCTATATAAATATGAGTTCATTGAAATTCTTTTTCACTATTGGGATTAATCATTTTAAATGATCCATATGAGATTCCATTAATATTGAAACAGCTTTCTACATTATGATAAGAATTATCAGAAATTAATTCAAAACATTCTTCTATCTCATATTCATTATGTTTATTCAAATCTTGAAGGTTTTATTATAATGAGATAAGATTCTCATTCTTTTTAGGATAGATTATATAAAAGGCTCTTACATTTGACATTAGGCATGCCATGGTTGGTTGATCATTTAATTTCTTTTGTTGTTTGAAATGTTTATTTTTGGATAAATAAGTTATTTCACTTTCAAGTGTTTCAGTTCTTCTGAACTCACATTTACAAGTTGAACCCATTTTTAATTTAACAACTTATTAATAAATCAAAAATTCAGATACGCAAAAATATATAAACAACGTTAATAGATTAAATAACTTTTATTTTATATTACTTCATTAATGCATTTGCATGGAAATTTCTTCAATCTATAAATCTGAATCAACTTCAGTCTTGCATATTGGACATAGAGTACTTTTGTGTAACCATTTGTCAATACATTCTTAATGAAAGTAATGCCCTAGAAATTAATGAATATTAATTTTTACAGCATGGCATAGTACGAACAATCTAATTCTCTTAATAATCTTCTAAACAAATCATACATTTAATATGATTATCATCATTTTAATGTTAATTAATAAACTCCATACTAATTTGACGTATTGGTAATTAGTTAATTTATTCTTCAGATGTTTGATTATTTCTGAGTGAAAGTAACAATTATTGATTCTCATTTAAGAGTATAAACGTATTTAATAATCGATGGAGTGCTTCAATTTATTAAGCATGTTGTCTATGAAAATCACCTCTTCTATTTGGAACTAAATTTGATGGTAATAATTAATCTAATTATCTATTGTGTTAAATTCTTTATTGTTAAATAGGTGAAACAATTTCAATATCAATTTAAGTTTAATTTGGAACAACCAGTCCTTAATCTTCAAACATCTATACTTGAAATTCGAAATCTGAAATTCTCAATATTTAGCCTTTTTCTAGATATCTATTTAATCCAGAGAAGTATGGATTTATTATTGTTCTTCTTATTGCTTCTTTGAATCTATCTTTTTAAGATTAATGTGTTGAAAACTATACTGGATATTTTATGCAACATAATTTAATATCTCTTAAATTCTATACATTTGGTATACTCTCAATGATCTTAAAATATTAAATTAAATGTTTACAGAATTTCTATCAATTTTCCCTGAGGCATTTTCACATTACAATATTAACAATTTTTGTGAATTAACTTTAATGGTTGAATCTTATATTATCTAATTATCTTTAGGATTAACACTAAAATAGGATTTGATTTCAAAATCTAATTATTAAGATGGCTTCCTTGATAATATTTTAACTCTTCTTGTTATGTCCTAGATATAATATCCATAACAGTAGATTTATGTTTATTTTGCAATTATTCCTCTTGTTGGAAATCCTCCAACTACTCTAAATTCAAATGCTCCTATTGAAAATTTAATGCCTGTTTCTAAGACTCTTTCACGTACAGAAAAGAAAGGTAAAAGTACGTTATTAATTAATCTTTAAAAATCTATCACATTATCTTTAATTAATGCTGGATCAAGTTTCGTTCTATATTAGAAGAAATTGAAACCTATTTACATACAAGGTGACACTTTCTAAATAAGGGAACTGTACTTCAATCATTTGATAGGTCCTTTTGTCTTCAAGTTATGTAGAATCTTATCTGATTAATATCTAACCATCATTAACAGAAAAGATCAATTTACACTAAAAACAATTAGTAATCCTCCCTAATTGATCATCGAATTAATGACTGCTACACTTTGGACATTTGACTAAGAATTGAACTTATTCTTAATTGCCATAAATATGATGAGCTGCAGTAGTGGCAGCTAATTGAGTAAATAATTAGACTTACTCTTTTACAAATACAGCAAATGCTCATTAACTAGTACCATATCTTATTATTATTGAGTTTAAGCTTAACCCATTAAATTTGATATAAAAAAATAATATTTATAATAGTTCATCATTTTCTCTATTATAGCCAATTCCTAGATTATTTATTATCATCATATTCTTCTTCTTTAATGCTCTAATTATTATGTTATTAATTTTATAATGTTTATGGTGCTAATCTAGTTTATTGTGTCTGTTATGGATGTAATTATGGCTACTAAATATGAGGATAGTAAGGACCCATGTTGATCTAAACTAATTCAATGCTAAAGTACAATAAAAGTGTTTGGAATTTAAGTAGGCAAAATCACAGGGTATTATAATTAAGGGCAATACTAATTTAACATATCATTTCCATTATACATCCTCTAATTTTAAACTTCTAACAGCTCTTTAAAAGCCTAATTTATCCTATTTTAAATAAAGTACTTCCAAAAATTATTACTATGGATCTCCCTCATTGTCTAATTAATCTTGATTCATTATCAATTTTTATAATATTCAATACAATAGAAATTCATAATAAATAACCAGTGAAAATTATATTAATTATTATAAGAATTACAGAATTTATCGTCTGCATTCTTATTCAAGAATAATCTGTTATTCCTATATGATAATCATTAGAATTTGATATAAAAATTTAATTTTTAAATTTAAAGACTAATTCAAATTTAAGTTGAAGACTAAGATCTATTCAATTCAACTAAAATAAAGTTAATAAATATATTCATTTCCAATAAGATTGTATATCTACAACAATTAAAGTCATATTATCCTTTTTAAAATTAGTATTTTTTGATGATGCCTTATCAAGTAGATATTAGGCTAATTAATCAATCTCTTATCTATTCCAGTTTTCAATCAATTACTATAATTCCTCATTCTTTATAATCTAAAATTATAATAATTTCAAATTACATCCCAAAATCCATCAGAAGCTATTATCAAATATTTATCATTATGTCTAATTTTATGCAACTTTATTTCAGGTATTGCTATTAACCCAGATTAACGATGTTTCTTATCTCCAAAAGCTCTTGTAACTGCTAATTCTCCATTTATACGAGGAATAGAACTACATTTAATAATTAATCTTACTGTCTATCTAATATTGTAGCTATTTATTCTACTCTTTTGAATTCATCTTCTCTATTTAACTTATGTTCCTAATTCAATTTCTCTATTTCATATTCCTCTGTAATTAAAACACATGCTGAATCTCCAAGATTTACAATATAGAGATCTTTCTATTTATTGATCACACATAAAGCTGTAGATCCACCTAAATGTTAATTCTCTTCTTGGCAATCCAAGATATATTGATTCATTTTCTCAAAACTATTTATAATAGCCTTCTCTAAATTATCTTCAAAATTGCAATCCTTTTGTAAATATTCATGAAGCTTATTTTCAAGGATGGCTGATACTGAATTTCCTGCATGTCCATCATATATTGCATAAAAGAATTATAGATCTTCATTTTTATTTAGATTAGGAATTGCAACAAACTTAAATTAATTCAATTAAGTACTCTATCTTCTTAATATTTCCTACCACATTTTAATTAGGCTACATCTGCAATTGTTTTACCATTATGCAAAAATTATAAGGATTAATCACTTGCTTTAACAAATAAAACAATACATAGGCTCATTAAAAAATATATCAGTTTGTTATTTCCAACCATCAGATGAATGAGTACTTTCAGGTTGTACATCTGGGACATTTACAACCAACTGTAATTTAGGCTTTTGTTTTTTCTGATTATTAGTTTGTGTCAAGCTCATAAAAGTAATAAAAATTATTAAACTATAAATAATCCAAAAGAATAATCATATTTTCTTAAAAATTATTGAATAGAATTTTTAAGAAAATATGATTCTCATGATAAATATTAGTTAATTGTTATTGATTAAGATCAAATAATCTATTTTATATATGTCAATTCCTTTTATAAACACATTTAAATAGATATCTCTAGATTCTCAAAAATACTATAAGATATTAGTTTATTTCGTAATTGATTATATCATTAATCAATATCTTAAATTATCTATATATAATTTCTATATTATGAAATAAATTAAAATAATAAATGAAAATCGTCATCCTCTTAGTCATAGTGATGTCATCATTGGCAAGGCTTACTTATAGAAATGACTTATTCGGAAGAGAAGAGATAGTCAAGGCCAAAAATACAGAGTGGTTTACTTAGAAATTAGACCACAATGATCCAACATCATAAGAATTTTTTAGATAAAGATTTCACATTTATGATGATTATGTATAAGATTAATAGCCTGAAGCAGTTATATTATATATTTGTGGTGAATGGACATGTAATATGGAAATAAATATATGATAGGTGATGGAATTGGAAAAGGATTAACATTTGATGCTGCACAATAATTGAAGGCTGTTATACTTGTTTTAGAACATAGATATTATGGCTAATCTTAACCATTTGAGGATTGGAGTACTCCTAATTTAAAATATCTAAATATCCATTAAGCTTTAGATGACATAGCTTATTTTATCATGAGCATTAAAGCTAATGGATACTATAATATAAAACCAGACACTCCATGGATTCATCTTGGAGGTTCATATCCAGGAGCATTAAGTGCTTGGTTTAGATATAAATATCCTCATTTAACAATTGGAGGTTTGGCATCTTCTGCAGTAGTAAGAGCTGTTGCTTGTTATCATGAATACGATATGCAAGTTTATCTTTCTGCTTTAGAGAGTTCATAAGAGTAATAAAAATAAAAAAATTAATTAGATGTGTAGATAGAATTCAACAAGTAAATTAAAAGATTGAGGATGATTTGGCTACTGATCCTACTACTATTAAGGCAGCATTTAATGCTTCTGAATTAAAAGATATTGAATTCTTATCAATGATAGCAGATATTTATGCTGGTATGGTTTAAGGAAGATAAAGATCATAAATGTGTGAGAGATTATAAAAAGGAAATACTTTATAAGAATGGTTTGATGAAATAATATTAATGGCTGAAGAAACAGTTGATTAAGAGAGTTATGGGTCTGAATTTTTAAAGGATATCAATATTGATTTCTCTAAGAGTTCAAGATAATGGACATATTAGACTTGTATAGAAGTAGGTTACTTTTAAACTGCTAATGTATATAATATATATTTATATATTTAGCCAAATGCAGAATAATCAACAAGATCATAATAATTAGTTCTTGATTTCTTTAGATAATTATGTGAATACTCTTATGATGTCCCAATATTTCCTGATGAAGATAGAACTAATGCTTATTATGGTGGTCTTGATATAAATGTGGATCATCTTATTTTTTCGAATGGATCAGATGACCCATGGTAACATGCTTCAATAACAAAATGGAAATAAGGAAAAGAATATGATGTCAAGTATATTAAATGCAAGGATTGTTCACATTGTATTGATCTTAAGGCATCTAGTCCAGAAGATCCACCTGAATTAACTCAAGCTAGATAAGAAATTCTAGCTATATTTTAATAATGGATTAACGAACATCTATAACAATAGTAACAAAAAAAATAATCATAAATAATTGAGTGAATATTATATATAGATATATATATTTATCAAAGTAATAATGAAGTCAATAAGGCATAAAATGGCCTCTTTAGTGATGACAACATTACTAAGTTTATCTTCTAAATTATCTCTACATCATTCTCATTTATAAGAATTCTTGCCATAATTATTCTAATTCACATGGACAAGGTTAATAGGGTTGATGATAATACATTTATGGTTCTTCTTATCGATATTATTATCTTAATGGTGATGCACATAAAGATTTACTTTGGGACTATTATTGAGGTGATTTTTATTATTGCCATGAACTCATTCTTTTATGTCCTGTTTATTATTCTAACTATTTTTATGGTTATTAGATCATTTAATTTAAGTGTTTATAATTCTCTTCTTCCTGAAAGCGCGAGTTCTCTTGAATGTAGATTTGGCTTTATGCTAATTGAGCAAATTGTGGACTCTATTCTTCAACACTCATAATTGAACTTTATAATGGAAATCTGGCAAATGAATGACTTAATTAAGTTTGATTTATTGAAGATCCTTAAGTATATGACATTCCCACAAATTGATAATTATTATTATTCATAAAAATATAATTGTTTTTTTTAAATTAATTATAAATAATTTATATAATAATATGAATACAGAATATTAATAATAAGAAATTGAATTATAGAGACAATCCCAATAAATCTCAGAAGAAACAAACAATTAATTATTTTCAATTATTTTTGCTATAATTTACAATTTTATTTGGGGAATACTATTTTATATATTTAGACATCTTTATTGTAAAATTATTAAATTTTAATCAAGAGATGAAGAAGAATGTAAAGGAATGAATTTTTGGTCATTTATAGCACAGATATTTTTATTTTCAGTTGCAATATACAAATTGTACAATAATATTTCTAGATAGAGCAATTGAATTACCAGTATATTATAAAGCATAAGGTAGATGGAAATAAAGTCTATTTGAGATAACAGAAAAAGTAGAATTTGTTTTAAGCATTATTGTATTAATTGGATTAAGTGTAATTTAGAATTGATTTATATAGTATGCTTATTTTCAATTTGAAGATTGTTATGGATTGAAAAACTTTGTTCTATTTTATTTAATTGTAACTTATGTAGTTTTAGGAATATATTTGATTTCTCTACTTTTATTAATATTAAATAAAAGTAATAATTCTGGATGAGATATAACGAATTATGATTTTATTATCAAAAATTAAATTCAAAAATCATTTTCTCAAAGTACTAAAATGTTATTTCAAAAGCTAACTACAATTCATTTTTGGTTTAAACTTTTTCTATTAAACAGGTTCTGGACAAATAGTTAAGAAATCAGGATCATTCTCTATTGGTATATCATTAATTATCAAATTATCTAAAATAACTGTTTTATCTCCTTTTCTCATAATTAATTTCGGTTTACGTCCAATTGCAGGCATATATCTACTACGTTAAGATAAACCAGATATGCCATGTGAAAATGTTTAATTTAAATTATTTGCTAATTTAAAATTACTTTCACCTGATTCCCACATACTATTACTTCTATGATTTGTTAATACATTATTTTCAAATCGACCCTTCTTAATCACTCCATTCTTACACAATTCACCATCTCCATGTTGCATACCCCTTTCCCAATATCCTTTATAATACTAATCCTTCCAAAACATCTCACCATAACCATGTCTGTAATCATTAACAAAAGCTCCAACATAATAATTTCCTGATGGCCATGTAAATACTCCTTGTCCATGTTTTTTATCATTCTCAAACATACCCTCATAACGATAATGACCTTCTTTTAAAGGATCCCACTTACTCCATACTCCTTTACCATGCCTTACTCCATTTTTAAACATACCTATTATTTTATATATTTTATATTCAACCTCTATATTCTGCACCATTATTCCAAATATATGTACCTTAACCTTCTGGTTTCCCATTACAAAACTATCCATTATAAAGATCTCCATTAGCAAAATTCTCTATTCCATGTCCATGCTTCAAATTATTTCTAAAACTTCCAGTATATTTATTATTATTCTAAATGTAAACTCCATATCCATCAATTTTTCCAAATTTCCATTCTCCTTCATAAAAATCATTTCCCATTTTCCAAATTCCATGTCCATGTTTGAATCCATTTACCCATTATCCATCATAACTTTCGTTATTACGAATATAAACTCCTTTTCCCTATGGTTTTCCATTTTAATATTCTCCTTCAAATGTCTCCCCTGAATCAAAGATCTCTTTGCAATGTCCATGTTTTCTATCATTCTACCAGACTCCCTCACAAACTCGACCTTGTAATAGCATAAGACCTTAGTAAGTAAATATTTTATCTCACCTTATCCATGTTTTTTACCATTTATCATTTAACCATAAAATGTTCCATTTGGATAATCTTATTCTTAATAATTTGTCAGTCTTTTCAGCATTAGAATCTTACCTCTAAAAATGTTTAGTTAATATATATTTACTCATAATCTTTATTATAAATATGGATGTTTTGTTGTGGTTTAACAACACTAATTGGACTTAGTGGTTTATCATCTGGTATACTGATAGATGCAATAGTTGGATTGATATTCATATTTTGTTAAACTTATTGCTCTATTAATAAATCATTTCGTTATTGCATTTAATTTATATATAATATTATTACATATTTCAGCATAATAATTCACTATTATTATGAATATAGTTAAAAACTTATTTTAATTAACAATTTCTACTTCCATTCTTAAACATATGTGTAAAGAAATTTATCCAAAGGCATGCAGCTCCAACAATTAATAAATGTAAAATTGTTGGCTAGAATTCTTCTTTCTTTTCATTTAGAGGAACATCAAATGATTTATTGAAGCTATAAGGTTAATTTCTTAAGGAGCAGAGGTAGACTTTAAATAAGAAATTCATAAATAATGATAAGTTTTTTACTCAAATGTAAACTTCGTTTTAATGTCTCCATTTATATTTGTTCAGAATTCATTCTTTAAAAAGTCGAACTTCAATGTTATCATTATTATGATGGAGAATCACTTTCATTATTTAAAATTTTGCTTTTTTTATTATATTCTTAAATATTGTTATAAACAACATCTTTATTGCTAATAATTTGGATTATATTTGTATTCAATTAGATTGAAGATTGTTTTATTTCCAATCACATTAAAATTTATAATGTTAGTTGTTCTGATCTAAATAATTATCATTATAAAAAGAGAAAACTTTGATAGGCTAATAATACCGAGTGATATTATTAATTAAAATTATTGCTTTTTGGTTTGAATTGTTTATTATCTTTTTTGGATTGACCACAAAATGCTTAATTATACATTAATATTATTATGTTTATTTTGATTATCTTAATAGTATAAGCCATACAATTTACAATCAAAGTTGATTAAGTTGCATGTATGTGTCCAGACATACCCTAAGAAGATATCTGTAATGAGTCTAAATTTTGTAAATGGCTTGATGGATCATGTCAAAAACTCAATTGTACAGATGCAACTGATCAAGATTGGTGTGATAGAATACTACCAAATTCATATAAATGTGCTTGGAATTAAGGAAAATGTGATGCATTTACTACTTGTTCTAATTATATAGTTTCCTAACCATAAGAATGTTTTGAAAAATGGTTCTGTATTGATGGTGGACTTACAGCAAGTGGACTTTACACTTGTGCAGAATAAAATTAATAGGATGTAGATGAAGAATAGGAAATTATATGTATTAATGAAACAAATGAAGAGGGATGTCTTGGTATATAAAAAGATGGCAATTATTGTTTTTGGGATTCTGAAGCTTAGAATTGCACTACCAAAAGTATACAAAATTGCGACGATGCCTCAAATACAACTGTAGAATATTGTAAAAACACATCATGCGAATGGAATGATTCCACTAAAGAATGCATTGATTTATCATGTGATTTATTTAAAAATGAGGGTGAATGCAATTTATATTTTAACTTTGATTTAAGTGAAGTTACAAGATGTTTATGGAATAGTACAACTTGCATAGACTTTGAAATAACAGATCTACCATCTGAGTAATGTTTGAATATGACATTAAATACTTATGTTTGGAATTCAATTTAATCAAGATGTGTAGAATGTGCTTAATGTTAAATCCTTAAATTAATTTTAATTTTAATTTTGATTTACATTTGAAAATACATTTTAATATTTATATATATATTTCTTGTACAAAAATTTTGTCAGAAAAAGAAATTGGAAATCTATATATTTATATGACAAAGATGTTTGTAATTTAAATAATTGGAGAGTATTGATTAATTATATTAAACAAACAAGTTAATTTATAAATATAAATTTAATGAGATACTTTTAACAAAATTTTGGTAAATGTTAGAAAATATTTATAACTATATTTATTATTTATTTTGTTAAAATTTTATTTAACCAGATTAGATTTTGTAAAGTTAAATTTTGGATAATAATGATTATAAGATTTTTATTAATTTTTTTAAAACAAGCCATTAAAATTTGGGAGATTAAATAAAACCATAAAAAAACTCCCAAATAAAATTTATTAAAAAATGACTCAATACAATTCTGTAAGAATTTATTATTAATTTCTACCCCCCTTTAAGATAAAATCCTAACATTTATAATGCAAGTTAGTATTCTCATAATTTATTAGTTTAATTCTAAATGTCCAAATTTTCCTGTTCAGCTCTTTATATAAGTAATGAAGGAGAACGCTAAGAAGTTGTGATTACAACTCAATCTGGTGATTTACATATAGTGGTACTTATGTTTATATAATAATTTAAGTCAAAAGTAGGAAATGAGTAGATGGTTTATTTACCTTCCAATTCCATGGACACAATTCTTAGCTTTGCAAGAGAAATTGATGAAGGTAAATTTAATGTTTATAGTATTTAGTTTAACAGATTGGCACTTTAGATCTTCATAATCCAGAGTCACAAATTAAGGTCTCTTTCCTTCTTAATTTGAAAGATATTGAATAATTATAGCTTCTAATGAGAGGGAGACAAGTTTGTTTGGATACTTCTAACTATATTGTTTTAGGAAAATTAGCTTCTGGAATACGTAAATTAAGATACTTAATATTAGAACTTATATCAACTCATAACAGAATCTCAGTTCAAAAAAAAGCAACTCTTACATTGAAAGATCCAATTTCTAACAGCCGATTGGTATTTTATAATATAAAAATTAAAGGGACAATTAAGGTAGGAGGCAAAGATGTTACGACTGTTAAAAGATTACCGTCATAAAAATATAATTTTATTGGAGGAAATCATAACAGATTGTAGATCAGTATCAATTATTTTGGAATATTGTTAAGGAGGAGACCTCTTATAGCTTCTCTAACAGAAAAGTATTTAAATAGATGTTCCTAGGTTAATGTTAAATCTACTTTCTGGTAAAACAACATATTTAATTGTATTTAGGTTTAAAACATCTCCATGATTTAGAAATAGTTCATANTTATAACTATATTTATTATTTATTTTGTTAAAATTTTATTTAACCAGATTAGATTTTGTAAAGTTAAATTTTGGATAATAATGATTATAAGATTTTTATTAATTTTTTTAAAACAAGCCATTAAAATTTGGGAGATTAAATAAAACCATAAAAAAACTCCCAAATAAAATTTATTAAAAAATGACTCAATACAATTCTGTAAGAATTTATTATTAATTTCTACCCCCCTTTAAGATAAAATCCTAACATTTATAATGCAAGTTAGTATTCTCATAATTTATTAGTTTAATTCTAAATGTCCAAATTTTCCTGTTCAGCTCTTTATATAAGTAATGAAGGAGAACGCTAAGAAGTTGTGATTACAACTCAATCTGGTGATTTACATATAGTGGTACTTATGTTTATATAATAATTTAAGTCAAAAGTAGGAAATGAGTAGATGGTTTATTTACCTTCCAATTCCATGGACACAATTCTTAGCTTTGCAAGAGAAATTGATGAAGGTAAATTTAATGTTTATAGTATTTAGTTTAACAGATTGGCACTTTAGATCTTCATAATCCAGAGTCACAAATTAAGGTCTCTTTCCTTCTTAATTTGAAAGATATTGAATAATTATAGCTTCTAATGAGAGGGAGACAAGTTTGTTTGGATACTTCTAACTATATTGTTTTAGGAAAATTAGCTTCTGGAATACGTAAATTAAGATACTTAATATTAGAACTTATATCAACTCATAACAGAATCTCAGTTCAAAAAAAAGCAACTCTTACATTGAAAGATCCAATTTCTAACAGCCGATTGGTATTTTATAATATAAAAATTAAAGGGACAATTAAGGTAGGAGGCAAAGATGTTACGACTGTTAAAAGATTACCGTCATAAAAATATAATTTTATTGGAGGAAATCATAACAGATTGTAGATCAGTATCAATTATTTTGGAATATTGTTAAGGAGGAGACCTCTTATAGCTTCTCTAACAGAAAAGTATTTAAATAGATGTTCCTAGGTTAATGTTAAATCTACTTTCTGGTAAAACAACATATTTAATTGTATTTAGGTTTAAAACATCTCCATGATTTAGAAATAGTTCATAGAGATATCAAGCTATAGAATATTTTATTTAAAGACTCTAAGAATATGGACACGTTGAAGATAGCTGACTTTGGTTTCTCTTGTATAAAATCTCAAATTTCATTTATCAATCCAAGGTATTTTTTTATATTACTCATTTTTAGATGTGGCACTCCTGGATATACAGCCCCAGAAGTGTTTAGTTAATCATGTAAGTATGATGAAAAGGTAGATATCTATAGTGCAGGTATCATATTCTACAATATGTATTTCTTAAATAATACTTAGTTTAACATCGAAAAATCCTTTTGGAAATTCTTAGAATATTTCTGACCTGATCTAAACTAATATTGGTGGCAACTATAATTAGGCCTATTTAGAAGCAACAAAGCTTAATAATCCTCTTGCCTATGATTTACTGACTAAAATGCTCCAAAAGGAACCACACTCAAGACCCAGTGCTAATGAATGTCTTAATCATCCATACTTTCAAAGCCAAATGCAAAGCAATTTTATTAAAGAAATGATAAAAATAAAAAGAAAATTTAAAAAATAGAAGAGAGAAACTCTAAAACGAAGCAGAAAATGATTTACTATAAATGAAAAAGTTTAGTTTCATATATTTATAAAAAATAAATGTAAAAAAATAACTGATTAAAATTCATTATTTCAATATATAAATACAAAAATTGAAAAGAACAGAACTTTAGAAAATTTATCTGAGCTTGTATCAGTTGTGTTAGTTGGCGTTGGAGGAGATATTGCAGTAGTGTTGCATTTTTAACAGAGATTAGTCTCTGTATTCCAAGTATAAGTATTAAGACTTTATTCTAAACAGTTACTGGCTGATAATTGATTTGGGTTTCCAGATGAACATCCAGATGAAGTCATAACACAAACAGTGATAGTCTTTTCATCAAACTAGTAAACTGGCTTGCATATAGTACCATTTGCTACAGTGGCACATGTATGATTTATACAAGAAGTTACTTCTATGCCATTTTATAATGAAACTTGAAAATGACATGAATTTTATTTAGATTTACAAGCAATCAAATCGGAATTGGCTTACTCACAGGTTGTCATTAAGGCACATGTACCTTTCTAAGGATCTGCAACTGAAGGTGTAAAAACACATATTCCATCCAATCCGCCAGAATTACAAGCAGTTTTAGTTTTATATGTTTAACATTTATTTTTCATGATACAATTGTTACCATTTGAAATACATACCTTTTTATGTTATTTACATATTTCTGTTGTGGTATCTTAGTAATCTGAACATGATTTAACCCTACATTATTTAATTCCCTAAGTTTATCCTTCTTAAAAAGTATAAATACATTAGCCATCAGTTCCATAATGACATCCTTACTCTTTGTATGATGAACACAATCCAATAGAGATACAATTAGTTCCATTAGTTGTACATTTAGTAGATGCTATAAAACTACTACATGAGGAATATGAAGTTATATCTATATCCATACTAATAGTTGCATCTGTACATTTTCTTTGTCTACAAGAGTCTTCAGCCCAAATACAATAGCCATCAATACCTCCAGACAGACAGGATATTTCAGTCAAGTAATAATTACATTCAGTCTTTTAAATGCATCCCTACCCATCAGAAACACATAGACTAGAATATTATTAACATAATTCAGTAGTAGTGGCATTCAAATCAGAGCATTTTTTAAATTGAGCACAAGTGTTATCAATCCATCCACATTATCCATCAATACCAAGTGAGCAACTAATTTAATTAGGATATTTAGAACATTATGAAATTGGTATACAAGTAAGACCATTACTAGTACATTTATTTGAGTATTATTAACATAAAGCATGAGATGAACCTTGAATTTCAATGCATTATGAAAAAGTAATACATTATTATTAAAACCATAAACAAATATTTCCTGCATAATCTTTAGTGCATTTGCTTTTAACAACAATGTCCTTACATTAATAGTTTTGATTGATACATCCTTTACCATTAGAGTAACACTTGCTAAGAAATTCTTGACATTTAGCATCTGTTGTAAATTCTTTGCTTGCATCACCACAATCTAATTTTCTACAATATGTTTTTTCCCATATACAAAGGCCTCCTTCATCTGTAGTTTTAGCAGATGAGCAAGCATTAGAATTAGTATAGGATGAACATTCTCCAATAGGTATGCATCCTTTGCCTTTTGAAGTACATTAATTAGATAATCTTTGACAATCTTCATGAGTTAATACGCTTTCAGATGCATCCTCACATTTCCAATCTCTACAATACCCAAGATTAGAGACTTTGTTGAATTCCCATGAGCATCTACGTGTATCAGTATATACAGGAGTATTCACACATACTGATTGAGATTAAAAAACACTACATTTAGTTGATAATTATGTACAATTTCCAATATATAAACATTACTTCTTACTTTAACAAGCTTATTCAGTTTAAATATCTTCACATGAAACATTACTAACACAACCATATCCATTAGTAACACAACCTTCCTTAAATATATTACATAATTCATCACTATTATAATTATTTGGTGCTTCATTACATTATAATGCAGCACAAGGAGTAACAGTTGTATTACTTTGACCTTTACAGGGTTTATCAGTTGCTGAAAATAGTGGACAAGACTTAATAGTTCCATTAAATAATGAACATGGTTAAGGTAATACACATCCAATTCCTTTAGTAACACATCCTTTTAAGAATTGATTACATTCATTATCTGTCTTAGCTGTAATATTATGTTAACAATTTCGTTCAATACAATTCATTAAAGGTGTAGCTGAAATAACATTCCAACAAGGTTTAGTACCATTAGATCCAATAAATTAACTGCACTCTATTTAAGTTCCTTAATAATCTGAACATTTTGCAGTCTTATCAATACATCCTCTACCTTTTGTAACACATCCAACTTAGAATTCTTAACATTATGAATCTGTATTATATGTTTGATTATCACTACATAATCTCACTCTACATTATGAAATTGTTGTTGTAATACTGTTATCATTCCAACAATTTTTACCATTACCAATAAATTTAGAACATGTTAATTGATTTCCAATATAATTATTACAAATTTCATTCTTATCAATACATCCTAATCCTCTAGTTACACATCCTTTCATAAATTAATCACATTAAATATCAGTAACACTATTCATATCATCATAACATTATTTCTATTCACAATACCCAAAAGAATCTTAACCTTTACATTTAATTCCATTACCAACAAATGTATTACAACTAGAACTTGTACCTCTGTATTATGAACAACTCAATGAAGAATCTACACATCCCTTTCCATTTGTTCTACATCCTGGTAAAAATGAATCACATTCTAAATCTGTCATTCCAATTTAGTTTTAAGAACATATTCTTTATGTGCAAGTACCTGATACAAACCAACATCTATCTCCAGTAGTAGTTCTTAAATTTTAACATTAAAATTCACTCACTCCAATATACAAATTACAAGAACTTAACATTGTATAACAATTCTTACCATCATAAGTACATGTAGACAAATGAATTCCACAATTTACATAATTTGCATTTTCAATTAAATTTGAACAAGTCCTTTCTTCACATGATCCTACTTCATTAGTTTGTTTCCAACATTTAATACCACTAATAGTTGTAGTATTTTAACATGCTATTTTAGTGAATCCTGTATATAAATTACATGTAGTTTAATGATCTACACATTCTATTCCATTAAATCTACAACTACTCAAATGTTATGGACAACTAATTGCACTTGCATTTTCTATTGTATTACTACAACTTCTATTACTACATTATGTAGATCCAATACTAGGTATCCAACATAAGCCTCCTGAACTTGTTGTTACTAATTTACAAGCTTCAGATGTAAATCCTAAATATCCATTACAATTTGTCTATTGTATTACACAAGATGAACCATTAAATCTGCAAGTATTCATATGATCTAAACATTTCTATGGAGTTGTAGCCACTGTAATATTTGAACACTATCTATCTTCACATGTTCCAACCGAATTTGAAGATCTCCAACATTTAGTAACACCATCTATTAATGTTGTGTCCTTACAAGCTTTTTGATTGAACAGAGTATATAAATTACATGCTGCTTATGCATCTTCACATTTAGTACCATTATATCTACAAGAAGATTTATGAGCTACACAATTAATTGAATTAGGAGTTGTTACAGTATTACTACATTATCTACTTTCACATGTTGTTAATGCACTGTTTTCTAACCAGCAATTCTCACCAGAAAGTGTAACTGCTATTTTACATGCTGATTATACAAAATTAGTATAAGAATTGCAACTAGATTATTTATTGACACATTTTACTCCATCATAAACACATGTATCAGAGTATTGAGTACAAAATTATGATGAAAATGAATAAGGATTTAAAGTACTTGTTACACCTGAACATGTTCTAGCCATACAAGTTCCTATTGAATTTGATTATCTCCAACATAACCCAGTTGATATACTTACTGCTTTTTCACAAGCATTAGGTTAAAAATTTACATACTAACTACATAAATTCTATTAATCAACACAATTTGAACCACTAAAAATACATCCTTATAAGAATTAATCGCAATCATTTTAACTTGTTGCTATTGTTAATTATGTACAACTTCTAGTTTAGCATGTACCTGTTCCATTAGCTAAATAACATTTTCCACCAGATATTGTAGTTATTTATTAACATATTTAATAATTTAATCCTATATATGATGTACATGAAATTTAAGCATCTATGCATATAAATCCATTAAATCTACAAGTTGACAAATATTCTATACATTAATCATTATTTGCTGGATTAATTACATCTGAACAACTTCTATTCATACATGAACTTTTACGAACACAAGGATACCCATTACCAATAAAGTTTTAACATTCAGTTTCATCTCCTTAAAATTAAGTACATGGTTATGTGTTTTCAATACATCCTATACCTTTAGTAACACATCCTGATAAGAACTATTCACATTATTCATTTGATGTTGATGTAATATCCTATATACATTCCTTATTTAGACAGTTAGACCCACTTATCCACCAACATTATTTTGTATTATTTAAACCTTTGAATTTTGAACAATCTGAAATATTATTTCCAGCATAAGATGAACATGGTTCTGCTTAATCAATACATCCAATTCCTTTTGATACACATGTACTTAAAAATGATATACATTATTCATTTGAAGTAGCTGTTATATTATCTGCACATTATAAATTTCTACATGGTCCTGTAATTCCTACATCTTGATAACATTTTATTGTTCCATTTATTCCAAAATATGACGAACATCTTTCTTAATTGCCAGTATATTAATTACAATCAGCAGATTTATCAATACAACCAGAACTACCCTAAAATTTACACCCATTTAAAAAATCATCACATTATTTTTGATTAACAGCTGTTGTATTGTTTGTGCATAACATTTCCTCACAAGGTCCCTTTAAATTACTAGTACTGGTACATTTCATACCATTCCCTTTAAAATTGATGCATGTATCTATTGTCCCCACATATTAATTACAAGGAGCTGTGAATGAGAGACATCCTTAAGAGTTTGTAACACAGCCTACTAAGAATTTCTTACACTAATCATCTCTAGTATAAGATAAGGGAGCATCACTACATAATCTAATTCTACAAACTCCATTAACCCAGAAACAAGATTAGCCATTTGCCAAATTATTATTACACAAACTAATACTTTTAAAGAATGAACAGTTAGTTCTTGTAACACAAATTTAATTCCATTAACATGAAGCAGTAGCTTTACATGTTAATTCTTTAATAGTAGATACACAATCTGTTTTCTTTACACAACCTTCTCCATTTGATAAACAATCACTTTAGAATGAAATACATTATTCATGTGTTTTATATTCAGTTGGAGCATCAGTACATAATAAATTTGAACAACTTCCATCAACATCACTTTTTGAATAACATCTTCCATCAGATCCTTCATATTTAGAACAAGTTGCTGCAGTCCCATTATAAGTTGAACATAATTTCCTATTACTTAAACAATTAACTCCATCAGTAACACAACCCTTTTAATATTCATTACATTCCCGATCTGTTTTAAGTTTAGCTTCTTCACAAACTCTTACTTTACAACCATTTGATCCTAGAGTACATTTACCATCACTTCCTATATATTAATTACACTCTTCAGATGTTCCTGTATAAGAACTACATAATTTTAATGAAGTATCACATCCTCTTCCATTAGTTATGCATTATTTCAAATATTCATTACATTTATCATCAGTATTATAAGTAGAAGGTGCATTTTCACATTTCCTAGATTAACATTTATTTGATGATCCATTTTCACATTATCCATCAGATCCTATCATATATTAACAATCATTTCCAACATAACTATCACAAGTTGGTAAAGGTTTCATCCAACATCCCTTACCTGTTGTAACACATCCTTATTAATATCTCATACATTATTCATCTTTATTATAATCACTAGGAGCAGACTAACACTCTCTTACACCACAACCACTTGATGTTCTTACACAATAACCTTCACTTCCAATCATTGAATTACAATCATCAATTCCATATGAAGAACATTAACCTCTAATTTCAACACATCCCTTCCCATTTGTAACACAGCCTATTTTAAATTAATTACAATCTTAATCCGTTTTCAAACTATTACTTGCTTCTGTACATCTTTAATCTCTGCATTAATTGTTCTCCCATCTACATTAACCTCCTTAAACATTGATATTCTAATTACAAAATATCTAATTTTTATATTCACTGCAATTTTATGGATCTAAACATACATTCCCATCTGAAGTACATTATTATGATATCTATTAACAAAAATCATTTGAACTACCCATATAAGCAGAACAACCACTAAATTATTCACATTTATTATCAACAAAAGCACATCCTTTCATTTTAGGACATGTTACTTAATCAAATTATCTACAATAAACACTTATAGTATCCTCATTTTCTTTTTAATCATTTTGCACACATTTATCAATATCCCATCTGCACCCAATGTTTGCACAATCAAACTTTGATTTTATTTAACTACAAGTGCAAGATTCCTCCACATTTATCAAAGCACCTAAATATTGACTAACCAAGATGACTAATAAATTCAATCTCAACATTTGTTTTATTCTATATATATTAAATAATTATTTCGAGTTAACTAAAATTAATTTCTATATTCATTTCATTTTACAAATACTCTTTCATTTCTGACATTATAAAAGAAAATAAATATTTATATATTTCAAACATATCATTCTCATTTCCTACCTTTATCATTCATCAGTTTTTATCAGTCTACTAGAATTATCAATAAATATTTATATTTAAAATCATTTTGTAATTACATTATTGTACAAGAATATTTTATTATTTATTACATATAATGAATTCAATATCACGAATTCAAAAGGAACTTTAAAGCCTTTAAGATGAACCTCTGAATGGATTCTTAATTAACATTTTAGATCATAATAATTTATTTTATTGGAAAATTTAGTTTTCTGGACCTTAAGGGTCACCTTATGAAGGTGGAATTTTTAATCTAGATATATAATTCCCTGAAGATTATCCTTTTAAACCTCCAAAAATATTATTTCTAACTTCTATATATCATTTAAATATTGATTATAATACAGGATAAATTTGTCTAGAAATTTTAAGATACAATTGGTCTCCAAATTTAACTATTAGAAATTGTAAGACATTTTCATTTATATTTTAGTACTTTTAAGTATTCTAGCATTACTTTATGATCCAAATCCTAACAGTCCACTACTTGATGATGTTAATACCGTTTTCAAGAATGAAAAATTATTATATCTTTAAAAAGCTAAGGAATGGACTAAAAAGTATGCCAAATGATATTAAAAATGGTTTGGTGATATCTTATATATAGAAATGTTTTATATGTTTAAATATAATCTATGATAATATTTTACATACATCTTAAAATAGAAATAAATTCTATAATTGTTAAATTGTTTAGTATTTTAATATTATGTTTTAGATAACATTAAATGGTATCTAAAATTGTATTTAACATGAAATATTATTATCCTAATCTGTAGTATTAGAATATTCTATATTTAGTTGATCTTTAATTTGATTTTGTAATAAAATATATGAAAATTTTAATAATTATTTAATATTTTTGTTAATTAAATTATAATAAAGTGAAGTTAAATGATAATTATAGAATTATATGATTGAATTAAATATAAAAGTACTGTTAAAATCGATATTTAAACCTAATAAATTATTCAGTTTTTAGATTAATATAATAATATAAAAAGTATGAATAAGATCATCGATAAAAAAGAAAGTGTAATGCTTGATCCAGTAATGGTTCTGAAAAATTGGGAATACCTCAAAGATCATTTGGTTATGGAAGATTTGGTAAAATAAAGTAAAAATGAGAACGAGGAAGAAGATTTAGACACAACTATAATAATCTGTAATTCAGATTACGATGATTGATTTATATGGTCACTCTTTTGATTCTCATTGATTATATATATAGTATATGTTTACTTAATAAAACTTTAACATTATTTGGTATACTCATTCACTTTTTTAATGAGAATCAAGAGGATCCACTAGGAATAATTTCAAACGAAATGCATCATTACCTGACATGTAATAGTTTTACATTCTTTTCATCTTTGCAAAACCAAGAGATTCATACAATCTAAGTGCAGCATGATTTGTTTATTCAGTCTCTAATACGATTTCATCACCCCCTTTTAATAATATTAAATATAAATTCAAACCTTTTTCTTTTATTTTATCAATAAATTTTTATGCCAAAATTCTTCCAATTCTAAGACGTCTATATTTCTTTTCTACAACAATCATTGCTATATAACCCCTGTTTCTGCCAGATTTATTATGCTTATCTAATTTTCCAATAACAACCTAGAAATTTGATAAATTAAATCACCCCTATAATTTCATTGTTATAATAAGCAAAAATGGATAGATCTGGCCATCCATAAAGAAAATATCTATAAGTATAAATAGAATAAGGTTCAGATAATTCAGCATCAATCATAGGCATTATTTTGGGTATTTAATTATAGTCTGTGAAATTTGTATAGTGAATGTCTTCCAATTTGATTGATTAATCTTAATCCATAATTTAAATTAAACAATTATTACAACTATTGTGTTGTGTTTGTAATTTATGTGATTAATTAATAAAATTTATTGAAATCAATGATGAATTATCATTCTACGATTGATTTTTACTATTAAGAAGACGAAGAATAAATATGCAACCCAAATAATTTCTAACTTTAGTATTACTCTAGAATGATTATACTTATGATATCCTTTCTTTCATCCTGTTTTATTGGACTAACTAGTATATTAAGTAGCAAAAGGAATTTTTGGACTTTTAGAATAATATTTTTTTAATCCTTATTTGAATGCATAGATTTAGGCTTAGCTTTAATTTATAATTTATAAATTATGCAAAAGGAAACATTAAATTCATAATGCAATTTAATTGGATATATAATGCATTCAAGTTGGATCTCATCATTTTGCTGTTGCTTCTTGATGATCTATTAGATGAAATTATTATTAAAGGTACAATCATTTTTATTATAGGTTGAAAAATTCTATGAAACTTTATCAAAAAATATATTAAAGGCAATATTCCTTATTGCTATTTTTTCATATTTATGGTTGCTTACACCATTTATTTTAGATGGATTTGTTCCAACAGGATGGAATTCATTTGAAAAAAAATGTAAATAATACTTTTTTTGTGGATTTGGCAAAGACTGGAAACTCTATTTAGTATTTTGGAGTCTACCTTAAATAATTATTTTTTTGAATGGAGTTAGAATAGGAATTAATGTAAAAAAGTTCATTTATGATTCTTCTTTAGAATAAAAAATTAGCCTCAATCCATCTATCTACATTTTAAGATGAAGAATTTTAAATGATTAAAGATCTATAAAAATTTCCAATTATATATGCTGGAGCTTGGTCAATTAATTAAGTCATAAGGTACTAATTATTAAAAAATAGATATATTGATCTTAATGAGACTATTGTCGAATGGATTGTATTTAATCATTGGTCTTTTGGTTTTTATGTTTTGATTAATTTAATCTTTGAATTACACTTACTTATTGTTTTATATTATTTTATTAAAAATTACAAGTAAATAAAACTTATATTATATGTTAGTTAGGTGTTGAACATTAAGCAAATTTGGCTATCATTATTGTGCTGTCAAAAAAAAGTTGAAATAAAAGATAAAGAAAGCCTACTATATCAAGATGTTAATGGGACTTCATGATAATATTATTTATTTGTATAATTTCTTAAGCAAATGCTAATCCCTATAAGGAAATCTTATAAAAATAATTATATGATTCTTAATAAAAAGACTTTCTCAATAAAAATTCAATTTTTTATTTTAAATTTAATATTATTTGATAAAATTCTAAGTGTAACTGATAGATTTATTTTAGTGATATACAATAATTTTGATTTTTTATTATAATATTTTAATTATCATGATGCTACATTACACAATATCAGATAATTACATTCACTAACTTATTCATAGTATATGATTTTAAAAATTATTTTAATATAAAAATGAACAACTCTCAGAAAAGCAAATCTGTTAGATCAGGTTCAGCAAGAGTCAAATCAGCTATTGAAAGAGCTGGTTTAATTCAACAAAGAGAGTAATTGAGAGAAATGTTGATTAGCAAATTTTCAAAAGATTTTGCTTAAGGTAATAAGAATAAAGAAGTATTAATTTCGTAAATAGTTAATGAATACTTCACAAATGAGCAAGTATCAAGCATAAAAAATATTAGGTTACAGAAAATTCTTTAAAATAACTAAAGGCAAGAGTAATAGAGGCTATTCAAAAATAAAAATAACAAAGTTAAACATAATAAAACCCTTCCTAAAATATTTAATTTGACAATAGAAGTGAATAGAAATCATAAAGTGTTAGACCATAATCTGTTAAGAATTCAGTGAGATCAGAAAGAGATCCTGATTAATATTCTGTAACGTCTTCATAATTTGAAAAACCACCAAAATCTGTATATGTAGTTGATGAAGAGGATGAATGGGCTGCTTTGGTTAAATTTGATACAGAACTACACACAAAGGAAAGATAGCTAGAATAACAAAGATAAACTGAATTTAAAAAGAAAATGAAGGCAGAATTAGATAGATAATTAGAAGAGAAGAGAAGAAGATTAGAAGGTGAGAGAAAATAGGAGGATGCTTATGTTAAATTAAGGGATTATTAAATGAATGTTTATGATTAAAGAGAAGATTAGAAAAAGAGAGAGAAAGAAAGAAAGTAATAAATGGAAAAAGAGTAAAGAGATAGATAGGTAAGGGAAGAGGAAAAGAGAAAATTTTTAGAGAAAAAGAGATAATCAGAATAGGATGCAATATTGGTTTAAAGGATTTAGGAAGAATTGAAATAGGAATAAAGGGAAATACTTTAAAAGAAGGAGATAGAGAAAAGAAAGTTTATGGAAATGATGGAAGAAAATGAAAAAAATAGATAAAAATAAATGCATGATGAAATTGCAGAAAAATAATTAGAAATAGATATGCAAAGGAAATATATAGATTTATAATAAAAATTAGAATAAGAAAGAGAATTAGAAAAGAAAGAGAGAGAAGATAAAATCAAAAAGATTATGAGTGATTTTTCATAAACTGTAGTAAAGAATTAAAAAGATTAAATTAAGTATTATTTTATTTAGAATTAGGGCTGAAGATGATAAAATGATGAAAGCTATTCTTATGTAAAATTCAATTGAATAAAATGATGAAGACAAAAAAAAGAGATAAATAAAATAATAACAATAGGAAATGAGATAATATTTAATTAAGTAAATGGAAGATAAAAAGTAAATATAATATGATTATTTAAGATAGAAAATAAAAGAAGAGGAAGATTTAAATAAAAAATAAGCTTAAGTATGGTAATAAGATTTATAAATGTATTAAACACATGAAAAATAAAAATTTAATTACATTAAAGATGTAAATTTGAAGCATTAAGATATTTTAAAATAATAAATAGATGAAAGAAAATCATAGTAGAGACCAAGAAATAAAATGAATAATGAAGAATTAATGCATAACAAGCCTTTACTAAAAGAATTGGCAGACAAATAAGATGCAATCAAAGTTAGAAAGATGAATATTTGATGAGATTGATTTATTCATATAGATTATATATATATTTTATGTTAAATATATATATTTAAATGTGATAGCAAATCCATAAATTAAATTATCAAAATATGACTCACAGTTATGGTTTGAAAAAGGGTACCAGAAGTAAGTTTGCCAAACCTTTCAGAGGACATGGAAACATATCAATAAGAAAAACCCTTTAAACTTTCAAAAGAGGTAATCCTTTGTTAATAATCTTAAGGTGATTTTGTTGATATTTTGGTTGATGGTGCTTAACACAAAGGTGTTCCATTTTAATATTATCATGGCAGAACTGCAAGAGTATTCAATGTCAATCCAAGAGGAATTGGTGTCTCATTATAAAGAAGAGTCAGAGGAAGATATGTCGAAAAGCGTTTTCATGTTAGAGCTGATCACTTGAGACCCTCAAAATGCAGATAAGAATTTGTTAAGAGAGTCTAAGAAAATGATAAGAAAAAGACTGAAGCAAAGAAGAATAAACAAGTCATTTCAACAAAGCGATAACCAGTTTAACCAAGAGGAGCAACAGTTGTTATTCCAAAATAGACAACTTTCTAACATCCAAAGGCATTTGTAGAAATTATTTGATCTAATAAATAAGTATATTACAAAAAAAATATGTTAATAACATTAAGAAAATTTTATTAATTATTTATACATATTTCTACTTGAAATGCCTTGCTTTTTTATTTAAATAACTTGTAAGAAATTCTAGATTTAATCATAATATTATGAATCTATTTCTTTGAAATTTGTTTAACATTTAAGAAAATTCATTGCAATCTTAATTTTTGTTTTAAATCATAAAATTTATCTAAAACTTCTGATATATTAAAACTATTATTATAATTATAATACTTCCCTTTTAATAAAAATACTCTTTATGATTTTATTTATTGTAATTAATATAATATTCTTAGTTTTAAGATAAATATAAACGTTAAATAATAATAAAAATTATTATTAAATAATCTTTATCTAGATTAAATTGATTTTTTTGATACGTCTATATATCATACTCATTTTTCTTACTATTATTGAGGTCCATCAAAATCATCTTCATCTTCCTTTCTTCTGTAATAGTAGGTTTCAAGATTTTTTTTGTTAATCTAATCACAATATAATACGTTATTACTTTCTTTAATTTTTCAGGAGGAAAGATTCTTAACAATCTCCAAGCCAAATCTAAGGATTTGAAAATTGAACGAACCTCATAAGCTCCTTAACTGATGAAGTTATTTTCAAACTTCTTCAAAAATTCTAAATATAAAAGATCTTCAGCAGACAAGGCTTCTTCTCCTACGACTGCTTTCATGGAAGCTGTATCTTTACCAATGGCATAATTTGCATATAACTATAAATATATGGTAATAATAATTAATACCTGATTTGAGACTTCAGGATGATCTTCTCTTGTCATACCCTTACCAATAGCAGATTTCATCAATCTTGATAATGAAGGCAAGACATTGATAGGTGGGTAAACTTATTTATTATTCAATTATCTATCAATAAAGATTTATCCTTCAGTAATATATCCTGTAAGATCTGGAATGGGATGTGTAATATCATCATTAGGCATTGTCAAGATTGGGATTTAAGTAATTGATCCATTCTTACCTTACACTCTACCTGCTCTCTCATAAATTGTTGAAAGATCTGTATATAAATAACCAGGGAAGGAACGTCTTCCTGGAACTTCTTCTCTAGCTGCAGATACTTCTCTTAAGGAATCTGCATAAGCTGACATATCTGTTAAGATAACCAAAACATGTAATTCCTTTTCATATGCCAAATATTCTGCAGTTGTTAATGCTAATCTTGGAGTAATAATTCTTTCAATTGTTGGATCATTAGCCAAGTTCATGAACAATACGACCCTTTCCATTGAACCATTTTATTCAAAATCTGTTTAGAAAAATCTAGCAGTTTCCATATTAACACCCATAGCACCAAATACAACTGCAAAATTTTCATCAGAATGATCAAGTACATCTTTACCCTTGACTAATGAAGCTTAACGCACAATTTAACTTTAATTATAGATATAGAATCATACGCTCCTATTTCATTATGAGGTAAACCATTGGCAGAGAACAATGGAATCTTCTATCCTCTGGCAATTGAGTTCATGCAATCTATGGCTGAGATACCAGTTTAAATCATTTCTTGTGGATAAACTCTAGAGTATGGATTAATAGGCTATCCTTGAATATCCAAGAATTCTTCAGCCAAAACAGGGGGTCCTTTATCAATGGGAACTCCTGATCCATTGAAAGCTCTTCCAAGCATTTCTTCAGAGATTGCCATTTAAAGTGTTGAACCTGTGAATTCGCAATGTGTGTACAAATTATCGATACCTGAAGTACCTTCAAAGATCTGAACAACTGCTTTCTTACCAGCTATTTCCAACACTTATCTAAAAGTATTATATAGATCAATACCCCTTTCTAACAGATCCATCTCCCAAACAAACATTAACAATTTCTGCATATCTTGGGAATTTGACATTGTCCAATATAACTAGTGGACCATCCACCTTTACAACTGTTCTATAATCCACTCTTGGAGTCACATTATAATTTCTTGTAGCTGCAGCTGCATTCAATCTAGCGGCTGCAACTTTAGCAACATCATGTGCCTTATGATGATGACTCATTTATATAATAAAGATATTTATGGTTTTTAAGAATTTATAAACTCATTTTAATATCATTGATAATATATACATTAATATAATATTAACAAGAAAAAAAGAAGTTCAATGTCTCCATATTTTAACCCTTCTATCCTTGCCACCACTTCCAGCTTTTTCTCCTCCTATTGGAGCCCAATCAACAGCATACACTTCATCAGCATGTCCTGGCAAATCGAAGGCTAACTTCTTTTTTGATAAAGACCATAATTTCAAAGTAGAATCTTTAGAAGCTGACAGCATATATCTAGAATCACTCGACCATGAAACTTAATATACTGAGCCAACGTGACCTCTCAAAGTTGCAATCCAATTTCCATTGTAACCATCCCAAATTCTTAAACTTTTATCAAAACTAGCTGAAACAATATATCTTCCATCTGGAGAAAATTATACATGATTCACTTGTTATTGATGTCCAGTCATTCTAACTTTTGGTTTTGATGATGTATATTCCCAGAGCATCAAAGTTTAATCATCACTACCACTAACAAGCCTTTCATTTTTACCATTTAACATCTTATCATAAAGCACCTTAGCTTATTTTCTGTTAATTTCAGTGTTTCCTTCACTAAAACAAGCACATCTTATTGTATAATCAGTATGTAAGGCAATAGAATTGACCCAATGTCCATGTCCTTTTAATTCTTAAACTCTTTTTCCTGATTTATTCCATACACCAATTGTAGTGTCTTCTGATGCAGTATATATATATCCTTAACCACCCCAAAGCATTCTAGATTTAATATGATATATATATACTTTGTTATTGCTTTTTAATGAGCATTGATAGATATTAAACAAGATAGTGAAATTCTACTCCAGATTCTTACACTACCATCTTTTGATGATGAAGCCACTAAGGAACATTCTTCATCTAAATGCATAGGTTACCAAGCTATACTAGTTACCCATTTAGTATGTCCTATTAATGGTTATCCTTTTAATTAATTAGTTTCAACATCCCAAATACAAACTTAACCATCATGACTACCAGAAGCAATGTATTTGCAATCAGGACTCCATGCTAAACATAATACCCAATTTTTATGGCCTTTAAGTGTAGCAATTGGAGTTTCTGTAAGCATATCCCATAATCTAATGGTTGTGTCTCCACTTCCTGTTGCTAAGACATCTCCATGAGTTCTGAATTGAACACATAATACTGGTTATTCATGGCCTTCTAAAGCAGCTGTTTAACGTGTAATAGGTTGAATTCGAAAAAGTGATTATGGATGGTATGTTAAAGAAAAAGTATTTTCCAACTTGTATTCAGGATCAGAGGCGATTAATTAGTTTAATGTGTCAATTAATTCAATGTTGTTGTGAAAAAATGAGTAAACTTAATCTTCTTCTGTTTTGACCAATTATTATAAAATTGATTGCAATTCTTCTTTAGTTGTATTTACTGATAGTTCTAAAGATTTTTAGGCTTCTTCGCCATAAGGATTAATTAGAGTCACGAATACTCTAGTATCTGGGGGTAGAAGAGTAATTTAATTAGGTTTTATCCTCTTCTTGGTTTGATCCATTTATTGATCACTATTAAAATTAATGAATTAAGGTAATTAAGACAAGAGAAAATAAAGAGATTATGATGATGAGGATTCAGAAGAAGAGGAAATTGAACAACCTATAAGTGTACATAATAAGGGAGATATGGAAGAGGAAATAAATCTTGACTTTGTATTCCTTGATCCAAATCAAAAATAATTTCACTCTATTAAAACATTTATTAATGGATATTTAGAGGGAATAAGTTTTAAATCTTCTGAATTGGCTAACATTATATGTGATCAAGTTGAATTGGGAACTATGGTTGGATAAGAGGATGAAGACAATGTTTTTGGTTTTACTACAATATTAAATATTGGTGAAATTAAGTAATTTAGTTTTTTAATTATCAATAGGAGTAATGCCATAGGTGAAATCTTACATTATGTAGATACTAAATCAAAATAATTCAATAAACAACATCAATAACTATAACACATCTTTTAAACACCTAAGAAAGTTGGTTTATTTATAAATGAAAGAATACTTAATTTGGCTCCACAACTTGTTCCTATTTTACATAATCAATTAGTAATTCCATATTTAATTTTAGAAAGAAGATATTAATTGGTTATAAAAAGAAGATCCATCTAATTCACTCACAAATTTAGATTATTTACTTGTAATAACTAAATGTTTTAAAGATAATGATTAACAAAAGTAAACCTAAAAAGTAAACAATAATATTAAAATTAGAAATCTACTTCAGATCTTAATGATTTGATATTCTAAAAGTTTGAAGATTATGTTTTCTTGTAAAAGTCTGTTGTTTCATTCAGATTCCTTAGTGAAGGATCAAAATAAACTCAATAAGTCTCTGACTTTATGAAAACTGAACAAGAAGGTTAAATTTGTTATCGATTGATATATCTGATACAATTAAAGGATTATCTAGAATAAATTGTGAATATTGAAAAATATGTATAATAATGAATTAAGAAATATATAACTTAATTTATCATACTAATGATTATTATGTATTCATATACAAATCTATAGTCATAAATTTAAATTTTCGAAACATCCTTTAATCTTCTCTCTAGTAGCTGGCTTAATAATTACTCCATCAAAACCTTCATTAATACTCTTTTCTTAGTCCGATATACTACAAAAAGCAGTTACAGCTACTACTGGGATTGTCTTTACCAATTATAATTCACATTCCATTTATCGAATGATTTAAACAGCTTCCCATCCACTCATTAATGGCATATTTATGTCCATCAATATACAATGATATCCAGTACATTTTCCACTACATTTATCTTATAATTTCTTAGATACTTTTTCTATTGCTTATTTACCATTAAAGGCAGTTTCTATTTAAAATCCCATTTCTTTAATTAATTGAGATATAATATCAATATTAAATTACTCATCATCAACTATTAAAATGGTTTCACAATTACATTGATCTTATCTCTTTTTAGGAATTTCAATTGACAAATCATGAGAATTACTTCTTTTAAATATATTAATTGCTGTCAATTGATGACCTTTATTATAATTTAAAACTTTTACAGATGCACTTTATGCATCTTATAATGGAATAGTCAATTATTAAGATTTTTAAATAGAGGATTTTTCTTCAATATATCTTAAACAAAAATAAAATGATGATCCACTATCTTTTACAGAATCAACAAATAATAAATTAGAATTTTCTGGTGCTAATTATCTAATTATTGATTTACAAACTGATAAACCTAAACCAATACCAACAGAATATTTTGATACTTTTTCATCTTCATCTGCAACATGTAACTATTATAATTTTAATAAAAACATACTTTTTTTCTCAAAGTTACTAATTCATCTTCATCCATACCTAAACCACTATCTTTAATATAGATTTCCAAAATATTTGAATCTTCTTAAGATAATTAAGATTAAACTTCATCTATTATACCAAAACAAGATGGAGAATATTTCTTTTTTTTCACTTCTACAGTTATTCCACCTTAAATAGTAAATTTAATAGCATTTGTTAATAAATTTAATATAACTTGACAAAATCTTTATCTATCTCCTTTTATTATATATGCACAATTCTCAGGTATATCTAATTAATAACTTAATTATTTTCTAAATATCTAATCTTTAATTAAATCTACACATTCTGTAATAGCATTAATTAATTCAAATTTATCTTCTCTCAATTTTAATTTATTATCTAATAAATATCTATAATCAAAAAAATCCTACACTTTAAATAATTATAATTTTGTATATCTTAATGCACAAGCCAATTATTCTGACATTTATTCTCCCTTTAATAATCTATCCTAACATTATTTTATATAACCATAAGCAGCATTCAAATTTGTTAACATTTCATGAGAAATTGATCTTAATAAATTCTTTTTAACTGATTCTAATTTTTTTAAACTGGTTTTTAAAAGAACAGGATTCAATTCATGAACAAAAAATATTTGGAAATCATCTTCTTCATCAAATAATTTATAATTCTCTATCACATGAATTAAGAATTTCATATCATGATTCATTGTTGATGGTGATGAATTTTAATATTTTTAATTATTATCTCTTAACATCTATTCAAAAGATAATTTCCCACTTGTAGGTGTTGATGGTCTATTAATACTAAGTCTATTTGATGATCTTTTTCTTTATTTCTTTTTAGAATTCAATGTACACATATATGGTTAATGTCTAAGTTCTACTTATAGAGATATATCAGCAGTATATTATTTTTTTAGTACTTATTCATCATCTTTCATTTTAAATGATGAAAAGAATTCTTATTTATATTATATCTTTTTATTAATAGGAGGATTATCACTCAAATTAAATATTAATTATCTAGATCCACCTTCTGGACTTAGAGCTTCTTTCTTATAATTTACTTTTCTTATTTTATATTAATCTATTTATAATTCATCATCAAAATCTATTATAGATATTCCTTATTAATTTAATTCAGTTAATTAAAGATTAGATAAAAAATGCAATTATAATTTTTGATAATTTATGAATCTATCAGGTGATTAATCTGTATCAGAATTATTTGATCCTTCTAGAGTTAATGATAGATTTTCAAAACTTTTATTTGAATAAAGTAACTAACTTTTATTTTTCTAAACAATACACATAGCTGATGGAATAGTATCTATAATTAGAAACAATGCTTAAAGTTTTGAATAAAATGACATTAAATTTCCTTCTCTTCTTATCATATGAATAATCATTATAAGAATAAATAAACCTAAAAATTCATAAGATTTATCTTCAACTGATACTAGATACCCTCCTATGCACATTCCTAAAGTTAACAATTTTATTGATATTGTGTAAGCCATGTTAAACTAAATTACATTAATTGTGGTGTAAATTAATAAAAATGATGGGTTCGACATATAAAAATATAGACAATACCAATTAATGAGAATTATTTAACAAATTCTAATTATTTGAGTCATGATTGCTTTACAAGAATGGTTCTTTTTAATCAGAATCACCAAAATTATATGTGATAAGCAGTTAATACTTAGTTGAATATAAAGTTCCTAATCACTTTTACTAATGATCAATTTTATTAAGATTATTATAAACGATATGAAAAGAGTTGGAATTTGAATTAAGTCCATCTCCATTTAGAATTCCTACTTTTTCCATTATTAATATTATTCTGATACGAATTTGTTATAAGAGTTCTAAAAAGTCCTTATAAATTCACAAAGCATCTTCAAAATTAATTAATTATATCATTAATATGAAATTCAATCTATAATAAATCCCTTATACTCTATAGCTTTTTTACTTCTTCACATAATTATTACTTTTACAAATACCCTAAAACAAATCTAATAAAAACTGTTTAAACAGAATACATTCAATTTAAATAATAACTAAATTTTCTAAATTTAATACTCTATCATATAAAAATACTTATCAGTTTATAATGATCTTTATCTTATACTGTTATTAAGTAATTGAAAAAGAATCAAATTTTAGTTTATCAAATATAAAAAGTAATAATTACAATTATGATAATATTTAAAATATTCATAAACTTAGAAATTTTGACAATGAATGAATGAAAATAAATAAAATAATTATCTATCTAATAATGAAATTAGTTAAATTTCAAAGAAAGAAAACTATTTTTCAATTTTAAAAACGTATTTCAGATTTTTTAATTATTCTCATTAAGAATAATAGTTATAAATTATTATTAATATAATTAAGAGATTTTAATTATTATTTGAGTTCTTTTATATTAATGATAATTCAAATTATCGTTATTTATATTCAAAAATAAAAAGACCCATTTTTAATAATTATTAGTTACTAGATTGAAAATAAGAAATATAAAGAACAATAATTGAAGTTAATTAAAATATTCTATAGATTTTAGTAATTTATTAATTTTGAAATCTAAAATATTATCAAAAATTTGAAAACACTTTTTATTTAATTTATTCAAAATATTTATTTATTTAATATATTAAAATAATAAGCATGGAACAAATAAAGCTTTAAATAAAGGCCACAGATATGGATGAAGATTTTATTAAAAAAGTTACAGATATTACATAATCAGCTATGCAATAATTTAGAACTGAGAAATAGATTGCTCATCATATTAAATATGAATTTGATAAATTTGATTAATTTGGATGGAATTGCATTGTAGGTAGAAACTTTGGAAGTCACGTAATTCATTAAACAAAAAAATACATTTTTTATCAACACAAAGAATTGTATTTCTTATTATGGAAGGCTTGAATAATCTGATTATTGATTATTTAGAATAAGTTTATATATGAACTGTTTCATTTATTTTTTTTGAAATTCTTTCTTAAAACCAATTCAATTAAATATACTTAACATTAGACAATAAAAACAAGTGATGAACTAATATTATTTGTAAAAGTCTTAATACTTTTAAGTTAAAATATAAACGTCATTAAGAATACCTATAATCAATTTAAAGAATTACTTAATAAAAATAACATTTTTCAATTATTTTATCTTCATATTATTAATCAATTATTATAATATTCTAAATGTGAATAAAGATGAGATGATTATTTTACAAAAATTTATAATTTAAAAGCTATTTTATATTTTAACTTATTAAATAAAAATAAATTTTATTATTATTATGAAATAAGCAAATAATACCAACTAGTTGTAATAATTAGACCCAATAGAAGTAATTGACAATCTAGAAACTTTGAAAAAAGTTATTAAATAAAAAGATGCTTAAATTAAAAATATGGAAACAGAATTTTAAGAAAGATTGAATGCATTTTAATTAGCTGTTGCAAGAGATTAAGATGGATTAAAATAAGATATAATCTCATTTTTATTAAAAGACAATGAATAACAAAAAAAGATTGAATAACTTCATATAAATTATGAATTGTATACTTTAGTATTAATTATCTTAGATTGTAAAATTAATTAGAAGAAACCTTCTTAGAAAGTAACAATAAAATAAAAACATTACTTGATATAAATGACAAAAAAGATCATGAAATAGAACAGCTTAAATAGTAAATAAGAGACACAGAAGATAGAGTTAATCAACTTAGAAAAAATTCAATTTCAAAAGATAGAAATATGTATGAAACAGAAGCATTAATTAATAAAAAGATTCTTGATCTTTAAAAAAGAGAAGCTGATTTGACATTTAAATTGAAACAAGCTTTAGAAAAAGTAAATATAAATTCAAATATTAAATAGAATGAGCAATTGTAAAATTATTTTGAAAATTATTAAAGTGAAAAGGAAGTTAAATTAATAAAATAAGTAGAACATTTAAAGAAGTAAAACACTTCCTAATTAAACAACATATCATCTAATTATGAAGATTAAGTTAAAACTTCAAAAGAAGTTATTGAACAATTATAAGAACATATTCTCAATTAAAAAGAAAGATTTTCCTAAATTTAAGATGAAAATTAAAAATTAAAATGTGAAGTAGAAATAGCAAATGCTAAAATAAATTGTAATACCTTTATAATTTATTTATAGAATTATTAAGTATAATTGATAAACTTTAGGATACAGAATCATTACATGATTAAACAAGAAAGGAATTATAATAAGTAGAAGACAGTAAGAATATATTAGAGAGAAATTATAAATTGTATATATTATATATTTATTTTTAGAGAAATCTAAGCATTATAAATCTAATTAGAGGAGGCTACAAAATATATTGATTTAACTACTAATCTTCAATAGAAACTAAATTAAAAGGATTCAAAAATATCATATATTTTATAGGAAAACTAATAATTACAAGAATTAGTTTAAGATTTGAGAGTATAAGTTTCATCTATTGAATAACATTTTCAATAACATGCTGATGAATAGAGAAAAGCAAATATATTATTATCAAATAAAGAATTTGAACTTTAAACTATAATTGAAAGTTAAGCTCGAAATTTTGTAGAATAAGAATAAAAATTAAAAGTAAGTTATGAAGAACTTTGGTTAGATTACTAAAATTTATAATATAATTATGAATTGTTAAAGTAAAAGAATGGAGAAGATTCATTTAGATTAAAATTATATAAAACCAATGATAAAAAAGGCAATAGAGCTTTTCATGGAAGTCAAACAAGATTGTCTGTTGCTGATAAAGATCATTAAAATAATTAAGAAACTATTAAAATTAATGATGATGCCTTTTTAAAGACATTAGAAAGTTATTAAAAATAAGATTTACCAAAATAAACTAATAAAAGATTAGATCGTAATGTTTATGTTAGAAGAGGTTGATAATAATGCTATTATATATATTTTAATTATCATTAACTTAAATTATGAAAACAATTTCTATGAAAAATGATAAACTAAACTGATTATTATATATCATTTTGATTCTAATAAAGCAGCCTTCTATTTTTAAACTTTGGCATGTGTTTCTTCCATTTTTTCATAGGCTTCTTCTAATATTGATAATAATGCTTCATGTCCATCCATTCTTAATTATCTTTCTTCTTCTAATTCACTTTTGACTCTTATAACAACTTCTTTGAGCATAGTAAATATACCAACTTCAGCATCTTCTCTGTTTATAAAATATAGATTATTATTATTACCTTTATGATTTACCTTGATTTGCTTAATCAAATAATTTAGAAATTTCTTAACTTGCTTTTTTCACTATTGATTAATCTTCTTGAACTCTTTCTTAATTTTCTTAAACATTATATTACCATAATGCAGGTAAATCATTTTGCAAAGTTGTATTAATAATGTTTACTTATTAGTTTCTAACTTTAATTTCTTATCCAATCTATTATAGTAAGTCTTAAACCTTTAAGATTATTCAATTTAATTTTTACTTATTAATCATAGTTAGACAATATTTATTCACTTTATTCTCTATTAGCTTTAATATCATCATCTAACTTTTTTTAGAGTTTATTCTCTAAATTTTTGATTTCTTTTAACTTTTTTTCATGCGAAGAACTATATTATTCATTTTGTTTTTCAAATTATTTTGTTAAATCTTAAAATTAACCTGACAATTATCCCTATTTTTAACATAATTAAGTACAAGTTATTCACTGTAATTATTGATAACATCCTTCAATTCACTCTAAGCTTTATTGATTCTGTCATAAATTTCATCAATTTTTGCATCTTTTGTGTTATCAACTTCAAATTGAAGAGCTCCCAATTTTTCTTATAATTTTGTGTATCTCTCATTGATTTAAGCATTAGGATCCATTTAATAATAAATAAATATAAATTTTATTTCAGTTCTAATTTTTTTTTTCAATTAAAACCATCATAATTTCTTTTATCTCATCCTCTTTATTACTCTCAACTTCTCCATCAGAACTAAAGATATTAAAATTTTATTTACTTCTAAAAATCTAATGATTTACCAACTGTATCATATGGTAATGTGATGGCAGATATCAAAGAAATAACAGAACTAACAGCAAAAGCCAGAAAGGGTAAATGCGTATCTTAATCAAATAAAGGTATAAGAATATAAGGAGAGATGGCAGCCCCTATTCTTCCAACAGCAGCACTACTACCAAATCCCAAAGTTCTATTTGATGTGTGAAATATTTCAGTAGAATATGGATAAAGCATAGCCCAACTTTCTTTCATAAAGAATCGAGCAAAAAAATAAGGCCAAGAAGCATAATAAGACCAAACATGCATTATTGATGCACAAAAAAATGAGATTGCCATTGTGTTTCTTCTTCCTAAAAAAGGTATTTCTACTATTAACAATGATAAAATTATTGATGGTATTTCACCTAAAACAGTTGTTAAATAGTCCACAAATGTTTTTTATTTAGATCCTAAAATGAATGGTAAAATCAGTAATTATCCAAAATACATCTAATATAGTTATATGAAAAATTACAAAGTTAATACAAAACCATATTATCCACAATCTTATGGTTGTGCTTTTATTATTTTTATTAAACAATTCTCTAAGTGTTCCTCTATTTTCAGAACGGAATACTTTAGTTACCCATTTTTCAATAGCTATTCTTTCTTTTGCTGATATGTATCCATATCTAATATTTATATAATTGATAATTTTACTTAGATCCTTTAAATGGATCTGAAGATACTTCTGGTTATACACTTTTAAATAGTCTGCTTATTAGTCCTGTATTATTTTAATTTTTATGAATAATCTCTTCAATAATATTTAAACCCTCTACTACTTAACCACTAGCCATTAAATATCTAGGACTCTCCATTAAAAAGATCCATGCCAATATGCCAACTATTAAAGAAGTTGTTGAACTAAGACTCATCATTAATCTCCAATGTCCTTAATTAAAATTCTCTAAACATAAAAATGCCAATAAAAATGCATAAATTTTGCCAACTGATACAAAGAAATTTATAACAATTAAAAATCTTCCTCTTACATCAGGTGCAGTAATTTCAGATATCATAGTTGTTGTTAAAGGAATTGAAAATCCTTGTCAATTAATTGTACTAAATACCATAAACAAAACCATATCCTAATCTTGCAAAAATCATATGATAAAAATTTGTACAAAGCAAAAAGCTGTTTGCCATAAAAAATTATATGATGCACGATAAGTAAATACATCTCAATCTTCCTTTTCTATCTGCAACAAATCCAGTCAATATAGAACCTAATACCATTCCTTGTCTATTTTGAAATTGAAAACTCTACCCAAATAAAATATGCTTGTTAAGATTTATATTTGCATGCTTGTTAATTGCCACTCAGTTTTTAATATAGGCATAAGAAAACTCATTAATATCAACTCACATCCATCATTCAAATCAATAAAAACCAAAATAGATAAGGCCAAAATTTAATATCTACCTGTTCCACACTTACTTAATAATATTATAGACTTACTCTCTTTTCTATCAGTTAATCTAAAGATAATTTAGCATTCTCTTTATAAGGATTCATTATTAAATGATATAAAATATAATATAATATTGAAAATCAATTTCATACGTTGAGAGTTTTATTAAATCACAATTAATATTATATTCAAAATTAGAAGTGCATTGTACATAGTCTGTATTAGTATATTGAAAAATAGAATAATGCAATATAATATCATCATTATTATCTAAAACCTAAGTATACAATGTTAGACTTCATTAAGAGTGTTATTTGTATTAATTTAAAGTAGATTCGAGAAAGTATGTAAGTTATCTGACTGCAGATTCAACTTATTCATTATCAGATTGACAATCATTATCCATAGACTATAATAATGATTATAGGTTATACATGTGAAATAATTTAATTATAGGCTGGAGGTATGTTGAGTACTTTGTCATCATAACATAAGAACTCTCTAGCATTACCCTTAGAGTCATATAATTATAGATTTGGATATTTTTTTAGATTTGTCATTTTGAAATATTTTGTTATTGTTCTTTAAGGTAATGGCTTCTTTTTCTCAATGGTAATAGTAGTTGAACACTTTTTGATGGTTTTTGTAGCTGCAATTTTATTATTAACTTAGATATTTTCTTTATTTCCAATATTTGCTGTTAATGTTTCCTGTAGAAAATTATATTATAATAATTATACCCATCTTTATTTTGTATTATTGAATTTTCTATTTGTATCATATAATTTAGACATATTAATGTACTTATAAACAATAATAATAAAAATAATGTGGCATTCAAATTTAAAATTTCGTTAAAAATGCCTAGTTTAAATTCCAAAAAAATGGCGGAATATAAATTTTTTGTAAACACATAAATTAATTTGAAATCAAATTTATTATTGGATTGAAATTGTATTTTTTCATACAGGTGGTAAATTGATATTTTAAATATCTTTTTCAGATATTTCTCCAGCCTATAATTATTTCTATTATAACAATAGTTAATTTTACAATTATTTTCTGACGTTCACTTTTATTACCACCATTATGTTTGAATTTAATGTGTAAATTTAATGAAACATCTGATCCATAAAGCTTCTCACAATTTTTATAAGGGCACTAAAAAATTAATAAATTCAATACACACTTTAAAATTCTTATCAATTTCAGCTGCAGTTCTTCTTTTCTTCTTTTTCTTATTAGTTACTTCTATTTCTTAAAATTTTTACTCAATCAATTAGACTCTCTATTTTAATTCATGTATTTAAGATTAGAATTCTTATAATTAGGTACAATTTTTTTAATACAAAATCATCATTTCCTAAATGGATTATTGACTTTCAAATTGCATGTTATCTATATTAACTTTATCAAATACCCTCAAATTATTTTGGAAGTTGTTCTTCATTATATACATTCTTTCTTTCAGTATTATTTACTTAAACATTTTGAATATTCTAAAGATTATTATTTTCACTAATCATATTTGATCTATAAGTAATCACTACATAACACTTACTTTTGATTTATAATAATAACCTTTTTGGTTACTTTTGGAATTTATTATAGCTATCTCATAATTAAATTTTATTTATTGCTCTTCAAAATTTATTGCAATATATTTTTATTAATTCCTAATTATATATATTATATATTTATCAATATTAAATAACAATTCTAACTTTAAAATATACTCTTCTAATTTATCACATTTCTATATCAATCTATATACAATTATAATCAAATTCAGAGAACTAAATATTATTTTAACTCTTCTTATTATATCAATCAAATTTTTCTTTAAGTTAAACATTTTTAGTATATTTTTCTATTAAAGTTTTCTCTAAAATAACGAAATTAAATGATTTTTATATTATTAATTGGGGCAAAAAATAATAATTATTTAATTTATTTAAAGTCAAAAATGTCTGCTTTCAGAGCTTTTATGATTTATGATTACTAAAGAAGCTTTTTCTTTCTATTCATAAGAAGAGGCTTTTAAGTTTCTCCTAATTGGAATGATTGTAGAAAAGAATTAGAAAATAAGCTTCAAGAAATTGTTAAAGAACCTTAAGACACTTTTTAATAATCTTCAGAATATGGAATGTTTAGATGTAAATATGACAAAAAGAACAGTAATTTATATTGAATAAATAAAGAATGCTATTTCATTTTATTGAGCAGTAATGAAGTTTAAGAAGCTTATTAAAATTAAGTTTTGGATGAAATTTATTAAAACATAGAAAAAGAACCTAATTATTCAAAAGTAAAATTTATTTGCAATATTAGATTAAAAAAGAAGAATTAGAATAAAAAGAAAATGAAATAATCAAGAATCTACTTGAAACAAAAGAAAATGAGTATATTCAGAAATATGGAAAAGTAAAGGCCTTTTAAGAACCTCATGAGTCTAAAATTAATGGCTAGATTCAATAACAAGTATTTATGAATATATATAATATAGAGTAATCTATAATCATAATAATAAATGGGATCATCAATAATTGGAACCTAACATTAAAGAATTACATCTTAAATACCTAATACTTCTGCTATTTACAATAAAAGTTAAGGATTTAACTCTGATAAAGATTTGAGTTCTGATACTCTGATTAAATTATTTAGATGTTTCATGATGTGGGATTACAATAGACAATTCTTTTTTATGTTTATTAGAAGAGGATTTCCAATTGATAAAACTTGGAGTCAAGAGAGAGTTAAATTAGAAGAGTAACTTAGAGCCAAATAATTGGATCCTAATGATCCTAAAGCTAAACCAAAGGAACCTCCAGAACTATTCGATTATAGAGGCAATTTTGGGTAATATAAAGCAAAATATGATAAAAAAACAAGTAAAATTGTATTTATATTAAAGAATGCTATTTTATCTTACTATCAAGATTTAAAATTAAAGAAGATCCTTAAATAAAACTCTTAGATGCTTTATATGATGAGATATAAAAAGTAGATAAATATATTACTGTAATAATTTAAATGAAATTTTAGTTGAAATATGATGTTTTAGAAGATAAGAAAAAAAAATAATTAGAAAAAATTATAGATGAATATGAGAAAGAAACATCAAACTAGGTGAATTAAAGATTTATTGACACTAAAGTATTAGAGTAAAAATTAGGTTTTCTTACATCTCCAGAAAGAAATATCTAAAGAGACACTGAAGAAAGTGCAATATAATAAAATGGTAGAGTATCAAATAATGAAACTTCTTAGATATAAATGTAAATGCTTACTTCAAATTAAATCTAATAAACTTAACAATAGAACCATATAATAAACTCTTCAAAATTATTATAATCAAAACCAATATATAATTAGCAATAACCATAACCATAATAATAATAAGAAAAATAAGAGATTTAAAATGATTCTGATCCTATTGTTAATCAAGATAATCCTGATCTTATTTCTAATCAAGATAATCCTGAGAACATTCCTATTACCTCAGAAGTTGGCTAATAAGCATAAAGATTAAGTTTGTACTATACAAAACCATTAAATATTTCTTCATACATTAAATCTAGAAATTGAATATCTAAAATTAATTCGATTTTAATATAATCTATCATTTAAATAATATTTCTGAAATGAAAATTCAATTTTATTAAATGAATTAACATTTAATTTAACTGATTATAATGATTCTAAATGTAAATTGATGATCCTTTGAAATATTATTGTAGACAATATCTATTTTTATTGACTATGATTAGTATCATCATATATTTTAATCATTTGTGTTTGCAATCATAAATTAGTATTAAGATATATTATTTATTATTTAAATTTGATTTTACTCAAATAATTAATATTTTTCGATTACCTAATAGTAAAGTAGAAAGTTGAGTACCACGTGAATTCAAATATAAGATATAATATATAATTCAACTTTATTAATTTCACATATATATAAATAATATTTTTGAAAGATTAATCAAATATATTGAGTAAATAATAAAGTTTATTATGAATGACTGAAATAATATAAAAAGAAGTCATTATTTTCATAATTTCAAGAATCAAGGTAAAATAATATTTGGCAACTATATAAGGTCTAGTGTTAATAATTTATATGATTACTAATAAATTAGTTATTGTATAAGAATACAATTTAATTTAATTAATGAATGCTGAATTAAAAATCATGAAACTTATAAATAAAATTCAATTTTTCATCAGCAGTTTATATCATAGATAATTATATACTTAAGTATTTAATCTATTTCTAAAATTTGAATGAGTTCTTTATTTTTATTTATGTGATTTTGGTAATTTAAATCGAACATGTTTTTCTTATTGATCTTTAATTTTTATGCTAGATTATTATAGTTTACTGTTAGTTGTTGATAAGACTTATAATGATGACTAAGTCAATTTTTAAGAAAATTTTTATTTCATTATGCTAATTAATTGTTTTTGCTTTTCTTAAGGAATCCTATTTTTCTCTGTGCTTTAATATGTTGATTTTTAATGGTAAGTCTTATAGATTTACATTTAATTGATTTGATCATCTGATTATATTACAGGTTCTTATGATATATCATCACTTTCAATTTCCTATTAAAGTCTTTTACTTTTATGCAAAGCTTTTCTTCCTCCTTTATGAATTTTTAAAGGATATTACTCTTACTCTATTATAAAGTCGTCCTATTAAATTTCCTCAGTTTCTTAATAATAAGATCGATCATCGGGTGGTTTTTAACATGCTGAACCCATTTTATGATAAAATACAAATAATTGTCAATAATTCAATATCAGTTTATCTAATATACATAACATCAAAATAGTATGTAATAAATAATAGTAATTATAAGGCTATATTTAATATAGATGCTTCATAACTAAAATTAATCATTTAAGTTTATATTTATTTAAAAACTTAATCCTCAAATGTAGGCAGGATGTAAAATTACTCTTCACTTAGCTTGTAGAAAGCTTTTAGACAAGGATACTTTTTCTAAATCAGACCCATAAATTTGGGTTTTCGGAAAACAATTTCGTAATAATTGTTTAGATCAGAATTGGTCATTACTTGGAAAGACTGAAATAATGAAAAATAATCTTAATCCAACTTTCTAAACATCAATTATTTTAGATTATATTTTTGAAATCAAATAGCCACTTAGATTTGAAGTAAGAGATGTTGATGGAGAAAAATATGATGATCTTGGTTTTGTTGAGTCTACTGTTGGTACAATATTTGGATCTAGAAATTAAACTTGTATACTTAATTTGAGTTTAGGAGGAAAACTTATAACTATGTGTGAAAAGAATTAAGATTTAAATGAATTATACATAATGCAAATAAAAGGATCTAATTTAAAAGGATCTTGGTGTTCATCTCCTAATCCAAGTTTTAAAATATTTAAATGCTCAAACAATAATGAATTTTTTGCATATGAATCAGAACATGTACATAAAACTTCAAATCCATTATGGAAGACTTTTTAAATGAAACAATTTAAAATTGGTGATAAATTTAAAATAGAAGTTTATGATTCTATCCATAAAACTATTGGATCGAATTATTTAACAATAGATTAATTAAAGAAATAATAAAAAGATTATTAATTAAGTAATAACGGTGGTTTACTTTAATTTACTTAATTTGAAACCATTTTTAAATTCACTTTTATGGATTATATATAAGGAGGAACTTAACTCAATCTCAGTATAGCCATAGATTTCACTTAAAGTAATGGAGACTAAGATTAATATAATAGTTTACACAAAATCTATTCTTAAAATTAATATTCTTAGGCACTCACAAGTATTGGAGAAATATTATTGGCATATGATTATGATCAATAAGTTCCTTGTTATGGTTTTGGTGCAAAATTAAATTTTCCTTATTTAAAATCAAATACTGTAAGTCATTGCTTTCCATTATCAGGAGATCCTAATAATACATATGCTTAAGGACTTGATGGAATTCTTTAAATGTATTAAAGTGCTTTAAATCATTTATTATTTTCTGGCCCTACATACTTTGGTCCATTGATTGTTGAAGCTATGAAATAGGCTACTATTATTAAATAATAATAACTTAATTAATATTTAGTATTACTGATATTAACTGATGGAGCTATTCATGATATGGATCAAGTTGAATAATATTTAGAATAAGCAGCCTTTTTACCAATTTCTATTATTATTATAGGAGTTGGTGAAGATGACTTTACTTTAATGAAGAGATTAGATGGAGATTTACGTATTATTTTTATTTAATTATAGCTGATGGAGCAATGAAATAGTAAATAAACAAAAGAGATCTTGTGCAATTTGTTCCATTTAGAGATTTTAAAAACTCAATGTTATTAGCTAAAGAGGTTCTAGAAGAATTACCAGATTAATTAACTAATTATATGGAAATGCAAGGCATTAAACCTGGAGCACCTCCAGTTCATTAAATGTAGGACTTTGGTATGACAATGCCTTAGCAATAATAATAAATTTAATGATAAACAGTATTTTATTGTTATATTTTCATTTATATTTAAAAAGTAATGATTTTTTACATATATTCTATATTCTCTATTATTTCAAAATATTAAAAATAACTTATATATCAATCAGATTTGTAAGACTGTGTTAATCATAACAAATATTAAGAAATAATAATATTTATAATTACCATAAAAATTTGAATATATAATTATAGATGAATATTTAATTTTGGCATTGACATTAATATTAAAAATAATATTATATCATTCTATCTATTTAGGTTCCTCTTTATTTTCGTTTTCTTATTCTATTTTTTAAACTTATTATTCTTCTACATTCTTAATAAGCTAATCTTCTAATGAATCTTATGAACAAGCAATTTCCTCTTCAATTTCTTCCTTTTCTCCTTCATCTTCTTTTAATTCTGCATTTTCTGTTATGATTTCCTAAGTCTCCTCAGTTTATTCTAATTTCTATGTTTCTTCTTATAGATCTTATTCAGCCACAATTACTTCATTTTATTATTCTTAATGTTTAATTTCTTGATTATCTACTAAATTATTTTATTATTCTTCATTTCTTTATTCATCTACAATTTTTTCATCTAATTCTTTGGTTTCCAATTATTATTCTTAATTTTCATCATTCACCAAATTTATATCTTAATTACCCTAATTATTTTCTATAATTTATCTCACAACTTCTTCTTCAAATTCTTTTTATTTTTCTGAATCTAATTGTTTTATTTATTATTCCTCTATATTTCCATCTTCATTTAATTTTTCATCAGAATCTAATTAAATATCTTCCTCAATTTCAACACCTTCAGGATCAACATCTCTTGGTTAAACAACATCATTATTATCAGAACTTATACATTTTCTAATTCCTTAGATTACATGATTCTATTCTTATGTTTCCTCTTTAACATTTGGACTGATTATTTCTTCTACAAATTTTTATTCTTTTTGTTTAGGATTAATTCCCAAAATCCATTCTTATTCTATTTTATTGACAATAGCTAATCCTTTCATATATTCATCCCAATCCATTTAAATAGTTGTTACTAAATATATACAAAATTAATTTAATACATAATTATGAACTGACTTGAAATGAATTTGATTTATTTTTATTGCAATCCAAATAATTTGATAGTCTTGTTAATACTCCTTTAAATCCAGATTTATTTTATCTAGCTTTTTCATCATTATTTTATATAATAAAGAGTAAAAGGTTTGTATCTTCAAATATCAATCTATGTAATAATTCATCATTTGTTTCAACAAGAGTGACTATTAATCTTTCAAATAATAAATGTAATTAATTATTAGTAGGATATAATTTCACAAGATCAATTACCTAAGAAAATAATTCTGCAGTGAAATATGAATAGAATTCTGATTTATTGACTAATTAAATAATTAATTAAATTATTAATAATTTTGCATCTCCCAAAGGTATAATTTCATCTCCATTTGTAGAAATAAATGGAATCTTAAAGCTATCTACTTATTTTAATGCTTTTTCAAATAACTATATTACTGGTTTGTATAGTTAAATTAAATTAATATTAACATCATGTGATTAATCTGATAGATAATACTTATTAACAAATTCAAATTAAACATTAAGTACATTATATACTGCACTCTATTATGTAATTAATGCTAAATTCATAAAAAATAATGGTGTTGTTGTAATTGTAAATTATGCTAACATATTTTTTAATTCTTAATTTTAAGTATCAAATTAATTGATAGACTTTTTATATAATTCCACAAATAATTCACAAATATTTCCAACAATTACCTAAGAATGTTATTTACCTTTTAGAAAAACTACTAATCTTTATAGTAAAGCTGATCTTTCATTCAAATATTCAATTGATTATTCAAAATTTTCTTCTAATATTATCAACTTCTCAAAAATATCCACTATATGTTTTAAATAAGCATGTTTAAATAAATTTGAAAGGATATCTGGATAATGTTTTAAATGTTCCCAAAACTTATTATTATTTATAAATATTTACACAATGTCCTTTCTTATGTATAATTGCATTCACAACTTTTGCAAAATATCCAGCTGTTGTGATTATAATTGCATCACTCTCAAGCAATTTTAATAAATTATCCAATAAACCTGCTCTTATTATCTCATTTTCTTAAGCATTATTATTCTATTCTAATGACTCTACTTATTCAGTCTCTTCATCTTCAATTGGATTTCTTACATCATCTGATGGCTATTCACTTGGTTTCTCAAATAAAAAGTTTATTAATTTTTCATTTTCAGATCCCAATATCTCACTTCCATAAAATGGGTATCTTAAAATAATATATATATATATTTATACTTTATACATCTATTTTTTTCCATACATTAATCAGGAATCTCTTCAACTATATAATTGATCATCTTTAGATATTCTTAGGGATGTTAAATTAAGCTAAAATTACATAAATGTTATACAAATCAGCAAATTTAGAAGAACTTGTTCCTTTTAATTCTTGGAGAATATCATCTTCATTAAAAATACACTCAATTGTGAGATTCTCTTTCTTTAACAAATTATCAAGTTTTGGTTACTAACCAAATCCAAAAAATCGGCCAAAGCTTTAATAACTTCAAATTTTACTTGAAAAACATCTATGAATTATATTATTAAATATTTATTAATTATATTTCATTCACTTTTTTTATGCTTTTTTATTTGATTTTCCTTTAGCTTATTTGTTTCTTCTATTTTATCTTGGTAATTTTCTTTGACCAGCACTAGGTTATGTGGTAGCTTATGCTTAAGCAACTGTTGCTTAAATAGTTCTTGTGGGTCTTGGACCAGTTGATTTTTTTGTAATCTTTTTTTTAGCTATTTCATTTATCATCTAAACAAAATACCTATTTTTGCAGACTTCTTAGTAACTTTTGGTTTTCCCATTTGATTTTTATTATTATTATTGACCATATAACATGATGAGAATAAGAATCAAATTTATTATTTTATCTCAATTTGATTGGATAATTTGTTTAATTAAAGAATAAAGTTGAAAAATTGCCAATCTCCACTATTTCCTTCTCAATTCTTATCCAAAATTATCGGTAAATTTATTTAATCAATAATATAAACTTCTATATCAAATAAATTTGTTTAAAAGTTGACTAGATTTTTATTAGATAAATATAAAATTTTATTGAACTTAATAGAAAAATATTTACAGGAAAAAATATTAAAAATTCATTCAACACATATATTAAGTTTCATATGTTTTACACTAAAGGATAGATCTTAGTATTGAATAGAGTAGCAGTATCAATATAAATATTTATATTATTATATATATATTTATAACATCTTCCATAAAGCATACTAATTTGAATGCTCTTTATCTTAAATCTAGTGATCAAATAGATAATTTTTTAAATCAATACTTCATTGTACAAAAACTTTAATTTTTTTGGAAGAATTTCATTATTAGAAGGAATTATATAAAATAATTTCTATATAAAAAATATTTTATTATGGGAAATTTCAATTCTGCATAAGCATAAACTTAACCTAAAGAAGAATGTAAAGCATGTTGTGCATGCCCAGAAACTAGATAATTGAGAGATGAGTGTATTATTTAAAATGGAGAAGAATAATGTAAGAAAGAAATAGAAAATCATAAAATTTGTTTAAAGAAATATGGATTTGAATGAATGAAACCTCCTTATATGATAATGTTTAATGAACAAAAATTTTACATTTAATAATTAAATTGCTTCCATTTTCTTAGACTATATTTTAATAATTCAACAATAATAATTAATAGATTTGTATTATTGTTTATTAGAATATAGTTTAAGAGCTATCTTATAAGAAATTCAATCAAAATATTTTGGCTGATTTTGTTTATTTTTAATTATATTTTTACAATAATTAATTATGAACATTTATAAAACTTTAGGCAAAGTTAATTGTTTTTAATTTTCTACATCAGCAACATCTATTTTAAATAAGTTTGGACAAAATTACTATATAAAAAATTATGGAAATACATATAATCAAAAAAGTATTTTACATGAAAGCCTAAGTAATTTTGATGAATAATAATATTTTAGAAATTGGGAAAAAAACTTGTAATTTAGTAGGACTTCCTCGTTAAGGAGATTAAAATGAATTAACTCAGAATATATCAAATATTATATTGAAGGATAAGGATAAAACAAACTTTTTAATATAAATGGATCCATCTCCATATTTATTTGCCAAAAGATAACTTTATAAATAATATCATTCAAAAGTTGATCCTATATTAAATGATGTAAGAATCGAGATTATGAAAGAATTTATTTGAACAATTACCAACTTTACCTATTGATACAAATGAATTGAAAATAGATTTACCAATATTTGATTCAATTCATTTAATAAAGACCCATCCTATGTTGAGTCCAGAATAAAAATAAGATATATTGGGATTTTTGAATGGTGAAAAATAAGGGTATTTTTAATAAGCGTTCCAAACTATCCAAGAATAAAAAGACAAATAATAAGAACTTACTCCTTAATTAGTATAAGAGAGTGATGATATGTCTAAAAGGCTTGCATAATTACTAGAAATAACATTATTATATGGAAATTAACAAAGTAATGTGGATTTTTCTCAATTTGGCTTATTTTAAGCATTGTATATGTCTGTTTTAAAAGGCTCTAAGGTTTATATGATTGGATTGTCATAAATTTACTAAAGAATATATATTGGAATAATTATGTAATTACCAGATGTACAAGAAATGTTTAGGGAATTTTGTGAAGAATCATTATTAAATAAATACAATAATTTGAACTATTTTTTTGAATTTACAACCATGTTATGGATTGAAAAAGCTATTGAATTTTATATGCTTTATAGTATAAATAGATATTTGAAATATTAAGAAGAGGATGAAGTTACTGTTTTTATAGATTCATTACATTTTGATCCTTTGAAAAGTGCAATTTAATAATAAAAGAATAAATTTGTAAGTGAATGCGATAATAGTTATTTTTATGAATTTTAATATCCAAGTCCAGAGAAATAAGAGACTGATGAGTAAATGTTGGAAAAACATGCAATTTTTGATTGTTTATTAGAACATTAAATATGGAAAGAACCTTGCATTAGTAATCCTTTTCCATATTTATCAATTAATTATAATTAGATGAACACTTTAGAATAAAAAGAAATTTAATCTATATTCTATAAATATCATTCAAAATATTCAATGATTGTAAACTAGTTGAAATAGTAAAATAAAATATGATGAATAATATTTAAATTTTAATATATTAAATGTAATAAAGAAAATTCATTAAGGATTATAAATAATTCGATGGTTTCGATAAAATTGGAATAAACTTTCTTCCTTGTACAATTAACAAAGGAGGAGAGTGTCCAAGTGAATAATATTTTAAACCTTAAGACGATAAGGTAGTCATTCATGGAAGAGAATTAACTAAACACATTATTATACCGCCAAAACCATTATATATATTTTAATAACAATAGGATGGTACAAGAGTAATAAAAGGAGAATTTAAAGAAATTAATAAGTGGATATTTTATGGAACTACTCAACATGCTGAGCAAATTTTTTAATTCCCAAATCTTATGGAAGTTCTCCACAAACCTATTAAATGAGTATTTTTTAGAAATTGATGAATCTATTCAATCATGTTATTAATTGAATTTACTTAATTATTAATTTTCTAAATGTTAAAACTCTAAAATAACTCAATTATTAAAATATATAAATTTCATTAATTTTATATTGAAGAGTTATTTGATTTTCTTATATTATTATACTATTTTTATATGATTATTCAACTTAAAATTTTGAAAATATCTAGTTATTTTAAAATTATACTCATAATTAATTTTTCTATTCTAATTTGTATAGAGAATAACATTTAATTTATCTTTTAATTCTATAAATAAATACTTTTTATTAAATTCAATATAAGGAAATTAAAATTTTTAAGATCGAATATGAGACAATTATAAATTATTAATATATAATTATAACTATTTATTTCATATATGTTTTTATTTATTATTTTTCACTATAATAAGAAACCTTTAAGATTATATTGTATTAAATATATTTAATATATATTCAAAATACAAATATCTTGTACCATAAAAGTATGCTTGTTTATTTATATTTGAGTATATAAATTACTTTAAATATAATCAATTATTATATATCTATTAATATAGTGCTTTTTTAATTATATAAACAAGAAATTTATTCGTAATAATTATTAATAATGTAAAAATAATAAGTTGAATAACAAGATGGTTTTGTGAGTTTTATGTTGGAAAAAGATGATTCTTAATTAATTAATCCTGAAGAAACATTTCTAAAGTAAAATAATAATTAGGACTATTATTTATAATTGAGTAGACAGTTTTATGGTTAAAGAAGATAAAGTACTTATGTTACAATAACAAATAAGCAAATAAATCTGAACAAATAAATCCAGCTATGTTGAAATAAAAAATTATTTAAAAAGCGATCATTACCAATACACATAGAGGAAAATTAGCTGCTTCTGTACCGACTGTCAGTGAATAATTGCAAAAGGTATTAGTTTCTTGTAATTATCTATTCCCCTATTATAGTAGATCTAAAAGCTCTTATCGTCTCGTAAACCTAAAATGTAAAATAGTATCTAAAGTAGCTTTAACAATAAATTTACTATAAACAAATATATTAACCAAATAAAAAATTCTAATATAAATTAGAATCCTTTTAAGATAGAGTTACCAATTACAAATAAAAAAATAAATATATATGAATCAAGAACACATAGATTAAGAATAGAAGATTCTAACACAGATTAATTGAATCAATTTACTTAAAATTCTCATAGGAGTACATTAAATAGTAGTACAAAAAGCACAGCAAAATTAGAAAAAATTTATGACATTTCTTATCCTATTAAAACTGATGCAGATGACAATAAAATAAATATATTCAAGATTTCATATAGAAATAAATAATAATGAAGTAACATCCCAAATTTTGATTTTTCAATAAACATTAAAAAAATAAGCATTTTATTAATATAATTTTCTATTCACCATTTATGATTAAATTTTTGGTTTTTTTAAAATATTGTTATTTAACTTTTCCAATCTTCTTTTTATAAAAATTGATGATTATATAGTTTAAATTCATAATTTGTATGAAATTGAATTATTAAACTTTTAATATCATTATTATTTCTTTATAATTACTTTTAACAGAGTAGTTTAAATTATATTATAATATATCATATGATCATGAAATTCTTCAATTAAAGCTATATTAAAAAGAATCTTAATTAAAATAATAAGTCTTTATGAAAAATGAAATAAAATAAAGAAAATATTTATTTACTTTTTCTAAAATAATTAGAATGGTGTAAATAAAAGATAAAAACTTAAAAAACCAATATTATTGTTATTATTAAATAAATCATCTTGTAAAAAATTTTCCACCTTCTTTGTTTCTTGAGTAACCAGGATTTGTACTTTTTGAATGTGCATCATTAAATACATAAGGTGATTTTCCAATTCCTGGTAAACAATAACTGAAAATAGATATGATTATTACTGATTAAATTCATATTATTTAAGCAACTTTAACCTTTTTAAGTTTTAAACTTAGTTCAACAATCCTTTTTGTTTAAGAATAATATCTCCATTCTTTACTATGTCATCAATAATATGATTTTAGATAGCAGCCTTGGGTACTGAATTAGTCCTTTCATCAAATAATAATGTTTATTGAAGATTTTTTAATGTAACAGTTTTCTTATTAGGATGATTTATATTGTTCTAATTATAATTCTAGATATTTTATTAAGGGGTCTAAATATGATCAGTAAATTAGACAGTTTAATTAGTCTTTTCATTTTTTTACTAGTTTTATTATAAAATTCCTGGATTATATGCTGTTCTGCTTCTGCTTTTATCTGTATCTATAAATTTATCTAATATTGAAGTTTTTGGTTTTGCTTAATCTTTTAAGATTAATTATTCAACAGCATTAGGCTACACAGACATAAAGACTTGATATTAGTCATTTACTTGCAAAGGCTCATTTTGATATTAGAATGTGGGTAAAGTTTTATTGTGAATTAATCTATAATTTTTAGCACTCATAATAATAATAATTAATTATAATATAATTTTTCAATTTAGCATTTCCAACAAGCAATTTTAAGCATCTATAACAGTTTATTTAGCTTCTTTCATTCCATTAATTATATCAAAAGATAAAAATCCATGAGGCATAGATTAATATTCAATCAATTTAACATCCTTCTTTAATTAAACAAGTTTAAATAATAATCTAAAACTTTCATCATGAAGTGGATCATAAGTTCCTACAACAATTCGAGTTTTAGGAAATTGTTTCAAGATTTCCTCACTAACTGCAGAAGGTGAAAGCATAGGATCTATTATTGAATTAAATTCCTTCTATACATATGAATTTAAACATAATTTTAAGACTGTGTGATGCAATACTAAGTATTATGTATAATTTTACATGAATCATCAAGAGACACTAAAAAACTAGGAGTAAAAGTTTTTATATCTAAAGATAGAGCAGGATAAGCTAACAAGATACCATCAGGTACTCTGACTCCTGCCTTTATTGCTTAGATAGTCAAAGCTGCTACTAAATTACCACCTGCACTATCTCCCACTAATACAACTTTAGATGGAACAACATTGAAATACTTCTAGATGAAAGTAATTATAAACATATAGGCTTGCCAACAATCATCTAAGCCTGCAGGGTATGGATGATCTGGTGCCATTTTGTAATCAATAGAAAAGATTGGAACTCTCATATTATTAGCCCATTTTCTAGTATAAGTTTAATGTGATCTTGATGACATTGCTACAAAACCTCCTCCATCTATTAAATATATAAATATAAATAAATACGTATATGAATCACAATTTTATCAAAATTAAACTATTTACTTTTAGTACTTTTAAACATTGACATAAATCCATCTACTCCTTTAAATTTTAATGTTTCATGGCATAGTACTCTAACTTATACTCTATCTTAATTTAAATCATTTTTCAATAAGTCATCCATTAATATCATTTATTCTGGAAAAAATATACCACAATCATTATTTATTTTATTTATTGTTCCTTGATTATATTATTCTAGGATATATTCTTTAGTAATCTTTCTAAATAATTTTGGAATGTAAATTTTCTTATTGAATGAAATTGAAGGGAAAATAGCTGGTAGAAATTTCTTAATAATACCAGTCTCAGGTAAATTCCAAGCTTTAAAAGCATCTTCTTATTTAGCCTCTACTAAAAAATGATCAGCTCTACTTTTCATCTTTTTTTTATTTAATCCATAATATAATGCTCCAAAACCCTCCATAAAAGACTTTTATAATTCACCTCTATATTCTGAACCTTTTGAAATCATTGCATTTCCAAGTAGAATACCAAAAGAGACTTTTTCATAAGATTTCTTTATCTATTCATCAGTAGCTAATTGTTTTTTTTCAATAAAAGGATTAATCATTTACCAATCTTAATGATCTGGAGGTATAGCATATAAATCATTATGTTTAACTGTTGTTGCACCTGGTAAAATTTCAATACAAGACTATAATTTTGCTAAATATATAGCCAGACTTCTTTTCTATTCTTTTTGCAATTATGAAAACTTATCTATTAGTTCTACAATTTTTTCCAAGATTATATGATTCATATAATCTAGAACTAAATTAGTTGAGTATTAATTCAATTAATTTGTTTTACATATAATATTTAAACTACTAACACTTTGTTCAACAGCTAAATTTTTGTTTTCAAGTAATTAATTGATATTCATAATTTACATTAATCCAATCGAAGCCACTTATACTACTTATACAGCTTTTTAGCATAAATCTTAATTTCTATGATTTTCTAGAGTTATATCTTAAGCTTTCATTAATAATTTATTAAATTTAGAGATGGAACTTTAAATATTGACTTGTAATTTATCTACAGCATTCCTTGATAAGATATTCATTTAATGATTTGGAAGAACAAATATTTCATTTTAATCTTATCCAACATCTAAATTGTATTATTCCGCATTTTCTTAAATATCATTTTGTTCTATGATTTACATAATTTTATAAATTAATTTAAAATCTTACAGATATTTTTTATAATTTTCTATAATGAAACAATATATAATAAATTATATTTATAGGAAGATTAGAAAAAAAGATGAATCCATAATGGATATTAGTATTATCATTTCTATTTCTTTCTTAAACTTTAAATAAGATTACTAAAATTACAATAAAAAGATATACATTTTAATTCCTTTCTTCACTTTCTCATACTTTTAAATTAAGGGCTCCTAACCATCAATATTCTCTATAATTTCATTACTTTCAAAATTTGAAATCTTATCATCATCAAAACTTAATTATTTATTTTATAAAATATCCTATCTACTCCCTAAAGGATCATCACAAATCGATTTCTAATAATTTGGATTCAATGATTAGCAATAATTTCCAATACTACTTTATTAAGTCAAACTAGAATTCTTCCTAATATCATCTCTTTAAAAAGTATTATTCCTAGAAGATAATGGAGGTGGTGCTAAAAAGTTTTAAGAGCTCATATTTAACAAATCCTTTTACCCATGTTAAATAGCACCTGATAATTATTTTTCAATAGATTTTTTCATCTCATTAGAATTGTTAAACTAAATATTTTATTTACTCAAATTTTAATTTGTATCTGATTAATAATGTGTAGATTATTTGATTTCTGACCATTCATAATTCCCATCTATAATTATATTTAAAGTTTCTGCAGCCTTTCTTAGTTCTTATACAATCATCCTATAATCAGGTTCTTATTTAAATTGTAATTTTCTAATAGTACTATTTTAATATAATATGAATAAATCTACCTAAAAATCTTTTAAAACTCTGGAACTTAATCTTTAAACAATTCACTTTCAAGTGATAGTTTTAATTCTCCAACCTTTTATGTTCTTTCATCGTCTGTTACATTGACCATGTTCTACCAAGGTAACTAACTTTTTTATAATTACTCTTTACCCACGCAAAAAATATAGTAATATATACATTAATGATTCTAAATCATCTTTTCTTCCTAATTCATGACCTAAATGAGCTGCTATTGAAGCATATCTAGTGGTTCCTAGAAAAGACTTTTAATCTTTAAACATTCTAAAATTGATTTAAATAATTACATATGTCTTCCATTAGCATCTCTATAAACTTTACTGATTCCAAAATCAATCAAATATAACTTAGAAATTTCATTCCCTACTCCCAACATCATATTTTCAGGTTTCAAATCTCTATGTATTACTCCTTTTGAATGAGCTCTCTCTAAAAGATTTACAGCTTAGATTCCAATAGTTAAAACTGATTTTAGATTGAATTTCTTGAGCTATTTGAAATGGAAAGCTAAATCTTTTCCTAATAATTAAATAACAAGTATGTTATAACCAAGATCTTCCCCTGACCAATAATATTTTGGAAATCCTTCCACTCCATCTAAAATCTTTATAATTTACACTTCCCTATCTAAAGATTTAACCTCCTCATTCTCTTCTTTTTCCACTTTAATAGCAACATCTTATTTTGAGATTATGTCCTAACCCAGAAATACTACTCCAAATGATCCAGAAGAAAGCTTTTTCACTATTGAATACTAGTTATTAAACACTTTTGTTTTTGATTATTGTTGTGGGTTCATTTCAATTAATAATAATTTCTTAAAATAAACAAGAAATGTCTCAATATACAAAAGCAACAACCCCAAAGAAAATCTTTATGGTAGAGAAAGGATTCTATTCAATAAATTTAGAGGATGGAACTATTTAGAAGTTAGGACCTGAAAAGAAAAGTTATAAGTTACCTTAGCATTCTTCAAATAAATCTCTAAAAGTAGAAAAAGATCTACTCATAGCCAAAGGATAATAAAATTAAGATTCCATTCAAAGAGTATTATATCATTTGATTATATATCTAGAATAATTAAGAAACAAGAAAGAATTAAGAAAATACTAGAAAACTTAATTCATAAAGGAATAATTGATTAATTTGAAGTATAGAATTTAATTATTTATTACCTATCTAATATATTCTTTGTATTTAAAGTATTTTAAAAGATGACAAGTTTCATCTTCTTCTACTGAAAAATAACATAAATTGATTTTCTTATATTTTTCATTATTTTAAATTATTTTAATTTATTAACAAATAATGCTTTAAAATTATTTTATCTAATGATTATAAGATATGTATCAAATTTCTTAAAGATTATCCTCTTTTTTATCTTAAAATTATTCTTTCTCTGCATCCCCTATCTCTTAATCATCAGCCACCTTTTTATCATTTACAATTTTGAAATATGTATTAAGATCATTCTAAGTAATTAAGAAATAAACTAAATGTAAAACAGGAGTTTCTTATTATGTTTCAATTTATTTTCTACACCATGGATATAATAACATTTTCAAAATACTTTGTATTGGATCCAATATAATAAAGTAAATACCTATGCAAATTCCATAAAATTGCATCCAATCATCAACATATTACTACTCCTTTCCAATTGCCTAAATAAAAATTCTAAATTACTCTGTCAATTATGCTATAAAAGGAAAATGATAGTATACAAAGTGATGCTATTGTTCCTACTATAATTTATAATAATTTTCCTGAAAAGATAGCTTTCACAATCTTTACAACAAGAGCAGAAATTTCTGATACTAAAATAATAACACCATATTATTAAAATATGTTAACTTCGCTCATTAAAACTCCAGATATTGATAGCATTACAATTAATTTCATATATATAGCTAAAAACCTAATAGGTCTTAAAACATAATCATCATAATACAAAAAAACTGAAACCAATTCTTCCAATTTCTTAAATAATATTAAAATAATACCAAAATTCCAATTAAAATAAATTTAATACTTAAATCTTAAATCCCAATATCATTATTACTATATATAGGTTGAGATTCAGTTTAAGTAGAATTATTACAAAAGATTTTAGATTCTGAAAGAAATGTTTTAGAGCCTTCTTCTTCTTATTAGGCTCTTCTTTTTTTGACTCTATATGAAAAAATAATTTAAATTCTCTCCTTTTCCATTTCTTCCTCATCCTATTTTATTTTATCAGCATTTGATTTATCTAAAATTACTCCAAGTATTGATAATAATAATAAGGATCCCGTTAATCCAATTAAATAAATACCAATATTAAATTCCATAAAATTTTAATAGTCTAATATTTATAGGTCTATATTTACTTAATAATTTAGGTTTCAGTAAAGCAATTTCTTCTACATAGAAAGGTCTAATTAAAGTAGTTTCACTAAAATATGGACAAATACACCAAACTTTGAATTAGAATATTTTAGTAACATATTCTACTCTTCTTGTACAATTAGATTCATCACTAATCCACTTTGTTTTTTTCTATTTTTAATATAAATATTATATATTTTACTTATGCACATTAATATTGGTTGAGAACACCTAAAGATGAATTAGGAACAATAAAATCAACAGAAAATTAATTTGATTCTATTTCATCTATTAAATTCATTATTGTCTTATTTTAAACCTCATAAATAAAAGGTATGTATAGAGGAAAAGTTTAATCAAATACAAAAGTTCCAGTAAAATTAAAGAATTCATCATCTATCATATAAGGGTTAATTTTATATTTATGTACAACAATTAAATAGTGATATGTTGAATTCAATTAAGTTAACAATCGATAATTATCATTTAAATTGAATTATTATTTAAAATAATCATAAGTAAGTAATTATAATTTAATAGATACAAATGATGTATTATATTCTAATGGAGATTCATTAATTTTGCATAATTTTTATAATGAATCTGTAATTGATATTAATTATTTTGATGTAAAATTGAATTGACTTCTATATTTGGTCATCATTTCTGAAACAGTTAAATTAGAAAATATAAATAATTCTTCAACTGTAAAAGGTTAAATAAACTTTGATACATTATTATATTTGATAAGTTATTATTCAATAGTGAGACCATTTGCTTTTTCTTCTTCTTCTTAAGCATCCATTTCTAATGCTTATTCAGTATGATTCAATCTCCACATTTTTAAAGTTGTATTAGTAAGTAAATTATATGTATATTCAATATCTGTAATGTTCAATTTGAAAGAAAGGACTGAATTGAATTATTTCAATTATTCTATTAATGTAAAATGAGCATAATCAATATCTACTTAACTTATCAAATCTCCATAAAATTCTCTTTATTATGATAAGGCTAGAGCAGCCAAAAGTTTTGTTTTATATTAGAATGAAGTATCTAAAATTGATTATAATTTTGTTTGAATGAGATTTTATTTTTCTGTTTCATTTAATAAATACATCTAAAACATCGTTCGATCATAAAGATTTAGTATTTTATTTCTAGAATAGATAGCATCCAAATCATTAATTACTTATGATTTTAGTTTTGAATACAATATCTTCATTGTAGGAGCAAGGTCTGTGTAATTAAAATTATAATTTAAGAATTCGTAATAGAAGGCTAATAATTCTAAACTTGAAGCTATAACATCCAGTTTTCCCTAATATTAAGTTACTGAAGCTTTAAAATCATTTACAGATATTAAATAAGCCTTCCATAATTTAAATTAAGGTGAATTTCCTATGAGAACAGTCGCATTACTAACAGCACCTCTTGAATCTTTAATACTAACCATAAGTACTATATATGGTGTTGAAGTTTAGTTGGAATCAAATCCAGAAGGTAATCTACATGTGAATGAATTAGAAAATTGATAATCTGTTAAAATTATTTGATTTAAGTTATTTGATTATACAAGATCCTCTTAATAATTAGATTAAGATGTATACATGCTTAATCTATATTATAAAGGGAGATCATTATCCTCTGCATCATCTATAGTGATATTATATTCAGTTTCTATTGCCACTCCAGTATAGCTTGATATAGTTATTTTAGCATTTTAGGGAGGAAGATTGAACATAATGGGCAAGATTGCCATTTAATAAAAAGATAATGATTACTGAATAATTTAAATTGTGCATGTCTATACAGGCAATGTACTTGGAAGATAATCATTCAATTTTAAGGTTTTTTGAGGATATTTTAGAAATTGTTTTGAAATCTCTTAATCATCATAAATTACAATCATAGTGTAATTATAAAAATTTATAAGATTTGAGTTGGGAATAAAAGTAAATGTGATGGGTTATTTGAGATCAATATATCTAGTCTAAGCAGCAATTGGAAATTCAGGAATCAACTCATCAACTGATTTAAATGAACAAATCACATTGCTAACATATGTGAAATATCTTTTAATTAAATCCTTATAGGCTGTTACTGAAACTTTGTATTATTAACCTATTTTAAATATTTCTCCTTCTAGAGTGATACTAGTAACATTCTCTTCAAAGACAACTGGAGTTCCGTCATTTAACTCACATGAACGATTAGTGGCTATTTAAACACATTTCCACTATAATCCTATAGATGAATCACTATTATAAGAGGATCCTTCATCTAATCCATCCCAATATTGAGCTTCTAAAGTTAATGATTGTCCCTCTGAAACAAATCGATCTCCTCCTAAAATAATTACAGAAACTCCTACATAGTCGATATCAATTGTAAAATTAAGGTAAGTAAATATATTAATTTCTTTATAATGATGAATAACTTCTTCTATAGTTCCTTCATCAGTCCCTTCATCTGTTCCTTCATCNATCATTTACAGATATTAAATAAGCCTTCCATAATTTAAATTAAGGTGAATTTCCTATGAGAACAGTCGCATTACTAACAGCACCTCTTGAATCTTTAATACTAACCATAAGTACTATATATGGTGTTGAAGTTTAGTTGGAATCAAATCCAGAAGGTAATCTACATGTGAATGAATTAGAAAATTGATAATCTGTTAAAATTATTTGATTTAAGTTATTTGATTATACAAGATCCTCTTAATAATTAGATTAAGATGTATACATGCTTAATCTATATTATAAAGGGAGATCATTATCCTCTGCATCATCTATAGTGATATTATATTCAGTTTCTATTGCCACTCCAGTATAGCTTGATATAGTTATTTTAGCATTTTAGGGAGGAAGATTGAACATAATGGGCAAGATTGCCATTTAATAAAAAGATAATGATTACTGAATAATTTAAATTGTGCATGTCTATACAGGCAATGTACTTGGAAGATAATCATTCAATTTTAAGGTTTTTTGAGGATATTTTAGAAATTGTTTTGAAATCTCTTAATCATCATAAATTACAATCATAGTGTAATTATAAAAATTTATAAGATTTGAGTTGGGAATAAAAGTAAATGTGATGGGTTATTTGAGATCAATATATCTAGTCTAAGCAGCAATTGGAAATTCAGGAATCAACTCATCAACTGATTTAAATGAACAAATCACATTGCTAACATATGTGAAATATCTTTTAATTAAATCCTTATAGGCTGTTACTGAAACTTTGTATTATTAACCTATTTTAAATATTTCTCCTTCTAGAGTGATACTAGTAACATTCTCTTCAAAGACAACTGGAGTTCCGTCATTTAACTCACATGAACGATTAGTGGCTATTTAAACACATTTCCACTATAATCCTATAGATGAATCACTATTATAAGAGGATCCTTCATCTAATCCATCCCAATATTGAGCTTCTAAAGTTAATGATTGTCCCTCTGAAACAAATCGATCTCCTCCTAAAATAATTACAGAAACTCCTACATAGTCGATATCAATTGTAAAATTAAGGTAAGTAAATATATTAATTTCTTTATAATGATGAATAACTTCTTCTATAGTTCCTTCATCAGTCCCTTCATCTGTTCCTTCATCAGTCCCTGTAGTACCTCCATCAGTTCCTGTAGTACCTCCATCAGTTCCTGTAGTACCTCCATCAGTTCCTGTAGTACCTCCATCAGTCCCTGTAGTACCTCCATCAGTCCCTGTAGTACTTCCATCAGTCCCTGTAGTACTTCCATCAGTCCCTGTAGTACCTCCATCTGCTCCAGTTGTTCCACCATCAGTCCCTGTAGTACCTCCATCTGCTCCTTCATCTGCTTGCTCATCAGGTACCTACTCTTCAAATATTTCTATTGTATCTTGATACATTAATTATGCTTATATAATGTAACTTGTATCTGGGTATCCTTCTTATGGTTACATTTTTAAGTAGTGTTATTTAGTTGATATTGACTCTGTGATAGTCTCTCCAATCAAAGGTTTACTATCTGTAGGGTTGGATTCGATTTGTACCCAATATAGAGTTAGATTATTAAATTATTCTACAATTTTAGATGATTAACAAATCTAATAATAAACTGTTACTGGAATAATTAATGACTACTTAAAGTAATGATTAAAATGTGTTATGTCAGCTTAGATAACTGGCTGAACTAATCCAAGAGTTTATAACTTAAAAGTTTATGTGTTTATTTTAGTAGCAAATGATAATGCCGTAACTTCAAAGGTATAGTTTGTAAAATTTTAGAATACTTTAGAATTAAATGTTATAGTATCCACATTATTATTATTAAACTCACTCAAAATTATTCTTATATTATCAATAATAGTTTAATTAGCATCACTTTCTTATAATTTCCAGTCTATTTTTGATAATTGACGTTTGCCTGCAAATTTAATATTGGTTACACTTAAAGTAATTGCCTTACATATATAAACAGGATATAATGGTCCTTCAATAGTAAATGAAGGTGAAAAGATTTCTATAGTAGGAAATTAGAGTATACTAAGAACATATTTTTTGATTGGGAGTTTACAATTGTCTTTTATGAATATTTTGTCAATCAATTAAATTTCTTCCATTAGATTAATTTAAGATTCATTTCCAAACTCTATATCAATATTGGTACCATTATAATAACATTTAGGACCTAATCCAAATCTTGAAAATTATTAATTGGCTATAATTTTAATGCACAATTCTTATGGATTATAAGATTAATAATCTTAAGAAACATATGAAGTATTTGATTTGACAAAGAATATACTTATGGATTCAGTTGTTTAATATAATGTAACCAAGACTTCAGCAGTATCACAAGTTTCACAATACTAACTTTTCATTATAGGTACACCATCTGAAGGACAAACACATTCTTTATTATTATTAACAACCCTATTACCTAAACAAGTAAGACATCCTAAAATATCACATAAATCACAAGGTTCCTAACAATCTATATATATGTAATAATTTTACTTTTACAAATTAAATCAGTTCCAACTTCATAAAATTAATCATTACATTAACATGATTTATCAGAATTACGATTAGCTCCCTTACATTATGTACAAGTTGTAGCTGATTGTTCACATTTTTCACATCTCCAATCACATGAAACACAAAGAGTAACTCCATTATCATAATAACCATTTTAACATGGACAATTATTGGTAGGATCATCATATCTATTAACATTAGTAGGACAAGTAAGACATTAATCAGCATCTTCACAAGTTAAACAATTCCATTTGCATTATTAACATGAATATTTTGAATCTAAATATTAATTACTTGCACAATTCAAACATTATTGAACAGGATCCATCAGATTATCTTTACAAGTTAAACAATCAACTGGTGAGGATATACATTAAGAACAACCATAAGTTTAACAATTAATTCCAATTCCAATTATTGATATTTATAAAAAGTCTATAATTGTATTATCATATGTATTAGCTTAGAGAATATATTTATTAATTTAAGAATTATATTCACTTTAAACAACAATATTTTTAATATCAGCATGTTAATATCCCATAACAGATATTCCATAAAAGTGATTAGGTTATTCATTTTTAAAAGAATATATAGTATTATTTTATTTTTGTTCTCCAGTTTATGTAATCCATAAAATATCTGTTTAAGAATTAAATTATTAAGTTAAAGTTTCAAATTCTTCAGATATTAAAATGAAACTATAATAGATTTTATTAATTTGAATATCTTCTTTAATTTTAAAGTCTACAAGCAAATATTTATTTACAGTATCAATAGTAGATGTTTAAGTAATAGTAATATTTGTAGTTCCTTATTTAAATAACATACCATTAAAAAATGGAATAATTTTAGGATACTATAATTTCATATTCCATTCATTTAATAAAATCTAAATTTAATGTATTCTATTTCCACTTCCAATACCAAATGAATTAGATGTATCATATTCTTCTTACATTAAAATAAATTAATTAGTTTAAATAGTAGCAAAATAATTAATTACTAAATTTTCAATAGTAGTTTGATCCCAAACTTCAACCTAAAGTACAAATGTTTCTTATGTTACCTGAGTAGCCATCAATCTAAATGAATTACCTTATGATATCTTTATCTCTTTAATAGCTACAATAACAGATGGAATATTAGTGAATATATCTTTAAAGGATATTTGTAATTCATCTTTTCTATAATTGATTCCACTTTTAACATAATTGAGTATTGCATTAAATATACCAATTTCTGTGGATTCAACTTCATTAAATTCTTTACATTTTAATTATTTACCTGTTCCTATATAACCAGTATTTGGACAACTACAAACTCCACTATTAAGTTCTAAGTTATTAATACATTGCAAACAAACTGTTGGTGTTAGATTATTGCAAGTTTTACACTTCATATCACAACCAGGTAAACAAATCTTTTTAACTGCATCAGCTACACCATTTTTATTAGTACAATCAGAACTAGTTATACATTTATTTTCAAATAAGAAATATCCATCTGCACATAATAAACAATTATATTTAAATGCTTTTGGAGCAGATAATAAACATGTTGTATCTCCAACTTCTATACTTTTATGACTAAATACTCTAGCTCCTTAATGCAATTAGAAATTAGCTATCTTTAGAGTCTTACCAACAGGAATTGCATCTCTTTTACCAAATATTAGTATATCACTATCTTATACAGGATAATAGACAGGAACAGTTAAATCAAAAATTTGTGGATCTTCATTATTTTTATATACAGTTAACTTAGTTAAAGTTCCATCTTCATATTATATTTTATCATAATTAAAAATTAGTACAAAATAATTCCATTAATTTACACTAAATTATACATTAATTGAAGATTTAAAGTTTTCCCTTATTACTGTAAAGAAATAATAATTATCTATTGCATAATAAGTAAGATCTAATTCAAACATAATAACACTATCAACCATTCTTTAAAGTATTGCAAAATTAATTCCAGCATCAACCTTCAACCAAAAAGATAAAGTAAATCTATTATAAAGAAATCTTTTTATTGGAATATTAATAGATATAGGCTATCCTATTGTAAAGACTTAATCTGTCCAATCTACAGTTATATCATGTTAAACATCCAATTCTGCACCACTAAAATCATAAAGTTAATTTCCACTCATTTAAGTAAGTGGATAATTCAAATAAATTCCATTTTTATCAAATCCATACATTAAAGAATGTAAATTATAATTACTTACCATTTATACATCCAAGTAATATTAAAAACCAGATACACTACCACACCATGATCTACTTTTTATTGAATCATTCCTATAAGGTCCATTTTATGCAATATATAATTTTAACTTTTCTCTTTTTAAAAATGGTTAAGGTAATGTTTCATTTGTACAAAACTTCAATTAATTTGGACATGAATATGTTCCATTTATTATTACAGATTAATCTACATCAAATACTCCTAATTAATATTTCAAAAACAAAAAATCATAAGAAACATATACAAATAACCATTTATCATCCATAATTACTTCTGTATTTATATTAATAGATGGTCCTTATTTCAAAATCTAATCTTATTAAAATAACTCTAAAGTGGAATTTACACCATATTTCTTTAATCCAAATGATATTATCCTATAATTGAAAGTATTATCATTATCACTTAAATGAAATAGATTACTTGTATTATAAAGAAGTTCCTATCTTGAAGTATCAAAAAATAACCAAAATCCAAAGCCTATCGATAATGCATCGTCTATCTTACTACCTCCTAGATCCTATTTTATAAGACTAAACTACTTTGTAATCATATATATATTGACTATTTCTTGTATAGTCACATGTTCCTTTTATAGTCTCAGTAAATAAATAATTTCCTTTATAATAAGCTGCCAGACTCTATTATAACCATACTAAAAGAAATATGAAATTCATAGATTCCAAATTTATATTATGATAATTTATTAATAAGTATTATATTTATAATATTATAACAAAAATAGAAAAACCCCTAATCTATCAATCAATTCTTATTTATTAAGCTTCTCTAAAAGTAAAATCTTATTTTTTACAGGTTATATTTTTTTTATTGCTCTTCTCTTTATTCCAGTCATTGGTACAGTCTCAAATATGTTTACAACTTTGCTTATTTCTTTCTCTAACACTTATTTGCGTTTAATTACTCTCAAATTTTCCATGATTTATAAATAATGGCACTATTTGTTTACATGTTATATCCTCTATCACTTAAACACCAAAAGCAATATCACCATTTTAAAATACTTGAACTTCCTTATTTTGTAAATCTATTTCTACTCCTTAAAGAATATTGATATCAATCTAACTCTATAAAACCATTTACTGTTTTAGCAATATTAAAATAAATCAATTCACTATTATTACTAACTCTTATTGGTTTGATTGAACTTAAATCAGAAACTTCTAGATTTTTATCCATTAATTAATTAATAAAATACTTTTAAAATCTATTTTCTATTAATTTTTTTTTAATTCAAAACCTAATAAATTGTTTTCATAAAGCTATTAATAAAATTTATGGGTAGAAAATATTAAAAAATCACAAAAAACCCTAAAATTAGAAGACAGATAATCTATTTAAGAAAGCAAGGTAACACTAATAAAGAAATATCAATAATTATAAGTGCTTAAACAGGTACAAGAATTACTGAAAAGACAATCTAAAGCATCAAAACTATCAAAAGAAAATCAAAATATTTAACCTATAGACAATAAGCTATAGCACTAACTATCGATTATATTCAAGAATTTCATCACAATTTATTAAATATATCAAATGAGAATAAATAAAGAAGGAGGGTGTCGTTACTTCTAAAAAAGAAGTTTCCGTAGCCTTTCCCTCTTTTCTCTTAACGAACTCATTAAAGATGTATTAATAGAATTGTAAGTAAAATTAATCTTATCTTAAACAACTAAGAATCTTAATAAACTAATAATAATTAAGATTCCATTAACTATTTTTTATAGACCTAATCTTAAGTATAATCAATATAATCACCAAGTATATTTATAAATGATGAAGACTAAATGAATTCAATTTAAGAAAGGATGACTGATGATTTAAATTTTTATTGATTTTACATTCAAAATCAAGCGGGAAAATTTAGAATTTTTAAAAATTTCTAGATTTCTCTACTGATTTAAATTTACATTAATTTTCTTTATCTTCTTAATATTGAATATACAGATTATGTATATTTCATTTCTCTACCTTTTAAAAAATACATTTAGTTTTAATTTCTAAAATATATGAATTTATTTGGTTGTGTAGTAATGATAGAATTAAAAATTTCATTAACTTTCAAGTATATAATTGATCAAAAAATATATAAATTATAGTTTAGTTAATCAGAATTAGAAATTTTATTATGAAAAGACAATTTTAGTTATAAATATTATTTTAAATGAATTCAAATAAGAATTATTCAATTATATTTTATTTTAGTATTTTAATAAAATATTATTTGAAAATTAATTGAGCTCTTCTATAATTCATTATTATATTAATATAATTGAATGATATTCAAATTTGAATTGTAATTTTTTAAAGTATGAAGCAAGATTGTGTTGAATGACGCATCAATTAATCTGCATTATGAAATGATTATAATTTAGAAAATGATTCATTATAAAAATGAGTCAAAGACTTGAGTTGCTCTAAAAGTAGATGTCTTCCTTCTAATATACAGTTGATGGAGGAATTCTAACTAAGGAAGAAAGATAATTTTATGAAGAAAACGGTTTCTTAGTGGTTAGATAAATGTTCACTCCTGAAGAAATCAAAGAATGGACTCAAAGATTCAGAGAGTATGCAGATGGATAATTAGAACGCAAATATGGAATGTAAGTAGTTAGAGACATTTCATTGGTCAAAAGAGGAGGAGGTAAGTAATGGGGAGAGGAAGCAATAACAAAAATATAAGACTGGTAAGAGGATGAAATATTATTCAAATTTTGCAGAAACCCAAAAGTTATCTAATATTTGAAAAGCTTCTGTGGACCAGATATCAAATCAGTTCATACAATGTTCATCAATAAACCACCTAATATGGGAAAAACATCAAGACACCCAATTCATTAAGATTAAGTTTATTTTCCATTTGGACCAGCTGATAGAATAGCTGCTGGTTGGGCTGCACTTGAAGATGCCAATAGAGAAAACGGATGTTTAGTTGTATATCCTGGTACTCATAAAGGTAGTTATACTTTTGTATCATTAGTTGGTCCTGTGGAACATTGTTATCCCGATTGGAAAGAAGGAGTTAACAAAGCTTATTGGGGAGTTAGAGATATGCCTCCAGAATCTGCTCCGAAAATTCATTTAGAAATGAAAGCAGGAGATATTGTTTTCTTTCATCCATATCTATTTCATGGTTCAGGAGAAAATAGAGTATATTTAATAAAATAAAAATTTAGTCAAGTAGTTTCAGAAAATCAATTTGTTGTCATTTTGCTTCTGCCAATTGCCAATACCATGATATCAAAGGAACTTTCCATGAAAATTTGGCAAAAGACATTATTGCATATGCTTCAAAGAAATTTGGACATGTCAATTACTTAGATATTTGGAGATTTAAATGCAGGTTGGTCTAAGGCAACCCTGATCCACTAGGATTATGATAAAATAATTATAATCCAAATATCTATATATATATATAATATTTATTATTTCTTATTTTGAATTATTCATATAAATGATTATCAGATTTATGTATGGTAATTAAGTTAAAGCATTAAAAAAGTCTATTGAATAATTTAAACAATTCAAAGACATGAGCCATACTTAGGCCAGATTATAATAGTAGTTCCCAGTTATTTATTCACAATTAATTGAGAGTCTAAAAATGTAATAATTTACAGAAAAAAAATTAGTTAACTTAAGTGAAAAAATTGAAAAAAAAGTGCTTTATTATTTATCTTCAGATGAATAAGATTAGGTTTATAAACTTTTTTCATAGATATACATCAATAATTTAGATTAATTAAATACTAAATAACTAGGAGTTATCATAAAGTATTAATAACAATTAAATAATATAATTGAAAAAGCATTATAAAATCCTCTAAATTAAGAAGACTTATTTGAATTATTATAATCAATTAATTATAGAAATTGTTGGTCTCAAATTAATTAAAATCATATTGATCAAATTAAAAAGAGTATAGATTAAATTAATTCATAAGAAAATGAACTTGATTTTTACTTATTCAATGAAATATTAATTGCATCTGAATCAATTAATCTTGATAACTTTATTAGAAAAACTATAAAATCGCATAAAATTCATAATATTTTAAAGAAAGATGTTCCTGTCTAAATAATTCATCTAAACATATTAATTAAAATAGTTGGAGATCGTTATATGTCATCAACATTATGGAAATTATACAAAGATGAAATTTTAAAATTAGAATTAACAACTTTATCTTAGTAATAATTTGTTTATGATCATTTAAAACGTTATTATTAACTTACATGTGATACAATTAAAAATTTAACTCATTAATCTATTAATAAAGAGAGATAATCTAATATATATATTAATTTAATCTTAGAAGAAATATAAAGAAATTTAGAAAATTTAAATGATATAAAAATTGAAACACTTTTAAAAAATTGTAATTTAGATGATTTTGCTATTTTGAACAGATAAATCATTAGAATAAATATTGATTAATCAAGTGAATCCTTTATTTATCTCTATATAAGTAAATAATCATTTAGAAATGCTAGGTCTAATAAAAGAGGAGTTAATCTACTTTAAAGAAGAGACTATATAGACATAAACAGAAAAATTGAATTAATTTATTAGACTTTTAAAATCAATTGATAGATTTAAATAATTTAAATTACAAAAGAAATAGAATAATCCAATTTATGAAATATATTAAATTATTGAAGAATAAGTATTCTCATATATTTGCAAAAATCAATATGAACTTGATTTAGATGGAACATAAGATCCATTTGCATTAGATCTACTCAAAACTTAGAAATAAAAATCAGGAAAATGGAAAGAAGAAGATGATTAAGTTACAATTTTAATATCTGATATAGATTCCTCAGATCTACACTAACTTTATTAAATAGGAGATTATTTTAATAAAAATTAATAAGGAAGAATGTATTTTCATTATTGTATAGTCAAATAATTAGTTGTTAATTTCTAAAAACTTGATTTCACAAAACAATGTGACATTCTTTATTATTTGACAAAAATTGATAAAATATTCATGATTGAGTCATTTTAATATACAATAGATTATAATCAATTACAATATTTAAATCAGGAAGATATAACTAAATGTGCAATATAGTTATTATTCTATAATTAAATATCATTTAATATAGATAAAGCTATTACAAGTAAATTAGTAGATATTTTACATTAAAATCTCAATTATATAGAAAATTTGAATTAAGAATATCAAATAACCTTTTATTAAGCATATGAGTATATATTTCTATATATTTAGGTTAATGCGTATAGAATTCCCTTCAATTTAAGTATAAGAATTGCCTGAAAGATTTTAATAAATATTTGAAGAATATTGGTTATATTTATAAAAAGAAACATAACATATTGTTTCTGATACTAAAAAATACCTAGATAAAGAAGAATATCATTATACATATATGAAATAAATTTTGATATGGAAATTCTTATATGTTTTTGAAAAAGAAAAGACAATTGTAATTTGTCTATCAGATAGATTTTATTTAGGAAGAACCAATTTAAACTTAATAGAAATAGGTATTCTCAAAAGGGTTTTAAGATGTATAGAAATTTATTGATTTTGTAGTGCATGACTATAAATTGAGAATATTAGATAAACATGAATATGAAAAATTCACTACTAGACATGAAAAAAATGATTATATCTATGAGAAACTCAAATATCTAAGTAGAGAACCTAAGAAACCTAAGAAACCATATTTTAATATATGATATTGTATAGTATATAATTTATAAACAACATTGTAAGCCTTTAAATTGAGTTAAGATTTTTTTAAAAATAAAACATATAAAGTGATTTATTTATTTGAGGAAGTGGATAATAATATAATAATGTAAATCTTATTCAAAATAAATATTTATTTCTTTTTAATAATGCAAAAATAAATTTTTAATTATAAATAAATTTTCTTTATTATATTAAATATAAAAATATGTAATTGATGAAAATTTTAAGATTAGGGATTTCAAAAGGACTCAATTTTGAGTTAATTCATTTCTTACCTTATGGACTTTTAATAGGTAAGAATAAGAAGTTGGCTCTTGCATTCTGGGCTTTGTTATTATTTGAATTTTGCATTTGAGATATCAACATATTATTATTAGAATTATCATATTTTTATGAAAATATTATTTATAAATAAATATATAAATTAACATTTATATGATTGAATAGATTGAAGGAATTAACATAGCAGTTGAAGGATGCTTTCATGGTAATTTTGATGAAATTTTTGGTACAATTAGAGAAATTGAAAAATAAAAAAAAATAAAAATTGATTTGCTTTTAGTTTGTGGGGATGTTTAAACTCATAGAAATAAACATGATATGTTTAATATGGCTTGTCCTATTAAATATTTATCAATGGGAACATTTTATAAATATTATTAAGGAAAAGAAGCAGCCCCTTGTTTAACAATTTTTATTGGTGGTAATCATGAAGCTTCAAATTATTTAAGAGAAATGTAAATTTTTAATTATATTATTTTTAGGTATTTTGGAGGATGGGTAGCTCCAAATATTTATTATCTTGGAGATTCTAATATCATTTAAATTAAAAAAGGAAACACTACTTTTAAATTAGGAGGGACTTCAGGAATATTTAAAATTTTTGATTTTAATAATCCTAAATTAGAATCATTTCCATTTAAAAGTGAATAATTACGTTCTGTATATCATACAAAATAAGTTGATCTTTTTAAATTAAGTTTATATGAAGGAGAAGTAAATATGTTTTTATCTCATGATTGGCCATAATGTAATAAAAAATATATATATTTTATAGAAATACATTAACATGGATCAACTAAGGAACTTTTAAAAAAGAAATAAAATTTTGAGGCAGACATAAAATCAGGCAGACTTGGTAGTCAGCCTCACAAATTTACATTAGAAAGATTATAGCCAGATTTTTGGTTTGCAGCACATATGCATGTTAAATTTGAAGCCTTAGTAAAACACAAAAGTGGAAAATAAACAAAGTATTGAGAATTAACAATTTCAATAGATTCTTAGCCTTAGATAAATGTATTGCAGGGAGAGATTTCTTATAAGTTTTTACATATACTAAAGATAAGCAAGATTTATATGAATAATTTGCATATAATGATGAACCAATAGAATTATTTTATGATTCTGAATGGCTTTCTATTGTCCATACTACATATAAATTATTAACAATTTGGGATAAAATACCAAAATTATTTGAATATAATCCTGCATTGAAAGAGTATATAAAATATATATTATAAGGTTATAGATAATGAAAAAAGATAAATATTAAGAATTCTTAAATGAGAAACATTAAAGAATGAAAATATTTGGAAATCATAAAATAAAGATTCCTAATAATTTCGAAATCACTAGTCCACCCTATGATGAATAAGATAATACTATTAAAAGTTTAGTTCCACCAAATAGAGTTCCTTTGAATAATTAAATGAAAAGTTATCTAAACTTATTTAATGAATCAGGATAAGAATTAAATGGTTTAATATTTTATGAACCAGATTAACCTAGAATAATTGGAGAATTTGTTACTCCAGATTTTTTGTAAAAGTAGATTGAATTAGAAAATCAAAAAGAGATTTTATAATAAAAAGATCTTTAGTAATAAGAATAATAAGAAGAACCTTCTTCACCAAAAGATGATGAGTTAAATATATAAGACTTTCCATTTTTATAATGAAATTAATAATCAAAATAACGTTTAATATAACTAAATTTAGTGAATAAAGTAAATGTAATATTTAATTCTATAATGCTGAATATTATTGCGTATTAAATTGAATATTTATAGTTATCGTATAAAAAATTCAATTAATATATTACTTATGATTTCACTAGTCGAATTAACTGAATATAGAGCAACTCGATCACATTCTCAATACAAATTAAATCTAATAGATTTCGATGACTTTGCATACAACTTAAATAAAACCATCTATAATTATTAAAAATGCTAAACTGGAAATAACAACGATAAATTATCTAAATTTAGATAATCAAAGAGTGTCTTAAAAGCTGATCTTTAAAAAAATAAACCTTCAGTATACAAAACCTTCAATAGAAATGCACCTGGTTTTGATGAAAATGAAACTAAAGAATTATTAGAACATATTATACAGTTAGAATATTTATTTGTCTAATATAATAAATACTTTCCAGATCATAGCAATCCTATTCTAATTAATAATTATCTGAATTGTTTAAGTTTAAATAAAGAAAGTATGACATTTAAATTATTTATAGAATTCTTTAACAATTATACTTAAAATATATCTGAAACTCTTTAAATGTCTATTCTAAGAAATTCACAATAAAGAATTGCAGATGATATATCTGATGAAATGTTAATTAAATATCTAATTAATGAGATTAATAGAAGAAATAAATATGAAAAAAATATGGATCTAATTCGAAGTGACTAAACTAAATTTTCTAAACTTTCTCAAAATTATGAATTACATAAGAAAACCAAATAATTAGAACAAACTAAATCAAACCTATTAGTAGCATCTATGAAACTTGTATTTTTAAATGTATTTATTATTCTATTAAATAGTACTAAAATTAACCAGTTTATATTAGATTCCCATTATATAATAAAAATAAATAATTATGTATAGACATGGAAAAACTATTAAAATAAGGTGAGGCTTATGATTTATTTAAATAATGGAGTCAATATATAGATATTACTTCATCTCACTCTGAAATAACTTTATTAATCTCAATTATTCAGGATCTCTTATAAGAAGATAGTTGGATATTAAATTCTATTATTTAATAGATCTCTGGAAAATAGATATTTAAATTAGAAAGGATTATATTATAAATTGGTGCTTTAAATTAATTTTGTTCTAATTGTTTGTAAACCATGGATAAAAGTCATACTTAAATATCAGAATTATTGTAACATAAATTATAAAATCTGATACCTTCATTTATAATAAGAAATAGCATCAAATTAGAAAAGCATATTATGATAATGTAGAATTCATAAGATGAGATATCAAAAGGAGATAATAGACATTCTATAGAGAATTAATTATTACATTTAAACAACTTAAAAATGTGTTTAATTCCTTAAGGATTATTTAGTTAATTATGTTTTATTCATAGATATTGTACTGAAAATAATTAAAATGATCATGAAAAAGCTATGGAATCCTAATTATTCGAGCAACCGCACGAATTAAATTAACCTAATATAAAAAAGGGATTAATTCGACATGAATCTCGTAGAACTAGTTTAAAGGAAAACAAAGGATATTAAATTGAATAACTTAATTAACCATACCTTTTGTAAAAATTTACTGAAATGAAATTCACTTCAACTATTTTTATGGATAATAATGTAGATAAATTAGAATGGAAAAATATTATAGAGAATGTTAAAGAAGAGAAAAAAGAGTCAAAAGAATCTAGAAGTTCCAAATCTTAATCTTCAAATATATCATTTTAGTTAAATTATAATGATGAATACTTTTTGAGATAAATGAAGAACTTCTTATAAAAACAAGAAGAAAAAATATAATGAGCATATTCTAATTAAATTTATATATATAAAATAATACCATCTGCTATAAAAGATAATTTATACTTATTAAAATATCTTTGAGAATTTGAATTTATTATAGTTAATTATATTTTTATTAAAATATCATATGATACTTCCAATTTCAATATATATATATATATAAATTAACTAAATTTACTAAATGACATCAGTTATTCCTTTTGATTAAGAAACACATTAACTTAATGGAATTAGTTAACCAAATGAAACTATGATTGAAGACTATGATGAATTTCGAAGACCCCCTCTTTTAGATATATGTCTAAAACATTAGGTAAACCATTTATATTATTTAGTCTGCCACATAATTTGCAATAGCAGATGCTAAAGTAGATTTAAATAAAAGCAATTTATGTCCTTGTTGTGGTTAACCAATCATTCTTACTTAATTACCATTAACAGCATCTATTTTAGATTTCAGTTTCAATGGACCTGGAGTTTCTCTATATTTTGATTTCTTAATGTTTAGCTCGATATTGATATCCACATTTATGTATATGATTATAAGACTTTTATTAGTATAATTTGTGGAATATACGATTTAATAGCTAGTTCTTTGGGTGATACATGTCATAAATTGAATATTATGGGAGAATTAGAATGTGTTGATAATTTTTATAGCAAATTTGCAAAATCAAATCAAGACAATTAACATCCAGATATAGCAGGAAGTGTATTAAACTTTATCACAACATTAATCTTAATAATACTATTGTTTTTATATAGAAAAAGAATTAATATTTTGGCAAATAAAATTGATGAAAAAAGTATATTAGCATCTGATTATTCTATAATTGTTGAAAATATTCCTAGAGATGCAAAAGAAGAAGAAATTAAAGAATTCTTTAGTAAAATCAATAATGTTCAATATAAAATACAAAAGATTTGTATGGGATATTAGATATCAGAGTATTTGAGAATTCTAAAATAAAAGCAAGAGTAAGAGAAGACATTTACTAAGATTTTAGAATGTGAAAGATTAGGTAAACCTATTCCTCCTCGATTACCAAATAAAGTTGATTTAACCCAAACCTTAGATTAGTTAGCAAATCAATTAGATTAATATGAGGATAATTTTTAAAATTCCTTTTAATTTAGTGGTGTTGCAATCATATCATATAATACAGAAGATGAAGCTAATGCTGTCTGTAAATTTTTCAAAGCAACAAGATTACATCTTATTTTATCTTAAGTTATGAGAGTAATAGGTAAGAAAGATATCAGAAGATTTAGAGATAATGTTATTGTAGTATCTAAAGCACCTGAACCAGGAGATATTTTATGGGGAAATTTGGGAGTGACATTGTTAGAATAATACAAAAGAAAATTTATAACAAATCTAGCAACAATATTTTTATTGGGAATTTGTTTTGGAATTTTATTTGGATTATCTTATGGATAATTTTCAATGACTGATACAGGAAAAGGAGAAGAATTATCTTAAGCAGAACTTGTTGCTATTACAATTTTAGGAGTTATTGCTTCTGTTTTAATTTCAATTATAAATAATATTTTGGCAGTTATTATTAGAAAATTTGCTGAATTAGAAGCTCCAACAACTAAAACTGAATATGATATAAGTGCTGCAAAGAAATTAGGTTTTGCTTAATTTCTTAATACTGCAATAATCACTTTAATTGTTAATTTGGTAATTGTAAAAGAAGGAGAAAAATCTTATTATGCTGTAATAAAATAGGGAGGTTTAAATTAAGATGTAATGTTGATTTTTATTACTAATGGAATAATGCCATGGCTTATGAGTTTATTAGATCCATTTTATATATATAAATTATTTATGAGATACCAAATACAATTATAAGGTTAGTAATGTAATGTTACATAATAAGAAGCAAATGAGTATTTTTATAATTATAATTTTAGATATTTTGCAGGTCCAATGATAGATTTATCAAAAAAGTATGCATAATTGGGAAAGACTTTATTATTTACATTCTTTTATGCATATTTACTGCCTCTTGGACCTGTACTTTCATTGGGTTCAATATTGGTGATATATTGGGTTGAGAAAATATTATTATTAAGAAGAGATTCCAAACCAGCACCAACAGGAAGTGAGATGGCAGAGGAGATGATAGATTTCTTTGGAGAATTTACATTATTACTTTATGCAGTATTAAATTAATTAATAATATAAGATTGGCTGTTTAGTTTGGGAATCAATATTAAATGATGCCATATTTCCATTAACATGGGTACAATTTACAATAGCTGTTCTAAATTTCTTAATTCCTATAGATACTATATTTGATATATTTTGGAAATCTGAAGATATCTCTACTCAAGAGTTTTATGAAACATAATGTTATAAGTTTTGGGATGATTATGATAGAAGAAATCCAATTACTGCTGAAAAGGCTATTGAAACTTTCTTGAAAAACACAACTGCGTTACCTCAATAATAATAAGTAGATGGAAGAGGGAATATAGTTTAAAAGAATTAAGAGTATAGTAAATAAGACAAAAAGAAAAAGGCTAAGAATAAACACAATAAGGAAGATTGAAAAAAAATATTATTATTTTATTAAAAGAATGAATTAATCATCTATTATATTGGAAGAGAATAAATATCATTCTGCTTAATAAGAAGAAGAGGAACGTATGTTGACTGCCAAAGCATGTGATTTAAAGAAAGCTTTGATTTATAGGAGATTTTAATAAAATGAAAGAAAGGAAGAGTTGGAAGATATAAATTAATTATTTGATGAAAGATAGTTAAATATTTTGAATGATCTTGCTAATGATAATGGAAATTATGAAGAATAAAATTAAATTGCAACATTAAGATAAGAAGTTAATAAAAAATTGTAAACAGTAATGGAACATGGTTTGAAACGACATTCAATATACATTATTAAAAAACCTGTAGAAAATAAAATAAGATTTTAAATTGAAGTTTTCAAACCAGAAGATAAATTTAGAATTTTTTGGGATTTATTTACCATGTTGATCATTTTTTTTGCAATTTTAATTTTACCTCTTGATATAAGTTTTACAATTGAATCACTATTTTTTGATAATTTCAATTATGCCTCAATAGCAATATTCAGTTTAGATATTCTAATCAATTTTAATACATCATATTAATAAAAGGGTTAATATATAATAGATCGTAAACTTATAGCCAAACACTACTTGATGGCATGGTTTTGGATAGATTTAGGTATATATTATTATAAAATTAATTTTAGTTTCAACATTTCCTTTTGATATCATTATTAATGCATCTACATAAGAAATTATACATTCTGATGAAATTGATGAAACATAAATAAAAAATGGTTAGGATCAATAAACATAATCAGAATAATTAGCTAATACTTTAAAATTATTGAGAATTTTGAAATTTTTTAGATTTATAAAAGTAGTTAGATTACTAAGAGTATTAAAATTAAAAAAGATATTTTCTAAATTTGAAGATTATGTTGATTTTTCAAATTCTATGATTTCACTTTATAAAGTGTTAAAATTAACATTTATAATGCTATTTGTAGCACATTGGTTGGCTTGTATATGGCATTTCATAGCTGATTAAGAAAATTCATCAGATAGTCATAGTTGGTTAAGAGCTTAAGGTTTATAAGATAGTGATTGGTATGTGAAATATATAGCATCAGTATATTGGGCAACAGCAACAATGACTACTGTAGGTTATGGAGATATCACTCCAGTAACATCAGTAGAAAAGATATTTGGTATAGTAGTTATGTTATTGGCATGTTGTATATTTGCATATATAATGAATAGTATTGGTGGTATATTTGTATCAATGGATTATAATGAGAAATTGATTAGATAAAAGATGGGTTAAGCAAATTAATTTCTGAAATCAAATGATATTCCTAAAGATTTATAGGCTAGAGTAAGAAAATACTTAGAATACAAATATGAAAAGGAATCAACATAAGTAAATGAAAAGGAAGCTTTGGATGTCTTATCATATTCTTTAAGAGTAGAAGTATTAGCTGCAGTTAATACAGATTTAATCAATAATTCAAAAGTATTTAAATAGAACAAATTTGAAAAAGAACTTTTATTACAATTGCCATTTGAATTAGAAGAATAGATCTTTGGTCCTGAAGAATGTATATTTTTAGAAGGTGATGATCCTATTGAATTAGAAAATGGGTAAAATATTGAAGATAGATGTCTATATTTTCTCAATAAAGGACAGGTTATGCTTTGTATTTAAAAAACCTTTACTTGTTTAAAGACATTAGATAAAGGAGCAACCTTTGGAGAACTTGGATTTTTTAGTAATAAATCAAGAAGTGCATCAGCATATACTCTTGATTTTGTTTATGTATAGAAATTAAAAAAAAAGAAATTCACAGAGATTTTAAAAAAATATTAGACTCAAAATCAATTTTTTTAAATGAATAAACATATTATTGAATTAGGTGAAGATTATTCTCCTCTTGGATTACCTTGTTTTGGGTGTTAATAAATCAATCATTTTTCTTCTACTTGTCCAAAATTACATTTTGTTTCTAATTATGATAGAAAATAGGAATTAATATTGGAATTATAATAAAAATAAAAGAAATTCACTAAAGAATTTAAAAGACATGAAAAAATTAGATATAATTCAAGAGGTTGTTTTGCTTTGACTAATGAAGTTGCAAATGAAATCAAATAAGTTTATTCTGGATAAGAAGAAGGAGATGAAGATAGATTAATTAAACTTTAATAGTATTTATTTTTTAATAAATTAGACGTAATGAAGAAGAGCCAACTTAAGAAGGTTTTGAAGTAATGGAAAATCAAAAAGAAATTAAAAGTTAATAGTAAGATGAATTTGAGAGAATGCATATAATGACTGCCTTTTTTACTTAATTCAACATTGATGAAATTATGAAAAATTACAATGAAAGAGTTGATAATATTCTTAATTTACAATAATAAGCATAAGAACGTAGTATTAGAACATAATATCATTCAATCAAATCTAATACTAAAAAATCAAGAATAAGATCTATGTCTGCTGAACGAGCTGTGTATTTTGAAAAACTAATTGAAAAATATGGAGGACCATCATAATTTTTAGAAAAGTTAAATTAAGATAATTGATAACATTATTATTTAATAATATATCTAAAATCTCTAAAATTTTATAAGAATTATTAAAATTGATAAAGATTATATTAGAATAACTTTGATTTAACTTATAATAAATTAAAGCTGATATTAAATTAACTTGATATAGTTATTTTAATAAACTATATATGAGAGCATTTGTATTTTTCAATTATATTACTATTATATTATTTAAATTATAAATATAATATGACTGAAGAAAATTTACTTTATGCTGCAGATTACTTTGCCTTTTTAGGTAAAAAGATCTCAGATCATGAAATTTAATCAATGCTACCCTTTTTTGATTGTGAAGAACCTGGTCATTAGGGAAATGCTTTGGATTAGGTTTGTCTAGATTCTGAATGCAAGTATAAAGGACTATGTTGTGTGAGGTGTCAATATCAAAAACATAGATTTCATCCTAACTCTGTATATCCTTTACATACATTTGTTTCATAATTGATTAATCAACTCTCTAGTAGAAAGATTATTTTAGAAGAATAAAGAAAAAAATGTAACCTATATCGAGATGTTGTTATTTCAATATTGAGAGATTACTTAAATAGCATTATTGAACATATGTCTTTATTAGTAGCATCATTGCATAAATATTTTACAAGTTTTGAAAATGCATTTGAAACAACTATAATAAAAAGTCATATAATTGCACATTCATTAATTTATAAGAAACATATACCTAAAGATAAATTTGAAAAATTTGTAAGAGAAGGAATAAAAGGAGTTTCTTTTTAAAATTAAGAACCTAAGAAATCAGTTTCAAATGATTATTATATTTTAAATTAAAGTAAACCTACTAGATTAGAAGAAAAGTTAAAATAAGAATACGGAAACATTATTATCAATGAATAGGAAAAAGCTTTTGAAATGACTTAAGATTATATTGATATTATGTAAAGTGTTGCTTAAAAGTTATAAACAATTTTAAAAAAGTCATAAGATTATTTGGCAGTTGAAGTTGATTTAAATAAATTATCTCCAAGAATACCTAAATTTGAATTGGCATAACTCTAAGAATTTGATTAAAAATTTAAAAAACAATTTTAAATAGATGGTGCATTTAGTATTTTTAAAGGAATACCTCCTCCTGCTCCTTAAAAAAAAGAATAAGAATAAATGGTCAAATTAAATACTTCTGCAATTCCTACTTTAAATGATTATTTACATAAAGAGTCACAAAATACAATTATAGATCCTTCTAGATAAAAATGCATCTTGGGTATGTTATTTGAAACTTTAAGCAATTGTTCAATATTAAAATTAGGTAGTGTAAAATCTACTTAATCAGAAGTCAGTTGTTTTGTTCCATTAAATTCAGATTTAATAGCTATAGCGTATTATTATAATTAAATTTAGAGCTCGATTTAATCCTTATATTGAAATATATAGAATTTAAGATAAGAAAATTATCTAAAAGATTGACACTAAAAGTTAATAAGGAGTGAAATGCTTATTAGCAATGAGTAAACCATTATTATATACTAATACATCTGCTGAAAGTGAGATAACATTGGTAGTTGGTTAATATTATGATTCTGGATAATTATTGTCTTATTAATTATAGATCTTTAGAAATGAAGGGCGATACACTATTAATTCTTAATCAGCAGGTTAATTTCATAAACCTGATTAATCATCTGCAGCCACTTGTTTTGCTGAATTATATTCAGGTGAGTTTTTTGTAGCAGGATATTCTACTGGTAGTGTTTCAATATATCATATTTAGAATCCTTAGGCTTTACATGGTATATAGAATAAATTTAATAGTTCTGAATTTTCTTTATGAAAAACCAGTATAAGGTATTAGTATTGTGGAACCAGGGAAATTGTTTATGTCATTTTCATAAGATAAAAGCAGATTACATATGATAAATAGTATAAATTCTGAGAGAGTTGTACATAATGTGTCTTAAGTTAAAATGTTAGCTAATAATACATTTTAAATAATAAGTACAGATGCATTAAATGATGATAAAAGCACATTAAAATTAATTCATTTTGTTTGTGGAGAATAGTATTAAATTAAATTATATTAAGAAAAGAATATCATGGAGGTGATTAGAAAGAGTAAGGATTAAGATTTTTAAGAATGATGAAAGATGATTCCAAATTGTCTTTGGTTGAAGAAGGAAGCATATCAAATTTTAGAGATTTAGGAGTTTAAAATTCTGTTAAAGATCTGATTATTTTAGAACCTAGAAAGAAAATGAGCAAAATTTGGGTATTGGCTGTAGGAGAGAATAATAAATTGTAATTGTGGGAAGTGAGAAGAGCTATGAGTTAAGTAAGAATATAATTAAAAATTAAATAGAATATCAAATTATGGGAAAAAGATCTAGAAGATTTCTTAAAACCAATAAATCATAGTATAATTAAAGGGAAAATGATTGCAGAAAGTCAAGAATATACAACGTTAAAATATTTTGATGTAGGACCAAAAGTAAACATTTTAAGGGTTACTGAGAATCCATAAAATGGTAGATTTAATATTTTAATCGGAATCATAAATCACGAAAGCAAAACAGATGTAGATATATTTGATGTAGAACTCATGAGTTATTGATTATAATTAGATAATGGAATTGATTTCATTTTATTACATGAGGCCAATTCTCAGGAAATGATATAGTTTGACGTTTGATTAATGGTATTGTACTTTTGCCATACATCAATAAATAAGCATCTTCTTATGGTATCTCATTAAAATTCACTTATTTTACTTACCTATCATTAAACAGATACCAATTAAAATTCTCTTTACTTCTTGCATAAGTGTAATAGTGTCCCCTATCACTATTACCAGTATGGCAAATAACTCCTAATAATTCATATATAGGCTTTTCTTTTTACAGTTTAGGTAAGCACTAACTTAAATTCAAACTCTCAAAAGGAAAGTTAATTGCTTATTCAATTTTTTTAATTCCATTTTCAATAAATTTAAATCTCTTTAAATGTATTATAAGAATTGTTGGCAATTTCCATAAATCTATCTTTTTTATTGCATCTACTAATTTATTACAATTCTCACAAAACCATTAATTTCCATTTGTTAATTATTCTTCTTTAACATATTCCTTAATACATTCTATTAATTAACATTCATCTGATTCTGGAATTGGTACACTTAAATACATCAAAGGTTCAAATTTATAAGTGTATTTATCACAACTCAAACATCTCAATGAATTCTTAAATTATCCTTACATTAAATCTACAATTATTGATTTGCTTCTTTATAGATAATCACCCCAAGTTTCTGCTGCTTACTTTTCTAATTCTCTTTAATTACAATCTCCCAAATATTCTCTCAATTATACACTCTTTATTGGGAATGTCACTCTATTTAGATCTTCATGAATCATATCAAGTAAATACATCAGAAACTCCTCATAAATTAATTTTTATTAATACCTAAGCATCTTATTAAGTATTATCTGAAAAGGATTTATTACAATACCCTATTATTTTGTTGAATTCCTCAGGAATTATAATTGGTGTTCCCTTAACTGTAAGTTTCTGAATATCCATTTGCCAGATACTCTTTATTAAATTGGCAAATGCTACAGTTGCTAAACCTTACGTGGAGATTGGATTCTTTCGATTAATCTCTGTTAATTGGAAATCCTTTTTTTGCTCATCCAAAATATACTTCAATAAAATAATCTGACAATGGCTACAGATTACTAAGTAATTATATGGACGCATTCATATAACACTTATTTCCCAAGTTTTTTAATCCTACTAGTCCTTTTACTGCTTCTTTCTTTTGAAACTTCTTTTTTCCTTTAAGCTAATAACTTGTAGGAATGCTCTAATATGAAGGAATGATCTCTTATTTGTCTAAATCTAATTAACTTAACTTAAATTAATTCTAGAATTTCTTCACATATTGAGCTAATTAATCACACTTTGTTTTTCTTATATTAGTCCTTATAGTTTTTTTTTTACTCAATTAATTAGATAACTTTTTCTTTTATTTTTTAGAACAAGCCATATCAATTTTATTAGTTATTTATATTTTAATTTTAATAAACTCAAACTCATACTTATTATCATACTATACACTATTCTAATTAATAAATAATCTCAAACATCAATATTTGTATTCTATAATTAAATAAATATTTCTAAAATTATTACATTTCCAATATTTTGAATCTATATTTATTTTTTCTATCTTACTATATATAGATATTTACACTCTTTTTACTTTAACATATAAAATATACCAAAAAATGATAATTACTATATAAATTTAATCTTACAATTTGTAAAAATAATTATAAGGAAAGAATTTTAAATATAAAAATAATTTAATGCTTTTTTATGTTTATTCTTTATATAAATATGATGATCTAATATATTTAACTATTTTTAATAAGAAAATAAAGATATTTTTATATAATTTGCAAAAATTAAAATTTTAATAATAATGAGACATCTCGTTTTTTGATTATCTTTTTATTTTTAAAGTAAAATGTCCTTAATTTCTTTCTTAAAAAATTAATTCTTTGAAACTTTATTAAGCATACAAATATTTACAAAGCATTACAATATAATTATGTTCTAAAATTATTCTTGATTAATTAATGATTTTATCTTTCAAAACAGAATAGTTTATAAATTAAACATTTTATTCTAAGTAATATTTCAATATAATAAATTCATATTAATGAATTAATATCATTTACGCTTCATAGATCCAAAAGTAGAGAATTTGTACTAGCAGTAATAATAATCAAATTCAAGATCAGCAGTTTTTAAAATGATGTCTTTTGGTTTAATGATCACTTTTGCTATTAGAGTCATGTATGGGTTAATTGAGAAAACTGATTTTCTATTTTTTTACAAACTTGCTATGCTGCTATATCTTATTCTGCAATATATAATGGTCTAGTGGTAACCATAGTTAACAAGAATGGCATTCTTTATAACAAATATTTGTACTATGGGTTTAGTAATTGAGGAAGAAAGTTCTCCAGAAGTTTAAAACTTAAAAGGAGCTAACTTGATGACAGTTAATATTATGCTAGTATTATCGGGAGAATTTTTTGATTCAGTCATTTAACTAATTTTAATAACAACTTTAAGATTATCTTTGCCATATATAACTACAAATAGTTAAAATTATATGATTCTTACAAGTACTATATTAGCTAATTCATCATTTTTATTTTATGCATACACATATCACAAAGCAATGAGATCTCAATATTTATTAGGATTGGTGGAAAGCAGTTGGGATAAAATATTTTATGAATTAATAAAAGATCCTTATATTTTATTGAAATTTTCTTATTCAAATTTAAATTTTAGTGTTTAAAAGGAGAATAGATTTCCTTTTAAAAATAGTTTGGACTTTGATGAAGACATTCAGTAATGTGAATAGGAAGAAAGAACAATAAGGCATTTTTTATAGAATGCATCATTAGGTAAAACCTCATTGTCAGAATATATATATGGTAGTATTAAGAAATTCTAAATGGATTGTTATGATCATTTTAATTAAATACTAAGAGTGAGATTTAAAAGATAGCTTTTATAGATTGAAATGTCTATATTTTAAGCTAAAAATCCAATGATTTTATTGCGAATTAATTCAATAAATAAGCATTCAATAAAGTAATTAAGGAAATACAAAAAAAGATTTATCTTATACAATAATACAATCATTAACCTATTATCTAAAATTGAAAAAGAAACTAAAAATAATATTATAGTAAAAGAAACAAGGAGGAAATTAATACTTGTTAAATTGATAGAAGAGTTATATGATCATTAATATTCGTTCAATACTGTCAACTTATAATTCGTAATTTAATAAATAGAGAATTTATATCCTGATAAAAATATATTATTCTAAAATACAAACAAAATAGAAACATTGTTTACAATCCCAAATGCTCTTTTCATGCTATTATTGAGTGTTTTTGAGAATAGTGACAAAGGTTTAATTGAATGCAATCTGATAAAATTAAAGGAGGAGATGGAAATAATGATTGAATTTAATGGAAACTTTTAAGCTTAGAAAATATTAAAGATATATTAGAGTACAAAATATCATATACGATTATTAGTTTCTAGTTTATTTATATCACCAAAATGTAAGATATTATAATATAATTATGTAGTGGTGTAGTTTATTTTATTTTCAGAACCTCTATGTTCGTCTAATCTTGATATCTATACCTATGAATACGATGATTTACTATCTAATGACCGTTGAAATAGATATAATTTAACAATGAAATTAATTTATAAAATAATTCTATACAAATTTTATTATTTAATATTAATGTCACTACCATTTTACTCACCATAGTGAATTTGCTTCAAAGAAATTTGGTTCATATTTGCTGGGCTTTTAGAAGTTTCTAATAAAGTATTTACGCATTTCTTCCCAACAAAATAGACACATTGAATATGGGAGACCAGGCATACTATAAAAAATTAACAAATTATTTAATACCCTAAATTCAGTATATCGACTGGTCTAGCACCAAACCAAGTATTGACTCCTGGAATGTAGACAATGCAAATGAAAATAATAGTTTCAAGAATAACTCCATAAAACATGACAGTGTTAATAGGTGAATAAATAACTGACATTTTACGTTCTAAAGATATAAGATAAGAATTTACATTTGCATGAAAATACATTAGACCATTAGACTAATACAACAGCAACAAAGTAAGAGGTTTAAGCATATTTAAGTGCTGCAGTTTTGAAACAAGCATTTGTATTGATTGGATATCCAGATCCTTCAAGAAGTGAATCTGATCTATCAAAGTATCTGCATAATTGATCAGAAAATTGGTTATCCCATTCATTAAATGTAGGGAACCATCTATTTGCGGTAGCATTATAAGAAACGAAGATGTATCTTAAATCATAATAGATAATTTCTGGATTTATCCAATTCAAAGGAGTATCTTAAAATCCAATTGTATCTTTAGTTGAATAATTACCATCTTTATCTAATCCTGGAATCAAAACTGGTGCCATTTACCAATTAGGACTATAAGGTTGAGTTGTTAAAAATGGACTAATTGATATATATATTAATTAAATACTTGTTCATATTAGGCATATCCCAAACCCAACTTGTAGGAGGTGGAGAATATTTTTATCCGTTTGCAAGTGTGATAGGAGCCCAAGGAATCTATTAATATGGTGAACCCATAAAACTAAGAAGTAAATGTGGAGGGAATCCATATTCATTCATTGTACTAAAATAACTAAAGAATCCTGCAGATGTGGCTATGACTCCTTATAATAGATAAGCATGTGTGATTAATCTAAGAGATACTAAATGGNTTCGTCTAATCTTGATATCTATACCTATGAATACGATGATTTACTATCTAATGACCGTTGAAATAGATATAATTTAACAATGAAATTAATTTATAAAATAATTCTATACAAATTTTATTATTTAATATTAATGTCACTACCATTTTACTCACCATAGTGAATTTGCTTCAAAGAAATTTGGTTCATATTTGCTGGGCTTTTAGAAGTTTCTAATAAAGTATTTACGCATTTCTTCCCAACAAAATAGACACATTGAATATGGGAGACCAGGCATACTATAAAAAATTAACAAATTATTTAATACCCTAAATTCAGTATATCGACTGGTCTAGCACCAAACCAAGTATTGACTCCTGGAATGTAGACAATGCAAATGAAAATAATAGTTTCAAGAATAACTCCATAAAACATGACAGTGTTAATAGGTGAATAAATAACTGACATTTTACGTTCTAAAGATATAAGATAAGAATTTACATTTGCATGAAAATACATTAGACCATTAGACTAATACAACAGCAACAAAGTAAGAGGTTTAAGCATATTTAAGTGCTGCAGTTTTGAAACAAGCATTTGTATTGATTGGATATCCAGATCCTTCAAGAAGTGAATCTGATCTATCAAAGTATCTGCATAATTGATCAGAAAATTGGTTATCCCATTCATTAAATGTAGGGAACCATCTATTTGCGGTAGCATTATAAGAAACGAAGATGTATCTTAAATCATAATAGATAATTTCTGGATTTATCCAATTCAAAGGAGTATCTTAAAATCCAATTGTATCTTTAGTTGAATAATTACCATCTTTATCTAATCCTGGAATCAAAACTGGTGCCATTTACCAATTAGGACTATAAGGTTGAGTTGTTAAAAATGGACTAATTGATATATATATTAATTAAATACTTGTTCATATTAGGCATATCCCAAACCCAACTTGTAGGAGGTGGAGAATATTTTTATCCGTTTGCAAGTGTGATAGGAGCCCAAGGAATCTATTAATATGGTGAACCCATAAAACTAAGAAGTAAATGTGGAGGGAATCCATATTCATTCATTGTACTAAAATAACTAAAGAATCCTGCAGATGTGGCTATGACTCCTTATAATAGATAAGCATGTGTGATTAATCTAAGAGATACTAAATGATCATCCTTCTTTCTTGGTTTACGTGTCATAATATCAATTTCAGCTTCTTCATAAGCAAATGAAATAGCAGGTAAAATATCAGTACCAATACAAATAGTGAGAATAAAGGCATTACTTAATGGAAGTGGTAAACCAATAGCAATTTCACCTACGTATGGGAACACTTCAGTAATATTAGATGTAAGAAGATAGACAATAGTTTTTTTAAGATTATCAAAAATCTTTCTTCCTTCTTCTACACCATCAACAATTGAAGCAAAGTCATCATTCAATAAAATCATATCTGCAGCATCTTTAGTAACATCAGATCCACTGATACCCATTGAAATACCAATATCACCTTATTTGATTGCTGGTGAATCATTGACACCATCTCCTGTAACTCCTACTACATGACCCAAATATTAACAAGCTCTAACAATCATTAATTTTTATGCTGGAGATGTACGAGCAAATACAACTTGAGGTTTACTGCACCAACTTCTGAGCTTTCTGTCTTTCAATTCTTCAGGTAAATTTTCTCCTTAAGATGCTTCCTCTTCAAGTGCTTAAACAATTAGATCACCATGAATAACAATGGCTGGAGCAAGTCTAAAAGCATCCTCATATGACATAGATGGATTCTCATCCAAAAGATCATCAACTGTCTTACCAGTGATAATACCAATTTATTTAGCGATTGCACCTGCAGTAGGTGGTTGATCTCCAGTAACCATAATAACCTTAATACCAGCAGATTAACATTTTCTAATAGCTTGAGGAACTGTAACTTTTGGAGGATCCATCAATGATAACAAACCCAAGAAAGTAAATCCTTCTAATCTAAATTTAAGTGTATCAACAGAATTTAAATTAAATTAATATCCTTTATGATATTCAGCTCTTGGTAAGTGTAATTTTGCAAATCCTAAAACTCTTTCTCCACCTTTACCAAAAGTTAAATTAACTTATTTGAATTTTTAAGTAATTTATTCATCAATGGGTTGATTTCTACCTTCAACTAAAAGATAACTGCAAAATGTCCATAATTTTTCAGGAGCTCCCTTAATATAAACACAATAGTAGGAATCATGAGTTTCCCAATTTACAATACAAAGAGAAAACTTATTGGTTGAATTAAATGGCATCTTAGCTAATGATTTATCTGGTAATTCAGCAAATTATCTTCTTTGTCTTGTTAATTCAATATCTTCAATTGGTTAAAAGAATTTAATCAAAGCAGTTTCAGATGCATCTCCAATAGTTGGAGTATCTAACCAATTGATATTTTATTTTTCTTTAGTTTAAATATTAAATTTAGCTTCACTTGTAATGATAGCACAATCATGTAAATCTCTAAATGTTGGATCACTAGTTTCATATTCATATTCAGCATTCTTTCCTGCTATCAATTTATTTAATGCTTTCCTCTTTAATCCATCATACCATACATTTTCAACACTCATCTTATTTTAAGTCAAAGTTCCTGTTTTATCTGAACAAATGCAACTTGTTGATCCAAGAGTTTCAACAGCTTCCAAATTTTTAACTAGCACTTACTTATCTGCCAATCTTTTTGCTGTAATAGCCAAAGAAACTGTAATACATCCCAATAATCCTTCAGGCACATTTGCAACAATAATACCAATAGCTTATCCAACAGCCTAATCCACTGTTGCTTTTTCAACAACCAATGAAAGAATCAAAAATAATATACCCAAACTAACAGCAATAAAAGAAATCAAAATAACGAATCTCTTCAACTCAATATTTAATGGTGTTTCTGGTGTTTCTCCTCCTGTTGCTAAATCTGCTATCTAACCCATTACTGTTTTATCACCTATTTATATAACCATTCCTAATCCTGATCCTTCTTTACATAATGTTCCAAAAAATGCCAAGTTCTTAGTTTCTAAAGGATTCTCACTTGTACATTCAGTCACTCTTAATAATGGATCACATTCTCCTGTCAAAGCAGAATTATCTACTTTCATCTCTCTAGATTATATAATTCTAATATCAGCTGGTATCTTGTCACCCATCTTCACTTCCACTATATCTCCAGGTACTATTTTTTCAGCCGGAACCTACTTCCTTTGACCACCTCTAATTACTATACAATTTGATGGCAAAAAATTCTTAAAGCCTTCCATTAAAGCATCAGCCTTAGCAGATTAATTGTAAGTAATTGACCCTGTTAATAAAATAATTGCTATTAGAATAATTGCTAAAAATTAGATCTTTTTTCATACCCAACCATAAGTTAGACTTCGCTCCTAAAGCTTCTGGATTTACACCATATAAAGCAAAACATGCAAATGATGCTATCCAAAGTAAAATAGAAAATGGCTAAACCATCTCTTTTATCAATTTAATCCACCATGGAGTCTTCGCTTTTTCTGATAATTTATTATCACCAAATTAAAGATTCTTTTACACAGCTTAGTCATCAGATAACCCTTCATCTTTACTTGTTCCCAATCTATATAATATTATATCATTAAATTACCTGTTTGCTAAAATCATTACATCTATCTTATGTTCATCCATGTTCCTGTACTCTTCTCCTTTATTTTAAGCCTTTTTAAGGACATCTTGTTTTGTATTAGTAGGGGCATCCACAGGTACTACAACATCCTTTACCATAATTTTTTATTCCTAGGAATATAATTATATAGCTTACCTTCATCTGGTTAAGCATCTGACTTTGTCTTGAAACTAATGCTTATGCTTTCATAGAGCTTTTACGAGCTGATTCACTTTACTACATTCCTAAATCCACACTTTGTCTAAGAATTTAGAAACCCGCAACAATTTGAGGATTTGTAGGCTATGTGAAGTTCTACTATCCATCATTTAATTGTCGATACTAAGCCATTCACAATAAATTATGAAAAATAATATCTAATGAAATTCATTCCATCACACTTTAAAATATAGAATCTCAATAATGAACTAAAGATTGCATCACTAATTAAATCCATATATGTAAAATTATTCTGATCTAACGATCATTAAACTTAACTTTGTAAAAAATACACCCTTATTCATCCAATCCACAATCATATACTTATTTATTTCTCAGATATAAGTAAAATATGTTTACAATTCAGAACTACAGAATCTATGAAGACACTAATAGATAACAAAGTATTATCAAATTTGAACTATTTAACTTGAAGTCTTATAATAGCACTTATTGCATTAAAGTTAAGAATTCATAATTGAAGATAGAAAAATTGTAGAAAACTTAATTACAATAATGAGAACACTAAAATCTAATTTAATGGAAATGTTAAAAAAGAGAGAATTTTTACTTATTATTTAATGCATCCAGAAGATAATAAAAACAATATAGAGTTACTGTTGATCTCAAAAGAAATTCTGAGTATATTTTGATGGAATTAAATGAGAAACTAAAAGCTTATATTTTAAAGTTTAATTATAGTCATTTCAACAGCATTTTGATACTTTTTACTCTTTTTATTTTTCAATCATTTCTTCAGTCATTTATGATCCAATACGTACACCAATAGACTTAAAATATTATAATAAATAATACTTCATTAGTTGCATCAATGTCTCTTTGTTCTATTTTTTTGAGGACAGCTTCAGCTGCTTCTTAGAATATCTAATATATATTATGTGATAGAAAATACTTTATCAACTTAAAATCCTGTTTTTGCAGATGCCTCAACGAAAATCAAATCATGCTTTTTAGCATATGTTTATCCCTCCTCTGTAGATATAACTCTTCTAATAGGGTTTTATATATAAATTTACTTATCTGATAAATCTGTCTTATTAGCAACTAATACAAGTGTAATTTTATCATTTGCATAGCTTTTTGTTTCTTCCATCCATCTACTAATATTCTCAAAACTGTCTCTACTAGTCACATCATACACAATTAATGCACAGATTGATCCTCTATAATATGATCTAGTAATTGATTTAAAACTTTCTTGTCCAGCCTAAAATAATTAAATTAGTTTATACAGTATCCCAAATTTATAGTTTTATGTTCTTTTATCTAATATTTAAAGTCTTGCTTCCAAACTCAACTCCTATAGTAGTATCATGATCCAACTTAAATTTCCTATCCAAAAATTATAAAAGTAAACATGATTTTCCAACACCTTATCTTTTTAAGAAATATAATTACTTGAATCTCCAATAATAATAAATTTAAACAAGTATGCATAAGAACTCATCAGAATAAAAAATTATTTATATTAATATTAAAATCTTATTAATAATTATTATTACATTTTAAATGCTGAATTTGTAGAAAATTTGGAAATTATATACATTATAATGAAGTGTCTTATCAATTCTATTCAACAACAGGAACTTCGATTAGTTTTTTTCTTAATCTCCTGAACAAAAACTTATTTTTATAAACTTCGAACACCCATTAATTCTTCTAATTTACCATTTTCTTTAAATTTTTTTATAAAATCCAATAGTTCTCCAGTAAATTTAATGATAATAGAATTGATACTCTAATAATTCTCATCTTAAGTCAATGAAACAACACTGCTTGATGTTTGAGAATACTACATTTGATGTGTGGCTGCAAATTATTCACCTTCTTCAAATTGTATGAAATGCCTTACAATTAAATAACAATTCTCTTTTACCTATCATTTCCACCATCCTTTCCTTAATCATTATCATAAAAAAGTTTATCACATTTATTACCAACTAATCTAATTACTATTTTCTCTTAATCCACATATTATTGAATTTCTTCATACCATTTTTTTAGATTCTCATAACTATCTCTATTAGAAAGATCGAAAATTAAAAGTATTCCAATACATGTTCTATAATGAACCCATGCCATAGAACGAAATGGTTCTTTTCCAGACTTTAACTCATATTTAAATGTTACAATATCAATAAGTTTTAATTAAACCTACTTCTATCCTACCATAATCTCCTTATGATGGATAGCTATCTTATCATTATGTCGTTGAACAAATGAATTAGTTAAAAACATTGATAGAAATGTTGATTTTCCAACTCCTGAATCCCCTATAATGGCTATGCTTAATTCCCATTCACTTGATAACATTTAGAAGAATTTTCTGTTTTTCAATTAATAATTAACATTTATAATTAGAATCTGAAAATAGTTAATTATTATCAATTTTTATATTAAACACTTAGAATTTCTTTTATTTTTCATTATTTTCTAATTCTAAGGATTATGATTTAAAATAGTATTCAATCTATCCACTTCTAATATTAGAGTTGTATTATTGTTTTCTAACTCCTTATACGATTACACATTATCTGAAAAAACTGCAATTTTATATCCTTTATTTACTTTTTTATTTTCTCTTTTTATCTAATTTTAATTCTTTAATCTATAATATACTCAATTTATGATTGCTTTTTTTTAATAATAACCTTCAATCAAATATGTAATTTTTTTTTATAATTTTTGATTATCTTATTTTTATAGTTAATTTTAGTAATAAATTTCTATTCTTTCATTTTCTTTATTTAACTAATTCATTTTTAAGGATTTAACATTAATCATTTACTTATTTTTCTAATTTTCTTTATTAATTTTAATCCTATTTCTATTAAATTTCTTCTATTTTACTAATTAAATTATAAAAATATATATTTTTATCAAATATTTTAATTTTTCTTAATAAATATTTATTTAATCTTATAATTCTTAAATTTATTTCTATTTTTAATTTTATATTCATTATATTCATTCTTTATAACTTATCAACTAATGCTTCTCTTGTATTACATTTTTTTTTCCCTAATATTAATCTACACTTTATGTACTCCAGAACATAGCAATCTAAATAATTAGTAAAAAAAAGTATACTTATTATCAAATTCTTTATTTAGTATATTAAAAGCATTATGTAAAGTTTTAATTTTATCCTCTAGAATTTAAATTTATGCAAAGTCAATTTATGTTATTTCTGTTTCTTAAATTTATCCTTTTTGATAATTCTTGATTAATAGATGATTTTTAGATACTAATATAAACTTATTCAAGTTCAAATTAATAATTATTTAGTTAGAAAAAAAATACTGTTTAATGAATTTATTCTAATATTTTTTTTCTCAAGAACTTTCACCTTCTCTAATGGTAGTTTAATCCTAAACTTATTGTATTATTAGTTAAGTTTTTAAGTATCTTTTAGTTATTTTAAATTCTTGATTTTGATTTAAACTTTTTTTAATTTAATCCTGATAGTTATTTTAATCTATATTAGAACTGAAAGGGAATTATATTTTATTAGTAACTTTAATTTAGCTTGGCCACTTAGAAGTCATATTTAATTGTTAATTATTAGTAGTTAAATTTTATAATAATAAATTTATAGGGTGTGAGATTTAAACAAAAATAGTAAATGTAGTATCAAATGGATTGATTAAGATTACTAATTAAAAGTTGGAATATAATGTCATTTATTTTTAAAGAAAATAAAAAATTTGTTATTATTCTAAAATAATCTAGTTAGGTTTTTTATATTAACAACTTTTCATAAATTTAAATTATATGTTTAAAATAAAGAGACTCTAAAATTCATTCGAAAGAAAGCTACATGAGTTCTTTATGAATTGGAAAAAAAGTACTTAAAATTTCAAATAATGGAAATCGAATTTAAATTTTATGTATGAATATAAATTTGGATTAGATTAGATAATTGAGTTATGAATAAGACTAGGAAGAAACTAGAAATCTACTTATTTAATAAGAATTATAAGTTCAATAATCAATAAGCAAATTCAAAATGTTGAATCATAATAAATGTGATTAATATGATTAACAAAGAAACTTTGCAATTTTATAATCAGAAGTAGAACAATTTGCTACTTGTAATTTTCAAATTCATATTAGTGGTTTTAAAAGGGGAATTAAGAGATAAAATTATTTTTAATAACAGAAGATCTGAACTTCTAATGGAAATATATTCTGCTTTGGAGGAAGTTTAAACTAGTTCTAATATAATTTTCTTAGAATATAAGATGTAATAATTAGAAGTAAATTAAAATTAACAAAAGATATTAGGTTTAGTTAAGGGATAATTAAGCAATTAATATATTGATTAAATTTGTAAATTGTATCATCATAAAGAATTTTGGTTTGCTTTAGAACAAACTTATAATGAAATGTTGAAATAGAGAATATTCAATAACAATTTTTAGAAAATAGCAAAATGCTTATACATAATCAAACCAAATTGTTAGCTTTATGAAATAATTAGGGATTTGAATGATAAAAGTGATGATGATTAAATTGAAAAGACAGTAGAATTTTAATCGTATTTTATAGTTCCATTAAAAGGCAATAGAAATAGCCATTAAAGAAGGATATTAACATTCATTAAAGTTTCATTTAGAATAATGTTTGTATCATAGTTGGAGTTTAGAACAAAAAGGTCATTTAATAGAAAGTTGTTTAAAATTATCTAAGTAATTCTAAGAAAGAGATCGATTATATTAAGAACTTTAGGATATGAAATAGTTGTGATTTACTTAAATTTCATACTATATATTAAATTTAATTATGATTAAATTCAGATATAATTTATCAAATGTTTTAGCATTTTCAAGATGCTAATCCTTTCAATTTATAAATTAATCAAAATATAGATTTTCTAACATTGAAAAAGAAAATGGAGAAAGTTAAGAGAAATAATAAAGAAATTTAGAAAAATAAAAGATTTCAAAAAAATAAGGTTATGTTGCAAAAATGAGAGAAGAAGTAATTACAAATGCAATTGTAGCATCTTTGAAAGAGAAAAGTAAGATGAAAGCAAAAGAAGAATATCGTGCAGCTATTTTATTTGAAGAAATTTTAAATAGAGAAGTCGATATCAATTTATATGACACTAAAGGTAGGGCTTATATAATATCTACATTATGGAATATTTTTTGGATTGCTTTTGCTAGTTTGGGATTGTATACTATATTTAGAGATGATTAATGGTATAAAAAAAATATGGAAATCTTTAAAGTTGTCATAACTACTGGATTCATATTGACTAGAGTTATAAAATAGAGATAATTTTATAAATATTAAGTTGAGAAGGTAATTTATAATACGAAATCAAAATAATTTACAATCACAAAGAGAAATATATTGGGAATAAAGAAAGATTAAGTATTACAAAAAGATCATATATTATATACATCAGATAAAGACTTAAATTTTAAAAAGATAAATTATATCAATATCAATACTTTAGAATGTTATGGAATTGGATTTGATTATGCTTGGCTAAAGAAAGATTTATTTTCTCATTTGATTTAGTAAAATATATCATGAAATATTATATTAAATTGATTAATAAATTGAATTTCTAATATCTTTGTATAATTTAAATCTAATATTTGTTATTTTTAATCATGATTAAATAAGAACAACATTTTAAATTATTAAAATTAGATAATTATGAACAAATATAGTTTAATATTTTTAGATAAAGAATCTGAAAGAAAATATTAAGAATAGAAAATTAATTAACTAAGAAAACCAGTCTATATTTGTAGTGCAATTGGTTTGTTTTTTATCAGTATGATAAAGATGATTACATAAATTTTGGATAATTAGTAGAATGAATTAAGCATAATAATTGTTACTTAAATTTATCTCATCTTGTCTATATTCATAATAAAGTGGAAGCCTTAATTAGTATAATCTTGTTTGATTATATTAAATTATTTATTACTAGCCTACTAATATATGTTAACAAATACTATATCACAAGAGGCCCTATAATTATTTGCTAATAATTTTGTAGCTTGTAACTTTGTTATCATTTTAACAGTTGATATGTGTTAAGGAATAATCTTAGTAACAACTACTATGTTAATACGTATGAGTTTGGCAATATCAGAAGCTACAACTCCATAATATAATGTATATTTTGCTACAATTTTACTTATTTGTTTTTTAAGTTTTTTTATTCATAAATTGAATTATGAAAGTCGTAGTTATTTTTTATTGAGTTTAAAAGATAATTTAATGGAATAAATATTACCAATTATTGTAAATAAATCCTATATTTTATTTCAATTTGAAAACAATCAATTAAGATTTTCATTAATTTCATCACGCTAATTAGAATTTAATTGTGATAATTCAGAGAATTTGAAATCATTTTTAAGAGAATGGAATTATAAATAATAAAATCTTGAATAGTTTTGTTTTTAGGATATTAAACGTAAATAATCTTAAGAAATTAAATCTTATAGCAAATAAATAGAAATTAAAAAAGGTTCTAAATAAACATAAAAAATAACAATTTGTTTTTTTAGTTATTAATAGCCAACATTTTTAATAAAATTTGATAATAACTCTTAAATCTAGGATAAATTAAAAAATTATCTATTTAAATCAATAGAAAAAGAGAGATTAGTATAATTTAAAATTTTTAAATGTATAGTAAATAATTTATCTATTTCATTAAGATCTTCTAATTTATAACAATTACATTTATTAAGGATTTATTGTTTCAAATAAATTCTAAATTACAAAATTTTAAATCATTAATTTAAATAATAAGATTTTGAAATAAATCCAATTTTATAAAAATTAAAGGATTTTTTCCAATTTAAATAAGTAAATTATTAAATTATTCCATCATCTGATGGTAAAGTTTAAATGGTAAAAACCTATTTCTTGCGATTAATTTATGATATTTTTAATGAATGTAAGGAGGATTCTACTATAGTAATAAATTTAGAGCATCGTTTAGAACCATATATACGTTATTATGGAAGAGAGATTAATGAATATACAGATACAGTTATTTAAACAGTTGTTAAGACACTAGTTAAGAAACAATAGATGATGAAAATTGGAAATTAAACAACAATTTTAATATTATTGAATGAAGAACCAAACTACCCATTCTAATCTTCACTATAAATTTGATATTATTTATTTAATTAGACTATAAATATTAATTCAATTTTCTGAAATAGCTCTCTTTCTTTTTTATTATTCGAGTGATTGAAGAATTTAATTTCGAGCAATTTTAAGATTTAATTCATTCTAATATTTAATTGGAGTATCTATTAATGTAGCAATTGTATTATCTGTTTGATTAAGTAAATTAGGTTTATTTTTTGAAGTCCTATAACTTTTTTATTTACTATCATTATAATATGTTGGTTTTGGTTTTTAAAGTAAATATTCATATTGATTACCTCTTTTTTAGAGAAGTTAAGCATTTTTGAATTGTTCAAACATTCCTGTTTTAAGTTTAAAGGATTATTTGGAATAGAGTGTATAGTTTTCTTAGAATGCACATTTTTAATCTAAATATCTACCATTAAGATCAAGTTCATAGGATCTATTAGAGATTTTATCATTGAATCTACATTTAGTTGATCTCAGTCTTATTATACGATCCTCAGATTCTTGAATAGATTCATTAACTTTTTTATCTTGTAATTAACTTAAATTGGGTCTTAAGGTAATTTAAAGATCATGTTATAGATTAACAGCTTTACCATACCATTTAATTCTTTTATATTACAAATCTTAAGTCTTTACTTGATAAAAATTTACCTTATTGTATGGCAGCATCAGATGGTTTAATAAAGAGGATATCTTCTACTTTGACATGTTTAAATTAAAACTCTTTTGGTGAATCAACACTTATAGCCATTTAACGATTAACATGTCTTTCTCTATTTATAGATGGTTTTGGAGTTTCATCTCTAGTAAATGATAAAATATTAGGTTTGTGCATAACTGATTAATTTATATTATAAAATAATGTAATCAAGAGGTCTGTCAACCCCTGGAAAACCAAAATAAGAAGTGCTCTAAATTGTCTTTGATCTTGGTGAAAAGAAACATGTATAGAAATCTATATAAGATTTAAGGAAACATTGCATGTATATGGTGATTCTGATATAACAATGATTGCAAAAGAATTTGTTAACAAACATTAATTAAGAGAGGAGGCAACTGTTTTAATAGAATAAACTATAATCAGCAATCTATAAGACAGTCATTGTTCTAAATAAAGCATTTTCGATCGATTACATAATGAAGCTGCCGTTAAGACCTAGAAAAGACATTAATAATTTATTACCAACAGTTTATCTTAAACTTTTAGTCCTCAAAAAAAATTACCTTACAATCCAGGAGAATAATTATATTTAAAATCAAAACAAAGTCGAATTTTAGAACCTAAATAAGATGTTTAATATTCATTCAAACCATATATAAGTGAAAAAAGCTTGTCTTTAGCAAAAAGACCAAATATGCCTACATAAGATTATTTGATTATGCAAGGCAAGTAGATGGCATAGAGAAAAGAACAATTAAGAAGTAGTAGAATGGCTGCATAAAATTAATAATGTTCATTTCAACCTACTATCAATCCTATGTAAAATTACTTTAACAATTTTGATTAGAAGTCAAAAGATTTCTTAAGAGAAAGAAAGAAACTATTCGAGTGCTTAAAAAAGTTAGATACATGATCGATTATATTAATAAGGCATAAATTCAATGAAGAAAAAGAAAGAAGCTAGTTAAATGATCAATTAATCTTATATGATGTCTCCTTTAAAACGAAAACCTTCAGATATTCCATTTCTAGAAAGAATGCAAATATCAATATAAAAAAGATAAAAGAAATTAGAAGAAACTGTAATGACTGAAGAACCAACACATGATATAACAACTGGTTAAAAATTATATCATCCTATAATTGGAAGACCACCTGCAAATGACGTATATATTTTGTATATATTATAGCGAAATAATTCTAATCTTCCAATTGGAGATTATCTCTTTTAAATGAGAACTGTACATGAAGATCATCATAATTACTTAGTTGAATAAGAAAGATAATCTATAATGAATTCAATGGCCAAATCTTCAGAAAAATCCAGTTAAATTTATGAAGATAAAAAGAGAAAAGTCTTAGAAGAAATATTTTCATTACTTGATTCAGATGGAGATGGTTAAATTTCAGCATCTTCTATTGAAATTTCTGGAATTTAATCTGAAATTTTATAAATATTGGCACCACTCTTATGTGAAATGGAATCAATTTAAGCTTAATTAGATCTAGAATCATTTATAGAAGCAGCTAATAGATTGATATTATCTTTAAATGTTTCAGACAAAAATAAATTAATCAATGGATTAAAATAAAAAAAAATAATAGATCTCGATTAATGTACATTTTAAGTATGAGTTTATTTATATTAAGCCTAAATTATGCAAGCATTCAATGAAATTAGTTAAATCGAGTCCAAAATTACAATAGAATGTAATCAACCATTATTTAATTTTAGAAACTTGAGTTAGTGAAATAAGAATAGGAATAAAAAGTAATGTAAGAATGCACATTTAAACCTCAATTATATAATCCACTTAAAATTTATGATTTTATGCTTAATCAATGAAGAATACTGGGAATTTTGTTATAAATTATATGTGTTATATAACTAATGATCTAATTTTTATTTTTTCTAATAATTTTAACTGATAGTTGACAATCTTAACTAAATATATTAACTAGTTAATTTTAAGAAACTCAGAAAATTCTTCTAAAATTCTTTATAATCAAATTGCTTTTCTTTTAATTAGATATATTAGATTGAATTATTCTTTCTTAATCAATTATTTTTTAGAATAGATAATAAACTTGAATTAGACAATAAAGAACTTTAATACCATATATAAAATTTAAAGTTTGACTGATATTAACATTATTTATTATATTTATTGTTTTTCAAACAAAATAAAGCAATTATTAAGATTTTAAAGCATGATAAATAAAAAAAATATAGTGCAATTGATTTAAAATGATATTTTATTGTTATATAATCTTGATTTAATTAAAATCATTTTAGATAAATAAATAAAATATTTTTGAGATGGGCACTTGCTAAACAAGAAAAAGAAAATCTAATAGTTAAAATACCGCCACGACTCCTGTGACTTAGTTTTCTAATAAAATAATTTCATATTCACAGAATTGCATTGATACTAAACCACAACCAAAATTTGTTCCTTAGAGACCCTCTATTGTGGAATATACTTAATATGATCCAACAAGTATCTATCTTTATTAACTTTAGATCCTCATCGACAGTTTAATGTGCTGATAAATGGAGTTCATTTTGAAGTCATAAATTCAGTTGAAGAAGACATTTTAGGATAACTAGATTGATACAATTTTTAATGATATATGTTTTATGTCAATCAATTTTTCATATATTTATGAATCACTGTTAATATTAAGTTAAATGAGCTACCCCTCAATTACTCAAAGGCTCTTTTTTTCCTAATTTCGAAAAGACCTCTAAAATTTAAAAATGAATAACAATATTCATAACTGTTGTAGTTTGTTAATAAATCCTATATAATTAAAGTTTAAACATTGATAAAACTATTTTAAAGGAAAACTAAAGATGGCAAGTTAAAGAATATGAGAATACAACATTACTGTTCAAATTATTAATATAAAAGTAGTGGTTTTTATTATCATTTAACTTAAATTTGTTACTTTCATTTTTAATTCTTACTCTAAGTCTAATCAAGAATTATCTATTATTTTTAGAATTTCTTGATTACAGGATTAATGTAATAGACTTCAATTAATTAATTTATATTTATAAATCATTTCATGCTGTTTAATTTTATATTATGTTAATTCAAATTTAATCAATAATAAAAATCTTTTTATAATTCCTTATTAACTGCTGAAAACCTTCAATAAATATCAATTTTTTAATAAATGAGAAGATCCTTTAAATCAATTATAAATTTTAAACTTGTTGCTTTTTTGTTGAAAAAACCTGCTATTAATGAATAGACTAATCGATTTTAATTCCTAAACTTTTTGAAATATTAAAAAATTTCATTAATTATTGATAAAGAATACTTTTTTTTGTATCTATGAAATTTTGATTATTTAAAGATGTTATAATTAAAACACTTCCTAAATATAAGTTCACAACTATCGAAATCATATAGACATATGATTGGAAATTAAGAATATTTATTATTTAAACAAGACTTCTTATTAAAATTTTACAAATATTAGGATAAATCTATTAGTACTATTTTAAGTGACAAAACAAATGAATATATGTTTATAATTTGAAAATGAGCATATTGCTAACCTAAACTAATCATATAATAATTAGAAACTTATATTCATTTCATTTAGTCTAATTATAGCACTAATCAAAAATGTTAGGAAATGTTATCTTTTGATAAAAATATTTAATTACATCTTGATGATCTATTCATTAGAATCAATTTTATATTTATTTAGATCACATTTTTCATTTTCTATTTTTATGTAATCAAGCTATTCTTTCAAATAACAAACATCTAAATCAAAATTGAATATTTTATTGATTATGAATTTGTTCAATTAACACTCTTACCATCATTCTTTTTTGTTTCAATGAGATAGGAAGATGATTGGATGATTTCAATATTTATGAAAAATTAGTATATTAAAATTTATAATAGGTTAATGAAATTTTGATCCTGATATTACAAATAAAACTATAGTAATGACAGAAGGTATAAAAAATAGGAATAAGGAAGATAACATATATGTATAAATCAAAGCCTAACTGATTCAGAGTATATGAGATAAGTTAAGAATCTCTTTTTCGTAATTGGTAGGTCTTTATGATAAAATTAGAATGGGAAAGACATAATTTACAAGATTGTTTAACAATTGTTAAAAAAACAATTTAAAAGGAGATTCAGAGTTTAATAAACTATTATGTGAAAGTATAAAATAAAATATACAGAGTTATTTTGATTAATTATAGAGAGATGATTTTAATATTATTAAAAATTTATGATTCCTAAAGTTGTTGGTTATTCAGCATTCTAATCATATGGAGATTTACCATATCCATCTCTTAAAGCTGGTAAACGTACATTAGATTCCAATGAAGTATGGGAACAAAGTAAGTTTGATTATTACATTAACTTAGCTGTTAGAAATGAAGATAAAGAGAGTTTTTATAAGAATTCTAACTATCATTATTCAAACAAATAAGTTTCTCTAGATTCTACTGTATAACCACCACATTATAAGAATGTTTATAAAGCCAATAAAGTAAGGAAATGATCTTCTAAATTTATTATAGGCACATTTAGAGAGTGCAACTTCTAGTGATTTTTTCTAAAAAACAGGAAATTCAGCTATAACACCAGAGAATCCTCTACTCAAGACTGGGTGTGAGCATTGGAAATCTACATATTAAGCATCAATTGTTGATCCATATGCAAAAAATAGAGCAATACCACCTGAATGGAGTTTAAATAGACCACCTTATGTAGTGGAAACGTATTATGTATAGAAAATTATAATAGGAAAGTTGGACCTTCTGAATATAAGAAATAGTATGGATAAATAGGTGAAAATCCTAGAGATAGATTAAATTAATTAGATGAAACTCATCCCAGAGCATTTGATGAATTGAGATTAGGAACTTCATAAGAAGCATAGCATATACCTGGATATACAGGATTCATACCATCAATTATAACTAATTCAAAAGCTATTGAACATGGAAGTGGAAGTGAACCAAGAACAGATTTCATGAAAACTAATTTAAAAGAGAATTAGTATAATCATTATTAATAATAATAATAGTCATACTAAAATACCAGGATATGCTGGACATGTTCCAAGATCTGTAGTCAATCAAAGAGATCAACCAAGATAATCTTGTTTTAGCAATTGATACAGAATTCATTTATTATTAATAATTAATATATTTCATATAATAGATTTAAATAAATAATTCTTGTGTTCTTTTTATTCATTTACAAATGATAACATAATAATTGAATTCAAAATTAATAATAATATAACTCAATTAATTTTCTTATTAATATGAATTATAAACATATATGAAATGATAATTGAGAAAATAGAATTCATTTATCAATAGCTTAAAAAAGAAATATTTTATTTTTACTTCTCAAACTAATGAAAGAATTAGTATATAAATTATTTCGATTTTGTAAATATATTAATGGATTTAGATATAGCCATTGAGACAAAAGAGAAAGTACGTAATCCTACAATCAAATTGAATAAGAAATTAGCAATAGCTATAGCAGTACATATAAATAATTATAAAAGGCACTTACAAAATCTGAAAAGAAACCATTTGATGAATTAGTCTCATAAGAACCTACAAATAAATTAATTGCAGTTCATTTTGGAGTAGGTGATTAAGATGATTATAATACTATCTGCAATTATGTTAAATAGTTCGGACAGAATAAAATAATGATTTACCCTGTAAGGAATTATGCATTTATTGAATTCTAAAACATCTAATAGAGTTTATAATTAATCTAAGTATAAGTTATTTGCCACTTAGTCTTTACAAGTTTTTGAGAATATCAAATATGCAAATTTACAGTATCCAAATAAAGAGAGAGCTACAATGTTTTTTTATACAAACTAGTAAGATTTAAATGGTGGAGGAATGTGTGATATACCAAATGCAATGAGACAAGTTAATATACCAGGATTGTATTTGATACATGATTTCATAACACCAGAATATGAAAAATATATTTTAGATTTAATTGAAAAACAAGAATGGTCCAAATTGAAATAAAGAAGAGTTCAACATTATGGCTATGAATTCATATATGGAGATAATACAGTCAATGTAAATTAGCCTGCAGATAAAAACATCCCAGCTTTCCTTGAAGATGTTAGAGCCAAAGTGTCTGAATTGATAAAACCTCAAGATCAAATAAATCAACTTACAATTAATGAATATTTACCAGGAATGGGTATTCCACCTCATTTCGATGTTCATCCTCCATTCCATGAGAAATTTGTATCTATCAGTTTACTCAGTGGTTTAGTAATGTCATTTAAATCCTTTAAAGGAGAAGAATAACATTTATATTTACCTCCTAGATCTTGTGCATTATTTACAGGTGAAGTTAGATATGCTTGGTTCCATTCTATTGCAGCAAGAAAAATAGATAAAGTAGAAGGTGAAACACATTTTAGATCTAGAAGATTGAGTTTGACTTTTAGAACTATTAGAAATGATTTGAAATGTGATTGTGAATATTAATTCTTTTGTGAATCTTAGGGTTATAATCCATTAACAATGAAGAACAAAAATCCATTACTTTAAGAATATCTTGCAAAATTGAATTAAATTGGAATCATATAAGACAATAAAGTTGTTCCCAATAAAACTTAAGAAGAAATTTAATTACTTGAAGAATAACCATAATAATTACAATAAATGCCTAAGGCTACTGAAGTTGAAAAGAAATATGTTTATGAGATTTATGAAAAAATTGCACCTCATTTTAGTTCAACACGTTATAAGCCATGGCCTAAAATAGAATAATTTCTTAAATCATTAGAACCTGGATCTTTAGTAGCTGATGTTGGATGTGGAAATGGCAAATATTTAGGTTCAAATCCAGATATTGAAATGATTGGTACTGATAGAAGTGAAAATCTATTGAAAATTTGTAAAGAAAAATCTGATACTTATTAAGTATTCAGTGCTGATTCATTAAGATTACCATTAAAATCTGAAATGTTTGATGCAGTAATATCAATTGCAGTCATTCATCATTTTTCAAATAAGTAAAAATTATTATATTTAATTAATTAGAATTCTAAGGTAATAAGCTATAAAGGAATTATTAAGGATTTGTAAATCTAAAGGTTTAGTATTAATCTATGTTTGGGCTATGGAATAAGAAGAGAAGACCTTTAATGAACAAGATGTTTTTGTGCCTTGGAATTTACAATTTAAATATGAAGATGAAAAAGTAATAAATTAAGAAGGTATATAAATTAAATATTATTGGTAGTGTAATAATAATTTAAAATTGATGATTAAAAGAAAACAGTTGTATATAAACGATATTATCATGTATTTAAATAAGGTGAGATTGAAGAATTATTATCAGAAATGCCAGGATTTAAAATAGTAAATAATTATTATGACCATGCTAATTGGGTAGTTGTCTTATAAAAAGATTGAAAATTAAATATTCATTTTAATATTATTATTAATTAAATATTAAATGGCTTAATAAAATAGTCATCTTCATTTAAGATATTGGAGTTCTAGTGATTGGGATTTTAATAAAAAGAAAGAACTTCAACATTAAATGTTAATTACTAGATAGAGATTCTTTGAATCAATGAAACCATAAGAAGTAAAACGGATTAATACTGCCAATTTTCATTAATATGTTATTGATATAAGAGAATATTATGAAAAAAAAAATTAGCAACTTATGTCAAGTAAAAAATATAGTAGAAGCACTAAATCCTTAAAAAATATATTTAGTAATAACAATTTAGTACTTAAATTTAAATCGTAACCATTTTTTCCAGATATAAATTGAATTGTATTATTATAAATATCTTATATTTATATATCCATATCAATACCTATTTCTATTTATTTTACTTTAAGAAAATTCTTATTCTAATTTAAAATAAATTCTTACTGAAAATTCATAATGTTGGAAGAAAATGGATTATCAATCAATCTTTAATATATTGAAACCTTAATAATAAAGATTAATATTTCACTTCTATTTTCATGTCTTCAAAAACAACAATAAATAGATAAATATATGTCTATTATAATCTTTCAATTGGTTTAAACCTATTTTGACTTTGCCTAAAACGTATCTTGATATTAAATGAACTTTATTGCTCTTAAAGTTGATCATAAAATGAAAGATTATTATTAACTTTAAAATTTTATTAGTATCAACATTTTTATTATATGGTAAATTGATTATAAGAGTGTATTCCAATATCTTTAAATAAATGATTTCATATTATATAGCGAATATTTAATAATAGTTATATTATAATTATTTACAGATGGGAAAATTATTGAAATTTTATTTTAAGTGAATATTAATATTGAATTTAAATATATGAAGTAAATTAATATTATGAATGAACTTAGAAATTCACAAGGAATTTGAATTAAAATATTATTTTCATTATTCATTACAATTTTATTAGAATTCATATAAAAGTTAAACAATTATTTTGAGCTAAACAGAGGATATTAATTCTAAAATTTAGTCAAGAGATAATAGATTTGAATCTAGAAATTAAATAAAATTGAAGTAACTAGAGACAGACTTTCATGTTTAGTTTAGATATTAAAGTTAGGAATTATTTAGATAATGAGAAGAAAATAATTGGCAGAAAATAATTTTATGAAATTTTATTATATTTCTCTAATACAAAATATAAATCATAGGGTTGAATTCCTAGTTTTAGTAAAGGTATATTAAATAGGAACTTTTTTGATGGATTCATTTATTTAATAGAAACCATGAATAAGAATAGGAAAAGCGTTTTAGAAATCGTCATTTTGAAATAAAGTTTCTAATACTATATTAAGTTGTTAGTATTATGGTATAATTCTACTGAGGAATAATGAATCAGTATATAACCATTCTTCATCCTCTATAGTAGAAATTCTGGTTATGTTTTTTTCTTTCATGATTTTCTTCAAGTTATACTAGATGAGTATTTTAATATTGGTGCGAATCATATAGAGCAGATTGATATGATCTTAGGTTTATTTTTCCAAGAGATCTAGATTGCCAAGAAGATCCAATAAAGCATTTAGTTTATGGTATTATTCGAGTAATGGTTTAGCATTTGACTTTGGTTCTTCTGATTTCTGTTTTTAATTGATAGGTATATCATTATTGTCAGGCTTTGCTTTTTATGAATTACACATACCCATTAATGAGTAGCTAAGAAAGATAAATAGTGAGTTAATTTAAAATGTTTTCTAATTAGAAATTGCTTTATAGGTTTAATATGCAATAAAAACATATCTAAAAATCTTAAACATTGTAATAGCTTAATAATGAAAGAATCAATAGGGGATTTATTTATTAATCTATTACCTAATTATGGAAAGGCAAACAATAAAACAGTAATATGATCGAAATATTTTCCATTATATTTCTATTGATATTTGTTTTAGCTGTTTCTCTTAAAATTGTTGATATGCATTGATAATCCAGTTCTAACACTATCTGATTAGTACACTACTCCTCATTATATCAAACATGGAATCAACTTATTCTACAATAAAAATTTAAGCTAAAATAAAAATTCTTGATTTATAACCCTATAAGAATTAAGTCTACCACTCAAAACACTAAAGTATACAATTTAGACATATATTATTTATATTAATTCTCTAAACTTAAAAGTATTCTATTATTTATTTTTTCTTTAAAGGATTTGGGATAAATAGTAATGATTGAACTTTATGTATATTATTCAATAATTAAACAAATAACTCTAATATTTTAATACAGTGATTAACATTATAGGAACAATTATAACTTCATAAAAGATTAATTTTTAGTATCTTTATTCTGACAGTACATTTTAAAGTAAGTAAATTTGAAATTCATCAGATCTATACGTATCTTATGTAATTTTCAAAAGATTTAGAGATCTAAAGGATGAAAATGATAAGTTATATTGGATTCTAATATGAAATATTTTTTAAATGAGTAAATGTAAATATTTTATAAATTATAATATATCATTTACCTTCTTAAAATTCATCATTTACCCAAGTTCCTTAAACTTCTAAATTCTTAACAGTTAGCTTTCCTTTACCATTCTTTTTGCCATTCTTCCAATATCCATCATATATTGAATTATCTTCATCTATTAAGTATCCCCAACCTTCAAATAAACCATTTACAAATTAACCTAAACTATTATTATAGTTTATACCTTTGTAATAGCGTTTATTAGGCCAAAACATTTCTCCTTAACCATGAAATTAAGAATTCTGAAATTGGCCAATATATTTTTTACCACTAGAAAAATAATAAGTTCCTTATCCATAAAATTTATCACATAAAAATTATCCTTCATACTTTACTTTTTTGATAAGATCTTCAAATACTCCATATCCTTCCATTCTTCCATTTACAAATTCACCTGTGTATGTAGAAATACTTCTTTTTAAATATCCTTTTCCATTAGGTATAGAATTTTAGCATTCTCCTTTATAAAATAAATCTTCCTCTTATTTTTCCATGATTTTTTACATTTTATTATTTTCCCAATATCCAGACTATTATATAAATATATCATCCTTAATACTTCTACAGTAGTTTTAGTTATGCGTCTTCCCCAACCTTTCCTTATCCCATCTTCAAAACTGCCTTCAAATAATTCTGTTTATGATAGACTAATCCCGTATCCATGTCTTTTACCATTCTTCATAAATCCCTCGTATTATGATTAATCAGATAGTGTTGTATTATATACAAACTGGGATTAATCATCTATAAATTTTTCTAAAGGTTCATATATTTCAATTTTTTCTAACCTTTATTTTAACCAAGGATAGTAATTATCTTTGATGCGAATTTAAGTGTTTTCAATAGATTAAATATTATTTATTTATAATATCGGAGCCTATCCAATCATTTTAGTTCCTTCAATTTCCTCATTTTCTTCATCCTTTTCCGTGTTATTAAAGAATGAGTATTTTTCTTCATTCTTTTTGGTTTTTTTCTCTGGTTATAGTTCATTTTCGATGTGATCTTATAATGTAGAATAATAATAACTTTCAGGAGATTCAAATGATTTTTTTTCCTAATATTCATACTTTTTAATTTAATTAGAATTACTGTTCGCTTACTATAAGGATTATATACTATTTTATTCATTCTTTCTCTAACTAATCAAGCAATTAAACCATTATTATTACTTATTAGGAAGTGCTAGAAAACTATACGCATTCTGTTACTCACCATCTCTCTAACTTAAACAATCAGTTTTGACTTCAGAATTCTATGACCTTTAAGGCTCTTGAATTTAAGAAGATTGAATGCCTCCCATCTTAAAATTATAAAAATTATACAAATAATAATTAGAATCAAATATATTCTCTTAGGTTTATTAACTATTCAATTATAGTATTGTGCATCTCTATATGTCTTTTTAGTTATATATCTTAAGTATTTTATTTATTATTCATTAACCATAATCTTATCTAATGCATTATGTAATCTCTAATATTAATTTGTTAATTTAGATAAAAATAAAGTAATTCAAAAGAATATACTATTCATCATATATAAATTTCAATCTCAAACATAAATTGGATTTAAGACATATTACAATTTCTTTCTATTAAATTTTATTTATGTCAATTACCTAATAATTTATAGAATTCATCTTATTATAATTAGATATTTATAATTAATTTAATGTTATTAACTACTTTATTAGTATTAGATACTAAAAATCTAAGATTCAATACCCCCTATGCTAAAGTATATATTCAAACTATTTTTTATCTCATAGTTATAATCTTTGTATAAATGATGAATGCATACTAAAGTCATAAATAACTTTCATAAAGCTAATTAAAGAGAACTATATTTATGAGCAATATATTAAAGTGTTGAATAGCAAAGAGGATAGAATCTATTTAATTCTCTTATTTTTCTAGTATATTAAAACATAACATATTTAAATATTTATCTCTCTCTTAGTTCTCATTTATAATTTTTGATTTATTTGATAATTATTTTATCACTATTATTAAATTACAATAATTCATTAGATTAGGTCATGTGAATTTAATTATACCAGAGAATTTTAACATCATTCCAAAATGGGTATTAATACTAATAAAATCATAATTTAATCCCATGAAAAAATAATTAATATAATGTTTATAAAGATATTAAATAAATTTAAAATCGTTAATATAATATTATAATCCCAATCTTAATTAAGTACAAATCAATTTATTTTTTAAAATATTATTGCAATCATAGATCCTCTAAAATTCAATAATTAATTATAATAATACTACTATCTTATATTGCAAAAAGCTTGCATTAATGAAATAATTTGTGAATCATTTACTCTAGTTATTCAATATTTATTTTGATATAATTATGCATATATTTTATTATTGATTATCGATTTGATCAGTATTAATTGAAATTACTAATTATTATTGAAGTATTTTATAATTTAAATTACGATTTACTCAAAAGAAGAAATAGAAATTCTAGATATTAATGATAAGAATATTATATGAATTTTCAGTTTTTATTTAAAATCCATTAAATTTAGTTATTATTATTAATCTATATAAGTTTATAAGTTATATATCAAAATCATTTAAATTTATTATTATTCTTTGCGAAAAAAACTTATGATTAAGATTGCTGTGATTTAAATGCAACTGTTTTTGACCTATACCTATGAGATCTTGGTATAACTATTTAAGGAATAGAGTTATTTGATTCGATTTATTAATATTATTTAAAAAAATAATAATAAAGTAATGGGAGCTACTTGTTGCTCAGGAACGCCATAAACTTAGGAGATTAATTTCACAGCTCCTGCTAAATACGATGCCACTGTTGAAGGAAATGATCATGTGGAAATAGCCAAGCCAACAGAAGCAAAAAATGAATATTAAGAGAAAGAACCAATAAAACAAGAAGAATCCTAACCAGTTTAGGTTGATGACTTTCAATAAAGTGCAAATCCTCCAGATGATGTATAACAATTCAGTATATTAAGGCTTTAAGAGAAAAATAAAGGTAACAGATTTCGACGCACGGTCCAAACCCTGAAGATGCTAAACCATATGATAAAGATCCTTTTATTGAAAATGAATAGGTTCGTAAAACACTTGAAAAACTTGGAAATTACCATTATGATGAGACATCCTTATCAAATTTTCATGATTGTATTGAGTTAGGACCCTATGTAAATAATTAGATGATAACTCTAGCAATTTGAGAATGGAGCTATATATGTTGGTTAATGGAAAAATCACTAAAGATGGGGCAAAGGTAAATAGTATTGGCCAGATGGATCAGTTTATGAAGGATTTTGGAGTTCTCATACAGCAAATGGAAAGGGAAGATTAATTCATGCAGATGGAGATGCTTATGTAAATACATGAGTAATTTTTAGGATGGAGATTGGGTTGATGATAGAGCATAGGGATAAGGAACTTATTATCATGTTGATGGTGCCAAATACGAAGGAGATTGGTTGGAAGATTAATAACATGGAAAAGGAACTGAAATATGGCCAGATGGTGCTTAATATATTGGAAGCTATGTTAATGGAAAGAAGGATGGGAAGGGTAAATTTAAATGGAGTGATGGAGCAACTTATGAAGGTGACTTTCGAGATAACAATATTGAAGGTAATAACTCTATTTATTATCAAATAAAAAGGTTTTGGTGAATATGTTTGGGCTGATGGCAGAAAATATAAAGGATAATGGTTAAACAATAAAATGCATGGTAAAGGAGACTTTAACTGGCCAGATGGGAAATAATATAGTGGTAATAGATATTTCTATTTTTAAAGGGGATTATGTTGAAGATAAAAAGGAAGGCTATGGAATCTTTAAATGGTCTGATGGCAAACAATATAAAGGATATTGGAAGGATGGAAAATAACATGGAAGAGGAATTTTGGTTGATAGAGAAGCCAGAGAAGTTGAAGCTGAATGGGTAGAAGGAAGAAGAGTCAGATAAGATAATTGAAATTATCACATATTATTAAGTTGAATACTGCATAGATTTATTTAATTTAAATTAAATCTATGTATTTTTATTCTATCTAATATTGAAGCGATTCTACTTAAAACTTCTTCTTTTTAAGAGAGGTTCTTAATTCAAATATATCAAATTTATATTGATTTTTGAATGAGATTAAATTTTTAGAAATTATATAATACTTTTTAATATTAAGGTATACAAAATAATTGATATAATAAGATTTTGCAAAACTATTTCATAAAATAAAATTAGTGCCATTTATATTCTAGTTTTATGACATTAAAACTAGAATATAAAAGTTTTATTTAATTTTAAATAATGTTTTATAAAACTAAGAAATTCCTAACATTATTATACCAACCAATTAGACACCCATTTAAGACATTTTAGAGATCATTTGATATTGAATAAGAATGGTCAAATGTAAAATTAGTCCTGAGACCTCACAAAGGAAAAATAGTGACACTTTTTGCATTAATAACTTATCCTATTTATAAGGACATGTTTCAAACAATTAGAAATTCATTTGTTTCAACAGTTTAGAGTGAACTAGGACCAGGTTAACCATTTGAAGTCTTTATTAATAGTTTTGTTAAAGTAAACTTGTTTTGATCAATAGACTGAAGTTTAAACAATTCTTAAAGATTCTGTCGTATAACAGGAATCAGTAGATTTTGTATAAAGATTGGGAAAGCAACAATAGGTTTAAGATAGCATTGTTACTTTATTAAAATAATCTATATAAGATCCTTCATTTTTAGAAGATTCAAAAGTTTTTGGAAAGAAATTAGTTTTAGATTTGGTTTAAGATAAATAAATTTAAGAATAAACTTAAAAATTAATTATTCAAGTTGTAAATGATCCAATATTCAAATATGAAGTGAAAGAATTTTGTAAATCATTATCATAAGAACCAGAAATCAATTAAGCGTAAATTTTACATATATATGAGAGTTGCGGAAATCTTAAAAAATGCAGGTATGGATCCAAATTTTAGAGCTGCTTTTGCAAATGCATTTGCCTATGCTTTTAATGATGTTTTAATGAGGAAAGATACAACTGATAAAATAAGAATGTTTTTATTATTTCTAATAGAAACTGAAAAGTCTTAAGAATAAGGAATTAAAGGATTTATAGACATGATCATTGATAAATTGTTAAATAAGTATTGAAATAATTTTAAATTAGAAAAATAAATATAAGCAAAGAAAATGAATTTGATTCATTATTGGAATAACTTTTGGGAAAAGAAAAATTGAAAAACTTAGCTGAAGAACATAAATTTTAAGGACAAAAACATTCAGATGTATATTGAATCCTACTTGAGTAATCATAAAATAATCATTTAATCATTGATTTATAAAATGAAAATTTTCATTTCTTTATTATCATCGGATTAAATTTGATATAATGATAACGATTTATATATCAATTTTGTAAACTTAGAATTCTATATTTGGATAAGTGATTCTAAATTTATTAAAATCTATATACATAAAAAATTATAAAAAATTTATTCTTTTGCTAAATCAATTAAATCTATTTATTTAGGCTAAATAAGCATTGATAATCCAATTTAATAAATTAATCGAATAATTCATCATATTATTATTTAAATTATGAATAATTCATATTAACTTCCAAGATTCCTCTTTCTTTCATATCTGAAATATTCAAATGAATCTACATGTTAGGATGATTATTGAAGAAATTAAGCGATTGTATATTTTAAATATCTCAAGGAATATTGATTTTTATTTAATTCTAATATTTATCTAAATATATAATTTTAAATTCTTTTCTTTTTACTTCTCTTTTTATACAAAATATGATAAATAAGTAATTACTTACTTTTTTTTTTGTGTTGAAGGATTAGAATAAAAAAACGAGTAAGCATTTTATTATTATTCTTGTCATTTAGCATTAATAATAATGCATTAAAGTATATTTATATAGTCTTTATAATTATTCTAATATGTTAATGATTTCTTTTAAAATTAATGTTATCTATTTATATTCCCTTCATATCTTAATGTAAAAATACAGAAAACTTAATAACATGACTTCTATGTTTTCTAATATTTTTTCTTCTAATTTTAATATTTTTTCAAATTATTTCCTGTCTAAGCTTTCCATCCTGTTTATATATTTGTTGATTAATTACGGAGTAAATATTAACTAATTTGATTTGATTTATTGATTCTAATTGGTATTAATTTTTTATTTTATTTTTTGGCCCTTTTCTCATAAATAGTTGTAATTCAAATTAAAAAATATTATATTTATTTATATTTTAATCTTAACAAAAATTTAGTTAAAATTTTTGATTACAGACCCTAATGAATCTTTTAGATATAAATATTTAGGATGAGCAAGAGATAATAGTATTTTAAAATTAGCTATGCAAAACTTGTTTTTTACGCATAGATTATTTATTATTTAAATTATTTGTTGTTTTAATTTTAATAAAAAAATTACTAATAAAACTATTTTGAATCTTTAATTAAATATCAAAAATAAGATAGAAAAATATTGAATTCATTAGACTTGTTTAATTAGAATCAGGAAAACCTAAAATTCACAATCAACCTAAGTTAATAATTAATTTAAATATATATAATAAATTTTTTTGATAAATTAATGCTTATGATTTATTCATACTAACTTATCACTCAAATGAAAATTTTTGGTTCTTCGAAATATTTGTTTTTTGATATCATCATGCTCTTCCTCTTTAATTTCTGATTTTTATATGTGCTAAAGTGGTTTAACATTTTCTGATAATTAATCTTTACTAACTTATCCATTATTAATATCAATCACAAATATTGAATTACGAAATGAGACTGCTTTTTTATGATGTGGTGGTTAATGTAAATTATTTGATTTGTTTGTATATTCAGGAAGTGGTTAATGATTTTGTATTGGTTGATCAATTTCTTTTGGAATTCTATAATCTACCAGTTGGGTTGGATATTCTTAATTTACAACAAGAGCGCCTAATTTTGCAAAAGGAGAGTGCAATCCTTAAGATTCTATTTGTATACTATTTAAAGTGGAAAATTTATTCTTAGGTGTAGAATAATTAACAATTTTTTCTTAATGAACTTCAATTTAAGGCTAGAATTATTGAGATTGATGAGGATCTTTTATAAATAGTTTTTATTTTTTTAGTTTTCTGACAGTGTTTTTTACAAATAAAAAATTATCCTCTGCATCTTATTCAGTTTAAGTTTTTCTAAAGACAGGACTTACAGCTTGGCTCTTGGGTAGAGATTATATTATTAATTAATAATCAGTATCTTATCTTTTCTATGGAGATATTAATGGAAGATGGAAGTCAGCTTCATTTAAAAAAAGAGAGGGTCTAATAGTTCTTGCACTTAAAAATTAGGTTGGATTTGTATTTTGTTCTTTCATATTGATTTCTGAAGTGATTTTATATTGCATTTGAAATTTTGGTAAATGAAAATTAATATTTAATAGTCAAATTGAACTTAGATCATGTTTATTAAAGTTAGAAAATAAAAATCATAAGCAATATAAGAATATTTAATATTGATTTGTTATATTGAATTATAGATTTATTTATATAATCAAAATAATGTCTATTCCAATAATTGAAGATTCAGGAACAGGGTATATATTGAATCTTTGTTAGATATTTGAAGATAGGATTTGCAGGTGATAACTTCCCAGCTCATTCATTCCCAGCTATGGTAGGAAGACCAACACTTAGAGCAGATGAATAATTGGATGATGCCAACTTAAAAGTACAAAGAAATAATCATAGTTTTAGGATATAATGATAGGAGATGAAGCTTAGCCATATAGAGGATTATTAGAATTAACTCATCCCTTAGAAGAAGGAGTGGTTAAAAATTGGGATGATATGGAATTAATTTGGAATTATGGTTATAAGAAAGTAAGAAGATTATAATAATTATTATTAAGTTAGGCATTGATCCCAAAGATTAAACAGTATTGATGACAGAAGCAGCTGGAAATCCAAAAAAAAATAGAGAAAAAATGGCAGAAATAAAGTTTGAGAAATTTGGATTTGCTTAACTCAACGTAGGAATATAGGCTTTGCTTCCCTTATTTGCAGAAGGGTTGAGAACAGCTTTATTACTTGATGCAGGAGATGGTGTTACACATTGTATGCCTGTATATGATGGATTTTGTTTGAATCAAGGAGCTTAGAGAATGAATATTGCAGGAAGACATGTTACAGATTAACTAGTCAAATTATTATTCTAAAGAGGATATGCCTTTAATTCTTCAGCTGATTTTGAATTAGTAAGAGAAATCAAAGAAGCTTTATGTTTTGTAAGTTCTGATATCAGAATGGATACTAAATTAGCATAAGAGACAACTTGTCATGAGAGTACATTCAGATTACCTGATGGAGGAAAAGTGAAGATTGGTCAAGAAAGATATATGGCTCCAGAGATTTTATTTTCTCCATGGTTACTTGGAAAAGATGCACCTGGATGTGCTGATATTGTATTTAATGCCATCTAAGTAATTAATATTTTATATTATATAATAGAAATCTCCTATTGATTCAAGGAAAGTATTCTATGAAAATATACTTATAAGTGGAGGTACTACTATGTTCCCAGGATTTCCAACTAGATTATAGAATTAATTAAGATCAATTTTTGAAGAAACTGTATTAAAAGGCAATACTGCATATGCTGCTAGTTCTAAGATTAAAATTAAAGTTTTGGTACTTATTTCAATTTCAATATTCGTCTTTAGGATCCAGCAAGAAGAAAATATAATGTGTTCATAGGTGCTTCTTTCCTATCAAATGTAATGAAGGATAAAAAAAATTTCTGGATCTCCAAATAAGATTGGACAGAATTAGGAGCAGAAAGAGCCATGATGAAAGTTATGGAATCTTTATTATGAAATAAATAATTGTATTGCAAAGTGATATTGACAAATAATTATTTTTTAATGTATAAAAAGAATAGTTTGATAGATCTTACTCCAATCTCAATAAGTAAATCAACACATTTAGGAAAGAACAAACCTTTCTGTCCATCCTTGTTTTTAAATTAAATTGATAGTCAACCCAAAAAATTTGAAGATGACTACCATGAAAAAGTCTTAGAGTTAGAAATACCAGAAGATATAATACTTCCCAAGACTGTTCGAAGAAGATATGCTATAGGGAATGGATTATCTCCCTAAAAGACAGATTAAATCCTTCCCAGTCTCTCTTTACATGTAACAATGCAAAAAAGGAATATGGATGATCTTCTTCAACTTTAAGAAATTTAAACGTAAAGGGAGAATACAGAGATGGAGAACATAAATAAAAAGATTAAATCCATCATTAATAGTAATAAAAGGTAAGTTTCTTTTTAATCTTCTCATGTTATTATTGATGAATTTGATAATTATTAAGTTGTTCAAGATTTACCTACTTAAAGACATTAAGCTCCAAAGAGAAGAACACATCTCAAGTAGTTGACAACTGAAATATGATTATAGTCATAATTTGATTATATGGGTTCTATTTAACTATTTTTTCATCAATAATATTTTTCTTAAGTAATGGAATATTTCCTCTACTGAGAAGATAAGATCTCGATAAATTAAATTAATTTTTTCCATCAATGATATTTTATAAATAAATCTTGGATAAATAATTATTAACTCATTTAATTAATAATTATTAATAATATGTTTTTTAAAGGGAAAAAAGAATCAAACATAGATAACTTCAATCCTGGAGTAGGACTTTATGATATTATTACTAAATTAGATAAACCAGTACCAATTATGCATTCTGATAAACATGGTCTCCATAAAAAAAATGAATCATATCCTCAATGTGATTCATAGCTATCTTATGATCGAAAAGTTGATTTAAATTATCCTTTGCATAGTTATGCTAGTGGAATTTAAAGAGTTAGACAAAATAAAATATATTAAGAACTTAAGAAACAAGTTAAATATGATAATAAACTTAATGAATTTAACAATGAATTTGATAGTTAAGTGCGTTCCACTATTAAAAAGGGAAAGCTTGTAAAATTATAGAAATTGTAAAGAAATTCACAATAATCATTAAATGATTCGCAATCGCTTTATTTAGGATAATAATCACCAATAAATAAAAAAACAACAAGCTAGCAATATTTGAAACATCCACCTAAATTATAATCATTAGAAAGTTTAGAACTCTTTCTCTTAAGAGATAAATTATAGAAAGTATAAGATATACCAGGCCCTGGTTCTTATGAGTTGCCAAGTGTTTTCAAATAAACAGAAATCAGGGTTTAACCATTCGGAAAATAATAAGGGAGAACTAAATACATAGATTAAGAAGCTTCAGTTGGTGTTGGATAATATAACATACAGGATTAATCAGTAGTCAAAAGTGTAATAAGGTTTGACAAATATTCGAAGAGAGTAAGTATTTTTGAAAACAAATAAAACTCTCCAACATATTATGATAATAATTCAAATCTTATCAGCAATCAATCAAAACTTAATCTCGAATTTCCTATAGCCTTTGGTTCTACCTCAAAAAGATGAATATTATTTTATATGTAATCCAATTTTAATATAAATCTATATAAAACATTTAATTAATCAAGTATATACATAATATATACCATAAATTCCTCACTATACTATTTAGAGTTTCAACATGGCCTGCTTAAGGTATAAATATTAAATAATACTCTAAATTTTATCATCTTATTTAAATGAATCAATATTAAATAATAAAATGAAAAATTCATTAATTAAAATCATCTTTAATATATATAGAATAATTTGATAAAATTTTAAATCAATTAAGTAATTAAAAATTCGGCAAATTTTATGAAAAAGGATTAGAAAGGAGAAAAATTTAGAAACAAGGCTTTGAAATAAATAAAAAATGTGAATCAAATAGTTTTAGATTAGTTTCAATAAATTTATGTAGAATCAGACATAGAATCAGTGGATATCTAATTATTAGATGACTTTGAAAAAATGGGACATTAAGTGCCGAATGAAGAGGGAACTGGAAGAATTTCAATAAAAAAGAATTTCGATACTATTGGTATAATTAATTTAAGTCTTGAAAAATAATTAAATATCAATGATATTAAATAATGGATCAATACATATCTAAGATTGAGAACAACAGTTATCAATTTAAATTTAGCATTATATTATGATAAATAATAATTTTATATTGAAGATTTGAAATAAAAAAAAAAGTATAAATTGAAAAAAAATAAATTGGAACATATAGATGCATTTAGCATTTTCGATGTATTAATAAAAATAAAACCAAAACATATTTGTTCTTTAATTGCTATAATAGATTAAAACATCTTTGATCCATTATAACCTGATTCAAATATTATAGGAAGAGCTTGTGGTGATGGTGTTTGTGTAGTATAATTTTAGGAAAATCAAAAAGTATTTTATGGTACAATCGTTCATGAATTAATGCATACAATTGGTTTTGATCATTGCTATTTATGGAATTGCTTAATGAATGAAGATGTTGATTCTAGTAGTTTACATTTATGTGTTAATGATTTAGAAAAACTCTCTATGATCAAGAATTTCAATATTGTTAAGCGATATAAATCTTTGCTTGGTTTCTATAAGAAAATGGGATTTTAGGAGGAATGTAAATGGATTTAAAATATGATAGAGATTCTTGAATAATGAAACTCTATTTAAATAATTATTATTAAATTTATACATCTAATAATCCATAAAATATTACAGTTTGTTTGAAAAAATCTTAAATTTATATTTAAATATGTTTGATTTATATTTTGAAATTATTATCTTATAAGATTTGTTTTTCATGAATAGACTCAAATATAAAAATATTGATTTTCATATCGAAAATATTGAGAGTATCCAATAAAAAAACTATTGTGTATTATTAAATTGATATTTTGGAATAGAGAAATAAATTTTGCTAAAAAGAAAATTAAAGAAAAATTAACATACTTATGTCAAATAAAACGCAAATATCTACATAAGCATAGGCTACGGGTGATGATGTTCCATTAGCATCTTTAGTTTAATAAATAAGATTAAATAATCAAGATTAAGAGGATGTTCCTTAAAAGACCAGATTACCTGCATCACAAATAAATCAAGATTTAAAATTAGCATAAGAAGTAAATAATAATTTTCGATAACTTATTCAATAACCATTTTCATAACATTTAATAATTTAGCAGCGATAGGAGTAATATGAGATGATTCAATAAAAAAAGTAATTAGACTAACCTAATGAGGTTGATGATGAAAATAAATCATTTGGGAATTAAGAATTAAAAAAAGAGGAAAGATGTATTGTTATTTAATAGTATTAAGAAATTTTGTTAGCACCATCTTAACCTTATAGTAGAGAACCTTAAGTGTTAAAATGTGAGAAATGTTAAAATGTAATGATAACAAAAGTGGAATCAAAACCAGGATGGGGAAGCTGTTTTTGTTGCTGCTTAATGTTTTTAACTCCTTTTTTCTTTTTGTTTTTTCTACCTTTCTGTATGAGAGTATTAAGTATATGATATGTAAGTAATGCAAAGATGCTCATCATTATTGTTAATCCTGTTCAAATAAACTTGGTACATATTATTTTATTTGTGAATGAAAAATATAGTATATTATTTAAACTTTGAAATTTTTCAAAATAATACTTAGATATAATAGATGTAATATTTAAGAATAATTTGTAATATTAAATAAAAAGTTTATTCATTATAAAGCTTCCTATTAAACTAAATGTATTGTTATAGGATTGCTATCTCTTATTTAACATTTAACGATATCAATTTAAGGATGAAAAACATCTTTGATTCTAAATATATTGAGATTCTATGTCTCTTCATCCAAAACATAAATAGAATCTTTATAAATAGCCATTGATAAATCATCTTGTAAAGTTCTTTCATAATCTTTAGGTGCTTTTTCAGCATATGCTTCTAAATTTTCTTTTTCATTTTTCTTTTTTGCAATAGGATTCTTAATTTTAAATTTCAAAGTAACACCAGCTTTGACAAGTTCGAAAACTTCAATAAAAAAGTCTTCCTCTGTTTTGTAATAGGATATAAATAATTTTGGACTTACCATATCAACAATTGGTTTTGTAAATCTTGAGTTTACGAAAGGGGATTTAAATGATAAATCTACATTGAATTCCCAATTATCTTTCAATATATCATAAGTAAAATAGATAAGTTTATCTGAAGTCAAATCAATCTCACTTGAAACACCACCAAATAAATATATAATATTTTTTTCCTCATCATGTAGGGCTGTTCCTCCATAAATATTGATAGGTAGGTTTTTTAAAGATTTCCTATTAAAATTGATTAGAATAATAAAATTACCACTATTTGGTTTTAATAGTATAGACAAAGACCTTATCAGTAATTTATTTATTAAGGTTGTCTCCAAGTTCATAGCCTCCAATTACATAGATCTTTCCTTCAGCATATAATAAAGATGGACTAAGGATTGGTGCTGGAATATCAGGCAATCTCTTTAAAGTAACAGTTTGTGTATCTTTGTGTTTATTGTATGCACATTCATAAAGATGTTAAGTTTTCATATCCTCTTTAAGGGCTCCAGATATATAAATAACATCAACAAAGTTAAAAGTAAACATACAATGCTTGGATATTTTAAAATTAGTTTAATTTGGTTTTAAGATTGATACCTTCATAAATCTTGGGTCTTTCATATTTTCTAAAGGAGTAATAATAATATAGTTTTGACCATAACCAACCCATAAAATAGCTTAAGCTTTACTTTACATTTCATTGAAATCAACATTTTAAGCTGTTAATTATTTACTTAAATTCATAGCTGAATTTAAAATATTAAGATATGGTGTTTTTTTAGGTAATTTGTATGTTGATTTTAAAAATTCACTTAGTCCATCATAAATTGTTATTGCAGGATCTGTAAAATCCATTGTGTCAATATCTTACACTCTTTAAAGTGTTGCTAGACAATACAAAACTTTGACTGCATCATCAATATCAGTAGAGAAATTCTTTCTATTAGCTACATACCAACCTGATATTTTAATAATTCCAGCTTTAGTAAAACATAAGCTATTAGTAGATAAATTTCCATGTTCCATGTGATTGTCTTTTAATTCTTTTAAAGCCTTAAAGATAATTTTTACAATCAATGCTAATTCTTTTGCTTCAAAAGTATTTTTATAAAGTTTTCTATTTTCAACTTCAGAATCTAAAGTAGTTGAAATTTCCTCATTAACATAATACATATAAAAGGAGTTTTCTTTGATAAAATTTATGATTACTTTCTTCAGAACATGCAAAATATTCAATAGGAGTCAATAGAATATCTGATTGAATCTTTTTATTAAATGCTTAGAACAATTAAGATACTTCAACTAAGGAATCAACTTTGATTTGATGTAAATAAAACTTTTATTTTTCTTCAACATTTTCAGCACTTAAATAAGCTTCATTTTAATCTGCATACAAATCTTTAATTATACCATATTATCTTACATGCTAAAAATTATAATAATTATTTTATACCTTTGAATATCTTCTAAAAACACTTTCATCTACTTATTTTTATTATGCTTTTACAACAAAATTTAATGTTTTAGGAATAAAAAGCAATAAGTCTTGATTTGTATGTAAAGAATAACAATTTAATAATTCAATACATGCTTAATTTGGTAGAATGTTATATACACAATGAACTGTCTCTATCTCTTTTCTAGCTAAACAATGTAAATATCCATTCTAAAATAAATAGTTATGTCCTCCAGCATCTAAACACTTTAATTCAAAAGGTTAATTTCTAGTTTCATAAGCATTCTGATACAAAATTGGATTCTCTTTATTGTTATTTTTATAATTCTATAATTGTGTAAGTGAAGCCAAAGAATAAAAACATCTAAAATTAAAATCCAAAATAAACAAATTTTTAGATGCTTACATTAAAAATACTCCATGTTGAACTTCTATACAAAATACAATATGTTTTATTTTAAAGTTTAATAAACAAAATTGTTTGAATATTTCATCTGTGCTACATGCAAATCTCAATAATCCTTCTTTGAAATTTCCTTTTCTTTTTGAAATATCATAATAACAATATCTAATACCATTTTAGAATACATTATTATAATCAGGTATACAATAAATAAAATTATTATGAGGATCAAAGAAATGAAAAGAACTTCTATGCCATTGAAAATTCTTAGGTCCTTAATAAATTTTAATAACTTTTTTGCTTATATAATCATCATCTCCATAATTATATACATCTTCTTCATTATCATTTTTTACTAATTCTAAATTAAATGCCACTTCAAAAGAATTAAAATAAACTTCTTAAGTAGCTTCATCAACCTATTATTATTAATTCATGACCATAATTTTTGATAATAATTTAGGCTCTTAATCTAAGACATTCTACTATTATTATTATTATTATTTATTTCCCTTTTTAATTTCTTTTTTATCTTCAATTATTTCTAAAGGTTATTCTTAATATATATCATCTTCAATAGCAAAATTTATCACTAATAATTATGGATCTTCAAATTTAACATTTTTTATATTTCTAAATAATTCAACTTCTCTTTTTTAACTAATACTACCTCTATCATGTGATTCATCATAAACTTTTAATAAGAATGTAGATGCATTATGACTAAAGAAAAAGAATTTATCTTCATTTGGATGATAAACTACATCAGATTCTATTTTAAAAGGTTATTTTTTTCTATAAACTTTCAAAAAATGAAATTTATTAGTTTCATAATTATACAAATGAATTTGATTTGCTTTAGTAAAATATAACCATGGAGATGCTTCAGGCAATGTTTTTTCTTTGTGATATTATAAATAGGCTCCAAGTGAATCATTTTTAAAATATGTTTACATTCCTTTTTAACGAACACTTTTAATGGCATGATTAATCTCACTCATTTTAGGAATATCAAATTTATCAAAAACACTCATTTGTTCAATTAATTACATTATCATTTAAGGTACATCATTTTCAAATTGAGATGCTATTGACTATTTATAGTTGTCAACTAATCTAAACTGATTAAGCATATATATATTTACCCTTCCCATTCATCTTAATTCAATCTAAGTTCAATTAGAGAATCAAAAGTATAAATTTTATGATCAACTAGAAAAAGAAATAACAATGAAAATATTACACAATCATAAATGTAATAATCACTTTCTTATTAAACAAAATGTTTTATAATTTTCTAAAAATTATTTATATTTATATTACTTATTCTTTATGATTAGTTTAAATTGATGGATTACTTAATAGAAATTTTTTACCATCTTTTGTTAATATACTTTCAGGTCTTAGGAAACGATATGCAAATTTCTCTTTGTGTAATTAATTTAATGCATCACTCACTTATTCTAAAATTAATAAACTTTGCATTAATGTTTCTAATTTTAAATTTTCTAAAGAGTCGCTCAATGTATTGAATTTTGGTATCATTCTATCTATTGCATAAAGTGTTTTATCTGGTCTTAATTAAACATTAATTGATTCAAATTAACTTATTGTTAATGAAGTAAACCTTAATAATCCATCAGTACTAACTTTGTTCATGTTATACAAATATGATATATTATTTGATGCATTATCAAAATTATCAAAAAGAGAACGTTTAAATATTAATTATGTTCCAAAACCCTAAAATATTTATATTTAAGTTACATCTAACACTTCTGCTGTTATTGATGAACTTGTTGTCTTTAGAATTCTTGCAACTTTGTAACCTTTTGGCTTAAGTAGATTAGTGCAATGTTTCATTGGATCATCCCAATTAACTAAATCCTCATCTTAAATATCCAATTTATGAATTTGATTAATCTCTTATGTTTTTTTTTATAATTGTTGCTAAAACACTGATTATGATGAAATCGTTTAACCAGATCTTAATCCCAAATGTGCTTTCTTGGTTTTTGGAATAACTCTTTTATTAGTGGTTCCACAAATAGAACCCATATGAGATTTTAATTATAAATAATATTGTTATTATTATAATTCAAAACATTTACACATACCGAATCAATCAGAAAATTTTATAAAATAATTACTAATTCTCTAAATATAATTATATTAAATAGGAATTATTGTTTTGATATAATCTTATGGATTATTTTAATCATCCGTAATATGGCTAATTAGGATTTTGATATCCTTATGGATTCTGATTTTAAGCAGGAACCAAAACTCCACCAGTTGCAGGTTGATATTTGTAAGTATCATCAAATTGAACAGATACAGGCTAAATTAATTAATAAATTTATTATTTACATTCATAACTTGAGGATTCCATCCAGAAGGAGCAACAACTGGTTAATCATAACTTGGTATTGGCTTAGCAACTATTCTAATAGGAAGTTCTATTCCAGGAGTCTATGTACAACATAAACATATTCCATCCAATTCTCCAGAAGCAGAAAGTTAATAATTATTCATCACAACCTTTCCATTTGTAGTAGGATCCAAAGGTTTATGTTTTCCTTAATCAACCAATGATAAGGTCATATTCTTTTTTTGATCATTTAATGCAGATTAACCTGGTTGAAGTCCTGGAATCATAGAACTACCACAAGATCTAAAAATCAATCTAGTGTGACCTTATTTACTCACAATTCTTAATGTATTTGTCAGTCTACCTGTAATAGTGGGTATGCTAACTTTTGATTAAGAATTATCAATTTCTACTTGTAATTAAGCAACTTCACCAGGTTGATAAGCTGATTTATCAAACTGAAATTTGAATAGAATAGTCTATAATTATATTTAATTAAACTTACTCCCAATGGAATGCAGCAACAAGATGTTGGCTACAAAACCTACTATCCTTCATTTTAATTAATCTATTCCTTAATAGGTTCTCTGACAAGAAATTCTTATTTATATTTAATTTTATCTAATGTTTTATTTGGTGAATCTATTTCAGCCTTAACACTATATCTTATTCGACATTCTAAGTCTTTTTCTTAGTATTCAAAAGAACCTGGTAAATTTTCTTTTAATTTGAAATTAAAAGGAAATGTATATTGTCCTTATGGAATCATACTATTTATGATTTCAATAAATACCCTTATTAAAATATGTAAACTGGTATTTTATGTTGATAAAATTCATTTTCATTATCAAAATGTTCTGTAACTTATTTTGATTTTCTTTATGGAGGATTAGTTCCTGGTACATCTTCCCATACAGTTTTTGTTTCTGACCATTTTGCTTTTTCAGATCCTTTCACTTTCAAATAAATTGTCGAACTGGGGAAAGCTCCTCCTCCAACATTCAAGTAAATATTGCCTAAATAAATGATTAAATATACCTTGAACTTATTCACCTGCAAAATAAAATGGTTTATCAGTACGAATATATAAACCACTTTGTGTTGAGTGATCAAACCCATTAGCATTTTAGTTTCCCATAAGTAAATTAAATTTAATAAATGATTATGAGATTAATAAGATATTGTTAAGTATTATAATTTTATTCTTATTTTCATATACAATGGATCAAATTATATCAAATTTAAAATCATATTCATCAATAGTTGAATCAATATATATAATATCTAAACTAAATTACATGTCATAACTGTAACAATAAAATAATAATATTATAATCAATCACTTCCTCCTCCTGGACAAGCAGCTTATGGTTTTTAAGAGTAGAAATCATAAACAGATTATTTAACTTGATTTATAAGATCAATTTAATCCTTTCTTACTTAACTTGCTTTTTCATACTCTGATAAGAAATCCTTACACATTTTATCAACTGAATCTAACATTTATAAATTTCTCACCTAAAATAAATCATAAAAATATATATACTTTTTTTCCTCTTGCAGTATCTACAATAGCTGTTTATTAATTAATACACATACTCATAGCTGTTATGTGATCTCTTAATTATTATTCTGTTCTTTTTAAATTATTAAAATATTCAACCAAATGAATATTACGATCATCATATTCTTAAATTTATAAATCTTCAACATCTTAATAATCTTATAAGTTTTTTTATAATGTTTGTTCAAAATTAACAATTAATTATTTTAGTTTTTCATATACTTCTCTATATCCTCCATTTTCAGTTGCTACTTATGCAAAAATCTCAGATATTTCTACTAAAGGTTAATCATTCTTAGCCATTACTGCTGTTTAAATAAAAGCCATTGCTACTTTACCTAATTCAGCTAATGAACAATCTCCTCCTGTAAATCCATCTAATGTAAGTAATACTTATTAAAGTGATGTTAAAGCATCTAAATGATCTCTCTTTTTATTTGAAAATAATCTTGCTGCTTCATCTCTAATTCCTTTCAATATTTTTATATCACTATCTGTAGTCTATTTAGAATTAATTAAAATACTTTTTAAGATTCCAGATTATTATCTAATTCAGATCTTGCTTTATTATTTGATGTAGAACAATTTTCCAATTATTCATTTGCTCTAGAACCAACTTATTCTGCATCTTTAATATCTTTTTTTCTTAAATCTAATTCTAAAGAACATTAATTTCTTTATTAAGTATATAATTAATCATGTCTAATTTATTCTTCATCTATTGTTGATTTTAGATTATCTAAAAATGCTATTGTTGTAGTTTATGCTCCACCTGATTTTATTTAAGATTATAATTCTGTTAAGATACTTACCAAACTTGGCTTTGGATTTCCAATTATTTGATATCTCTCTAATATTTGAGAGTATCCTATTATCAATAACAAATACACAATGATTAGTTTCATAAAACGAATTAAAATATATTATGTCAAATAATAATTATATTGAGAGACATAAAAGAATACTAAATATTGTTTCTCATTTAGGTTTAAACAAGAAAAAAAGTTCCATTCCTGCATTCGAAAAGAAAAGATTATCTTAATCAAGAATCATATTTTATAAACCAGAATAATGTTAAGAAGAAGAAGAAGACTAATTAATACTCAAAGCAAAAGAAGTATTATCTAAACCAGTTAAAAGAAAGTTAATCAGATCAGAATCATAATTGGTACAAATGATCTCAGATAAATATGATATGCTTAAAGATGATCCTGAAGAAAATAGTGCTTATCATCATATCTAACTTAGCTTAATGAAATTATAGGAACAAGAAATACTAGGTCAATTTCATGAGGTTAAACAAAACCTAAGAATGTCTAAAACTTCTTATCCTGATCCTATTACAATACCTTAACAAAAAGTATAAATATAGAACATGTTCGAAAAAAAATGTAGTCAACATACTGTAGAATCACCTCAAGAAAATACAATTAGATAAAAAATTAATGATTTCTTATACAAAACAAGAGAATCCTTTAAAGATTTTTAAGCAGACGTTTCAAATTATAAAAATCTCAAATAGCATCATCGATTATATAAATAGAGAACTGCCACATATTTCTAATAATGACTTTTCGATTAAAGATTTTTATAAATTTATATATTGATATTTACATCAAATATAATCTAATTTACAGAAAGACAAAACATATTTCATAATAAGATAGAAATAATATTTCATACTAAAACATATCTTTCATATATTCTATTATACTAATCTAATTGTTACTAAATTTTATTAACCAAAGTAAATAATTAATTATAATACAATATTTATTTAATAATATAGTTTTTGAAAAAATTTATTAAAATATTAAATCCAAATAACCTAGAAAATTAATCCAAATTCTAATTCATTTCAGTTTATTGTAAAAAATGATATTGAAAATTTTTTAATTTTCAATTAAGTATTATTGATTATTTACTTTTAAAACATAACAGTGTAAGTAATTATTATCTATTATCAGTAATTCTTATTCAGATTTCAATTGTAGTTTATCTGAAGAAGAAATACATCATACTTAAAATGGAATAAGGGTAATTTTTACGTAATAACTGCAGAGATAGAATTTATTTTCACAATCAAATTAAAGAATACACACTGACAGTGGATTAGATAGGATTATTTATAATATATAAATAAGAGACTTAAAGGAAAAACTATAAAAATGGCAACAGTATTTATTATGTTAAGTCTTAGATACCAGTTCTTAATATGGAATAACAATTAAAAACTGAAAAAACTTTTATAGACACAAACTTTATATCTCATTATCAAAATATGAATTTAATATGTAGTTTTATGATCAAAAATTGGAATATTAAATATTATACTCTTCCTTTGACTATAAAAAAAATTAGGAAATGAATATATTCCTTATTTTTTATTTTCATAAAAATGGATAATTAAATCGAAAAGCTGAAAGGATATGATGAAAATACTATTATAGTTTTAGCAATGGAATTAAGTAGATTAAGAAATAATAAACATCTTTATATTAATCCTTCTCAAATCCTTAAACAAGATTTACAAATAAAACAAATAGCAATTATATGATAGTGATTATTATTAGTCTAAAACATGAGACTTCAAGATATGTAAATAGAAGTTTTATTTAAATATTAATAATATATATTCGTTTTAATAAAAAAGGATGAAAAGTCTAGTTATGATAGCTTTCATAATTACTATATCTAACTGTCTCAACATAAGATAATGCAATCCTGCTATGTGTAAGGGTACTGCTATGGAATGTATGGAGTCAAGTGAATGGTATAAAAATTGGAATATCATTAATATAGTGCCAAACAATTAACAACTTGTTTAAAAGATTTAAAGTCCCATATTGCTGAGGATAATTCCTATGATTAATTTGAGACATGCTTGAATAAGAGTTTTGCAGCAGGAAAACTCTTGGGTTGTGCAAAGACTCAATGTCCAAATTCTGCTGCTTAATTTGTTACCATGATATTTAACTCGGCTTAATCTTAGTCCTACATATCAATAGATTTTAAAAAGTCCATCATTTGATATAAAATCATCAATAAAAATTCATATTTCCTTTAATTTAAAAATCTTCTTTCATATTTCACATCCGATTTGTTATATCATTTAATTTGATCTAATAAAAATACTAATTATTCAAACTATTTGTACAAGAATAAAGGTTAACTAATTTACAAATTCTATAATTATTAAATGAAACAGAGGATATTTTAAAGATTGAGCAAAAGAAAATAAAAATAATAATAATTAATTTTAGATTAAATAATCTTAGTGATTTATTCCCTTAAAATACAAATTTTTTTAGTGAAAAGTAATATGTATTCTAGGGAATCAATAAGGTTAATTCCAATTGGTTTAAAGAAATATTTTCCCATTCCATTCTCAATTTGAAATAATTAATTTGATTTATATCTTTTAATTTTATGAAGCTTAAAAGGTTTATTTGAATAAAGACAAATTATTTTTAAAGCTTTCATATCCATTAGGTTATGAAAAATCTCTGAAAATATTTATATAAAATCAAAAATCACAATAATATAAATAAAAATGGGTTAAATTTGTATGAGAAATTGTTGTAATGAAAGAGGTCCAGACGAAGATTTTTGTATTATGTTACCTAATATATTTTCATCAAATAGTTAAATAAAATCAATTTAATAAGAAGAAGGCAGAAAAATAATATTATTGATGTAATCTAATCTATATGAAGAAATTCAATCAAAGCTTGAAAATGAATAAAATAACACTTAAGAAAGCTAATAAATTGTACTGAATGTATAAAACTTAATTATTCTAAGATATTTCTTTATTTTAATTTTAAAGAAGAAGATGTTAAGAGATGTTTTAATCTTCTAAAAACTAATGATGATTACAAAGAGAATCTAAAATTGATTGGAATCTATAGAGAGTCTTCTTTAAAATATTATAAGAAATAATTGTGTTCATTATGCCATTTAGAAAATATGGAATGTTATAGTTTAAGATGTTAACATATTTTTTGTAAAGATTGCTGGAATTTAATGATAGAGATTTAATTATCTAATTTTATACCTATTGTGAAATGTTTAGAATATTAATGCTTAGAAAGATTACCTCATTAATTCCTTGAATAGTATTAATTGTACAAAGAAATTTTGGTAAAGAGAATGTTGGATAATGATAAGAATTATACTTGGTGTCCAGGTATTGTTATTTTATTATTTTAAAGGACTAAATTGTTAAAATTTATATAAATAATAAGGGATTTAATAAAAAGTAAAGTGCCATTGTGGTGAATAGTTTTGTCCTTATTGTAAAGTGGAAAGTCATTATCCAATATCTTGTGAAATATTTAAGGAGATAACATAATTTAAAGAATCAAATTAATCTTGGACAACATTAGATATTTCTATATGTCCTAATTGTAACAGGAATATACAGAAAATTGAAGGCTGTTTATAAATATCATGTGTATGTGGAAATAATTTTTGTAACAAGTGTTAATAGGCTTGGAATAAAGAACATGGATAAAATTATTTTAATTGTTCATATGCATCTTATAATAAAAATCCATCTTAAATATTAAATTAATTGAGACAAAGGGAATCTACAATAACCAAGGAAATATTTTAATTATAAAATTACTAATAATAATTCAATTAAAAATAATATGATTATTATACACGTCAATTTTAAATGGGTTTGCATAATTTAATAAAATTTAAGAAATTTGAGAAAATGTATTAAATTATTTAAATATTTAGTGTTTAATATTTTACATATTATTTAAATGAAAAATTTAATGACGATTAATTAGATCATTATTGTGATAAATATTCATTAGAAATAAATAATTATTAGAGAATTCTATTAAATCAATTATAAGGTGTAATTATTAATGACGCAGAAATGATAAATAATGAAAAGATTGGTTTTATTGATTTTGTAAATTTGATTTCTTAAATGGATTAGAATTTGAAAATCTAAAAACATTGTTTTAAAAAATATATCATTGATATATAATTAGAGAAACAATAACAATTATAATGACTTATTAATATCAGAATTTTGTTAGAATTATATTACTTATTAAAATCGAGTAAATCTTTATAATATTTTTTATCTTAAATACAAGAATTAATAAAAAAACAAAAAGCTTGTAGGAACATATATACTGTATTTTAATTAATTCATAAAAATGTTTAATATTGAATATTATAAAACTTATAATCAAAAAAGTATAACCGATAATTAATAAATCCTGCAAATTAACAATTAGTGATCAACATTATTAATTCTGAGTTACAGATGCAAGATCTATTAATTATAACTTAAAGTTGATTATTAATATTGACATAGAAATACTGAATATAATTATATTTAAATTAATATAAAATATGGGTTGTGGTTCTTCAAATTCTTCTCAATAAGCAGCAGAACCAGAATAAAAATAGAGAAGTGCTTCACTTAAATCTACTTCAACATCAGAAATAGAAGATCTCATTGGCAAAAAAATTCCAAAAGTATCTGAATAAATATTCAATACATAGTTATTGGTCTAACCTGAGTCAAAACACAAGCAAACAATAGACAATGAAGAATAATTAAAGATGTATAAAATGTTATTATTTAAGTGATTCTTAACTTGCTTCAACTTAGCCACCTCCCGAGGAAGTTGTGAGAGCTTAAAAAAAATAGTAAAAAAAATATAGAGGTGGAGATGATGTTAATCATTAGATCCATGAGAATGTTACAAGAATTGATAGAGAAATGCAATGTATCAAACATCAATATTGTAGAATCTGACATTGACTTGATAAGAAAAAGCTTTAAAGGTCATTTCGTGTTTTTTAGTCTGCCTGAAGATTAAATAGCTTAATTAATAGAACATATGTTTTATTGCACTTTAAAAGCTAATTAATTTATTTTTAAATAAGGAGATCAAGTATCGAATTGATCTCTTAAAATAGGCAAGCTCCTATTTTGTTATTGAAAGAGGATCTGTAGAAATTATAATAAATGATAAACAAATTCGTACATTAGGAGAAGGCAGTTATTTCGGTGAAATTGCACTTCTTTATAACGCCACTCGATCTGCTTCTATCAGAACTCTAACAGATTGTGGATTTTGGTCTTTAGATCGTAGTACATTTAAAAAAACAATTGAAGAGTTGATGTTAAAAGAATATGATGAAAATAGAAAATTTATAGATGAAGTACTAAATCTTAATTAAAATAGGTTCCATTTTTTTCATTTATGACATCAGATTAAAAAGATTCTATTGCACATGCCTTAATAACAACTAAATTTGCTCCAGGTTAATCAATTGTAAATGAAGGAGATTAGGCTGATTCTTTTTATGTAATAAAGAGTGGTGAGGTTTCGGTTTTGAAAGGAACAAAAGAGATAAGAAAGATGGGAGCCAAAGATAGTTTTGGGTATATATTGAAGAATTATAATTAGAGAATAAGCTTTATATGAAAAATCAAAAAGAGGAGCTACTTGTGTTGCTGAAACAGAAGTTAAATGTGTTGCATTGGGCAGAGAAAATCTAACAAAAATATTAGGAGATAAAGTTTAAATAATCATTTTTAGTAATATTATGAGATGGAGTTTTGAGAAAAGTGAAGTTTTAAAATAATTATCAAAAATTTAACTTGAAAAAATAGCTTAGAGAGCTAAGATAGATAATTATAAAAAAGGTTAGGTTATTTTAGAAGCTGGCAAAGCTTGTGATAAATTGATTGTTGTTTTAGAGGGAGTTATGACTAATGCTAAATAAGATTCAGTACCTAAAGGATTATGTTTTGGAGATTAATTTTTAATGAAAGAAAAATATGGATAAATAATTGAATCTTAATATGAAATGGTTAGAGATGGTGTATTAGCTACTATTTCATATCAATCTCTCTTTAAAATATTTGGAGGAGATTTAGAAACTGCATTAAAGAAAAATGAAAATTCACATGAAAAAAAAATTAAATAATTAGGAGAAAGAGCAGATGCATCTCATATTTCAGTTGAAGATTTAATATATATTAAAAAATTAGGAGAAGGATAATTTGGTATGGTTTATTTGGTTAAACATAAATCAATTAATAAAGTTTTTGCTCTTAAATCTGTTAGTAAAGCTTCAATAATTGAATAAAATTTAGAAAAACATATTCTACAAGAAAAGACTGTTTTGGAACAATGTAATTTTCCTTTTATTATGGGTTTCATAAGAACATTTAAGGATGACATTTCTATTTACTTTTTAGTAGAATATATTAGAGGAATGGAATTGTTTGATGTAACATTTAGATCTATTTTCTAAGGTAATTAGAGACATGGGTTTATTAACAAAATATGATACTTAATTCTATGTTGCCACTATGATATTAGCATTAGAATATCTACATTCAAAATCAATAGTATATAGAGATTTAAAACCAGAAAATATTATGGTAAATGATGCAGGTTACATGTATCTAATTGATTTGGGAACTGCAAAACCATTAATTAAATCAAGAGCTTATAGAACTTACACTATTATTGGAACTCCTCATTATATGGCACCAGAGATTATACTAGGCAAGGGATACTCATTTAATGTAGATTTATGGAGCATGGGTATTTGTATGTATGAATTTATGTGTGGAGGAGTACCTTATGCAGAAGAATAAGATGTATCTATTTATTATAGCTAAGGATCCTTATGAAATTTATGAAGAGATAATGAATACATAATTAAAATTCCCTACTTTCATTAGAGATAGATAGGCTAAAAAATTTATGGAATAATTACTTAGTAAATAACCAGAAACAAGATTAGGATCATCATTTTCTGCTTTAAAAGCTAATCCATGGTTTGATGATTTTGATTTTGATAAATTGTTTAGCAGAGAATTATCAAAAGTTCCTGTATTAAATCTTTATTAATTATTATTTTAGTATGTACCTCCTAAAGATAGAATGATCTCAGAACATGATATTGAGAAGAAATTCTAATAAGGTAAACCAGTTGTTCAAGAAATCAAATAAGAACAATCAATGCAAAAACAAAAATACAAAAAGGAATTAGCCAAAGATCCTAATTGGGACAAAGATTTCTGATCATTTTCTTATTCCATTTTTTGACCAAAATAATTATGTCAAAATATAATCATTTAGATTAATTTCAAATCTTTCACTCTCTTATTTTTCTTATTTAATTTACATAAACATAAACATTTTATAAATTTTATTGAAATTTCTTTATAGTCTCTCCAAAAATCTTTGCAAAAAGTCTAGTGAAAATTACATAATAATTTGACTACACATAGTGTAATATTATTAAAATAGATTTGAGAAATTTAATAATAATAACAAATAAGAAATTATGGAATCTTCCAAAAATAATTAGATGTGCTGTTGAATTAATCGAGATTGATGAGAAATAAAGAAAAGATGGTTATTAATCACCTGATCCTATATATAATTCTATATAAAACATTTTGTTCTATAAAGATATAATGATAAATCAATATCATCCCCATAATTCGGTTATTAGCTATTGTTTTTGTTCTAATTCACTAATTTTTTTAAATGCCATATAAGGTGCAATATTCTCTATTTGCTTATACATATCCTGTATTTTATTTGTTATATCTCTACCCATTTATGAAGATCCACAAATATATATCAATCCTTCCATAGTTAAATGGGAATGTATTTAATTTAAATCCATAATATCTGTCACATATTATTTTACTTCCTTTCTTGAAAATGCGACTTTCAAATTACTTAAAGTGCCATTCTTCTCATAGTTTTTGAGTTCTTCTTCAAAAAAGTATTCATCTTCAGTTCTGCAACCGAATAATAAATCCATATTTCCTTAAAAAGGAGACATATCTAATTTATTTGATTCCAGATAATAATCTCTTTCTTATATCAAGGCTCTCATAGGTGCCAATCCTGCCCCTGGTCCAATTAATAACACTGGAACCTTAGGATTTTTAGGGAATGTAAATTTTGAATCTGAAAGATAGCCTTTTATTATAGACCCTTTTTTTAAAGTTGAAAAGTATTAACTGCAAAGTCCAAGTCTTTTTTCATACAAAATTAATTAACTTGCTAAAATATGAATATTTTTTGGATATTTCATATTGCTTGATGCTATAGTGAAAAATCTAGGAGTAATTAGAGGACAAATTTCTAATAATTATTCAATAGATAAATTGCGTATATTATATTTTTTAATAACAGTAAGCAAACTTTCTCTTTTTTTCTGAAAATGTTCTTCATAGAAATCTCTACCTTCAAAAGATGAAGCTTTCAATAACTCTTCTTTAATCTGTTTATTAATTGCCAAATTAGATAATTCCATTAATTGTTTTTTTGTTATCAATCCAGTAAAATCACAATATCTAATTTTATAAATAATTTTAATACTTTCTTAAATAATTTTAGATTGATATAGGATTTGGAAAAGGATGTTTAGATGTTGTAACGATCTCAAACTTCATATTTTTATCAAATCTAAGTTAATTACATAATTCATTGATATCTTGGCTAAAAATTAATAAATAAATATATATTACTCTGAATTCTATGGATAGATAGCAATATTACTAGCTGTTTTATAATTAATATTATCAGCTATAAGATCTATAAATAAAGTAGAGTTTCCTAGAGTTGGTTTCTTTTTTAATTCTTTTATTTCATTTATAGTGAAAGTAATACTAGATTTATATTTTTATGCCTAATAATCTAAATTTTCAAGTTATTCATTTTCTGGTTCATTTGTATATTTGATCTTTTAAATAGATTATTCAAACTTTTTTGGATCACATGTCTATGCTGGATATGTTTATATTAGTGTTTATTCTACTCCTGTATTTATCCAATCTTGATAATCATTTTCAGTTGTATTTTCAGCAGCATTTCCTTTACCTAAAACAAATAGTCTCTTTGCTCCAAGTTCTTCCAACCTTTTATCTAATCTAATTCCAAATTAGCAATAATTTTCATGATTAGTATTTCCAAGTGCAAATACTATATAAGACATACAATTGAATTCATCATTTTTTCTCTCTTATGAAAAAATCCAAGAATTAAATTTTTAAGCATCTGATGAGCATGATCCTACTCCATATGTTGATACAAAAAATATAGACAACTTCTATTAAGTTATTTAATCAGGTTCAAATTCACTTAGATTAATTACTAAATTTTAGATAACATCCTTACCCTTAGGAAGAAAGTTCAATTTTCTTATTTAACTTGCGAATGTGAATGCCAATCGACTTGAGTTACCAGATGTAGTACCATAATATATGTAAATTAAACCTCTGGACTCAAAAAATGAAGCAGATGATTAACCACAACCCATTTTTTAAATAAGATTTTGAAATAAATTTAATCGAACAATATTATTTCCTAATATACTAAATTTTTATTAATATAATTTAACGTAATTTAATGAGTGCACTTATTCTTTCATATCCAAAATAAAAAGCTATGTACAATCCTTAAAAACCAGCAATATTACTTGAAGGAAATAATCAAAAATGCATCAAAGAATTTAAATAATCACATTAATTAAATGTAGTTAATAGACTATATTAATAAGATGAATAAAAAAAGAATAAAATCAAATTATTGTAAAAAGAAAAAGATATTTCATTGACTCCTAAATAGAAATCATATGTTAATAAATAATCATAAAAACTTTTAAATAATTTATAATTAAAACCATTTTTACAACGATAGGATGATGTATTATAAGAGAAAAAGATGAAAGAAGAATTTTAAAAATTATTATTAATAGCACAAGAAGAAGATTAATTATAAAAAAATACAATTATTCCTACTAGATCTCATTCTTAGTTTATTAAGGATTCTTAAAATTGGGTTGAATATAAAGAATAAAAAAAATTAAATTTACTTAAAGAAATAAATACATAAAATGTATATTCATTTAAACCTGTATTAAATAAAAAATCTTTATAAATTGCTGATTAAAAAATGAAAAAAAGTAGTTTAAATTAGGTTGATAAAGTTGATCGTCTATCAATACTCATAAGAGAAAGTTTAGAAAATCAAAAAGAAAATCATAGTTATAGTCCTTGTATTAATACAAAATCTAGAATGATAGTAGAATAAAACAAATAACAAAGAAGCAAATCTCCATGGAATCGTAAATGATTCAATATATACATTTTATTATATTTTTTTTGATATATCTTAAAATATAAATATTTAAAATTAAAGAATTTATGAAATATCTAAAAAAAGAGTACAACAATTTATTCTTTTAATTAAATAAGAAATTAAATAAATACCTTATTCATTGATAATATATTTTTATTATTATTTAATATTTTTGAATAAATTACTTAAGTATTTAACATTCAAGTATAAATAAATAAATTAATGAATAATTTATTGGTTATCTTCATAATTACATTAAATGTAATAAATGCATTTGAATTGGATGTTTATAGAATGGTAGGTATTGAATAAGATCAATTTTGGAGTGGAAGTAAGATAGCATCTTTCTAATTACTCACAACTCATTGGTCAGAATTGTCATCAAGAAAAGTGGCATTAATTAAATTTTCAGAAATAAATCCTAATTCTATATCTGAATTACTTACAAACAAACCAAATGGTGTTTTGATAATTCTAGATCAAATATCTTAAGATAATGAATCATAAATTTGGGATTTAATCACAACTAATTTGGGTATTTAATTTATTAAATGTAGGTCCTAAGGGAGCAACAATCCCCATTTATTTCACTTATGAATCTGAGAATATTAATAATCATTATAAGGAAATTCAAAGTGAAGCAGAATAAGAATATTAATTATAGGTCACTAGTGTAGATCAAAAATAAGTGCTTACTTTAGAGGACTCTTATGTATAATTAATATATAAAATATTAGAATTTATTAGAAAGCATATCTAACTTTAAGTAAAATAATCCATCTACTCTAATTGTGTTAGGAATAGATGAATAATTACCATCAGCTGAAATAACAATACCAATAGATAGGTTTGGAATTTAATCATCTATCTTCTTTAAGATTGCTAGAGAGTTTAAATATTAATAAAGATTGAAGTATTAATTATTTAATTATATTAGTCGAAATATCATATTTTATATTTCAACCTCTTCAACTTTAAATGAATATGGACTTAAATAATTCTATAAGAAATAGGAATACTAAAGAATCCTATCTACTATAGACACAATAATAATCTTTGATTAAATTACATAAAATGAAAAACTATATGTTGAAGTTAGTCCTTAACTTTTAAATTAAGTTTAAACATTATTGACTGAATGTGAAGTAGCAATTGAAGAAGCTGAAACTACAAATATTTAAAATAAAGAAATAGACACTATCAGAATATATACATAAAAATAACTAAAAATATTGACTCAATAAAATTCCACAAAAGTACAAGACAACTAATAACATATAATAAATTTAGTTAGTTAATTGATTGATGGAAAACCATATGAATAATAACATTAAGATTAATTATTTGATGAAGCATTGAGTTAATTTATTAAAACATCTAATAGACATCCAGCAAATTTGTAAAAAGACTCAAAATTTATTATTGATTTCAACTCTGTAAATTTATTTTATTATAAAATAGTTATTAAGATAATTATTTAAACATACAACTAAAATGCAGTATGTTGTTAAGGATAGAAAATTCTTTACATCATCTCAGTTAAAAGGACAAATTATTAAGTTTTATTCAGCATTTATTGATTTGTATCTTATCTTAGGAGTAGGTGCATGGTTAGTCGTCATTTATGCAATAGCAAAAGTAAATATAATCTTTAATTTAGTATGTTCCATTATTTAGAAATGAATAGAATGCTAATAAAAAAAGAAAGTGATTTATTTATTGATGTAAATAAATTTTATTTGTTATAATTTTTAATAATAAATGGGAAATCTCTAAACTCTAATAAATTATCATGCACCATTGAATTATGCCTAAGATCTAAATGAATAGATAATAGATTAAGGAATGCTAGAACATCCAGGTTTAGGTTAAATTTAATTATGGAAAATTAAAGAATCTAATCTACCTATGTTATTTTCATTTGTAAAATATTAAACTACTTTTTAGCATGCACATATATTTGAAAAAGATTCATCAATTATTGAAATACATAATTTTCGTAGTTCACTCTAACATCCTAATTTAATTGAATATTTTGCATGTACAGGTTCAAAGGCTCTAAATATTGGTAATGTCTAATCTTAATAATTCTTTTTTGCTTATTATTCAAAAACTTTAAAGGATCATATTTAATCTACAAACATAACTGAGGTATAAATATGGAAGGTAATAAATAAATACTATTATCATAGATAATTGAAGAAATAGTTGATGTTATGGTATATTTATAAGGAAAGAATAGATATCATGGTAATATCAATTCTTAATCAATATTCATAACTGATAATTTTCATATCAAATTATTAGACAAAATAGGATAAAAACCAAATAGATACTCTATAAAAGATGATGTATATGATTTAGGAATTCTTGTAATTGAATTATTAACTAAAAGAAGTAATATATACATAATAATCAAGCAAATTAATTAAATTTTATTTCATAAATAAAAAATTTACATGGAAAATTCACTTTATAATTATTATAATTGGTTGCAAAGATGATAGATTAAAATCCTGATAAAAGACCAGATTTTAATTAAATTTAAAAGATGGTTATCAATAGATTTAAAGAACCAATATCTTTTATTAATCCAGATAAGATTGCAGATAGAAATAAATTAACTTCAAGAATATCAACATAAGCGCCTTTATTATCTTAAACTGATGAAATTAAATCAATTTAAGAATAATCTCTTTAAATAACTTAATTACCTTGTTTATTGTCATAAAAATGTGCCTTTCCTTCAACAATTCTTCGATGCAAAACCACTAAAAATTTATAGGATTAGCATTCAAATAATCTATCACCTTATAAGAATAAAAATTTTGAATCAACCCCACGTAAAATTTATTCAGATAAGATGCCATAATAATCTACTACTGACTATAGATAAAGTCCTTAAAGTATATATTTATTTCAATATTTAGACTAAAGACATTATGATAATTAAATCACTCCAAGGACTTTAGACTTTAATATTTAATATTAATTGAATTGATGAAATTATTATTCTAAATTTTAATTATCACTAAACCTAATCTTAAATTTGTAATCCTCTTAATTAAAATTTAATAAAAATACTCTGAAAAATCAAGTAATTATAAATTTTATGTGTTAAAAAAAAATAATTAATATATAAATTTTATGACAACATAATCTGGCCCATTTTCTACTCCTGCTTTTATTATTAAGCTTTATGATATTTTAGATGAATAAGTAGATTCAATGTATTTATATAAGAATTAGGTGTAATTTAATTAGATTATTAAATGGAGCGATGATGGAGAGTATTTTATTGTTTTATAACCAAAATTGATGGAGAATGAAATCCTATTGCAATACTTTAAACATAATCATTATTAATCATTTCTTAGATAACTTAATATGTATGAATTTATTAAAGCACGAAACTCAGAAAATTATGAGATATTTAGTCATCCCTTCTTTAAAAGAGGCAATAAGTAAGATAATATTAATGTTTTAGAAAATAATTATCATTGATTAAACGTAATCCTATTAAAACTAAATGCAAAGTAAAGAAAGAATTGAAGTCAGCTGTAAAATAATATGATTTTTAAAAATAAATGGATTCAGAATTATTATTTTTAAAATAAAGACAAACTAAATTTGAAACATAATTTTAAGAGATAATATCATAAAATGAATAAATTATGGATCAACATAAACAAATATGGTAAGAACTCAGTAATTCCAAAAAAACACTTGATGTTAAAATTGATAGAATTAGTTATTTACTTAGCTTTATAATCCAATAATAAGGAATTAATAACTAAGACTCTATTGAAATGTTAAACTAAATTTAGTGTAAACCAAAATAAGAATATTAGCCAGTTGAATCATTGTCTCCACTATTAAAAATGATGCAAAATCAAATGACTTGGAACCTAAAAGTACCAACTCAACTGAGCACATATAGTCCCGTATATAATGATTAAGGTATAATATTTCTATTAATTATAAAATATTTAGCATATTCACCTCTAGCCATAAGGAGCTAAGAAAGTCTTGATAGTTATTAAAGTATAAGTCCATTCTACTAATAATTCAAAGACTAGTGATAATATAAAATAACTTTATTAATTAATTATTAAAATCTTATCATTTTCAGATTCAAAAAATAAGAAAGTTTAATTCATATAATTATATGAATAACTGTCAAATAATCCTTATTAAAATATCAATAATTTTATGGATATAGTTGTACATCTTTTATTTGTAATTAATATTTATATTGAATTGATAGAGTCAGTTTTTATAAGTATATCTCTACACTTTGATAAATTGAAGGATTTTAATAATTAATATTATTTCTGAATAAATAAATCAGTAATAATAAAATTAATATTAATGAGTCGTTCTAATTTGAGTAGTCCTTAATAGAGAAAAGTTTAATTAAATTAAGTGGGAATTGACAGAAAATTTCGATTAAAAAGATTAACTAATTCATTAAAAGAAAACTAGTTTACGTATCTTCTATTTGGATTTAAAGCAGATGAAAGATAGGAAAATATTTATATAAAGGAGTTTCAAAGATAAATATAAAATACTCATTCATTAGGTGTTATGAATATTGCTGACTTATGGTCAAATAAATAAATTAATAGGTTTATTGAAATATAAAACTTTTCTAAAGATAAATTCTTGCTTTCATAATTGTCAAAGTAGAGAATTAGAATTAAAATGGAAAAACAAGAGTTACCAGTTTAATTACATTATGAAAAAATTAAAAGTGAAAAATTGACACTTTAAGAAATTCTCGATAAAGCTAATAAAGAACATTATGAAAATAATGATTTAAAATCTAGAATACGAAAATTGATCACACAAAAGGCTCATTCTGAAAATATTTGATAAAATAAAATAAATAAAATGTTTCAAATTCTTGTAGTACCTCCACTTCTATTTCTTAATTTTTGAGATACACTTGGACAAGGTCTAGCGTGTGTACCATTTGAATTAGGTCTCCATGGTCTTTCATATGTATCAGTCTTCAATAATTTTGAAAAAGTATTTTATTTTGTTTTTGGTTCTGGTGCTCCTTCTTCAACATATTAAAAAACTTCAAAAGTTCCTTAAAATCCATATTTATTTTTATTAGATGGTCTGAAAGGTACTCCTTTATATCTTGGACGCTTAACTTTTTATTCAATCTTGATAAAATGAATGAATCAAAATACATATCCTGCTCCATCTAATAAATTTCCATCAGATGTAAATGGCCTATTTCCATGACTTGTTGAAACAAATCTGATGGTTCCTGGTAAAAACTTACTTTTATATTTAAGTCTCTCTGATCTATCTAATTCTTCTTATCTATCATATGGATCAGGGATGTATTCATAATTTCCAAATAAATTATTTATAGTTCTTCTTCCTAAACCCTTTTTTGCAGGATTTGTTTAGAAATTTCTTGCTTAAGTGATAACTTCTCCAGATGCTTTCCTAGTATTATACTTTTTATCGTCATATTCTTTTAAATGCTCAAATTCGGAGTGTTTTCTAAATAAATATGATACCAAGAGAGGTACATAGATTTAGATTTGTCAGTAGGTTTAAAACTTTGTGGATTTGATATTGCCATTTCTTTTTCTTTATCATAAATTTATTTAGCCTTAAAGGGATCTTTGTAAGGATCACCTATTGAAATATATCCTGGGTTCATAAATAATGAGGGTTCATGATGATTTTGTATTTTTTAATTAATTAGAACTCCCTTTTTGTTTCCCTTACCTACTTAGCATTTTCTTAATACTTTTTTGAGAATCGTTATATTAATCACCAACTGAAAGAGGAGGAGGCTATGAGAATAATCCATGCCGTTCTCTAAAGATAGTAAATTTGAATTACCTTTAAGAAAGATTCTCTAAATCACGAATATATTGATCATTAGTAGGTATTCGATATTATGTAGACATTTATAATATATATATTTTTATTGTTTGTATATATGATTTATTTCTCAATGCCATAATTTTAATGGATTATTCTATTCTAAAGTTTTTTGAGCTAAAATTTGATCTGCATTTTGATCTCTTAAATAGATTTCTGGTCTATAAACTGATCTGACTGGATTTTAGGCAATTCTAAACAAATTAGTGATTTAATTTGTAGTTGATAATTTAGCCCAGACTCCTTCAACCAAATTCTTTATTTATTTTTATAATACATACATATCCAACATAAAATACTGCTATTGATGCAATAGTACCAAAAGTAAATGCATGAGCTCTTTACAATCTCAAGTGATAGGATCTTTATTTTGCATCTTGAATACTATAAATAAATAGAAATTTTTACTATGAATATTCATAAAGTTTTTTTAAAGATTCTTCAGCAGTCAAATGTGAACGATTTTGATTTACTAAGTCTTTCATTTATATATTTTTATAATTATTAACAAATATAATATATGAGTTATCATCACTATTAACTATCTATAATAGATGTAGCTTTATCTAAAGCACTAATTCCATCTAAATGGTCAATTTCATGTTGATAAATACAAGCTTACAATCCTTCTGCTTCTACAACCATCTCAATTCCCAATAAATTATAATATTTCATTACAATTTTATTTGATCTCATTATACAAGCCATTTTCTCATAATATAATTATATTTTATACATTAGGTGGAAAACTAAGGCAAAATTCATCGCTTTTTATTAAATCATTTGATTTTTTAATTATCTCTGGATTCAAGTAAACGTCAACTTTTTAAATATATTTTGCCTTTTTTCTATATTACAAATCTATGTCAGCACAAACAAAAAGTCTCTTCTCCCATCCTATTTATGGTGCTGCTAAAGCTAAAGCATCAATCTTATGAACTTTATTATATAATCTTAAAGTATCAACCATAATGCTTAGGATATCTTCCTCTTTATTAGTGAAATTGTAATGTTCATGACTTTTCTTTCTTAAAATTTCATGAGATATTGGTAAGACTTTAAAAACTTCAAATCCATTTAATAAGTATTTTTACATAAATATTTAATAATCAAAATTACCTATTATTTTCAATCATCATCAGAGCTGCTTTCTACTTTTAATTTTCTTATTCTTCTGCCCTAAATCGATTAAGAAACCTACTTGGAATTATCCACTTATTATTTTGATTCCTATTATTTTTAATTTTATTATTTAGAATTGAAGTCATTTTATTTAGAATTCATTTCACTTAATTTATCATCCTTATTTTTATATTTTGATAATATTTCTTCAACGGGATCTTTACTTTTAATTGCTTTAGACTTTTATACTTTCTCTTCAACTATTTTTTGTTCTTATTTATCATTTTTCTTTTTAGGTTTTTTCATTTATTTTCCTGGCATCTTTTCTTATTAATTAATCAAACGTATCTCTATTTCAATCATTTCTTAATAAGCCTCTAAAAATTTATCTAAATCCTCTCTCCACATAACTGATATTTCTTTATTAACCAAAGCTTCTCTGCTTTAAACTCTTTAATTTAATTCATCTTATAATTTCTCAACTTTTTCATAAGTAAGTGAAAATAATGGCATCGATAGTAAATAATTAAACTCACCTATATCAATTGATGGTGTTTATTATAATTTTTTTGAAATTTATTTTTTTTATTATTTTTCCTCATCTCCTGATACTTCTTCTACTTCACTTTCATCCTCATCAACATTTTTCTACTATTTTTAAGAATCACCAAATGCCTTTACCTTAGTAGATTTTACTTATATCAATTATGAGAAACGAGTGAATCCATACTTATCTAATTGTTTCACTAAATCAATTTTCTTAACATTTCTTATTTAAATCTCTTCACTAATTACCATCTTAATGAATTTTAATTTATTATCTAATAATTATACTTCTCTATCCAACTTAGATATAAGATAATCTTTTCTTTTATGATAAAACTCCAATCTAACTTAATAAAACTCTTCCATAATATCCTAAACATATTCATATTTCTTTATTTTATTATTTGAATCAAATAAAACCATATTGCTGCATGATGCTGGTGAAGATAACTTGAAATATTCTAAAGGATTTCTTAAATCCTATACAAATCCATCAGCCATCTATATTTCAAAATGAATTTTGTATTTAGTGTGATATTCTCTCAAATCCACAATTTAACTACCTTCCTCAGCCATTTCTTTATCTAACCATTCTTTATAATTTTTTGTCCATTTCTTAATTGGAAGTTCTCTAATAGTAATAATATCTGTGGCTTCATTACAATCTATAAGACCTTTGATAATACCATTACCATTAGGTAAATTTTCAATTATACCATCAAAATTTCTATAAAATGGAGTCATTGTCTAAAATTATTACCCATCCAATCTATTTTTAATTTATTAAACTAATTCAATTGGATTATAATTTTAGATTGATGTAGACCAACCAGTACCTATACCTTCAGCTCCATTAACTAAACTCATAGGAATGATAGGAACATAATATTCTGGTTCAACCATTTATCCATCATCTTCCAAATACTTTAATAAATGATCATCTTATTCAGGAAATATGTATCTAGTAATTTTATTAAGAGCAGTAGAAATATATCTTGCAGATGCATGATCCTTGCCACCCATAGCTCTACTACCAAATTAACCTTTTGGTAATAATAAATTAATATTATTGGAACCAACAAAATTTTATGCCATACCTATAATTGTAGAAACTAATGATAAATCTCCATGATGATAAGCAGAATGTTCAGCTATGTAACCACCCAATTAGACCACTTTAATTTCTTATTTTAAATTTCTCTTAAAACAAGCAAATAATACTTTTCTCTATCCTGGCTTTAAACCATCCATTAAAGAAGGAATAGATCTAATATTATCAGCCATAGAAAAATGAATTAACTCTTTGTGTATGAATTCTGAATAGCCTAATTCACTTTTTGTATGATCCACATATAAATCATGATTGTATTATGCTAACCATTATTTACGATCATTTGCTTTTTTTTTATTAAAGCATAAATCAATTGAATTGTCATCTTCATCACCATCATATCTAAATTATATTGTATGTGTTCTTAAATTTTTAAAGTATTCTTAAGCTTCTTGATCATCAGATGTACCTAAACCTTTGTAATATTTTATCTTCCATGTTTTAATATCTTCTTCTTAAGCAAACTTATTAAAATCTTAAACTGTGAAGAATGGTATTGTTTAATTTCCTTTTGTTGCTTTTATTAATGGTGTTACAAACTCTTTTAGAAATCCACGATATTTAACTAAAGATGGCCAAAAATGATGAATAAAATTGATAATTAAACCTTTAATATGTGAACCATCTATATCCTGATCTGTCATAATCATTACTGATCCATATCTAAGTGATTTTAAATCATTATATTATCTTTCCTTCTATAAACCAATTATTTTTATCAAATTTTCAATTTCTTCATTCTATAAAATTTATTTTAATGATGCCTCTCTTACATTCAAAAGTTTACCCTTTAAAGGAAATACACCATATCTATCTCGTCCAACTATATCAATACCTGCCATAGCTAATGCTTTTGCTGAATCTCCTTCTGTTAATATTAATGTACAAAGTTCTGAGTTCTTTTTTCCTGCATCATTAGCATCATCTAGTTTTTCAATTCCATGTATTCTTCCAGTTTTTGTACCTTTCAATTATTTATTTAATTTAGCATCTGCTTTAGCTTTGGCTTATTAAAATATAGTTTCAATAATATCTGTTTTTATTAAAGCTTTTGAGAATTTCTCAGTTACTTTAAATTTTTCTTCATTAGTACCACCAAACTCTGATACCTTAGTTGTCATATTTTCTTTTGTTTATGAATCAAAGGTTGGATTATCAATTAAGCAATTAACAAATACCCAAAGTGATTATTTAATTTGATATTTTTAAACTTCAATTGATTTGTACTTTTTATTATTATTCATTTCATTTTAAATTTCTTATATAATTTTATCTGTCACATAATTAACATGTGAACCTCCTTTTGCAGTATAAATAGCATTAACAAAAGAAACATGTTAAAATTAAGTAGGTGAATAACTTACTACTACTTCCCATCTAGGAGTAGTCATTTCTTTATCAAATATTTTTATTGCTCCTTCATTAGGTAAATATAAATCAACATATTTTTGAAAAGAATTGATTTTAATTTTTTCATCATTTAAATATACATTAATCTTATTACCATAAATTCCTGCTAAATCATATACTCTTCTGGTTAATAAAGCCTAAGTATCAGCTTCTATCTCTTTCATCCCAAATCTCTTATAATCTGGTTTATAAGAAATAATCACAAAAGGATCTTTCTTCACTTATTTAATAATTGGAATTTATTTGTTACTCATGTTATTGTTCCATACCAACTTAAAGTAGCTATTACCATCACATACTTCCAAAGTGAATTCAGTAGAATAAACATTTGTCAATTTTGCTCCATATCCATTCCTACCACCTACCACTCTTTTTTCAGTATCATCAAAATTGCTTCCAGTTAGAAACACTCCAAATATTAATTCTGGAACATAAATTTAATATTCTTTATGGATTTCAACAGGTATAGGAAATCCATCATTTTTAATTGAAATTTCATTTCCTATGTCTACTTTTATATATGTCTATTTATGTTAACGTGAATCTCTTTGTAAATTATCAGCTGCATTTACTAAAATTTCATCAAATATTTTAAAAAACCCGGGTACATATTCAATTTCTTTTTAGATCATTTTTCCATTTTATATAATCCACATTTATTCAGAAGTTCTTTATAAACTACCAATATATGTATCTGGTCTTTAAAGAATATGCTCTATATGAGTCATCTTCTTATATTACTCTTCTATAGTCTTTTGGCGCATAATAATTGAAATAATAAACAATTTAAATTTATTCAACCAGAGAATAGAGATTAACTGCGAGCCTCTTAAACTTTTTTTCTTTTGATTGATTTTGCATAAGGGTTTAAGTCTTTCGATGTTAAGGAACTTCATCAATTATTATACAGCTTTCCTCATTTAGACTACCTTCCTCTCCATCCATATGACATTACAGAGTAATCTGAGAATCACTAAACAATGAACCATGAATAGTTTCATAATCTTTCAAACACTAATTAACTGGTTTCACACAAGATTTATTAGCCATGAATTTTAAAAATGGTATTAATCTAAGTAGACATTCATCCTCATCTGAATCAAGAAATGAAGGAATCAACAATCCATTATCAGGTTATAATTCAAAAGCATTTGGATTATTCTATTAATGCTATAAATATTATACATCTATAAAAATTAACTAATCTAATGGACGATCTAAAATTGCAAGATCTTTTAAACAATTTCCATTTACAAATATACAATTTGATCTAGCATAATAATCACTTATGTGTTTATCTACATCTATATATTGTAACACTTTATCACAATATGATTCATAGCCAGCAGTAAATATGATGATCTCGTAGTACACACTCATTTACTTAAGAAATTCTCTTAAATATGGTCTTCTACATAAGTAAACATTGTATAGCACTCCTCTATGCCAAACATCCAAAATAGTTTCGTAATTGAAATTTTGATTTTCTTTAAATTCACAATGTACTAAAGTTTCATCCAAATCAAGAACTAATATTTTCTTTTTCCTTCCTTCTGATTCCTATGTAGATAGTCTATAAGATTCTTCTTGTCCTTCTCTTTTTTGTTTAAGATTTTCATAGCATTTTTTTATATATTACAAACAATTCATTTTAATTACTCAATGCTATATTGAATGATTATTTTTATGAAAATTAGAAAATCATCACATCTAATAAAAATTTATGTTTTAAGTAAATATTAATGTATAAATAAATCTTTTGAAATTCTATTCAATATTTCAGCAAACAAAAAATTAAAATTTCATCATTATTGATACTCTTAACAACTTTTGTAATCTTAATCAATTATTTGGCTTACTAAATATTCTAATATAATATGATAGGGTATTGCTGAATGTTTAAGAATACTTTAAACTTCTTTTTTTTTAAATTATAAGTTTATTATTTGATTTTTAAATTCCAATTATATTGAGATTAATAATTTTCTTATAAGATTAATCATACATAAAATTATTAACAAAACTATTTCAATTAGATAAGAATTACTATAATTTAGATAAGACTGTAATATTATTAATGATGTTCCATCCTTTAATATAATTACTATTTCATATTTGATCGATAATTGTAATACACAAAATAATAAACAAAATTTAATAAAAATCTTAAGATATTTGAAATAAATGTATAAGTATTAACTGAAAAAGTGTAAAATCCATCATTTCAAATAACAATTATAAGTATTTTTACATAATCATTTAATTAGTTTAAATTTTGAAAGATTATAAACTAGTTTTTAATTTGATTTTATAATATATAATTATGCATTATTTTGTAATCATGTTGAATAGAAAATAGTAATAAAGTATAAAATATACTCAAGAATAAAACTCATGAGTTCTGTAAAAATATTCTAAAATAATAATCAAAAATATTTTTTTTAATTATAATTAATATTATCTAAAAAAACATTATGTATGAGTTTGCAAATGAGAAAATAAGAGGATTAAATGGATCAAAAATAATTAGATAAGACAAAACAAAATATAGAGTATTAATGAATTAATTAATATAATAGAGTCATAACTTTTTTTCTGTGAATCCTCATGTTCGAATGTTGAGTCAATTATTCTAAAAAAGCCCATATTTAACACAGTTTAAGGAGATGCTCTTTTTAAGTCTTTAGTAGATTTATCTAAGATCTTCATAAATTCTAACTGTTTTATAATGGATGCAACCGCCAATCTTATGTAACTCATAGAAAAAAAGAGATCAATAATATTTAAAAATTATTCAATATGCTCAATAAACTAGATAATTAGGAATCGTACCAGAATAAATATATATAATTGAAATAGAGAGGTTACTTAAAGTTATATAAAATGACAATAAAGAAATATCTTTAAAAATTCTATATGAATTATGTGTAGCTATGAATTGCATAATAAGGGGTAAATAAGAATTTGTTTTATATGACAAATTTTTTGCCTATTTATATCATCAATTTAATTCAGGATATGATTATGTATAATAGTCTATTCAATAAAGAGAATATTTAAAGAAATAAAAAGAAGAGTAAAAATTAGGTAAATTAAATTAACATGGTTTAAGAAGAGTAGGATAAATATCAATTTTAAAGAATGAATTTTATTTAGAAGAATAATAAAGTGATGGAATTAGTAATATTCCATAATTGTTAACTATAGATTCATAATTGAAACTTCCAAATTCAAGATTATTATCAGGAAAACTATCATAATAAGTTTAAAATGCTGAAGTAGCAATTCAAGATTTATAAAAAGAAGTAAAGGATTATTATAATATGTATGCAGAGTATTTTTACGATTCAGTAAAAAACTTAATCCAATTTAAAGGTGGAAATGAGTCATTAAATTATAAATTTTTAGGATTGAAATTCAACATGAAGGAAATGCTAACACTTAATACAGTATATTTAAATGAAGAAAATGGTACTAAATTATATTTGCATTAATATCAACTTGTATCTGGATTAAATGAAAAGTAAAATTCTTTAACAAAATACTTGACATATTAATCAATGTTTAATAATAATAATAATAATAATAATAATAATAACAATAAAGAGGATCAGGTTGAAAATCTATAAGAATTTCTTAGATAAAGCCCTCCTTTATCTCCTCATTAATCTAATATACATATTAAAACTGAAACCGTTCATCAATAGACTCATAGCAATGAAGATATTAGAGTTGAATATGAAGATGGAAACTAAAATGAATATGAAAATGAATATGGTGTTCTATTAGATTTTACATTATTTGATCCTTAAACAACTGTCTAATATTAAGTATATTCAGTTAATAGTGAATGTATAGCAGGAATCAAAATAACATTTCCTGAAGAGTAAAGTAGTTTTCGATTGATTGAATTTCCATGTATTGAACCACAAGAAGGAGGTTATGATTGTCATACATATCAATTCAAACCATTATCAAATATAAAAGGATGTTAGGTTGAATTAATATAGATGACACCAAGTAGGAGATTTATTAAAAATTTCATTTTATTGGTTTAAGATTCAGATAATCCTTAAGATCCAAATAAATTAAAGTTTTTTAAATTTGATTTCTAAAAAAATTAAGAAATGGGAGATATTTAAAATCTACATGATTAGATCATGCCTTATTTTAATGATGACTGGAGGAAATCAAAATTTCCTTTATATGTTAATTTTCTCTATACTCATCTTCCATAAGCATAACAATAATAGATTGAAACACAATTAAAAAAGATTACATTTGCTATTAACAGTATGTTTCCATATGTTGAATATCTAGAAAATAAAAAGAAACTTATGTAACTTGATTTAATTATTAAATAGTAATCCAAATGTATTTGAGATGTATGTATAATAACTAGGTAGATATAAAAATAGAGATTAGTATTAAAGGACAGTATTTATTCAGATTGAAAATTGGTAATAAATTTTACAAGAAAGAATCATAGATAGTATACTAGATAACATCATTATTTTTATTTGGAATGGTGGATTTGAGAATAGAAAATTATAGTGATTATTTATATTATTATTATTCTTTTTAAAAAACGGTTTATATATTATTATTTTTATGAAACAAATAGTCATACTCTTTGTTTTGATTTTATTAACAACAGCTTCTAGTGGTAACTAATTTAAAATAAATAATAGATCTGCTAAAGTCAATATCTAAATTTGCTGATGATGGAGATAATTCATCCAAATTTGCTAAAAGTAAAGTTTCTCCATTTTCTGAAGAAGAATCAGAAGATTACGATAATGATGACATGAATACCTCAAAGAAAATATCATAATAAGATGAAGATGATGAAGAGGTTGATGTAATGGCTTAATTGAAAAGTTACTAACAGAAACTTTCTACAAATAAAGATGTTAAGCCACCTTAACTCTAAAAGAAATAAGTTCAAGTAATTTCTGAATCAGAATCTGAATATGATGATGAAGATGACAGTGGTAATATGTGGAGTAGAGGAATATCAAAAAAATTAGCTTAGACTGAATCTAAACCATTAGTTTTACCATTATAAACAGCTAAAGAATAAATAAAGAATGATTTCAATCAATTTACAAGCTTAAAAATGCCAGAAGTATAATAACGACCTTAAGAAACTAAAATACAAGAAAAAAATCAAAAAGTATAAGAGGAATAAGGAAAAGATCATTCAGCTGATTTTGAAAAAATGAAATAAGCTTAATTAGAAAAATATAGTAAAAGATTTCATCTTGATGAACCTAAAGAATCTAAAAGTATGTATGAAGATGATAGTTTGAAAGAATTCATGCCAAAAATCAATTTTCAACCTATTAACATATAAGAAACTAAAACTTAATAATAAGTCTAACTTATTCCAGAAAAAAAATAAGAAAATAAACAAGATGAACCTGAAAGTGATTCTGATGAAGAAGATGACATGGTATAAATTAATAAAAAAAATTCATCATCCAATAAAAATAATAATAAAATTTCTAATGATTTATAATCTACTTCAGATGCATTCGATTTCTTTAATCAAAATAAACAATAATAGAAGTCAAATAAAAAAAGTTAAAAAATTGAATAATCAGAAGATGAGGATAGTGTGAATGAGTAAGAGCAAGATAATGATGATGAAGATGAAATTTATGTGTAATAGGTAAAGAAAAACAAAAAATAAAAGGAAGATAGAGAAGAATAAAAAAGAAAATAAAAATAACTTTAATAATAATAAGAGGAAGAAGAAGAATAAAGAAGAATCATGTTAAAAAAACAAAAGGAATAAGAAGAATTAAAATAATAATAAGAAGAGGAACAGAGATTATAAGAATTATCCAAAAAATAAAAAGTTAAAAGAGATTTTGATGATGATTAAATTCCTTAAAAAAAGAAATCAAAAAAATAGAAAAAATAATTGAGTTTAGAAGAATTTCAATAATCTATGAAATTAGATGAAGAATAATCATAATTAACATCTTTTGCATAAAAGGAAGCAAAAGAAAAGTCAATTTTAGAATAGAAAACATTTACATTAGTAAAAGAGACTCCATAATAAATTTAAGAATAAAAAGTATTTAAATTATAAGCAATTCCTAAAAAATAATAATAATTTATTCAAGAAGAAGAATCTGAATCAGAATCAGAAAGTGATAATAATGAAGATTTTGATGCTCCAAAATCAATAAATTGCTTTGAAAGTAAGAACAAATTTATATAATAAATCTGTTAATTATGTTAGACTAAAGTGGCTTATTAGGTTAACTAATAAAATTGGTAGAAGATTGGAATAAATGAAGGTTTCAGGTATTTATTAAAAATTGTATCATATATCTTAGGAATTTAGGCAATCCTTTGAGCCGCTGATCGAGTTCACTTTCAAAAGCATAGGTGAAATTGGATCATATTATTTAAGTTTTAAAGATCATACTGTCTGTTTAAGTGCTGAAAATTTAACTAAGATAGTATAATATCTTTATTAAAATATAGACTAATGTTGATAAAGTATTAAAACATTTTACTGGAAATTAATTAGCTGATTATAATTCCCCAATTGATATTCCTACTAAAAGTTAACCAATTAACTTTTTATTGAGTGCAGAATATGGTAAATAATAGATAATAAAATTAGATTCTTTATTAAATGGATTTTCATGCAGAAGATTTTAAATAGCTATAAAAACAGATCTAAAATATAAATTAAGTAAGAAAAATGATATTAATGTAAAATAAATAATCTTTTATAAAAATAAGGTAAATATAAAATTAATTAATTAATAGTTAAAATTAAAATATATTGGTTTGATTTAAATAAATGGAGTTGTCCATTAAGCCAGTTTTGATTAGGAAGAAGGAGGAGAAGTTACCAATTTAATTGTTACTCAATTAAATTTACCAAAAGATCAAGGAATAATAGCCAGTTTGGTTGATAAATATATTGATGAAACTTTTGTTGCTGACTTGCTTAAGAAATCAGGTAATCTATTCTTTTTTAATTTTAGAATAAATGATGGCTGATTTATAGATTTAGACGCATATTAAAAATGATGATATAGGACTTACATTTAATTTGAGAAAGAGGAAGGGAAAATGATGAATTTAGATTTATTTTAAATTGAAAAATAAATCAATATCAAATTTCTTCTCCAGCTTATTATCTTAAAGCTAATTATTCTCTTAAAGTTCTTAATTCCTTGTTTACTAATCCGATGGTTTATGAAACAACATCTCTATCAGAAGTTCTGGCAGCTCTGGAATCTTAGTAATCTTAAACGGCTTCTTCACATTAGGTAAATCTATCGTTTCTGTCAGCACTAACATTCTCAATTCTTTAGTTAGTAGTATCTAAAGAAGCTTCAACTTAGGCAATGACATCATTTAAAGCAGCCAAATCTGATTAAGCGTTTGCAAGAGCAGTTCCTGCAACTGTAATAGAAATGACAACAAATTTTCTTGATTTCTTGTAGGCTTAAACTCTCTTACCTTCAGCGAATCTTAATAAAGATAATGAATCAGCAATCTTGGCCAACAATTCATCAGCTAAATCAATGATTTTTGAGACTGCTCCAGCATCAGCTAATTATTCAACCTTGGAAGCAATTGTAGCAAAAGCTTTGAATAATTTGCTATATCCCTTTCTGTGTTAGAATTTAGCAGTTTTCTTAGCTGATTAAGTGAAATGCTTTTAGATCATGCTAGCAACCTCTTTTGTAAATTTGTGGGTTGATTATTTAGTGGCTTTTCCTTTTTAGATGAAGGATTCGTGTTCAATGTTATCAGCAAAAAGTCTTCTAGCTTCAGCAATAATAGCTGTGGCTTCTTAGTGTTCTAATACTTTCTCTTCAAAGTCAGCATTTTCTTCAGCTCTTTAAGCATCAAGTTCATCTAAATCTTGTTAGTATCCCTTGACTTCAGCTTATTTTTAAGCAACTAATTCTTATAAGATTCCTCTTTATGGATATAATTATCCTTCTAATCTAGCTTCTAATTCAATCTTTTTTCTATTAGACTCAGCCAAATCTTTGTCAAAGGCAGAAATGTCCTAAAATAGTATGAGTCAATAATCTTACAACTGTGCATGCATCTTAGTATTTGAGATTTCTGGCATCATCTTCTTTTATTCGGCAACATATCTATCTTCTAAATCAGTCAAGGTTTAGAGTAATCTGTCTAATGGATCTCCTGTTTAGAGTTCGAGCCAGATAGTATCAAATAATGTTCTGCCAAAAGTTGATTTGTAAATCTTTTTAATTGTAGCAATAACATCAGCTTAAGTAGATGAAGCTAATACAATAAGAGTTAAGGCAAAGATAATTGTCTGCATATATTATATTATTGAAAATCAAAAAATTAGTCGTTTTTATTTTTCCATAAATGATGTCTTATTTCAATCAAATTATCTCTTTCTGACTAATTTTATTAAATTATAATAATTATTCATTAATTAATTAGCATGTACTTTAGTTTCTTTCTAAAGTATTTTCTTATCTATCTCATAACGGCTAAATTATTAATCATTTTTTTATTTTGGTTAGAAGATATTAAAAAAATTTCTTCTTAAACTATCTCAAAAATTGAATAATATTATTCCTAAAATTCATTTCTTAGTTTTTTTAAATCAAAGGCCGCTTGTCATTAAACAAAATAATGAAATTTAAAATAAACTTGATTATTTGTTAATGTTAAGAAAGAAAAAATAAGAAAAATGAAAATAAATCAATATACAATAATCATAAATATATTATTTGAGTAAATAATTATTTAAAAAGAATCATTGAGGAGAATAAATTTTCTTTGATAATTTTATTGTTTAGAAAAAATTTAATTAAATTTAGTTTTATTGATATTTTGATCAGTTCTTGAAATTTTTCAACATATATAATTAACAATTAATTTTTTTATGAAATTTTTGATTGTTAATGGATTTACTGCAACTGCTTCTCATTAAAAGATCTTTCATCAATTTAAATAATAAATATTTAAGGTATTAATTCAAAATATTTAGATTACTTAAGCATAGAAGGAAGTCGCTGATATTGACTTTGATTTTATTGAACTTGATAGACATAATTTAGAAGAATATTTATATGAACCAGAAACATCTCACATTAAACCTGAAAAAGGGCAGAAATTCGATACATTAGATATTGTTTTTATCATAGCATCCCCAAATACAAGGCCTTGGAATCCAAATATGAGAAATGTATCAATATATTTACTATTATAGATTATAAGTCTAATAAGAATGTGCATTAAAACTAAGAAACTACTTTTTATGACATCATTTGGAGCTCAAGCACTTGCTTATTTGTGTGCTTCCAATATTTCAACAGTAAATTTATCTCATTAAATAATAGCATATTAATATTACTAATGGAAATGGAGAAGGTAGTAAATTAGTTGATTTTCCAAAGTATACACTTTAAGCATTAAAAAATTCTCATGATGATTATTTTTTGGATACTACAACAGGAGATTTGTATACATATAACAAAGTTACAGATGAATGGATTCCTAAATGTAATATTGGAATTCACCATAGAAGAGATGCAATGGAATATTAATCTATAGGTAAGTATATTGTAAAATCTCCTGCATATAAACCTAAATAAACAATGCTTAGCAATTAAACAGAAATGACTTGTATAATTAAAAAGCCATTTTTACATTATTGGTTGTTTACAGATGTTAATATTGAGTTTTAAATTAAATAAACAAATACTTGGGATATACATACAATCACATTTACAAATCCAGAAAAAGTATTTAAATCAATTAAATTTTAGAGATTTTAATCATTAGCTGAAAATAATCTACGAGGTCCTTTAATCTTATAATGTGATAATATAATAGCAATTTTATTCGAATTAGATTATAAATATAAAGATTAAATTAATCTTTTATCAAATTTTATTGAAAATAGTATCAAGATAATAAGATATTCAAATATATATGTAATAAAGTTTAATATTTATAGAATACAATTAGTATTACTAATGAAAAGTAATATTTTCCACCCAAAGGATTAGAAAATATAGAATTAATATTCAATTAAGATAAAATTAAGAAATCCTAACATTTATAAGAGGTGATGATGAAGAATTAACATAAAGAATATGTGAGAGAATATCGCAAATTAGTTAATAAGGCAATTCTAGATTCAGAAAAAGAGAGAGATAAGATATTACATGTTGGATTTTCAGTAAAGAAAAATCGTTTACCAGAGTATGTAATATACTATATAGAGTTGTTGAATAAAATAATATACAATAAAAAACATTGAAAGCAAGTCAAAGGAAATCATTTCTTGCTAAAAAAGAGAAATTTTATTTAAATTTTGAATCTCTTAAATTTAATTTAGATACAAATCAAAGTTATAAGAATCCTTCAGCTAGTCGAAAACATTTAAAATTATTGACTGAACCAAAAGGTGTGACATTTTAAATGAATTAAGAGCCTGAAGATACAGGTTTAATTTAAACTCATAGGGTTCTTTCTCAAGGGGAAATCAGAAAATAATTACATCCTTCACTAAATCATGAATTCTTGATATCTCAAAAAATTTGGATCCCTGGATTCTTGAAATAAAATAAATCTAAGATTTATTTATCATAACCAAATTCTGGTAGATAAACATTTTAATAATTATTTGATTGATTAAATTGTAATAGTTTTTAATAATTATATATATTTATATATGAACATTTATTATCATTATTCATGACAAACATACTCTAACACATATTTAATTTGTTTAGAAAAGTTATCTTTTGTAAAACTATTTAAATAATTCTCCAAATCTTAATATATAATTTAATTTTACTTTAATATCCTATATTTATTGGATCTAGAATTAGATTTGATAGCCATAATTAATTTTTGTACTCTTAAATCAACTACAACAAAAGAGTTTGAAACTTAATTCATAATAAATTGAATACTTCTTTTGGATCAAATAAAGATATTGCAAATATGATATCAGAATTGGGTTATAAAAATTTTAGTATTTTTGGAAATGCTACTGTTACCATAAAACTTTATTTAAAAATTGATTGTAATAATAATTTTCCTTTAGAATAGATTTCAGAAATCTTTTATTTTATCATAGCTGTGTCTTATTCTTCTCCAATTACACTTTCTTAAATTAAAAATTAAATTGAATTAACAAATATTGTTGCTATCTATGACAACTAAATAGCTTCTTCATTTATTTATTCATCACCCTTCATAGATTTAAAATTTAGAATATCTTTTAAAGTATTTTCAGACAATTCAAATAATTATAAAAATATTTCAGCTCCACATTTGTATGTTAATGTTTCACTATGTTCTTAACAAATTCCTTCAAGACATTCAAAAAGATATCTTTTATATTTCATTAAATTTTAGAATAAAGGTCTATATACTGTAATGAGTTATAATTATTTTTTAAATAAGTCCAAGCAAACATTAGATTAGTAGATTATAAAAAATCCTTAATTTATTTATTTAGAATGTGAAATTTGTCCCATCACTTTCATTAATTTTGCAGCCATTTTCAAAATATTATCTTAAACTTATTAACCTTAAGATAAAAATGCTTAAGCTTATGCTAATAAATGATTGATTGAAGTAATGAAATAATTGGTTGCTTGTCCATATATCTAATAAAGAACTAACTATATATTTTCATTTGATAATCTTGTATTTCTACATTAAAATATATAAATTACTTGTTTTTGAAAATTGAACATATCAAAGATGTTAATCCAATTGACGAATCGAAATCTGTTACAAAAATTTGAGTATGATCTGGATGTAAAATTTGTGATATATCAGGTAAACTAGATTACTTTTATTAATAATACACAATTCGTAAGAATATTCTATATATCTTATCTAGTGATAATTCATTAACTAATCCAATCATGTCCCATATGTATTTTAACATATTTATTTTATTGATTTCAACAGCTATTGACTTCTTAATCTGCTTATAAATGTCCACTAAGGCTGGAACATAATCATCCATTTGATCATCAACCCAAACAAGTGAAATCAATTAATAAACTAATTTTCTCTTTTTAATATTTTAAACTTCATTAAAACAAGTGAAATCCATTTAGAGAAAGAATTATCTCAACATATTATTTACTGAACTTGCTTAAAATATCCTTCTATCAAGCTACCTCTTTAATCTTTTAATATAAATAGATTTTTACTTTTCATATGTAAATTACAATATTTAAAAACTATATTCTACCAAATCAGGATCATTCAAAGTAAATATTTGATAACTTAATTAAATCAACTTTAATACCATTGTTCTAGACAGCTCTCCATAATTGCTAAATAATTCTATTAAGTTCCTAAATCACGAAAAATACTTGTTTATCTATACTAATATAACATTAATTACAATTAAGATTAAGAAATAACAATATTTAAGTTTTCATCATAATATACACCTTCTACAGTTTGTGTAATATATGTTTGGATAAATATTAAACTACAAGTGTGATACATTTTTAAAATTTATTTCTTTTCAATATCTTATTAAGTAGCCATGACTGGTAAACTTAATTTATTAGAAAAAGATATAATTTCTAAAATATATATGATTAATTGTCCAAACTAAGGTGGTCTTTCTTATTTATTTTATTGGCCATAATAATCATATCCAGTTAATAACTCTCCTTATGTTGGACTTATTACAAATGCTGATATTAAACATAATAGTGAACTGAATTTTTCTAGAAATCAATAAATAAAAGTACAAATTGTAATCAATTATTCTTGCTCTGCCATTTGATTAATTTACTAAAATTAAAAATAATTAATACTTAGATTGGTATTTTTTTAAATGATTCCAAGAGTAAATTTGTACATTCAACAGCATTTTATTAATAAACTTAAGCACATAATCTAAAGCTTTTATCAATAAATTTTTTAATTTTTTTAATTGGAATGCTTGTTGGAATATTTGCAAAAGGATTTCCATTATAGAATGCTTGAATAAGGAGTTTAAAGCTTAAATTAATAGAATTTGATAGATTCAAATATTATGTTGGATATTGTTATTTATATGAATTAATTTATATCTAAAATTAATTCCAAACTTCTTGCAATTTTATAAATACACTATTTGGTTATATCCTGATTTAATAATTACTTAAAATTACTTGATTCATTTGATTAAATTATATTACACATTAATCAAATAAATCTTAAAATTTATTCAATTTTTTTAATGTAAAGTTAGACTAGTTTAAGAAATATATTTACAACTAATTTGATTGCAAATATACAAATTTCATTACAAAAATCGTAATTTTATATGTATATTTAATGATTATTTAATATATATAGTAAACCTTCCCATAGAGTTCTTCTCACTTATTATTTCTATGAACGTTTTCCAAAAAATAATGAAAGTCTTGCAGCAGCTATTCTCTAAACAATTGTTATCAATTTAATTGAAATTGTTTAATCTAAAGTATAAAAGTCTATGATAGATCTAAAAATTTCTTAATTGAGTTTTAATTCAGTTATTATTGAAATATAAGAGTCAGGAAACTAAATTAATGTTTTGATTTAGAATTATTACATTTATTAGAAAGTTATCTTTTTGATCTTGATCTGCCTCAATTTCATAAAAGCTTAAATTAAAATTAAAAGTCATGAATGAATTTATTAATTAGATTAATGTATCAATAAAAGCTTTATCTTCTTAATATAATTATAAAAAAGTTTTGTTTTACAACTAAATAATAATTAGTTTATGAGTAGCTGTTAATAAGTTGCTTAAAGATTACCTAAATTAATTAATTAAAATTTGTACTTTAAGAAACTCATCATTATTTTTCTAAACTCTAAATAACTAGAAGCATAATAATATGATCTAACACAAATTAAGATGTTTTCAAATAATTTACATCCTATAGTTAAAATTGAGAAATTCTGACTATTAAAAAATGTGTTAATCAATTTTTCTACAAGTTGATCAGAGTTTGTTGTATCTGTCCAATATTTTCTTATTAAAAATGCCAAAGTGAATAGCACCTAATTTTATACATGATTTGGATGATTTAAGAATCTTGCAAAATAATTGATAACAATTTCAATATGAGTTATAACGATTATTGTATGATATTACTTTTCATTACTAATATATTAATATCTATATTACTTTTCTAATTCTTCAAAAGTTGATTATTTTTTTTATGTAGGTTGAAGTACATTTATAAATTTTGATCCTTAAGCAACTGATTTTTACAATAGGGAATAGAGAACAAAAATAGTTTCAGGTTTTTGATCATGTTCAACAATACTTCTAAAGAGAGGCAAATTATTCCAATCCAAAATAAATGTTTTGAGTTACTCAATAATTTACTAGTTTTTCTAAAGAATTAATATAGATATCAAAAGATACCACAAAATCACCAGCTTATAGTACTTATAGAGAATAATTATGAATTGTTTATTAAAGTTCTTATGTTGAATACATTTATTAATTTAATTTATATGAGTGAAATATTATAGTAAGAAGATGAAATTTAATTAGATCAAGAAAATATAAGAGAATATTTAGATGATGAAATTTTAGGATAGATAGTTGAATAATATTAACATTAAGGATTAACAAATTAAACAATAACATAATATACTTAATTAGTATCAAGAGGTTGCTAATTAGTAAATATAAATAACTTATTCTTCAGTTGCATCCATTATTACCTAAGCTACCAGATTAAAAAGGAGTTAAATTTATAAGTTAACAAGAATTACTCAATTTAGATAAAACTTTGTTAGGAAGACTTGAAAGTGATTAAAGATTTAGAACATATAGAGAGAAGATAATGCGTAACCATTCATAATCTTATGTGAGAAAATTTAATCTTACAGATAAGAGTCAATCAATTTTGAATGATAGTTGTTTAAAAGATTAGATTGCATTTTAATTGGATCATAATAAGACTTAATTAAAATACTAAGAAGAGTAGTAAAAGCAAAATATAATGAGAACAACATTTGCTAGATCAAGATCTTATAATTATAATAAGTTACCAAAAATAAAAACATATCCTGCAAAGATTGATGAAGAAGGATAAATTATGCCAGCAATAAAAGCAAAAGTTATATAAGTTCATCAACCAGAAGAAGAATTTACAATACCTACTCACTATTTAGGATGGATAGATTCTTTTTATGGAAAATGGAGACCTTAAATGAGAGAAGGAGCTTCTTTGAATAATATATCTGGAAAATTATATTTGTTTGGAGGAATAAGTAGTTAACCATTTAATGATGTTGTTATTTGGGATCATAAAGAATGGTTCTAACCTCAAGTAATTGGAGAAAAGGCTCCTTTTGGTAGAACAAATCATATTTATTGTGTTTATAGAAGGAATATCTATATATTTGGTGGTGAGAAACCTTATGATGGTTAACAGAAAATAAGGGAAAGCACTAATGATTTTAGAATGTTTAATACAGGTAATTTGAAAAATATATAAAATAGAAAATAATGAATTTAAAGCATTAAGATTTGGAGGAGAAGTAATTGAAGGAAGAAGAGGAGCATCTGGTGCTATTGTAGGAAAACATATTATTATTCATGCAGGTATCAATACTAAAGGTAAATATTTAAGTGATTTATATCACTATGATATTTTGAACAATAAAATGATTTTAAGTTAAATTGAATAGAATGATTTCTTTAATAATGGAATTGCTTTTCATACACTCATTTCTGTTTTTAGTAGTTCAAGAAATGTTTAAGTATATAAAAACTATATGGATCCTGAAGAAATGAAGGAAATCAAATATAAAGTAGAAGGAGTATATTCGTTTGGAGGAGAATCTAAAAATGGAACATTGTATTCTGGTTTATATATGCTGAATCCTTGTACTCGTCCTATGTAATGGTCTTTAGTTTCTGGCAAAGGAAAATTACCAAGTAAAATTAATTGAAATTAATTATTAGTCTCTAGATATAAACATTCTGCTTCTTATTGTGAAAGATAGGGAATTATTATTATTTATGGTGGCATAAGTGAATCATCTACTTTCTTAAATGATTGTCACATTTTTAAAATTGAAACCTAATCTTGGAGCATTGTAGATTTGGAGTATAAAGAAGGTAGAGCTGGTCATTGTTCTGTTGTGGATGATCATAAACTAATGATTTTTGGAGGCTATAATGAAACTGGTTTTCTTAGTGCTGAATTTTAGATTCTAGAAATCGATTCTATGATTGCCTATAGAAATAGAAGGTAAGTAAATATATCTAATCATCTTAAAACAAATCCTTTATAATTATCAACAATAAATTAAAATGTCAAAACAAAGTAGTAAAATTATACTGATAGAATGACTAAAATTAGAGAATAAGTTGCCAGTCTTTCTTATAATATTAAATCTTTTATACCTAAACCTATCATCAAATAAATATCTGCTAAAAATCTTAACAAAATTAATAAAGAATAAATGTTATTTTCTTAAAGATTGAATGAAGAGACTTCTGATTTAATCAAAGATTTTGATTATGTAGAAGAAATTAAAGATGAAATGAAATCATCTTCAAAATTAGATGGTTCTCCACATTCAAATAAAAAATTTACTGACAGGCGCTCAATTTCAATTAGAAATTTATAACCATTTTCCCATTGACTAGTATTAATTTATATGTTTAATCAATATTTTATATTTAAATTTGAAAATGACTACCTCGTGGAATCCCTATTTCATACCAAAAGAAAATTATCAATAATTGAATGTAAAGCATACAATCAAATTAGAATATTTCCTTTGTAAGATTTGATTAGAATTCCTAATAGCCTCAATATTCAAAATCTATATTATAGCATAATAAAATTTAGATTCAAGTAATTTTAATCATTATATTAGGTAAATCCAAAACCTGAAGAAATAAAATATAAAAGAAATAAAAAATAATCCAGTTGTATTCCATTTTAAATTAACATTCCTTAACATACTTCTAATTCAACCTTAACAAAAGTTGCTTAACCAAGTTTACAACTAATCTTACATAAGCCAAAACTGAATGAAGATAATAATTTAAAAGATTCTGCTGTATGGGAAAGAAAAGATTACTAAAATCCCTAAGTTACTTTTGAATCCTTTCTCAATTAATAAAATGTCTCAAGAAATAATTCCATTGATAGCAATAATAAAACTTAATTCAAAAAAAATCATAGACAATACAGTCATGTTGTTTAAGGTAATTCAGGAACATATTTTATGATTTCTAATATCCCTTAAAATAAAAATGCTAATAACAATACATCCAATTCTAATTATTCTAATTGTGATAAGTAAATAATAATGTATATATATCTAGTTGCAATTCTCAAAGAGAAGAAAAACAAATAGAAAAATTAAATATTCCTAAATTTTTAATTTAAGATAATTCCTCTAATTAATTAAGTGAAAGAACTATTAAAAAATAAAGTCCTAATAACAATTTATTGAAACATAAGAAAAATACAAGATGCATATCAATGGGAGAATAAAAAAATTTAGGACTCACTCTAGAATGTGATGAATCTAGCATAACAATATTAAGTGATAATGCAAATTCAACAAAATCAAAAAACATTTAAATGAATTAAACTTTTCTTTAAAATGAAAATGATAAAGATTCATAAATTGGTGGATTTTCTTCTGAAACTTTATAAGCACTTATGTTATAAGAAATAGAACACTTTCCAAATCCTGATTATATGGTTTCTATTCAAACACAAATAAATCCAAAAGTCAGGGCTATTTTAATGGATTGGATGATTGATGTTTGTTCAGTCTATCACATGAAAAGAGATACTTATTATTTAGCTGTGGCATATGTTGATAGCTATTTATCTAAAAAATCTATTCCAAAAGTGGATGTATAATTATTGGGTACAGCCTCAATGCTTATTGCATCTAAAATGGAAGTATATTTATTTGTTATATTTGAGGAAGTAGAGGCAAAACATGTTAGTGAGTTTGAAAAAGCAGCCAATCATGGTTATACTATTGATTAAATTTATCAAATGGAGATAGATGTTTGTACTGTATTGTAATGGCATTTGAATTTACCTACAATTAATCTTTGGATTGAATTCTATACTAATTAATGGGATAATTTTATTACAGATGTTCAAAAGAAATTCAGAGCCAATAACACAGCTTCTTATAAATGTAATTGATTCTATTTTTATTTTAAGTAATGTTAAAATTGCAGGCATATATTGATTGTTGTTATTTGGATATTTAAACTTTGAATTATAAATCAAGAACCTTAGTAGCATCATTTATGTATTTGATCTTGGCTATAGAATATTAACAATTTACTAAAGAATAAATATATTATGAAATTCCTAAGACTCGTAAATTTATACTTGTTGATTGTAATCCTTTATTTAATTCATAGCTTAGAAATCATTTAATAAGTTATTTACTGAATTTGTTTAATTTAGTTTTGGTTTCAATCTTGTAGATCTAATAGAAGTTATCAAATATGCAGCAAAATTTATTATGCTTGATTTTAAATTTAGTGACACTATCCAAGATAAAATCATCTAAGTAAATATTTTTATAAATTATTTAGAGACATGAAGACTTACTTATATACTAAAAATATAATTAATTAGGACTTTTATATATTGAAAGCAAACTTCAAAAGTGAAATATGTTTAATTAAATTTGTTTTTGTTTTACTTTTAAAAAATTTAAGATGTTTTTTTAATCTAATCTTTGATTTTTATGTAAATTTTAGATATTTTATACTGAATATAGAATATAATCAGAACATTGGAATATTTAGAAATATTATAAATTAATAATAAAATATTCTTATAATCATATTAGATGAACTAAAATGATGCAAATTTGGGATTGCTATCCAACAAATCTAATGCTAGATATAAAGAACCGAAATAAAATAATGATGATTTTGAAATTTAAGATTAAGGAGATGATTAGGAATATGTCTCATTAGATGATGCTAGTAAACTTTATTTATTACCTCTTAGAAGTACAACATGCTGAAGTTATTTAACCAAAATAAATTGAATAACCAATTGTTCCTCCTTAAAATAATATATAAAGTTAGTCAGAGTTTTAAAAAAATTAGAATTAATAATAGGCTTATCAACAGTAATAGTTTCCAAAACAATCATAAATTCAGTATCAACAAACCCAAATTAACTAATAACAAGTATTTAAATTTAGATAATTTAGAATTAGTATAGTTAATATCAATATAATCCATATCAAAATCAATAATATTCTTAGCCTTTAAACTAAATATATAATCCTGTTTCTAATGTATTCTAATAAACAGCAATACTCATTGACAAGAGTATTAATCAAAGAACGTAATTATTATGTCAACAAAAAGACAAGCTTATTCAACTTGCATTCATTGTAAAACTCCATAGATGATATAAGATGAAAAACAACCATTTATGTGCTATAGATGCTAATAAATTAATAAACCTAATTTTGGTTATTTTCAATGTGGATCCTGCAAAATTACAGTCATGTACCAATGCGGATGTAATATCTAAAAATTTAATTAGTATCCAATTTAATCAAATGCACAAAATGCTAAACAATGAATTATGTCTAACAACCTAATCTTCCAAATACGTTATAACAATATCAATAATCATAATAATAACAGAATTTACCATAATAACAGCAACAATAACAAATTAATAGTTCAAATTCATAATTATTTTAATCCTAAAATTAATACACAAATCAACCAAAATTATATGAGTATTCACAATACTAATAGTCAAATAAAGAATAAAAATCTATTGGTAGAAACTAAGTTGATCCAATGTACCAAGAAAAATGATATAAATTACATATTATTAAAAATTATTTATTAGTTTATGTAAAACTAGGAATTTGATATCGAAAGTCTGTCTTAAAACCTTGAAGGGATTTCAAATGATTATTAATAACTAATAAAAGATGTATAAAATATTCTGAGAAATGAAATTGTGGATGAAGATGGATTGATAAAGTTGTGCCAATAAGGATTTACAAATTAAACTAGTAGATTGCGAGGAATAATTTGGAGATTATTGTTGGGGTAAAAAATTTACTTTTTGAAGGTATTTCCCTTTGAATAGAAAATATTGGACTTAGGTGATCATTAAGAATAAAGATAATTATGAAAAAATAAAAAAAGAGAATATTAAGAAAGCTCCTCCTCAAAAAAAGAATGATCATCCTTTATCTAGAAATACAGATTCTGATTGGAATAATCATTTTTAGGATTAATAATTATGGTCTAAAATCTAGAAGGATGTAATTAGAACAAGAGCAAAAGAATTAGGAAAAGAGGAGTATAGAGAGATGTTAAATAGGATTTTATTTTTGTGTTGTAAATTAAATAAAATGGATTATGTCTAAGGAATGAATGAATTTGCTGCATTAATGTAATGCTAAATAGATTTAGTCTGTATATGTGTATAAGTGATCCAAATGAGAAATTACAGAATGAGAGTGATGCATTCTATTGTTTTATGATATTGATGACAAGTTTGAAAAACAACTTTTAGCTTTAAAAGGAAAAAGTAAGGGCATTTTAGGATTTATTAAAAAAAGTAGATTGGAAATTACATGATCATTTAGTAAATTAAAAGATGGATTTTTCTATCCTTTATGTAAAATGGTTTATGATTTTGTTCGCTTAAGATTTTCACATAGATGATTCGTTACGCATTTGGGACTGTTTGTTTTGCTAGAAAAATAATAGAGAGGAATTTTTATAATATTTAGCTATTTCCTTTTTGATATAATTAAGGGAAGATTTAATTGTAGGAGATTTTGGATAAATTTTATTGATTTTGTAAAATTTGGAGAAATAAGCTATTAATTTAAGTGAAGTAATCTAAAGAGCATATCTCTTATAGAAAGAACAAAAAAAATGTTGATGGTGTAAAGAAAAACTTAAATATATTTTAAATAAATTATAATTATGATCAACTAAAAGAAAAGTCTATTTATTCCTTCTTAAAATTAAAATCGTTCTATTAAATTATTTAATGCTGAAATTAATCATGTTTTTTCTACTTAAATTTAAAAATATTTTAAATAATAATCTTTTGTAATCTTTAGATTAATCATATTAATTAAGATAAAAACAAATGAATTCTAATGATTTATTAATATGCATTAACTATAGTATATAAGATGAAGTGATATTTGATATTTAAAATCTTTAAACATTTTGTATTACTTAACTAAAAATTTAGTTATGAAGGCGATGCAACTGTCAATCTCACCAACAATTTTAAATTATTTACCCCTATCTTACAATTTTAGATCTCTCAACTCTTCTAATTTAGGTTCTTATTAATCGGTAATATAGTATGATAAGTTTTTAAATATCATGGTTAAATCTCGAATTTCTGAGCATCAATCATTAAATATATGTGTTTCGACTTTAAAATCACTTTTATTTAGATTATTGATCATTTAATTAAAGTCTGAAAATCTATAGTTTCTTATAAATTCTCAAAACCTACTCTTAAACTTTTAGAAATCTTTAACTATTGGCAACTATGTTAATTAATTTTTTAGTTTTATTAAAGGTTAGATCATTATTAGATATTACAAAAGAATTCACACAAGTTGATAATTATGGATCATATTACCAATAATTTAAAAGAAGTCTACATAAGTTAATCTAATTGTCTTATATTTATAAACATATTAAATAACATCTTCTGTAATTATTTAATTATTATTATATAAGTATTTTATTAAGATTAGATAATTTAATGAATTTTTGTTTTCATCAATTTTGATCAACATCACTCTAAGAAATATGGTAGTTATAGTAAGTCAAGAATCCACAAAATCTGTTAGTATACATTTTGGTGAACCAAAATTAATCTTAACAATACTACTTAAGAGTTTCAGAATGATCTTCAATTTTATATTGAATATTTGTGAATTTTATTTCTACAAGTTATTCTATTATCACAAAAAGATATCGTAATAAATTATATTCTACAAATTAAATGCTTTTGATATTCTTTTTAAATGTTAAATAATCAAATTTATTTTAAACAAAGANGAGAAATAAGCTATTAATTTAAGTGAAGTAATCTAAAGAGCATATCTCTTATAGAAAGAACAAAAAAAATGTTGATGGTGTAAAGAAAAACTTAAATATATTTTAAATAAATTATAATTATGATCAACTAAAAGAAAAGTCTATTTATTCCTTCTTAAAATTAAAATCGTTCTATTAAATTATTTAATGCTGAAATTAATCATGTTTTTTCTACTTAAATTTAAAAATATTTTAAATAATAATCTTTTGTAATCTTTAGATTAATCATATTAATTAAGATAAAAACAAATGAATTCTAATGATTTATTAATATGCATTAACTATAGTATATAAGATGAAGTGATATTTGATATTTAAAATCTTTAAACATTTTGTATTACTTAACTAAAAATTTAGTTATGAAGGCGATGCAACTGTCAATCTCACCAACAATTTTAAATTATTTACCCCTATCTTACAATTTTAGATCTCTCAACTCTTCTAATTTAGGTTCTTATTAATCGGTAATATAGTATGATAAGTTTTTAAATATCATGGTTAAATCTCGAATTTCTGAGCATCAATCATTAAATATATGTGTTTCGACTTTAAAATCACTTTTATTTAGATTATTGATCATTTAATTAAAGTCTGAAAATCTATAGTTTCTTATAAATTCTCAAAACCTACTCTTAAACTTTTAGAAATCTTTAACTATTGGCAACTATGTTAATTAATTTTTTAGTTTTATTAAAGGTTAGATCATTATTAGATATTACAAAAGAATTCACACAAGTTGATAATTATGGATCATATTACCAATAATTTAAAAGAAGTCTACATAAGTTAATCTAATTGTCTTATATTTATAAACATATTAAATAACATCTTCTGTAATTATTTAATTATTATTATATAAGTATTTTATTAAGATTAGATAATTTAATGAATTTTTGTTTTCATCAATTTTGATCAACATCACTCTAAGAAATATGGTAGTTATAGTAAGTCAAGAATCCACAAAATCTGTTAGTATACATTTTGGTGAACCAAAATTAATCTTAACAATACTACTTAAGAGTTTCAGAATGATCTTCAATTTTATATTGAATATTTGTGAATTTTATTTCTACAAGTTATTCTATTATCACAAAAAGATATCGTAATAAATTATATTCTACAAATTAAATGCTTTTGATATTCTTTTTAAATGTTAAATAATCAAATTTATTTTAAACAAAGATAAGCTTATTCAATTTAAAAAAAAATAAAAATTTTAAAATGTTTATTGAAATGGTTTTAAAATTAATTTATTTTTCAGTTGTATAAATATAGACTGCTTTTGAAATAGTCAGCACTTTGTTTAAAATCTAAATATTTAACCAAAGAGGAAATAAGGCTAGATATAGAAAAGAATATCAAAAATATTGAATAAGACTAATAATCAAATTAAGTCTCGATTAAATTAAGTAATTTAAACTTTGTCACAATCTGAAAGTTCTTATTTTTGATTTACATATTAATAAGATCAAATATAATGATTTTAATTCTAATTTTAATTAAGTTCATACAAGGAATTATAATTAAGGAAGTGATTGACAAAAACTAAACAAAGAAATTTCATTTAGATAAAGCTACAATAATAATGACAATTTCTGGAGCAGCAGATTCTATTTTAATTGGTAATCAAAATGATAGTTACTGTTGGTCACAGCAACCAGCTATCAAAACTGAAACGAAAACTATGAATATTATTACAGAAAAGGATCTGACTGATTATGTTTATTAAGAAGAAACTCCATTAAATTTTGGATAATTCATTTTAATGGTTCAAGTTAGGGATGGTTTTATTACTATTACTTCAAATGCTAAGATATATCATTTAAAATTTAACTAAAATTATATACATGAGATATTCAGTTTTCCAGAATATGGAAATCCTTATGAATTTGCAGGATTTCGATGGAAGGTAGATTTATAGGCTTATGCCCCAACTACAGAAGATAAAGAGGAAATCCCTTAAATTCTACATCTAAAGACTAACAATTTAGTATTAGTTCTTTATCCAAACAATGCATAATTTTTTAGTATGTATGTATGAAATGGATGCAAATTAAAACACTTGATTTTGTACTATGCTTCATCATGGAAGAAGAGAAAAGAGAGAGGACTTACCAAAGAATATTTTGGCTATGTTTATAGTAGTGTAAGTAGAGAGGAAATTGATGTTTATAGAGTATCATTATATGATGTTAGATTCGAATTAATAATAGATTTGATAAGGTTGTTTCCAGATTTTACAAAATTGTCAGACTTTATTGTAATAAAGAAAGATCATGATGAATTTCATATGTTTATGTTGGATGTTTTGATAGGATTAATTGAATTGGCAATAGGGATACATGATGGAGAATTCAAATACAAAGTAAGACCAGAAATACTAAGAAAGGAAGGAGGTATTGCAGTTGATACAAAAAATGGGAGAAATGTATTTGTTGTTTATAAAGAATTATTTCGATACTCGATTATTGAATATTTGTATGACAAGAATATAGAAGTTTACCAAATAGTGACTTAACATGTTTCTTACTAAAAGGTTGTAGGATTGAAAGTGACTGATGAGTTTGTTTTAATATAAGGTTTGATCCATCATTAGCTGATTTTTTCTAATTCCTTTAAACTAATTAATCCAGAAACTGAACCAACAATCTTCATCTTGTTTGGTGCTCGTAATTTTATGTTTTTGATTAAAATATTACAGATTATCCATTATTAAAGAAATTCAATATAACTGGGTTCCAATATGATGATTTCTTTTTTGGTGTAACTGGTTCAGGAGCATTTTTAGTTAGATATAATTTTACACCTGCTGGAGTCAAGTGTTATAGTAACAATGGTAAATTTGAGATATATAATTATTAGAAACTTAAATTTTAACTTAATAAAGTTATTTAGTTAAGTTTAATGTTACTTAATTTATTGATGAAGAAGTTAATAGAGATATAGTTGTAAGACATAACTTATATATAAATGTTTAATTATTTTATCCAGAAACAATATTAGAAGATGAGTTAGTTAAGACCTTGATAATCGNTATTACTATTACTTCAAATGCTAAGATATATCATTTAAAATTTAACTAAAATTATATACATGAGATATTCAGTTTTCCAGAATATGGAAATCCTTATGAATTTGCAGGATTTCGATGGAAGGTAGATTTATAGGCTTATGCCCCAACTACAGAAGATAAAGAGGAAATCCCTTAAATTCTACATCTAAAGACTAACAATTTAGTATTAGTTCTTTATCCAAACAATGCATAATTTTTTAGTATGTATGTATGAAATGGATGCAAATTAAAACACTTGATTTTGTACTATGCTTCATCATGGAAGAAGAGAAAAGAGAGAGGACTTACCAAAGAATATTTTGGCTATGTTTATAGTAGTGTAAGTAGAGAGGAAATTGATGTTTATAGAGTATCATTATATGATGTTAGATTCGAATTAATAATAGATTTGATAAGGTTGTTTCCAGATTTTACAAAATTGTCAGACTTTATTGTAATAAAGAAAGATCATGATGAATTTCATATGTTTATGTTGGATGTTTTGATAGGATTAATTGAATTGGCAATAGGGATACATGATGGAGAATTCAAATACAAAGTAAGACCAGAAATACTAAGAAAGGAAGGAGGTATTGCAGTTGATACAAAAAATGGGAGAAATGTATTTGTTGTTTATAAAGAATTATTTCGATACTCGATTATTGAATATTTGTATGACAAGAATATAGAAGTTTACCAAATAGTGACTTAACATGTTTCTTACTAAAAGGTTGTAGGATTGAAAGTGACTGATGAGTTTGTTTTAATATAAGGTTTGATCCATCATTAGCTGATTTTTTCTAATTCCTTTAAACTAATTAATCCAGAAACTGAACCAACAATCTTCATCTTGTTTGGTGCTCGTAATTTTATGTTTTTGATTAAAATATTACAGATTATCCATTATTAAAGAAATTCAATATAACTGGGTTCCAATATGATGATTTCTTTTTTGGTGTAACTGGTTCAGGAGCATTTTTAGTTAGATATAATTTTACACCTGCTGGAGTCAAGTGTTATAGTAACAATGGTAAATTTGAGATATATAATTATTAGAAACTTAAATTTTAACTTAATAAAGTTATTTAGTTAAGTTTAATGTTACTTAATTTATTGATGAAGAAGTTAATAGAGATATAGTTGTAAGACATAACTTATATATAAATGTTTAATTATTTTATCCAGAAACAATATTAGAAGATGAGTTAGTTAAGACCTTGATAATCGTTTTCGTTTTGCTATTAGGTAAAGAATTGTGATAATTTAAGTTTGTTTATTGGCTTTAGGATGTTTAGAGAAAGTCAGATAGAAGCAGAAGAATGATAAGTTTTAGAATCAACCTAAATCTGTAGAAATGATGATCCAATAAAACCCTTTTTCAAAAATAACTGAGAAGTTAATAAGCGATGATTATAAATAGAAGTATGATAGAAAAAAAGACAAAAAAAAATCATAGATATATTCATAGTTTATTTGAAATGTTTATAATTAATAAATCTATATTAATTATTTTAACATATATATCATAATTCTGATTCGGCTTCGTAATATTATTCTAGAATGTTAAAACATTTTTGATAAACACTTTAATTCTAATGTTTTTATAATTATTCGATCTTTGAAATGACACCCATTTATTCCAATTAGGTTAAGTAATAATTGTCATCTTTAAAATCTTAATCACCTAAACTCAAAAAAAGTACAAAATACCTCTCTTTAAGACGTTTAATAAGGCTTCTAGAACCACAGTCATAGTTTGTGTGTCTTCTCCTTCTAAGAGCTATTTAAATACATTAAGTAATCCTTTTTAAACTAACAATTAAATATCTGAATTGCTTCCATGTTTAGTTGAATTGGAAATTGCCCAAGTGGCTTCCCTTACAATTTCTTCGACATCTGTTGTCATCAATGTAAATAGCTTCTCTAATATTGCAGAATCTCTAACAACTTAACTAACCTGATTGCTACTTCCTGCAGTAATGTTAGAAATTGTCCAACAGGCCTATGATAAGATATAGAATTACTTCTCTTCTGATAGCCTTTTTGTCATGAGAGAGTAACTTAGGTATTTTAAGTAATAAACCTTAATTTAGAACATATGTAGTTTAAGTTTCATCTCCAGTCACAACATTTCCTAATATCCTTAAAGTAGGAATAACAAGTTGAAGAGATGAATGATCAAGCAATTTAATTAGAGTTGGGACTACTTAAGAATCAATAACAGTTTATAATCTACTGTTATCTCCATCACTTAAGTAAGATAAGGCCCAACAAGCATCAGTCAAAACTTCTGGGTCAGTCTCATCTATTATGACTTTGCAAAATACAGGTAAGGCATTTTTGACATACTATTTATAGATAGAATATAATGTAAACCTTAAAATCAGGAATTGGTTTTCCTCTACAAAGATTACTCAGTGACCAAGTGCAATGTTTAATTGTATTTTTATTTGGAGCATTTTGCATAATGGCTATCAATGGATCCACTCCACCAACTCTTAATATAAGATCTCTGTATTATGTACAATCTCCAGCAATATTACCTATGGCCCATACTGCTTATTCAGCAATATCTCTATATTATGAACTCAAGAGTTTCACAAATAAATATATTCCTCCTTTGTCAATGATAGATTAGGTTTGTTATGTTGTTCCACTTGCTACATTTGTTAAAGCCCAAGCTGCTTCAAGAACAAGTTGAGGTATTTGTTCTTTTTAGATCATGTCAATTAATTTTGGTACTAAATTTGCGTCGATAACCTATTAAATTGGCGCACCTGACTTTAATATTAGAATATATTTCTTACTTCAACTGACAACATCTTTCTTAATCCTGTCACTCCATAATGTAATTACAAAATATCAGTCGAAAAGATCTTTTGTAGAACATCAGGAAAATCTTCAAATGAAAAAGATCTTTTCATGAGTTGTTCTTACTAAGCTTTTAAGGCTATTTGTAAATCTTATGGAAGAGTGGGTGGTATTAAGGGTAATGATTCAGGAATTTTGGTTGTTTAATTCTAAAATGAATAATCAATATGAACTACATTTTAAGCTAATCTTTTATTGTTTATTATATTATTTCTTTCCCTGGACCTGATTTCTGTTGCAAATTCTTCTCTTTTTTTCTTCACTTCACTATTTTATTCAGCTTCATTAACTTGCACATTCCCAAATAATGAAAACTAATTTTATGGCTACATAATAAAATATTTTATGATAAAATTTACTTTAATAAAAATTATTAACTATATTGTATTTATTATTCAAAATAAATATGAAATACAACAGTTAAACTAATCCTTCTTCGAATTTCCAACACTTTATGGGAGTTGCTCCAAGCTAATTCAACTCTAATGTCAAAGGTTAGGTAATCTATTCTATATTTATTTGTTATAGACTTTGAATCAATAATAACAGAATTAGCATGATTAATCTAGGGTATCATAATTACCAGTTTCCAGGATTGAAGAGATCAATTATTAACAACCTCATGAAATTAATCATACTAATAATGATCTTCATTAACATTCCTCTAAAGGATAACATTATCATCCTCTTACTATGCCATGTAATTGGGAATTGGCTAGAAAGCATGCTTAATCAAGAAGAACAGCTTTAGAAAAAAAGAAAGACATTAATAAAACTACAAATGGTATATTTATAATCAATATCAATCAGTTGAAACATGTCCTTGTTGTGGTTTTGAAGTAGAGAGAGATGAAATCCCATATTGTTCAAATCCTATGGCATTGTCATTTCTAGGTTCTGGATTCACATTATTTTACAATTATCTCAAATATTGCATAATAATCTTATTCATTACTTTGATAACTAAACAGATTTATAATCTCTATACAAGTTATGAAGGATCATATTGTAGTCATGTAAAAAGAGAAAAAATAGAAGGACACTTTGTAGAATTACCAAACTGTTCTGATTCATTATTCTTAAAATTATCTTTAGCAAATAAATTAGAGTAATTTATATTTTAATAACTAGTAATCGTTAAGCTTTAGAACATGTTCAAATCTTAAACTTTATAAACTTATTTATTGTTATGATTGTCCTTATTTATTTTAGAAAAAGCTAGCGATAGATAGATACAACTATAGATGAAGAACTTTTGACACCTGCTGATTATACAGTTTGTGTCAAGAATATTCCTTTAGGATTAGGATTAGATTATAAATGGGAATTGTAACATATGTTTGAGACTTGTGCAGTTATTTCAGATACAAAACCTATAGTAGTAAAAAAGGTTGTTTTGGTTTATGATATTGAAGAAATTATTGAGATGGAAAAGCAACTTGATGAATTAGTGGATAGAAAGAAAGATATTATAAAAGAATATAATTATAATTTTAATCATCCAAAGGTTTTGGAGATGGATTAAAAAATTAAAGAACTAGAACATAAAATACATTAGACAGAGAAAGAGTATGAAAGAGAAAATAAAAAATTTGCTGGTATAGCATTCATATCATTTGATGATGAAAATATGAAAAATTTAGTGTTGCAAGAAAATTAACATACATAGTTTGAGAGAATGAAGTCATATTGGAATAAAGGTAAATTAGAAGGATTGTCTGAAAATGATTTATCATGGCATGATCAAAAATTATTTATTGAATAAGCTCCAGAACCTAATGAAGTTGATTGGGAATTCATTCATGTTAAGACTGAAGAAAAGATAAGCAAGAGAGTTAAGGCTTGGATAATTTATTTATTAGTTGAAAGTGCAGCATTCTATTCAATATATCTAATAGCACATAAAGTGGCTAAATATGGAGATGAGGCAAGAGAAGAAGAAATATCAGGAAAATTAGATCATGATACTATGTTAAAAATAAACATACTATCTTTTGTTATATCATTGAGCATTGTTCTATTTAATAAATTTGCAGTCGCTAAAATAGTACATTACATTGTAGATGATGAAAAAATTTCAAGTAAAACCAAATTTCAAATATCATTTGTATACAAATATGCATTAGCATTATTCTTAAATGCAGCCATCATTAGTTTTTTGGTGGATATTGTAATTTTAAAGAATGTGGAAGGAGCTGGAGGGTTCTTATAAAACGAAAGTTAGATTTTTATTCTGAATGCTGTATTACCTCCATTTATATGGTGTGTGGATCCATGGAGTTTATGTAAAAACATTTGGAGATGGTATATTGTAAGAAAGGGAGATAAAGCCTTATTAACTTAATAAGAAGCAAATAAATTAATGGAAGAACCAGACTATTTGTCAGCCAAAAGATATTCAGACATTATGAAAACAATGTGGTTTACTTTTCTATATGGTACAGCCATTCCCTTGGGTACAGTTTGTAGTGCTTTTGGAATTTTAATTTACTATTATGTTGACTATTATAACATTTTAAGAAGGAGAACAGTGAAGGAATCGATTAGCATTTAATTATCAACAGGTAAGGATCATTTTAAGTTTGTTAGAGATGATTGAAATGTTGGAATACATAATTGTATGGAGTGCCTTTGGAGAAATGATCATGACTTATGCATTTTTCAAGGAGATAAGTTAGATTGATGTTTTGTTGATGGTGATTGCTATAATATATGCTTCTTTACCAATGGAAGATATCTCAGAATATTTATTCCCAGTAGTCAATAATGAAGAAGTATAAATTATTTCTAATTTAATTATAGATTAAGTCATATGATGAAGGAAGTTTAGGATTTGATACAGATTATGATAGAGAAAATCCAGTCACAAGACATAAAGCTATCGAATAATGGAATGAAAAACAAAAAATGTTAATTGATTCAAATCACAAAATTCAAAAGTACTATTAATAATAAGATCAATTTGGGTATAACAATGATGACCATTATGGAAGAAGATGATTTTTGAATAAATATTATTATCATTTTTAAATAATTATAAATGTTGAAAAGAATGTAAAGTAAAGAGGACATCATAAAAGATTAATACATGAAGACTTTAACATGTTTTTTATAAGACAGCACACTTTATGATTGCTTATCTATCAATAATTTAGTCAGTGTAATTGATTAGTCATTCTCTTTGTTTGATGTCTTCAATGTCTTTATTGAGACGCATATTGATGAAGTATTGTTTTGGAATCCAGATGTAGCTTATTATGATGGAGTGTTCACTCAAACTGATTTGATTAGAATTATTCTCAAATGCTATCAAAATACCATAAATGGCATTCCGAATGGTAATCTTTATAACATATTTTAGTCAGTTTGGGGAAATAGTAAAAATTAAGTTTAGCCCATTATGGAAGAAGAAGATGAAGATAGAACTTCAACTCCTGTCAGCAAAACCTAAACAATTGATTAAGAGTAAATTAATAAGTTGCTCATTGATTTAAAGACTATTTCTGTAAGAGACTGGTTTAATTCATATGGAGAAAATCTGCATTAAAGCAGTCTTGTCTAGGCAGATATGGCAGATAATCTAAATGATGCCATGAAAAAAATATTAAAGTAGGGTGTAACAAGAATTGTAGTTATTGATACTGAATCTAGAGTTATTGTAGGCATTCTATAGCAAAAAGATATTTTGGCTTTTCTTGTTAAAGGATTTAGTTAATATTTTCATTTATAATTATCCTAAAAGTCACATAAGATTGAAATTATAAATGAAAATAAATAGCAATCTGAATAACATGAATTAGAAATTAGTTACTTTAGTGAAAGGATACTCCAATTAAATGATAAACTCCCATTTGATACTAATGTATATGAGTAAGTTACTCTCCTTATTCTAGTGTATTTTATAAATTGATTTATGTTTTCAAAAGAAATGCTATTCCTATTGTGGATGCTAATAACTAATATTTGGGCTTGATTGATAGAAGGGATTTTTTATTCATCCTCAAGTATCAAGTCTATGACATGGTATGACTCAACATTTAGATTAGCTCAATAGATAAGCCATTGATTTATTGAATTTTATTAGAATTGAGAAATCTAAGTATGCTGGCTTTTGTATTTGTAACAAAGAGCTATTTCATATGAAATAAACTTTAAAAGAAGTATAACTTTTATTTATCAAAGGTAGTGGAAAACTTACTTCTCTCATCTAGAGGTAGTCTAGTATGTCTGAATGAAAACAAAGAACCTATTTCCACACTTTAAATGTCTGATCTCTTCAAAATATGTTTAGATGATATTGAAATAGAATGAAATTATTCTAAAATAACATATGTTTAATATTTAAATTCTTTTTTCTTAATATAAAGCCCCTTATAGATTTTTATTTATTTATATATTTCTATTAAATTTTAATGTAAAATCCATAAGGATTGTATTAAACAAGGATGTCTATTTCATCAAATCGCTCAAATGACATAGACTTTGATAAGTACAAGTAAATAATCGAAACTGAAATATCAAATAATTGGCTAGGGTTTAAATACTTAAATTAATTGGAAGATAGAAAAATCTAAATAGTAGACAAAATTAATGAATACTTAGAAAAACTTACAAATGGCAAGCAAAATCTTATTATCTACTGTGACTTTAAATTTAGTTAGAATTTAGATCTTTTAATTAAAACATCAGATATCAGATAATAATTTTTAGAATAATAGCCACCAAATGAAAATATGGGTGTGAAAATTAATTAACCTGATTTGTATTCAGCTTTGTTGAAGATAAGAGAATTCATGTTTAATGAATGCATGAATTTTAAATAATGGCTTAAGTAATATTAAGATTCTAAAGGAGATATTTGGAATAAGGCTGAGTGGTTTTTGTAAAATAATAACGAAAAGGAATCAAATAAATACTTCGTTCAAGTTGAAAAGCATAGAAAAAATATGATGAATTAACTAAATTTTATTTAGGAGAATTAAGATTATTATATTGAATTATCTGTCTATCTTGATCATTATTATGAATATTTTGATCATTTAAACGTAAGCTAAAGAACATAAATATATTTAGATTTTATATAATTTTTGGATCAGATAAAACAATAGCCGGAAATTAGATATAAATATAATTAATACTATAAAAATAATGCAATTACAGATAGAAATTAAAAATAATATATTGTAAATTAACCATTATAATCAAAATATTAAATTTCAATTCCAAAATTTTTATGGTTTGAAATTCAAAAAGCCGATCTATAAGGATTTATACTTTGCAAAATGATTGAAAGCCAAGAATTTAATTTGAATTATAAAGTCATTGAAAATATTTTTTTGAAGTAAAGAGATATGGTATTTAATTAACCACCGTATAAACCAATAGGGCAAATGTACCTTTGAATGTTACGAAATTTGAAATAATTATTTTTTATAATTATTGTTATTAATAATGCATAAATCTTTATCTAAAGAAAATTGTATTAAATGATTTTATTCTCTATAGCAGTTATATTTGGATGTCTTAATTTCAATTAATAATTTACATAAAGTATTCTGTTGTTTGCCTTGATTAATTGCATAATAAATTAAATCTTTTTTTTAAAATATAAGAAATGGTTAAAAACTCAGCATAAGACCCTTAAGACAATTCTTTATAAATGAAAGTAAAGAAGAAATTTATTTTGAATAGATTAGATAATACTTAGTTTCAGGCAGAAGACTTCCATCAAAAGAAGATCCAAATCCAAAAGTCATTAGCATGAGAATTTTTGCCAGAAATACAGTGGCAGCCAAAAGCAGATTTTGGTATGATCATAAGGCTACAATTTAGGTGGAATTTAAGAAGATTAAATAAACTAAAACCATCACATGGTTAGATTTTAGCAGTTTAAGAATTGTTTGAGAGAAGAGATACAAATGTTAAGACATATGGAATAGTTCTTAAATATTAATCAAGAACAACAATACACAATATGTATAAAGAATTCAGAGATACTACATTAAATGGTGCTGTGTCTTAATTATGTAAGTATCTCATAAATTAATTCTTTTTAGACTAAGAAATGGCAGGAAATCATAGAGCATAACCATAAACAATTCACATTCTCAGAACATCTGTATTGACAAAGAGTGCTGATATCAAGAGAGGCAAAACAAATTAATACAGAGTATATGAATTTGCTATTTATTAAAGGGAGATTCAATAAAATTCCCAATTGTTAAGACTGTTCCAAGAGCAAGCCATAAAAAATTCAGAACTGTTTTCAAAGCAAAAAGACCAAATCTTTATAGATCATGATAATTATGGTTTAGTACAATATTAATAATAAAAATAAATGGCAAATAAGCATTCTAATAATGACATAAAATTTAACATTCTTCTTGCTGACACTTCTAAATCCTAAGATCTTCATAGCTCCTCATTCTCAACATAAAAAATGTAAAATAGCTCACAACATGGTGGAGGTATGCATATATAAATAAACAATAGCGAAAAATATAATACCAACGGCAACTTATTTATAGTAAATAGATGAAAAGTATTCTTAAATGTACATGAATAAGTAAATTGATAAAGCCAAAAAAGGCACTTCACATAATTAAAAGCCAAGTCATAATGATCATACTTAAGTAAATAATTGTATGGATGTTCCTAATAAATTTCGATAACAAAAACAATCCGAAATGTTAGGAAATAATTCATACATCCCTCAAATATAACCTATTGTAAAAAGCGAATTATTGCAGCCTTAAAATCCATAATTGAACGAGACAATATCCCCAATGAAGGCTCCAGTTTTAAATATTCCAGGTGATATTTCATTATCAAGGGGAGTCAGTGAAAGAGGACTAAAATGAAATAGATATATGTATTAAGAAAGAACTTATTCTAAATATTGATTGAAAATTCTAAATAGTTAATTAATCAAACAAGGAATCAATTATTGTAATTGATTTGACTGATTGAAGATTTTATTCCTCTGATGTTTCAGGGTAATTTTAATAACTTTAGTCGTTAAAATCGATATCTTTTAAAAAATAGAGACAATTCTATGTTGTTATTCTAACCTTTGAATCTGGTTCTAACATTCTATTTCATAACTAGCATATGTCATATTTTTCATAATCAATCTCTCCATTTCAATTCAATCCTTATATATTTTTTAGTTAAATCTCTTGGTTCTTTATGGTTCTTGAATCATTAATAGTAAGATTTTCTATCCCTTTAGAAATATATTTATTTTTTGAGATTGGAAATCTTTTTGATGATTTTAAATACTTTCATATGAATTTATACTTAAGGTTTCATTTACTCTTATAAATATATTAATATCTTCCCTTTCCTATAACTAAATATTTTTTGATTGAGATATACTTTTTAGTCATTCAAAAATCATCATTTATTGATTTATTTATGAAAAACTAATGATTTATCAATTTAAGCTTTTTAATAAGCATATAAAATTAAAATTGAATCTCATAAATATTCCTATCTTAAAAATTTCTCTAAGACTATTTTTGATTCCAATTTGTGATCAGCAGGTACTTCGTGACCTGCATTTCTGAAGCTTACAAAAGTCAAACCTTCAATATCAAATACATTTCCAGCATTTTAAACTTAATCAAATTGTCTTAAAGAAGGAACATACCAGGGTCTCCATGGTTTTATTGTATTCAACTCTTATATTGATAAATAATTGAATTACATAACTGTTATTGAAGTTTATCAATCCAATAAAGAGTGCCAGCAATTGGAACAACTCCATCTACATCTCCACTTAGAATAAGAATTCTGATATTATTTTTCATGATAGTAGGGTAAATATCTAATGATCCATTTGGATTTATTTAATAATCTTGGAAATTTAATGAACAAGCAACCCATTTAGGGGATTTTGTATCTATATTCAATAACTAGAATAATGTTAATAAATGCTTACAGTTCGAACTTCCTCTTTCTAAAACCAATGATATAGACCTTTGACATCCACACATGGAGGTACATCAGAATCATTTTTGTCTTCATCTGAAACTCGAAGTGGACTTTTCATTCTTTTACTTCCTTCAGGAGTGTAACTAACACATTTGGAATAAACATTATATTGATTTAAATTGTAGGAATATTAAGGTCCAGTAATTTAAGCTAAAGCCTCGTATGCTAAAGCTTGACAAAATGGTGTTGTAGATCCGTAACATTCTTCTGTATGATCAATTATTTTTTTATAGGTTTCTTCACTAATGAAACCATGTCTTCCATAAAAATCTAATCTATGTCTTGGAAAAAGATATCCTTATAAAGTACACTCACTTGGATCAGTGCAACCATTTCCAATTATTATTCCTTAAATGTTAATTCTTAAGACTTCTGGATTAACTGGTTGTTAATTATATTTTATAATCTCTTGAGTCAAGGTTGGTACATAAATGCCAGCATATGATTCACCACCAATATAGAATTTTTAATTTTTGAAGTTTGGAAATCTTACAAAAAACTCAATTAATGCATGCATATTATATTCAGCAGTTGACTCATCAGATTATGGTCCAGCTGGACCATAAGAATATCCAACAGAAATTGGAGATTCTATGTAAAGAATATTGGCCTAAATCATAAATTTATCAGTTTACAAATGTGGTCCAAGTATGAGGATTCTCTTCAAATTCAATAGATTCTGAAATGAAGGTATAAGGACCACTTTCTGTAAATGCTGCAATCATTGATGAACATCCAGGTCCTCCAAGTAACCAGAGTATTAAAGGTTTTTCAGAAGCTGAATCAATAGCTGGATAAAAAAGGTAATGAAACTAGACTGATCCATCATTTTTTGCACTAAGATAACCAGAATAGCTATGAATCTATTAAATGATCTTACATCTATCCTTGATAATTAGTACCAAAAAGGGCATTAAGTTTTACAATGTCAACTTCATCCTTATCCAATGACTGAGTTTCTAAGGCCTACAAAGCAAGTAAGCAGGCCAAGATTAACATGATTGTTTTTTGCATAATTTAATAAAACTAATTACATCATTGAAAATCAACAATGAAGTATGAAAAATAATAATATGTAATTAGAATTTTAGCCATTTTTCTATATTACCACAAAGTCAAAAATAATCAATTAATTAATATACTTTTAAATTGTCTTGTGGATTAGGAATTTCTAATATATAATTTTCTTAATACAATAAGATAAAGATTAAATAAACTAATTAAATGAACATTTGATATAATAATATGAATATTAAACCTTTAAAGATGACACAGATTATTGCATAAATTTATCTATAACATCGTACATAACAGAGAAATTACTTCAAAACTAAATAATTATATTGATTCATTAATATAAGATTTAAGATAATTAAGTTATTTATAGAACAACTTTAATTTAATAATCTAAAAGTTAAGAAGAGGACTCTTCAGAAATGCTCTGTTAAAATTTATTTGAAATTTGCAAAGCAACAAAAAAATAATTGTATTAATCAAAATATTTTTTTCAATATAAATAAAAGCTATTAATTAAAGTAGAACTGGAAAAAATAGATTCCTCTTGTAAACTAAAAAAATACAATCAGTCTTATCTTAAGTAAATGATTTAAATGACAGAAAATTATCACTTGATTTGGAAATTATTTGTATACATAATTATAATGAAAAATTAATAAAGATTATTAGGATACTTCTCTAAGAAAATCAAAGAAAAGACTTTTGAATATTATTTTATCTACTAAAAAAGAATAGTTTTCCTAAATTTCAAATATAATTGAATAATAAATATTATGTTTTAATAAATTATAAATGCTATTTTACATTATTATAAAAAATGAATATTCAAGATTGTTGCTAAGGATGTACTTATCCATTAATTGAATTAACTATGTCTGTTGCTTCATTATTATGTTGCATGACTATGATAATTATCTACTATAAATCAGATAATTTAAAATTATTTTCATATACCATACAACTTTACATTTTATTAGGAACAAGCCTTTATACTTTATTAGATTTTGTTTTCAACGCATATTATTATTCAAACTAATGCTATGGTAAATGTAGCTGTCCAAATAATTTAGTAAAATCAATTTGTTAAATCACATCTTATATCTCTGTTTATGGAGTTATGAATGTGGTTAGTTGGCAAACTGTTCTAATTAAAATTGCAAAAGAAGCTATACTATATAAAAAATAAGAATAACTATCAGTTCATGTAAAGTTATGTTATATTTAGCTTAATTTAATTGCATTTGGATTTTTTTTTCCAATAATTTGCACTATTTTACCATAATTAAGTTCAAATATCAAACCACATTAAGATGATTATGTAAATGAAGATGAATTAACAAATACAAATAATTATGATGATTTTATATATGGACTATTTGATAATGTCTGTTGGTTATAATATCACTTTAATACCACTTAAAGTAATTCTTGTAATTCAACTAACTAATCACAATCTTAATTAACTGATGATTTCTAAAAAAGACTTTCTAGGAGAATAATAACATTAAGCTTAATTTGCTTCTTTTTGCCAGTTATTTCTTAATCTATAATACAACTAATCGATTTAAAAAGCATTAGCAAAAAAATAGAAGCTATGAGAATGAACAAAGAAATTTTTAAGTAATTATTATTATTCTAACTTTTAGAGGACATGAAAATCATATCAATGCTATTAAAGGATTATGTCTAATTCCTTATTTTTTTCTCTTAACTTGTGTAGTACCAGCTTTTTTGTTTTTGCTTGAATATTTTAATATTCAAACTACAGATGCTACTCTCTTTTAAATTTCTAAAGCCTTACTCAGTTGTTTAGGATTTCTTATTTTAACTATGTTTTTACAAAATGCTCATATAAAATTGGTTGTTTCTCACCTTTTTAAGATGAAAGAAAAATCAATTTATGATTTTTAAATTGATCTATTTTCTGGTTTAGAGGAATTTGACCTTAAAAAAAGTGATTTTAATAAATAAGAATGATTTGATTAAAACTTACAACAAATAACAGTAATAATAATAAAACTAATTTTAAATAAATAATGATCTATGTAAACTAAAAGGCTTTTAAATATCACGAAAGTATTTTTTAATCAAAGCAGTAATTCAAGGTTTGCAGATTAATTTTTCAACCAGGATTGCAATCCTTGATGAATATTCATCATCTACACAAGTTCTACAAGAATAAAATTTTATTTTGGCAGGATGATAAGTACATGTCTAAAAATATATAAATAATTTATTCATTCATTTTTACCTACTTTAAATCATTTGCTAAAAGTAATGAATGCACAAAAAATCCATTCATATTAGGGCTTTAGTTTTATTCTAAATAGTTTATATTAAACATTTTAATTATAAAATTTTTTATTCTTACATGCAAATATTAACAAGCATATCTTTTTCCTACTTTTAGAAATGTAGGAGTGTCATTTTATGAAATAAATCTTTATCAAGTAATAATTTTATTAAGTTAATTCAAGAATTAACAAGTCTAGAATTTATAAAATTTGAATTACTTCTTGTATTATTCAAAAAAATAAAAAATTCATTATTTATTGATACTACTTCATTTTTATCTTAATCAAATAAAATACCTAAAGTATATTATTTCTTTCCTCATTGCATTTCCGAAATCGTTTTGAAAATTAAAAAAATAATTATTAACATCAATTAACTTTAATAGAATAATTATGAAGAAGAAAACTGATTTAAAAGAAAAAGTAGTTTTCACAAATAAATAATTAAATTCTTAACTAAATAATTTATTTAATGAAGATATTTTGGAAGCATACCAAAAATTATCAACTGATCATTTATTTAACGAATCTAATTTTTAAATGACATTTCCTATTCTTCATCAATTTCACTTGTTAAATCTAGAGTTAGTTATTAATAAGAAAAAAAAATTAAGTTATTGTCCTTTAAACAATTATAGATGTAATTTGGGTAATTTTTTTATTAAAAAATAAATGAAAAAAAGTTGATGAATATAATTTCTAAAATAAATGTATGGCAAATAAGCATAGATACGATAAATAGTAATATTTCCAAAACAACAAAATCTTCTCTTCATAATTTAATTAATCATTATTCATTATGAATTCATTTAAAATATATAAAATCAGTCGAAAAGTAATCTTTTCTTCCAAATTATTATGTATACGCAGTTGATATTTATCCGATATGATGTGTATGATGATTAATAAGATGGTAAAATACATTTTAGGCTTCCTTTTTCTAAATGACTCCTTTGCTATCTTGATATTCAAATTCTTAATCAAAGAAAGCATCATCACATTTTTCAATAAGTTATTAGAATACTTAGTTAATATCCAAAAGTAAGGATTTCGTTTAATCGTAATCAAACTGCAGCGTATCAAATATTTTGTCATCATCACATTACCATAATAAAATAAGTTCTTTTAGCTATTTTTTTTAATTATAGGAATTTTACATCTATGGTTAATATCTTCTGCTCATTCAAAAAGGGTACTTATATGCTTTATAATTGCATTATTCTTCCATACCAAATGTAATCTGCTGCTAATAAGTGCTTCATAGTTCCAAGTACATTGTTAAAGAATAATTATTGATTTTGTATCAGAAATTCTTAATAGTTATCTTATTTCTCAAATGATTCAAACATTTTCTTGTATCTCCATTCATTATACTTAAAAATCTTTTAGAACATCTTCTTCATTTTTAGATTTTTATAATAAATAATGTTTTGATGATGTGATAATAATCAGATCTCTTCTGGAGGGCCATATCTGTCTTTGGATGGCTGATTATTGAAGAATCTTAGAAATTCCTATCCAACTACTTTGTATGCATTTGCATAGTTTTATTAACATTACTTGAATAAAGCCTCTTGATCGCCATCTGGATGAACATCTTATACAGCCTTTACGCATAGTTAGAATCCTTATGTAGCAAATAAATCCTTAAAAATATCCATGTATTTAATTTAATATTAATAATAATATTCATCTCACATTACAAGAAAATTCATCAAATCTGGGCCAGCTAACTTTATATTGATAAAATTGTAAATCATAAAAGAAGAGATCTTTTCATTTTCAACTATTGTTTAATCAGTAACTTCATAATTATAAGATATTTTAAACTCAGTCCTAAAAATATGTGGTATTATTTTACCACTTTAAGTGAAGAGAATCAAGAAAAACAAATTTTATTAGTGGGGGTTAGTCCATATAAATACTGCATATTGTAGTATAAACCATTTTGTTAAAGTAATTGGCATAAATCAATAGAGATTCTTAATCAAACTCGATTTACATGTTTGGCAAAATAAAATAGAAGAATATATTCGACATCATCCTTTGGATTGTAAACAAAAATAAATCTATAATTAAAAATATGTTGATAAACATTGATTTTCCTACTAAATCTTTTTGTTTTGTTAGTAAAAGAGCATATTAAGCAATATTTGCATTTTAAAGATATAATTATTTTTTATTGAATAATTATACCTTTTTTGTTCTTGTTAAAGTGTTATTAAATTAACTTCTTATTCTCATTACATCAAAATTTTAGTTTTGAGATAGAGGTTATATTATTAATTTATAATTTAAAAGCTTTATTTTATCTAAATATGTTACCTAAAATAATTCGATTTAATTATTTAACTAGTATCAAGGAGTCTTATGTTTTTGTTTAATAGTATTTACATTAATGTTAAATTTACTTTATCTTACTATTAATGATTTTAAATGTTTAAATAGTATTGTTTAAGATGGATTTTTGATTAATTTTCTCAGTTTAGAAGATGATTTAAACTATTCAGAATGAAATGATTCTATTATTCTTCTATTGTGCTTTCTATCTGTAAAATACTATATTTTACTTATTTAATTTTTAGGCTTTTGAACCTCACAACTGAGGAGTAATAAAGTTATTTATTTATTATGCTAGACTATCTCCTTAAAGTGATCAAAGAAATATATTTATACTTTAAATTTATTAAGACTCAAAAATAAATGAATTCACTTTTGGAACCTTTTTTAAGAATTTAATTTTATATTTTCCTACTGCCATCTTCAAAATTCATTATTTTTTTTATGGCTTCAAAGTTTATCTCATCAAGTTCCTTGTTTATTAAAAATAATTTTGCAGTTTATAAAACAAATAAGGTGAACATCAATATGTATTCTGAAATAATAATCCAAATGTAAATTGAAATTGGATCACTATAAAGTTTGTATCTATCAGTCAGACTTTTGCTCTTATGTATATTAATCATATATTCAAATTATTTATAACTTGGGGTAGTAGCTCATTTAGTAGAGCGCGTGATTTGCATTCACGAGGCGCCGAGAGCGAAGCTCGGCTACTCCATTTTTTAATAAAAATATAATTATTTTTTAATTAAATAATCTTATATTTAGTATTTATTTAATTATAGAATTTATATTTTGCTTTTCAAATTATTGATCAAACTCTTGTATTCAAGATATCAAATTTTATTAATCAGTTTAGAAGTAATTCATTTTTCAAGTTTAATTAAATTAAGGAGGGAATCTCTCTTACCTTAACATCGTGAGTTTTAAAAAGCTTGAAGGTTTTTTATTTCACTTTTTTATTTTTTCCAATCATTTCATGAATAAGGGTTGTAGAATTCATTTATCATATAAATTATAGTTTAAACCTTGAGGTTAAAATTTGCTATTTAGGCATTAAATGAAAAAAAAAATTATTTATTTTTAATAATTTAATAGAAAAATGTAAAATCCACAGACAATGGAGTAGGATATCATAGCCTTCATCAATAATCCTGCAGAGGAAAACACAGAAAAGATTCATGACTATTTACATAAGCTGTCTGGAATGAAATATAATAGTCAAATCACATATAAGTCACCTAAATATTGTGCTTTATCAGGAGTAGAGCTGGAAGAGGATTTTATAATAATAGATAATCACTATTTCTCACCTAAGCAAATTTCATCTTATTATTTAAGAGATGGTATACTAGATGTTTCGATTGGGGATCTACACTTTATTAAATATGGTAATGACAAAGAGATTATTAAAATTGAATTAACATGGGAAATTCTTAATAAGATTTACGGTAAAAATTTGAATTAGTCATTAAAAGAGTAGAAAATTATTATTATGCTAGGGCTTACGATCATTTTAATTAAAGAACTTAGCAACCTGTCACATTTAAATGCGAGTTAACAGGAAGATCTGGTGTTATTTCGGAATAAAAGATTGTAAATGGAAAATAAGTATGCTCTGAATATGCAGCTCATCAAAAAAAAGAACAATTAAGTGAAGAAAAAAGAAAATAAGTAGATTCCTCATAGGGATTTTAATAAGGTGCAGGGAATAGCTAATATATTTATTGAAAAAAAATTAGTATATTTTAATATATATTTACAATATTTTTATTTAATGTACACATAATATTTAGATACTCATTATCTACCTCCTTTGAATCCACCTCTATTGTTATTCTTTTTATTAAAGTTCTTTCTATTATTATTATTATTAAAGTTATTATTTTTCTTGAAATTTTTCTATTGGTTTTAGTTTCCTCCTTTGTTTTGGTGATATTATTATCCTTATTTATGTTATTGTTAGAAAGGTTTCTATCCTTATTTAAATTATTGGTTTCCTTAATGTTATTATTTGTTATATTATTATTATTAGTGTTATGGTTTCTATTACTATTTCTATTATGGCTTGACTTGTTATCCTTAATTGCCTTTAATGAATTTTTTATTTTCTATAAATTTAATACAATAATTATACATTCTGGTTCATCGTCATCTTCTTCATCATCGACATCTTCTTCGTCATCATCTTCTTCATCTCCTAAGTCTCCTTCCACTTCCTCATCATCAACATCACTTTAGTCAAGAAGTTCTTCTTCTTCATCTTCTCCATCTTCATTATCATTCCAATCTTCATCTGCCTTTTTGGGCTATTATTATTACTGTTTTTAAGTTGTAGCTTGAGGTTTAGCTTTTTATTATTATTCTGGTTGTGCTTTTTATTGTTGGTTTTAAGGCTTTTATTATTATACTTATGTTTTTTATTATTATTAAGTTTATGGTTTTTATTGTTCTTTTGGTTATTACTTTACTTATTCAGTTTATTTAGGTGGTTCAGGTTTTTTAACCTTTTATTACTCAACTTCCTCACTCTCATCGTCTTCAAAATCCAAGTCTTCGTTCTAAAAAAGATTATCTTAATATATACTAATTCTTCTTCATCTGGTTCAATGTAGCCTGAAAGGTGAACTGAACCTTTTCCTTTAATTCCAATCTCAACCTGCTAATCAACTCTAAAGTAAAGATCCAAAAAGGCTTATTCCAACTAACTATAAAAAAATTACCATACCTTATTTTTTTCAAGGTTGGCAAGTACAAATTCCTTTCCCTTTACTTTTGCATAGACTTAAACTTTGCTATCACCTTCTGCTAGAACTACATTTGAGATATGAATCACTGTAGCTTCTTCAGCAGTTAATTTATATGGTTATCCTTGAGTGACTTGAGTACCCCAAAACATTTTAAATAATTTAATTTAAACTTTAGATATTTTAATGGGAAATTGTGTTTAAGAGAGAAAACCTTAGCATACACTATTTGATGCTCAAGAGTTAAAAAAACTTAATCAAGTATTTGATCATTATTGTGATTTATAAACTGAGTATCATTATTATAATCTTTTAGTACTCGCAAAAACAGACACCTATCATAGTAAAACTTTGAGGAAATCTTCATTGAGAATCCTGATTTTGGTAGAAGGTTCTTTCGCTTTCTAGAGGTATATGGTTAAAAGGAAAAATATATACATAGAGATGTGTTGTTTTACATTTGTAATTATTATTTAATAACGAATAGTGGAGGTTCTATTAAAAGATGCCTCATCTGTGAATTAATTGAAAAACTTAAATAAAATAGAACTATTTTCACTAATAAGCCTAAAATCAAGCCAATATATCAACAATAAAGAAGAATTACATTCATATAAAATTACTTATTTAGACGCTATAACAATAATAAATGACATTCTTAAAATTAGATTGAATGGAGATAATTTTTAGAATATTGATGAAAAAGCTAGCAGAGCATTATTGGATTCATTATTTAAATCAGAAAATGGAATTATTGATTGGTTTGAATTAATCAAACAACTTAGAATTCGTCTTGGTGGATTGTCAGGTGTGATCAAATAATACATGAAAACCAAGTTCTTTTTATTAGATACAGCACTGGAAGTACCCTAAATGAATACAACTTCATATCTAATAAATGAAGATCTAATATTTTAATTATAGCTTAGTGCCCATGAGACTAAATTAAAAGGAGCAATCAAATTGGAACTCCTATATTCCAATCTAGTACATAATGGTGGATTTAAATAAATGATAAATAATATTATTTAATCTGGATTACCTACACTAATTTTAATACAACATGAGGAATTATATGATGCTCTACATGACAAAAGCAATATTTTAAAAACTTATACTTTTGGAGCCATCTCTAATCAAAGATGGTTCGATACTGCATAGTCATAAGGAGATGCAAAAGACTGTATCTTTTCTTTGTACCCTTATTTTGTTGTTTATTAAGCCAAAAAAGATAGAAATGCTAAAAAGAACTTTTGTTATCTAAATACTAAAGATATGTCAAAGCCTTAAGGCATGGGATTTGGTGTTGATGAAAATAAATTTAGAATTTGGATTGATAAAGATCTTAATAAATCCACATGTTCAGCTGAGGATCTGAGTTATGAAAGCGGTGACCTTGTTCATAAGCATATAAAAAAATTGAAGGTTTTGATTTTCTGCAAATTTAGATCTCAGTGATTGAAGTCTGGGGAATTGTACACCCTGCTATTGAAGAATAATTGGATGAGCAAAAAATTGCAAATACTGAAGCAGAGTTTTAATAATTTGAAATCAATACCTATGATGAAGTAGAAAGTTAACCCTTAGAGTATTAAATTAATAAATAATTAGATCAAAGGCTGATTATTATTGGTCTAATAAATAACAAGAAGTGAAGCTTGAAACCACAGGTACTAATGGCTTTTACTGGAATAATGCATAAACTGTTAACCCAACTCTTCAATATCATTCAAATCTTACAAAAAGTCAACCCATTATTAATCCATATTCAAATTAGGGCTTATCATTTGAAGAGTAAAAAATTGCTGATTAACTTGTTGGAAAAAATATAAATAATTTTAATTAGTAATAAGAAGTGGTTACCCAAACTATAATAACAAGAAGAAGCAATCTATAAAGGCCAGTTTTAGATTTTAAATAGAAAAAAACATATGAACCAGTTACCATACCTAAGAAGTAGGAAATTATCGTTGAAACAGGAACTGAAAAGCAGTAAAATATTTGATATTGAAATTAGTGAAATTTTTGGAACTAACATAATTGAATCATAATATCCTAGATAGACAACAAATGAAAAAGTATAATCAACAACTTCAAGTTGGAATCAGTCAAAAGGAAGAAAAACTGCTGACTAAATCATTTAAGACTATGAATCAAGAAAAAGCAAGAGAAATTATTGAAAATATTTGATTCATAAAATGAATATCATACATATACTTTTTTTTTTGAAAAAAATTAGAGTTTTTAAGGTTAGTTGTTTGTTATTGATTCAAAAGGAATTCCTATTTTTTCAATCTTAATCCCTGATTTTTAATATTAATTTTATTCACAATCATTAAGATGTTCATTTTTATTCAAAATCTTTAAAAATGTATTTTTTGAAATCAAGACCTGATAACTATATTATATATATTAAATTCATGATGAATATATTATTTGATGTTTTTATTAAAGTAAAATGAATTATTTTTTTAAGCTTAATGCAATTATACTAAACATCTTTTCAAACATTATTTAAATAATTCCCAGACTATTTCAATTACCTTTCGCTTTCTTATATTTACATATATAAAATAAAATTTTAGTTTCACTATGTAAGTGTCTAATTTGGATTAAATCAACCAAAAAATATGCAGTTATCACTTCAAAAAAAAACATAGTATGTAAATTTTTCTTGAGCTTTTTTCAATTAATAAAGGATAAGCATAAAGGAAATTGATAGGGCTAATATTCATGGTATAAGCTTACATAATTATAGAGTAAATTTCAGTTGCCCATTATATATTCTTAATGAGTCCACAAACTCCATTGGTCAAAATAAATAAAGAAATTATTATTGATATCTTTATTTACTAATCCTATATCCCTTGCTGAAATATTGGGCTGATTTAATTTACAATATTTTTATTAAGTTTAGTTTTCAAGTTCCTTTTATATTTTTGGCAATTTGATCTCCTAACGTTAATATAATCGATCTGGTATTTAGATGATAATTAAGAAATTGAACTTCTGATTATGCCAAAGTCACATTTAAGTCATTTTATAAAATAAAATTTGTCAAAATTTAATATTTTGATGAAATATTTCTTTTAGTTTAAAAGATAATTTTTTGAAAAAANATTGCTGATTAACTTGTTGGAAAAAATATAAATAATTTTAATTAGTAATAAGAAGTGGTTACCCAAACTATAATAACAAGAAGAAGCAATCTATAAAGGCCAGTTTTAGATTTTAAATAGAAAAAAACATATGAACCAGTTACCATACCTAAGAAGTAGGAAATTATCGTTGAAACAGGAACTGAAAAGCAGTAAAATATTTGATATTGAAATTAGTGAAATTTTTGGAACTAACATAATTGAATCATAATATCCTAGATAGACAACAAATGAAAAAGTATAATCAACAACTTCAAGTTGGAATCAGTCAAAAGGAAGAAAAACTGCTGACTAAATCATTTAAGACTATGAATCAAGAAAAAGCAAGAGAAATTATTGAAAATATTTGATTCATAAAATGAATATCATACATATACTTTTTTTTTTGAAAAAAATTAGAGTTTTTAAGGTTAGTTGTTTGTTATTGATTCAAAAGGAATTCCTATTTTTTCAATCTTAATCCCTGATTTTTAATATTAATTTTATTCACAATCATTAAGATGTTCATTTTTATTCAAAATCTTTAAAAATGTATTTTTTGAAATCAAGACCTGATAACTATATTATATATATTAAATTCATGATGAATATATTATTTGATGTTTTTATTAAAGTAAAATGAATTATTTTTTTAAGCTTAATGCAATTATACTAAACATCTTTTCAAACATTATTTAAATAATTCCCAGACTATTTCAATTACCTTTCGCTTTCTTATATTTACATATATAAAATAAAATTTTAGTTTCACTATGTAAGTGTCTAATTTGGATTAAATCAACCAAAAAATATGCAGTTATCACTTCAAAAAAAAACATAGTATGTAAATTTTTCTTGAGCTTTTTTCAATTAATAAAGGATAAGCATAAAGGAAATTGATAGGGCTAATATTCATGGTATAAGCTTACATAATTATAGAGTAAATTTCAGTTGCCCATTATATATTCTTAATGAGTCCACAAACTCCATTGGTCAAAATAAATAAAGAAATTATTATTGATATCTTTATTTACTAATCCTATATCCCTTGCTGAAATATTGGGCTGATTTAATTTACAATATTTTTATTAAGTTTAGTTTTCAAGTTCCTTTTATATTTTTGGCAATTTGATCTCCTAACGTTAATATAATCGATCTGGTATTTAGATGATAATTAAGAAATTGAACTTCTGATTATGCCAAAGTCACATTTAAGTCATTTTATAAAATAAAATTTGTCAAAATTTAATATTTTGATGAAATATTTCTTTTAGTTTAAAAGATAATTTTTTGAAAAAAATATGAGATTAATTTTTTTATTAAATAATCCAAATGCCTTTCATTTGAACAATAAATTTTTCCTTAAAAACGTTATGAATGTATCTATATTGCCCTACTAGAAAATCAATTACATGCCAAAATTAACTTCATCTGATTTGCAATTAAAATTTATAAGAAATTCCATCTAATTTTTTGTAATGTCCATAAATATTTATCCATTAAAGAAAATTCTGATAGCTATTCATAAATTTTCAAAAGCAAAAAAATTTCGATATTGAGAAATTATCATTTAAATATTATAAGATTATTTAATTTTATTTTTGTAGATGTTCGGAATTATTGGGTTTGGTATAATTTTATCCAGATATGATCTTACACAATTATTATGAAGGAAATGAAAATCTCTATTAGCCTGAAGGTTACTTGTAAGGACTTGAAATTATACACCATCAAGGATAGACACAGAAGAATAATTTTTTGATTTTAATTAATTATTATTATGTTTTTATCCCCTTAGTAGGTTTAAATGAATATATTTCATCATCGAATTTGATAGATTCTGCATATTATACTATAATCAATTATCAAGCAACAATGTTTTTTTTTATTTTATAGACCCTGCATCTTTCATAATTTAATTCTTGAATTAGAATAGATGAATATGTTTAATGATTTGCTCAATATTTAACTTTGCTAACTCAAATACTTTAGTATCACATTAATTAATGGATGTATGTTAAAATGAATTGCAAAAATTTTAATTTTATGTTTTTTCTTGACGATACATTTTTTTTTAATAACAATCGCAACGTGAATCATATTAAGCATAAATTTTCTCTCTTGTTTTAAATGATTGATTTAAATTTTAAAATACTATTTTGAATTAAATCATCATAAATTTATCAAATATCTAAATATGATAATGAGTAATATCACCTTCAAATCAAAACGATTATGTAGCAATTTCAAAAGAAATCTTTTAAAGGTGCTGAATTTCTATGTCTCTATTATGGAAATAATAGGATCTCGTAATATCTAGTTGTTTAATTCATATCCAATTAAAATTTTAATTAACTAATATTTTCTTAGGATCACTTAGATTCTAGCTTAAATTAGAATGAAAGCCCATTTAACTTGGCTAAAAGGGGTATGTGGTCTAGGGAGCTTGATATCGAAATGCCCGTAATCGTGGATCCTTTCTCATAACCTATTTCTTTAGAGATGCTCTCAGTTTGGAGGCATTATTTCTAGAAAGATACGATTGAGGCCCTTTATATTGTTAGGTTTCTTGTATTATCTATCCTTCTAATTAAGAGCTGAGTACTTTTCTCCAGAATATTCTTTGAACAGGTTATCAAATAATATAAATTTATATGACACAATCTCTTTAGTTAATTCAATTATTTTTTAATTTAATTAAGTGTAACTGGAAGAGTACTTTGATTCTAATCAGACCAAAGGTGAATTAATTTACCAGTCCTTGTTAGAATACCCAACTTAAAAAATATTCTTTATAATATAGAAAATTTTAAATAAAGAATTTCTCCTAAATTTATAAAAAAATACTGCAATTCTGCATGTTGATTATTAAGAACGAATTGAACTTTTTTTTAAATAATAATTCAAAAAGATTTAAAAAAAGAATTTAACAAAACACTATGAAAAGCAAAAAAAGATATNTTTGTAATGTCCATAAATATTTATCCATTAAAGAAAATTCTGATAGCTATTCATAAATTTTCAAAAGCAAAAAAATTTCGATATTGAGAAATTATCATTTAAATATTATAAGATTATTTAATTTTATTTTTGTAGATGTTCGGAATTATTGGGTTTGGTATAATTTTATCCAGATATGATCTTACACAATTATTATGAAGGAAATGAAAATCTCTATTAGCCTGAAGGTTACTTGTAAGGACTTGAAATTATACACCATCAAGGATAGACACAGAAGAATAATTTTTTGATTTTAATTAATTATTATTATGTTTTTATCCCCTTAGTAGGTTTAAATGAATATATTTCATCATCGAATTTGATAGATTCTGCATATTATACTATAATCAATTATCAAGCAACAATGTTTTTTTTTATTTTATAGACCCTGCATCTTTCATAATTTAATTCTTGAATTAGAATAGATGAATATGTTTAATGATTTGCTCAATATTTAACTTTGCTAACTCAAATACTTTAGTATCACATTAATTAATGGATGTATGTTAAAATGAATTGCAAAAATTTTAATTTTATGTTTTTTCTTGACGATACATTTTTTTTTAATAACAATCGCAACGTGAATCATATTAAGCATAAATTTTCTCTCTTGTTTTAAATGATTGATTTAAATTTTAAAATACTATTTTGAATTAAATCATCATAAATTTATCAAATATCTAAATATGATAATGAGTAATATCACCTTCAAATCAAAACGATTATGTAGCAATTTCAAAAGAAATCTTTTAAAGGTGCTGAATTTCTATGTCTCTATTATGGAAATAATAGGATCTCGTAATATCTAGTTGTTTAATTCATATCCAATTAAAATTTTAATTAACTAATATTTTCTTAGGATCACTTAGATTCTAGCTTAAATTAGAATGAAAGCCCATTTAACTTGGCTAAAAGGGGTATGTGGTCTAGGGAGCTTGATATCGAAATGCCCGTAATCGTGGATCCTTTCTCATAACCTATTTCTTTAGAGATGCTCTCAGTTTGGAGGCATTATTTCTAGAAAGATACGATTGAGGCCCTTTATATTGTTAGGTTTCTTGTATTATCTATCCTTCTAATTAAGAGCTGAGTACTTTTCTCCAGAATATTCTTTGAACAGGTTATCAAATAATATAAATTTATATGACACAATCTCTTTAGTTAATTCAATTATTTTTTAATTTAATTAAGTGTAACTGGAAGAGTACTTTGATTCTAATCAGACCAAAGGTGAATTAATTTACCAGTCCTTGTTAGAATACCCAACTTAAAAAATATTCTTTATAATATAGAAAATTTTAAATAAAGAATTTCTCCTAAATTTATAAAAAAATACTGCAATTCTGCATGTTGATTATTAAGAACGAATTGAACTTTTTTTTAAATAATAATTCAAAAAGATTTAAAAAAAGAATTTAACAAAACACTATGAAAAGCAAAAAAAGATATAGATTAATAATAAATTCAATCCTTAAGCACATTATTTCTAGAAACAAGTAATCTCATTTAACTGTTTATTTATCTTGTAGAAATAATGTTTTTATTACCTAATCTCCTAACTTTTTTATCTTAGATGTTTTGAAATCAACAATTATTAATGACTTCTCTTTAATTATTTTTAATTTAAAAGAATTAACTTCTCTAGTTATTGATTAATTAGGAGATTATAATCGAAATTAACTGAAAACTAAATTAGCACACTAATTCATCGATTAACTTATCTTGAGTTGGGATATTTATCCCACTAAAATTTTGTTATGAAAAATTAAATTTCATTAATTTTATTACTTCAATAAATAATTATTATTCTTGTTACCCAAATTTGGTCATTAAGATAAACAATTATGTTCAAACTATATCAATTTGGATTGTATTGGCTTAAGGAATGCCTTCTTATATTTTGATATCAAACAGTTCTGTTTTTAAGTCTTTCTAATTCTTTTTCTATTTTAATTTTTAGAAATTGTCAATTTGTTTTATTCTCATCTAAGTAATTAATTCATCCATCTTAAGGAACTGATGAACTTCTATTATATTTCATTTTTTATTAGTGTTGTTTACATATAACTCAAATAAACATAAAAATTAAGTGAAGATTATCAGACATCCAAACAAGTTCTAATTCATTTCAATTAATTGATTATCTGATTAGAAATAACTCATCAGCACATCCCAAAAATCCTACATTAAAATAAATAAGGAGAAAAGATCTTTTAATAATTCATCAAGGTTAATGTTAAATAATGCAGGGAAGTTAGGAGATCCTAAGGGTACTTGTTTTGAGAAGTAGAATTTGTTTCCAAATGTTATAAAGATTAATAAATAGCATTTTGATATGTGATAATTTTAATAGGGCTATTTCATTTTGTTTTAAAACTTTTGTATTTTTAGTATTTTATAAAATTTTCATCAACAGATTATGTTATAGACATTTGAGGAATCTATGAAGATTATTATCCTGTACTGTTTAAGGCTTTATCTACTATTATTGAGTTAGTCTTCTCGTTAGAATGGAATCTTTATTCTAAAATGTTGTATAAAGTGTTTAAGTTAGTGATTTTAAGGTATATTTGGATGCATTTTATTTAGGGGCATAAATCGTGCCCATCATTATCTCTTGTTTATTAGGAAGATATCCGACCTCTCTAAATCTTAAATCAATTCCCAAGAAGAGCTTTTTTGATAAAGGAATGGATTAACCAATTATAAGTAATAGCTTTGTGCTTAGCCTATCACCTTTGTATTTCTTGAGTATTACCTTAGCCTAGTTTTTTGAGGATATGAATAAGTAAGGGTTCATAGTTATGTGATTTAAAATAATGGCCTAATACTTTAATACAATTTTTAAATGTATCTTTTGCAGTATCAAAGATGTTATCATTATCTATGTAACAGTTGTGTGTTTCTCCATTCTTCTTTGTTAACACATAATAATAGTCCGTTTAATCGGATTATAAAATAGATTTCTGTCCCCTTTTAAGAATTCTTTGCATCTCTCAGCTATGTTTATATTTTCATTTGTAGGGATCCTTTTTATTAATTTTTGTTTTTTTTATCTTTTTTTTCATGTTTGCTTCAGATATTTTGTATAAAATTGTTAAAATGAGGTAAACTGTTTTTTTTTAATTTTAAAAAAAAATAATTGCCTTTGATTCATCAATCATAAACAGGTGTATGTTATTCTCTCTTTTAATTAATAATTCAGATTAAGATCAACTACCAAAACTCCAATTTCTCCCTGCAGACTATTAGTTATTGTGAATATATTAGCTAATTTACTATTTAAGTTTTCTTATTCATGGAAAATTGCTGATATTTCTTTTATTGATATTTATTATGAGAATATAAGAATAAATTCTATGTTAGAAGAGTTGGTTTGAATTATTAGCAAATCAAGCTACATTTCATGATATTTCACAGAGTCAAAGTAATAATTTGTTATTTTTCTGCTTTAGAATTATTGAGGAATTATATGAGTATTCCATCATAAAAGTGAGTCTTAAATTTTTTTGAGACTTTCAATTTTTTGTTTATTAGTTATTGTAGTGTTAGGGGAGGTTTAATTTTTTTTGAAAGTTTTTTACTGAAATTCAAACTAAGAATTCTGAGTATGTTATCTAAATTTTTGGCAATAGGATCTTTAAGACATTAAACCTCAATTTCTATTGAGCTTAAGGTACTTGTGTTATTTGATATTGGCGTTTTGCCTTTACATTTAAAGCGGATATGGCCATAATATGATGGTCCTGAGGCATAGGGTTCAGAACGGCATTATTCGCACCACATTTTACTTTCATTCCCTTACTAATTTTCAGAGTTAAAATTTTCTTCTTTACCTTCTTGAAATTACTAATAGTTTTTCTCTGGAGCCTTTCTTGATCATTCTTTCTTGATTATTCTTTAATGTCTTTCCAAAATTTATTTAACTAGTCTGGATGGTTTTTGTAATCTATATTTTTGAGTTTCGTTGGAATTTAATTTGAGATTTTCTCTCTAGAAGTTTCTAAGTCGTTCTTTAGTTGTTAATTAGGGTTTTTCTTTTTATTTGGCATTAATAATAATTCTGAATGAATGTTGCAATAATTTATCTCCCTTACCATAAGTTCTTTTTTATTTATTGCTTCCATTAAAAAGGAATAGGTTTAAGATGTAGGTTTGGCATATGCCTTCTAATAAATATTCATTTACTTTTCTACTTTATAATTATTATGTAACATTGGTATTCTTACTCTCGATCTTCTGCTATGAGGTTAATATTTTAATGTTATTATTAATTAATTAATATTGGTTCTATCAATTCATAAAAATTGTGTTAGTTACTATCTCCTGAGTTCTTGTTTTAAATATTATTTAGAAAATAGACACCTGTTGGTTAAGTCAAACTTGTCATTATCCCATTTACTTAAGTAAAAGGTCGAATTGATGATTGAGACGATTTATTAATAAAACAGCTCGATGTAAAAAATAAAGCAAAATTGTTCTAATATTATCAACTTAGATGATTACGAAAGCAAATTAGTGTTAATTGAACATATTTAATTTACTCCATTAATGAAGTTTTTAATTAATCAGTCAAATTAAAAACATATTAAATTCCTTAAGTTTTCGGTTCACTCTATTAAAAAAATGTTTTTTTTGGTTAATCATGGCTTTTCATCTTTATTTAAAACGATTGTCGTTTTTTTTTTTTTATCATATCATTTAATGAAAATAATTGTTATTCATTTAATTCTCAGTTTTAAGCTAAGGATTTTACTAGAAAATAGATTCACAAATAATGGCTCATTTCTAAAACACTTAAGGTTATTATTTGCCAGCTTTGTTAACCAATAATTGAGTTAATCTAGTAATATTCTACCTTATTATATGTTATTATTAATTTAATGAATTTTATTTATTTATTTAATATATGTATCTATGTTTCAAACTGGAATTGGGGCAGGGACTGTTTTGTCTCTTGTAA